CGATCTGATTTTGTTTTTACTGATATATTAATATTTTTATGGAACTTACAAAACTGTGGCCTTACTAACAATTGCGAATTTTGTTCGTTTGTAAAGCATTCATTATAGAATCATCATTTATCATATTAAATTACAGGAATTTATTTACTAAAATCATGAAGGAAATTAGTTATTTTTTTATTAATGGTTAAATATAATAGATAAATATGTACTAACGAGATATATTGATAGATCAAAGACTTGTCACGAAGAAAAGAAAAATCGTTAAAATAATAGAGGAAAAAGAAAATAAAATAGTATCTCTCATAAAAAGACGATTTTTATACTTTGCTTGAATCTATACAAATCAAAATCTTTGATCACAAAAGTAAATAGAGAGAGAAATAAAAGAATAGTAGAGTGAAAAATTGTTCATCTAGCAAGACGAAAGAAATATTGCAGTTTTAATAAAAAAGAATATCTTATTATAATCGAAAAATATTTTAATAATATATTTTTTAAATATTTGCAATTAATTTTTTAAAAATATTTTATGAAAATGTAGAATTTCTTGTTTTTTGTAGGAATGATAAAAATAATTTTCTGAAAATATCAGATAAATGATGACGAAAATAAAAAAGATAATAGTATTAAATTGCGCCTATTTATCGATGCCTAATAATACACAGTACATTTAAAATCCGAAATTCTCTCTACATCATTAAATGATCGTGAAATTACTCGCCGCGTACCTCGCATTCCGTTAAGGACCACCGTTACCGTGATTAGTGCACTTGAACTCGACCTGTTAAAAAGCTACCGCCTCGAGCTACCGTAGGTCTTACGTCCTTGCGGTTAGAGTCGATTCATAAATTCGCGGAAGTCTAATAAATTCCTCTTTCAACATACGCAGTGTCTTTGTTACATAAAGCATTTATTCGAGCATGATGCACTTGACTCATATTATATGTACATGACAGATGAATTCGTTCCAGTCGAAAAATAAAAGGACAACTAACTTTGCACTTCCAACTTTCGCTCCTTTTAGGATGTTTTGTATCTATTTTCAAAATATTGAGAATTTAATGAAAATTGTACAGAATGTCCTTACATATGTTTAGAATCTTCAGTACAATTTTTAAATCGATTCACTAATGCGTTCACAAATTATAAGGATTTTAATTTGCATCGAATTAACATGTGTTCTTATGGGAAACGTATAACCATGTCGATTCAAATGACAAAAACACATGGAAATAATATTCAGAATTTGTTTAAAATTTACAAAAGTTTAGATACAGAGGAAATATTTGGTCAAATAATATTATACAAGTACTAACTGGTTAAAAAGATATTAAATATAATTTAATGAAGTTAGCCATGTATCTGACACAAGGCGAAATTCTCTGCCAAAAGTTAATCATTTCGATTAACAAAATTCGGAATATTTCAGTAAAAACGCAATAAATATTTAAAAACACATCTCTGCTGTAGTTAAGATCAAATTGTAATATTCCACACAATTTCTTACTCAAAATACCTAATCAAAAGTGGATATATTCAATAATGATTTTCATGATTTTACTTTTTGCTGGGATTGTATTGTACATATAAAACATCTTTTAAATGCTGCGATTTGCGTTATCGCACACACATGTTATATCTCGTTGTAATATTAAAAAAATAATATAAAACAAATTAAATTAAATTAAATATAATTAAATATAAATTAAATATAAATTAAATATAATCTTTAGATTCTTCTTTAGATCTATTTTAAATAGATTCCTTCACAAATGACTCTAACTAACTAAGTCATCTAAATGACTCTAAGTCATCTAAATGAGGTTTTCTTGTTACTTTGGATATTCTGATCGTTTGCATCACTATTTTATTCAGTGGAATTACATGGATTCTCGATGTACGCACCATAATACTATTATTATTTAACATTTTTAATTTCTCATCTCGTTTTTATCCTATTATAATCGCTCTCTGACAGCTGATTAGATACAGAAGTACAGACAATTTATGTACATTATTTCAATTGTTTTCCAAGACATTGAGAAACACGAGAAATTCATAGCGTAACATTTTCAAGCAGATCATTTAAGTAGAGAGCAGAAATCATTGATGGTGTCAATTAAATCGTTTCGATATCACTTATGATGGCGCCAAATTTATTAAATTGTCATTGATATGTCAGTATCAATACCAAGCAATTTAAATTTTCGCTTAAAGTTTCGCTGTCGTCGCTTATATAATATTTTTTATAGCTCTATAATTGATTTATTATTAAAATATAAGATTTTGAAGATTTTGAATCGCCTCTTTCTCATTCCTCCTCTCTTTAATCGATAAATTTGAATGTTGTTTGAAATTTAAATGATATTTAATGATATATCTTCAGCTAACACATTAACTGAGTTTGTGAAGAATGAAACATCTGTTTCTAGGAAATTTTAAAATGCTAATCACAATTCAATAATTATACGAAGCAAGAATATTAAGAAAACCTTGTTACGTATCTTTCAATTAAAATTCAATTAAAAAAAAGTATATTTTATAAATATATATATAGCACTACGGGATGTGACGTGTTCGCAGTTTTATTTTGGCTTTGCCTTCGTTTCGCAATCACTTAGATAATCACTTAGATAACCAAATCTCAGAATGTGAGATTTATAACTCATGACTTGCTCTTCGCAATTTGCATATCTTGCGTCAAGGGATATAATAAAATATCAAAATATCTATTTCCTGTAAAAATTAAAGAAATATATTTTTTATTAATTTTTCTACCGTTAGAGACATTCACATCGAAACATATGATTCAGGCCGTTCATATAATGAAACAAGGCACGCAAAGCGAGAGCATTAAGTGTCGACATACGCGTGTGATGACATTTCGAGAGAGAAAAACAACGAATCTGGATTCCCGTGACGGACGTGACATCACGTTGCGCGAATATTATCCGGCATTCCTCGAATTTTTTCTCTTTTTCTTCACGCGCAAATGAAGAATCTCGCTCATTTTCTTTCACCTCGCAAAACCGACGCTTAAGCATTCCTTCTGCCACTCTTCCACTGTCTTTCGCCTTCATCAACCGGTTTCTCGGATCGTCCGACCTTACCTTTCGACGTCTTTCTTGGCGTCTCAATATTTTGTCTACCGTTTTATACGTGTCTCTTGGGTTTCCTCTTCAAGATCGTATTCGGAATAGAAGTAAAATCTCGACACATCGTCGTCGAAAATAATTGTCGTTGTAATCATTGTCATACTTAGTATTATTTATTACATTTTAATATTATTTTCCTTTCTAAAAACGTCTAATCATTTGTTGATTTCTAATTGGAATAATTCTCTAATCTTATCACGTATTCCGTTCATGAGAACAACATTGTTCCGAATCTCGTAATTTAATTTGTATAAAAATTTTTCTATATTCTTTTTATTAAAAAAATAAGATTTTTTGCTTGTGAAACACTCTATTTTTTAAACTTTAAAATAAAGTAGAAAAAATGTATATATGAAAATAAGTCTCAGGTAATCAGTCTCATAATATTATTGAAAGTTTATCGTTGATATGATGATACGGAGATTGGAAGTCACGTTTTGATTGTAGAATATATTTAATTTATCTTGGATTATGAAATTACGTACGTTTCTTGCGTTATCATTATTCGAAAATCCTTCTTTTATAGACAGATTCTCAATTGTATGAATATCTCACATAAAGTTCGATTGATTTGACACTATCGCAATATGTCTCCACAGTGTAAATTTTTCCAACTTATTATTTGTTTTTGACGTTTACAAGTTATTGTATCATACATTTTTTAAGAACACCCTGCATACGTGTTAATAATGATAACAAGTGGAAATTTAACATGAACATTTTCGAATGGCAAATTCCTTTATGATTCTTGTAAATATGTTTTGATATTTCTTCTTTTCTTTTCTTCTTGCGAAGAATAATAACATGTTTTTCTTTAAATTTACATTTAACGCATTCAAAATAAAATAAAACTTTCGTATAATAAATGAAAAGAAGAAATGTGGCGCAAAGCATACGTATAAATTGTGTTAGCCTCATTAAATTATTGAAACCTAATCGATTCGATTGAACAAGTTTCATTAATCATCATTGAAATTGAATTATTCGATACAGCCAATTCTTTATATAATTATTTAGATATTTAATTAAATCGCTTTTCAATCTCATCTATCTTATATTCGATTATTATCCAAACTATTTTATAAATATGATTCTCCGACATGTAATCTCTTTTATTGATATTTTCAATAACATATTTGTCGGAGGAAACATTTGAGATTACACATTTGAAGATTCAGGTCAAGATATTCTCCCATTCTTTTCAACTAAAATAATAATATTTTGTATCCCATATTTTCACTAAAAATTAATTAATTATTAAAATCAAATTAATTATTAAAATTATTAATGACAAAACTCATGAGGGGTAATTTAGATTAATTTAAATAATTCGAAAAAATTTGTTTAAATTGTATTGATTTTTCCAGAAAATATGTTACAAGTTGATAACATTTTAAATTTCCTAGCGATTATTGGGATTTAATGTCGCTTGAATCTTTTCCACGAGACATTTATTCGAAGGCGCACCTTCGAGATTGACGCGCACTCGCACCCTTCTCCGAGTATTTTCTTCAACATGAGTGCATAATGTTAATACGAAGAGTCGCGGAAAGTCGGAGGAAAGCCACGTGCGATGACGTTCGCGGAATAGAAGAGGTAAAAAGGCCGAGCGACCGTGCGTAAAATTGATTTCCCCGTGTGTATTGAAATCCCCCGTTTACGCACTCACGTTCTCCGATGACGTCACCTGGAGAACGCGATTCATTCTCGTTCTCGCGTCAAAGCGCGGGAACAGGTCGTTCGGTCTATCTATCCGCGGTTTGTACGATCCGTCGACTTTGCCATATCAAAGTGGGGAAGAGTGTGGTTTTCTGTGTCTAGGTGGAAGAATATAAAGCCCCACCAATCGGTTGCACAGCCGCCAGTTCACGCGTCTCACGAAACGACGATGTAGTGCGTGTGCGTCCGAAAAATTGGGGGCGTGAAAATTACGAAAAATCGGAAAAGCGCGGTTTCGATCGCGATCTATCGTGATCTGTGAATGAACACGACTATTTATCGTAGTATCGCGTATTCGGAGTATATTTTTTCCTCACTCCTTTTTCTTTATATTTTTATACATACACATGGTCCGTTTGTATAAGGTGTGAAATTTCATTTATTTTGTGGATTATTTATTTTTCCTTTTTTGTGTGAGTCTCTTTTCTTGCGAGTCTCTACATTATACTTCGCACGAGAAAAATCAACAGGTAAAGACTACTAATTCTTCCCTAAATTTTAAATGATTTTATCCGTTTTGCCGTTTTCAGTTTCTACTTTTGTACATACAACGTAATGCAACGTAATATAAAAAATGTCTTTATAATTTTTTTTGTTACGTTTATTTTAAATGACAAGCAATTTTTACTGTTCTCTTTTTCAAATTATATCATCATGACGATAATTGTCGATTTGAATTTGATAAAAGCGTTGAATATAAATGATAAAAATGCATAATAAAAAAGTGATAATTGACGTAATTATTAATTTAATATATCTTATCTATTCGGGATGTATTTCTTATATTCTTATGTATCATTATATTTAATGTTTTCATGTATTATAACAATGATCAAGTGTATGTAATTACATTTTTTTTTAATTATTTGATTGAAGTTAATCGTTCATGGTTGTATATAACTTATAAAATTTCTTATAGTACAATAAAGAAATATTGCGAAATATTTACGGTTGATAGATCATCCGAAACGAGGCAAGAGTCGATTTAACGAACAAAGAAAATTATTGGAATATTAATGGGATACAGTAAGATAAATAAATCAACCGCGTAAAATATTATAAATTAATAAATGCAATAGTAATTAATTTAAATCGATATGCTTAATTTAGATCAATAAAAGAATTAATTGTTAATTAATACGTTAATAATAGGTTACATTGTGTTTATGATTTTAATAATATCGTGTTTTTTGCTTGATTATTTTTTATCTATAGTGTTAAAATGTTTGTATCAAAATTAATTCCGTAAATTCATATCGCATTTAATGAATATTTGAAAGCATTATTAACGGCGATGACTTTATAATATGCGCTTTCTTTTCACTACGTATCAAGAGCGATATATTTATTCTATATAATTACTTGTGTATTAATGCGGTAATATTTAAATCGTTCACACAATAAATACCATGTCGACATCTCAGGAAATCTCGTAAATTTTAATATAATTTGCATTTTCCATAAGTATGCATCATAATATTATTTGCGCCTTATATTACAAATGCTAAATTTATGCGAAAGCATTTTTTTAATATTTTTACCAGAAGAAAGCCAGAATTACGGATAATATATATTTCAAGTCACACTCTCTTTATTTTGAAAACGTTCTAATTTACAATTCAAAGAGAAGACAAAAAATACTATCGATTGATCCCATGAATTTTCTGTGTAGTTTGCAAATATAAACAATATAGAGTTTAAAATTTTCATTCTAAACAAAAATCGACTATTAAATTGTATAAAAATAATGAAATTTTATGAATAGGAAAGGCTGTAATGCATATATAATATTTTCTGTTTAATAATTATATTTAATAATATCTATACGCATTTGTATTTACGTCATAATTATATGACGTTATCTATTTCTTTATCATATATTTATTGAACCGTTTATCATAAAAGCAGACAATTTTTTCTTTAAATAGAGTTTTACAACAAAGTGTTTTACAACTTCCGTGAAAAGAGTACTGGAATAAAATAGAAGAAATAAAATAGAGTAAAAATTCTAATATAAAATATTGAGGCTACAATAATTTTCAAGTTATAAGTGATCAAAAATTGCGATATCGCGTAAAACATCCCATAATTACAAATACGTAAATGCGTATCGATCTGTCATGTTATTAGTTTTTTCAAGTCAGATGATATTAATTTTTATTGTACAGTTGATTTTATTTTGTCGTTTCTTACATGCGTGTTTTATGTGTATGTCATGTTACATGCATTATGGCGATTAATTAATTAACGAATTATAAATAACATGTGAAAAATTTAATTGTTTTTTAAATAAAAATTTAAATAGTTGATTAATCATCACATTTAAATAGAATTATAAAATTTAATATTTTCATACATTTGAAAACCAAGGTACATTTCTTTTTAATCAAAAAAATATTGTGGACTAATTGTGGATTAATTTATTATTATTTTTCTTGCCTTTTCAGATTTTAAGAGAGAAATCAACTTATGTGGCTTTAATAAACGAACTAAATAAATCTATTTTTAAAATTAAACCTATTTTTTGCGATGATTTAATTTTATTTTGTTTTTAATTAAATTGAATCCTTTGATTTTTTATTAATCTCTCATAATTTATTTTTTTTTAATGGAACAATTTTGAAAATAATAATAATAAATTAATTTTCATATAAATATTGTGAGCAAAAATACATTTACTTGCCATTTTTTTCTTGACTATTCGAAGGAGACGCTCGAAATGTTCTCCTTTCATTTGTATACATAATCGTGCACGTCTTAATAAATTTTGACTGAATTTTTTTATCATTTCTCCTATGATCATTGTTAATCTTTTGAAGATATGATCATGCATCGATCATCTTTGAATAGGAACTTTCTAGAATACGCTATTAAAATATTTCACAGAGGTTATGAAACATCCGATATATTAATAGTTCTTGTTTTTTCAACATTATATTGTTTTAACATAATTATTGAATATTTAGTTAAATTAAAGCTGGTAGCTTCCATCTTAGTTAAATAGCTGTAATTTCCATAAATTGCCAGAGTCTTTTATTTCTTTGTTTATGTCGCTCATTTTCATCTGAAAAAAAAAAAGAAAAACAAATTTGTTGCTTATTACTGGAATAATACCTGCCGGTATTTTGTCTCGACATTGCTTCTCTTTATTTCTTCATGACATTCCTTGCATTCCAGCGATTATATTCATATAAATATTTGTATATTCGACGACCTGTAAAATATTTGACGATTTAATTGTAATAAATTTTTTAAGGAAATTACGAAAAAAGAGCGAGAGAGAAAAAGAATACATTCTTGCCATTTTTCAGACGACGGTCATGACCGGGTCCATGAAAGCTGAAGAGGGCGACGGTCCCCCGAAGATCGAGACTTTTGACGACATCCTACCATATGTCGGCGAAGCGAGCAAATACCAGTTGTTCCTGTTCATTTTGCTTTTACCCTTCACAATCGTTTACTCCTTTTTATACTTCGCGCAGTTCTTCATCACTCTCGTACCTGCCGAATATTGGTGCGCTGTACCAGAGCTGGAAGGCTTGAATTTCACTGATCATGAAAAGTGAGTTTCAACGAAGAGATAATTTCTTTTTCTGCAGCGATGCTTAAAAATTAAAGTAATGCAATTGAAACAAACGCAAAAAAATAAACAATATTTAGATAATTATTATAAATAAAAGGAGAATATAAGCAGAAATTCAGATAATTTCTACAAACGAAGCAATTAAAAATATATAAGACAATGCAGAAAATATCTAGGCATAGACATGATTGAAAGAATAAATAAAATATTTTCAAGATTCGAAAGAATTCTATGCATAATTTGAGATTTAAGAATCTTAAAATAACGTAGAAAATAATAGAAGTGAAATTTTTTTCATTTTTAATTCATAATGACAGTTCAAGTTCAGTCGCTTCGAGCTGACTTTGGCCATAATTAATTTGACATGTAGATTGCCGGTTATTTGTATACAAATGTTTCAAATTCCTCGTATTCCTTTTTATTTATATATAAATGAAGACATTGATTAATTTTCAAATGATTAAAAGTTAAGGATTTTTAAGAATTTAAGAATTAAGTTAAGAATTTTCAAATGACTAATGATTTAAAAATTTGAGAATTTTCATAAATTAACTTTCTTTAAAAGATAAGATATTGCCTAATTAAATCCTGCCTAATTAAGTCTTTCAAAATTTAACACGTATATTTTATACTGATTTATATTATACATATAAAATATATAATCACTTTACTAAATGTATAGTCTGCGAAGTTTCAATAATAACATTTTATCATTCTTTCTATACACACACACACACGCACACAAATTATTCTATCTATTCAATTAGTACAATCATAAAACTCTCATTTTTCTTTAAACGAGACTTTTATTAGTATTATTAGATTTTCCCTGAATTGAGTAACTTTGTGTCTTTCAAAATAGAAGGTATGAATAATGAAAAGCGTGGTATTTCCGACTCTTGTAGTGATTGCGTCAACCAAGAAACAGTATAAAGATAGATTCCTTTTTCCGCATTTAACGTAAATCAATTGAATAATTCCGTTTTTGTTTCGCGAAAAAAGTTTCTCCATCAGAAATTATTACATTTATAATTATGTTACATTTCTTGTGGGATAATTATACTTATAATTATAATGTTACATTTCTTGTAGGATAATTTTCGTTGTAAATGGATAAATAATACATAATTAATTTTTTCTTTATTTATATACGTGTAACAAAATGAAAATCGTGAACAATTTTGTATAAGACTAAATTTTGGCATATTTGATAGGCACAATTTCAAAATGAGTCATATTACATTTTACTTATGACAAATTTTCCGTTAATAGTTAAATCTATAGTATTTCCTCGTAAAAATACTGTTAGAAAAAATTTGCGACTGTAATAGAAAAGAGATATAAGAGAGATTTAAGTTGTCTAATGTTTTTAACGGAGCTTATCCAGAAACAATGCAGAGACAAAAGACATGACTATCGTAAAGGAAAAGCCGGTGCGATGGTTTGTGGTTCAGATTAGTCGATCAGTAATTTCTCCACGCCTGATATTATACAGAAAACCAGTTTTAGCTGTTGATCTCGAGGAGATTCCAACTGAAACTCGAGGAAGAGAGGACGAGCGAAAAAAGTTTAGACGGAGAAGATATTTCCTCTCCTTGTTTAAAGACGCCTAGGATGGATTTTTACTTTAGCTTCCCATCGAAGCTCCGGGATATATCGGATATAAATGTTGGAGTCAGTCACGATTTTATAACAATAATAATAATAATAATCGTGCAAAATAAATTTACGATGATGTAAGATGATAATTTCGGATAGGAATCGAAAACATTTGCTATTGCGAATATATTGTATTACAAATATCCAAGAAATAACAGACAGATGTTTGCGGAATAAAATAATGTTTCTGGAATTATTATGCGAAAAGATATGTGTATATAGACATTTCATGTTTTTACATAGAAATTGCGTCTTCGAAAACAGAAATGAAACTTGTACTGCTATTTCGCTAATGTAATTTTCATGTAAATAATATCAGTCTTGACGAATCTCTAATAATACGTCATTTATTTGATGAATTAAATAAATAACTTTTATTATCAGTAGCAAAATTGAAAAAATGCAGTACATTACAAGAGATAGTATATCACGGTTATATTATCGTTTGTATTAAAATCGTTCATTGTTTACAGGATCGCGATAGCGATACCTCCGGCTACCCAGGAGGAACTGCAGCTAGAAAGCGCCACGTGGTTCTCGAGATGTTACATGTATGATGTAAATTACACCGAATTGATCGAGCAGGGTATCAAACAGGCCAATTCATCGTGGCCGATAACCGGTTGCAATAAAGGATGGCAATTCAACCATACGATGATTCCATATGCCTCGATCGCTGCCGAGGTAAGAACATTATCATGCAAGACATTATCATTTTACGTGCATAAATCCTTTTTATTGCATGCAGAAGTTAATCAATTAATAAATTGTCACGATCGGCAAAAAATGATAATAAATCAAATATTGCCCATATTTTATTCTTTTCTTTTTTCGTTTATTTCGAAAATTAACTTCAGCGTGCTCTTTTTTTAAGTATTAAAAAAGTATTAAAACCTGTATGTAAACCAGAAGCGTTGTTTATATATTGGTTTTTTTTTAACATATTATATAATGTTGGAAAAACCGATCGCTATTAATACCAATATGACGATGGTCGAGTAATATGTTTTCAATAATTGAAAAACAACATTTTACGAAAAACTTGGATTTTATACTGATATTTTGACAGTAAAATATGACTTCTTTCCCTACAATCTGCGCGATATAATTATATATGTAATATAGAAAAATTATTTTGATATCAAATCTGTGATATAAATTCGCCTATTGATAACAGTTATCTCCGCGTCGATTAATAATTATTATAATTATTATAAACAATATTATAATTATATAAATTATATAATTATATAATATAAATATATTCTATTATGTAATATAAATTATATAATTATATATAATATAATATAAAATAATATAATTATATAAATATTATCTAATTATATATTATATAATATAATTATATAAATATTATATTTATTATAAACGATATTTATTATATTTTTTGTTAGCTCGAATGGGTTTGCGACAAGACTTTTCTCGGTTCCGCGGCCCAGTCGGCCTTCTTCGTCGGCAGCATCATCGGCGGTCTAATATTCGGTTATATAGCCGATCATTATGGCAGAATCCCAGCGTTAGTGTCCTGTAACGCGGTAGGCTTCTTCGCCTCCATCGCGACGGCCTTCTGCAACAGCTTCTTGTCCTTCTGTATCGCGAGGATGGTCGTCGGTTCATCATTCGACAACTGCTTCAATGTTCTCTTCATTATCGGTATGCGTCATCTTGACTGAGAATACAAAGTTACTGAACAAGATATTACTCGAAAAATTACGAAAAATCTTTAAATAAGCTTTTTATCTGAGCAAAGCAGCTTATTAAGGATGTAGTGTAAATAGGCATTCGAAGAACTTGTGTATTTTTTATTATAATCGATAGCTTTTGGATTAAAAAATTACTTTATTCAAATTCTCAAAGTAAATTTTCGATGGAAATCTCATTCGTTAATAATTTCAATCGCACGATTAATCGATTCATACATATGATTCTGATCGCAGTGATCGAGTACGTTGGTCCGAAATATAGAACTCTGGTGGCGAACATGTCCTTCGGAATTTACTTTGCTTTCGCCGCTAGTATCCTGCCATGGGTCGCATATTGGATCGCAGATTGGAGAATTTTAAGCGTCGTTACTGCATTTCCGATGATCATCGCTTTCCTCAGTCCATGGATAGTTCCAGAAAGTGCACGGTAATTGTTATTACATCATACATTTTGTGTACTGTTATGTATCATATCGAATTTGTGACTTTAATTATCTTTTATGAAACTCGTTTGTAGATATATAATTGACCCGTTCTCTGTTGATTAGATGGTACATTATGAGCGGCAAGATTGACAAGGCGGTCGAGATGCTAAAGAAATTCGCGAAAGTTAACGGCAAGGAAGTGAAGCAGGAGGTGTTTGAAGAGTTTGAGAAGAGTTGCAGGAATTTAATCCAGAACGATCAATCGCATAATCAGTACACCGTATTGGATCTCTTCAAATTGCCTCGGCTAGCTCGTATTACTATCGTACTCGTCATTTATTGGTGAGTGAATTGCCGAGATGATTAATTTCGCTTTATTTTACTCCCATTTGAAACAGTTATTGATCGGGAATCTGGGTTTCAGGTGGTTGATGGTTTGGGTATTCGACGGGCACGTTTGGAACATGAAGCTGTTGCATCCCGACGTGTTCACGTCGTTCTCCATAGCATCGATGACGGAGCTTCCGGCAGCGGTTTTGCTGGCGCTATTCCTTGACAGATGGGGCAGACGATGGATGGGTTTCGCTTCTATGTTTTTGTGCGGTATTTTCTCTTTCATCGCCCTCGCCACTCCTCCTGGTAAGTTATACAACTGTCGTAATAACTGATCTTATCTCACAGAGATTTATTTACTTTATCGCGGAAAATCGCTCCAAATTGACGTAAATTAAAAGATAAAATTATGTTTTTCTCTCTCTATCGCGTTTTACGATCTTGGAGATCTACATTTTATCTCGTCAAATCAAATTGCAATTCAACGCAAATGACACTACTTACACGACGGATTTACATATTCTTGCGATGTGACGTTACAGGTTTACTAACCGTCACCATGGCGATCTTGGCGCGCCTTGGTGTCAATGTCGCCGCGAATATTGGTTTCCAATACGCGGCTGAAATGCTGCCGACCGTAGTGCGAGCGCAAGGTGTGTCTCTGATTCACATTATTGGCTACTTCGCTCACATCATTGGACCTTACGTGATTTATTTGGTGAGTATTCCGAGAAAAATGTGACGGAAGAAATTTTTTTCCCGCCAGATTATCCATCGTTCGTAAAAAATCGAAGGTAGATGCTTAATGATTCGATGTTCAATATTTTCAGGCCGATGTCCATCCAGCTTTGCCCTTGACAGTTCTTGGCCTTTTGTCATTCCTGGATGCGTTCTTGACCTTAACGTTACCGGAAACCTTAAATCAAGAATTGCCCGAAACTCTGCAAGAAGGTAACGACTTTGGCAAAGAGCAGAGCTTTTGGTGGATCCCCTGCATATCTTCGTAAGTTTTCTATAAATTTCTTGTCGAAAAAACAAGTATTGAAATTATACAAATTTTATTATATAAATTATTATATAAATATTATATTATATAAATTTCTAAGCTAAGACATTTAGAGAAGACGTCCATTTCGTAAACTTATCGATTGTCTTTGAAATTTGCAGAACTCCACAATTCAAGAAAAATAAAAGAAAGGAAATAAAGAAAAAACAGCAAGAAGGCGTGACGAATGCGGGCTTCCATCACGATAATATTCAAACGACCGATTCTACAAAATTATAGCAGCTGATTTGTTATAAATCGAAATTGCCAAATTGTTGTAAATATTGCGGGTAAGTCCTACATGTGATGATTTTAAATATTAAGCTACGAGACATGTCAAATGCGGTGTGTGTGACGATGATCGAACGAAAAAGTAGTGATGTAAAGAAAGCGAGACGTTCAAATTGCGGACAGAGATGCAAATGCGCGTCCAAGTTTATAAAGTTCACTTTGAAGATAAACGTGATCGTCTCTAGGAGATCGGATTATCTTTCAAATCTTTTCTTCGCGATATGCGTTACGTCACGTTGTTACGACTCGCAACTTTTTTCGCGCAAGAAGGACATAGCGTGTTACGTGTACAAAGTTATTTAATTCAACGTGTACAAAGTTAATTAATTTAGCGAGAAATTAATCATAATTACACTGAATTTTTTCTCCCTATCATTTACAAGGTATCAATGAGGTAAGAATCGAAAGTATGTCAATGAATTCGATTTTCTTATGTTTTAAGGTAGGATCTTACGCTAGTTATCTCATTTTATTCGCCTGAATAAATATCGTATTCAAATACGCTCAATGAAATTAGATCGATTTCAACATTTATTACATTCTTTAGTCACTTTGTTTCTTTTTTCCGAAAGATGACATTTCAAAATACGTAAAAGGCAACTTTTCATAAATATCGAATAACATAAGAGCCTTATTATATTCAATATTTTTAAAATATTGCGACAGACTAGATAATGTGAATGTAAGAAAGAGACCGTGTCACTTTTGATAGGAAAGAGACCGTGTCACTTTTTCTTGATGTGTCATCAAGAATCGTAATTGGCGACAGCTGTCATAAAATAATTAGTATTAATAAGTAAAAAATTCTCAGTAATTTAAATTAACTAATTACATAAAGATAGGACACTAACGTAATTTTTTTTCGCGATGAAAGCATTTTTCATCTTTCACACACTGCCAAATATGAAAATTCTCGAAAGCACGAGACCAAATATTTCAGTATTTCAATCTTATTTTGTTCATCAATGTCATCTAAGAAAACAATTAAATAATGATGTAAAATAAAAGAGAATCTATTTTATCCTCGTTCCATCGTTTCTGCTCATTACAACGTAAACTCCATTTTGGCGCTTTCGCAATTTACTTAAAATAAATTCTCTCAATTTTCAAAAAAATCTTAAAAAACATTCATCGAATCAAGAGATTACTTTGATCTTGTTTAGAAATTTTATTGATTAATACAAAATTTTATTGATACAAAATTTTATCGATACAAAAAAGCACAGAATTATTTATATCGCCGCGTATAAAAAAAAGCCGGCATTAAAAATTTCTTAACTATATATTCTCGATCGTTGCAGCGAGAATCATTATAATATAACAGAATTAGAAGAATTATATAGATAACTGGTTTGGACGATAATGTCGATGCCGGTTCGATCTCTTACAACAGGGTAGCGCCCAGAAACTTTGATCCTTACCGAAGTCTTCACCTTGACGTAGAGTTTGCGGGAGATCGCGACCGAGGGTCTCCGGTAGAAATAATACCAGCGTAGCAGCCAGTAGAGATACGATACTGATGATCACCATCGGTAAACTGTCCCAAATCTTGGCCTAAAACAATTTCAATTAATTAAGAATTTTTTAAAGCTGTATACATTGATGTACATAGATTGATTAAACTTTTTTGCCAGCCTTAGCGATGTTCCAATAATTGTCTCTCAATTATCTCATTACATATAATACACTATAATCAGAAGAAAAAATAATATTCTAGTTTCATATAATAAATCTTCTTCTCTGCTGAGGAATAAAGAAAGTCACTTACGCTGTCCACTATGTATGGGGCGAGAGAATGAGCGACTATGCCAAAAATGTGAATCAACGAGACTCCTTGCGTCCTGATGGGCGTTGGTAATAATTCCGCGGCGTATTGTAGACCTACATTGGCCGCCATATTCAGGCAAAATCGCGAGAGCACCGACATTGTCAGCTTCGCTACAACTGATGTAAAAAAATGGTGGAGCGTTTCGAATTTTACCAGATTACGAGACACGTAAAAAACTGTATATGTGTATACGCGACTCACTCGACTGCAACAATAACTCGCCGAAGCTGAAGAGGCAAGTCAAGGCCAGAGTGATAAATCCGCAGAATCGGCGACCCCAACGATCCAGTACCAATGCCAGCAACAGTCCAGCCGGCAGTTCGGTCGCACAGGCAAGGGAGAAAGACACGAACACTGAGCTTGGGATTAGCTTAAGAGAGTACACGTGCCCGTCAAAGGCTATCACAGTCAAGGACCTGGAATTGTTCCACAAAAATATATGAAATTCTGCTGCAATTCTTGCATAAAAAAATATTAGCGAAGAAAACTCGCAACGACGAGAAATAAAAATTCATTTTACTGACCAAAAGAAAATTAACAAGATAGAGTTCTTCGCTAATCGCGGTGACTTTATCAGATCGAATATGGTTGCGCTTTCCGTTTGAATATCGGATGATGTGAAGTTCCTCTGTAAAGATGATAAGAGACGATGAAGGGATGAAGAGCGATTTGTTCTCATGAACAAGCAAGCTTTGCATCTCATGCAGTCCTTACCACGAAATTTTCGTAGATGCGTGTATCGGGGCTCTTCTTGTTAACCTTTGCTATCCGCTGTAACTTCTGCACCACTTTGTCTATTCGGCCATTGGCGACGAACCATCTTAACCGTGAAACAGTGCTCTATTCAGCGGAAAGTTTGGACGTACGGCAGAACGTAGATAAGAGTGAAGCGAACTTAGTATGTATATAAATTTCTGAGAGCGATATGATATATCTAGATATATATCGTCATACTGTCTACTTATTTTAGGATTTGACACATTTAAACTTTTTAATTACACATTCAAAAAAAAGTTGAAAAATATATGAATTTTTTTCATAATGTTTCAAAATTAAAAATATATAAAAAGTTATCACAGCATCTTTTAATATTACGAGAAAAGAAAATATAAATATACAGGGTGTCCCGAAACTACCACTTCATATTTTAAAGGTAGATTCTCTGGCCAATTTAAAAACGATTTTTCCTCAGCGAAAATGTCGAAGGAGATCATTATTTTTTGCAATTCCCAATTTTCATCATGTATCTTTCTAACTAAGCCTTAAATTAAAATTCTATTAAAATAAACTCTACCTAAAATTAACTAAAGAATGTGACTTTATTAATATTTTATTCCCATAAGGCTTAGTTTGCAAAAAACCCTTTATTTTCAATCATTTATAACTCGAAAACTATTAGTGCCTCGACATTTTCGCTGAGGAAAAATCGTTTTTAAATTGGCCAGAGAAGCCTACCTTTAAAATATGAAGCGGTAGTTTCGGGACATTCTGTATGTAATAATAATAAATATATAATATATAATAATATATAATAATATATAATAATATATAATATATAATAATATAATAAATATATATATTATATATAATATATAATAAATATATATAATAAATATATAAATATATATATAAATAAATATATAGCTTCGGTCAAAGATTGATGTAAAATATCGTACCGAGCACTTTCGGGAAGAATCCAAGGCGTGATAAAGACGCTCATCATAGGCACTGCAGTAATATAGGCGAAGAATCTCCAGTTTGCGATGTAATATGCGGTCCATGGCAGAACCGTGCTTCCAATAGCGAAATATAAACCGAAGGCGACGTTGACGACCAGGGTTCGTCTCTTCACGGCCATGTACTCTAGGACTAATTCGGGGTTTACAAAGATTTAGAATTTAATTTGCGCGTTATATAACCGATATTGAACATTATTTAATGTGATAGATCTTAATTAACGATTTATAATGTAGACAATATATGAGTTATATAACGTAATTAAACGTAAACCGTTAATAACGAAATAATATTGCAGCTCGTAACATATTTGTGCATAAAATATTCATAATTATTCATTTCGCATATGAATTCTCTCTATTTGTATGCGTAAATAATTTCAATCTATTGAATTGCCTTCCGGGTACTTGCGTAGTTTACTATTCATTAAAAACCTATTGAATAATATCATTCATTAAAAAAATTATCAAACATGTGTACACACCGAGAGAGAGAGAGATCCGTAGTCGGGATTATGTAACATTAGAGAAAAACTGATGATCAAGGATTTTCACGCGCATAATTTTAATGGATACGTCATAATCAATTGATTGCCGTAAGCGGATGATTGTGATTAGCGCTCGTCATCCTTTATCAAGGTCTCACCGATAATCAGCGGGATGTTCATGCAGTTGTCGAAAGCCAGACCAGTAAGAAATCTGCAGACGGCGAAGGACCAGAAGGTGTTCGCGCTCGCGGTAGCGATCGATGCCAAGAGAGCAACACCATTGCACAGCATCAGGGCGGGAATCCGCCCCTTGTGATCGGCGATCCATCCAAATAAGAAACCGCCGACGATGGAGCCGCAGAAGAAGATCGACTGTGCCGTTGAGATGAGATATTCCTGGTCACATACCCAATCTAGCTAATCATAAAGAGTCCGGGAATCAGCGTGTAAGAAATGCAGCGATGGATTTGGGTATTTTGTTTTATCTCTCATGGATTAATATCGAATTGATGGAGAAGACAGATTGCAGTTAATCGCTGATAGCAGCACTCAAATGAAAATCTTGATTATCTTTTTATCTTGCATGTACTTCACGTGTATGTATATGCATATGCATTCAAGGATACTTCACCTCAGCTGCTATGCTAGCGTACGGAATCTGCGTGAAATTGTACTCCCATTGGTCGCAATTTATAGTTTTGTTTGTCTCCCATTTGATCGAGCGAATATCCTTGTGATTTAAAGTGGAAAGAAAATCCAAGTCCCGTCGATGACATCGATCGTAATACGGATAATCCGGAGACTCTGGTATGCCGATTTTCACTCTGAAAATATTTACAATGTAAGAGGCTGATACGTGACGTATATAACTTTTAAAACGCTATATAACTTTGCGCGCAAAGTTATCTCAGTAAACCATAAACTTTGTCTCTCTTGTAAATTTAATTATACCTAAATGTGTGCGTTTAATTAAAATTATATCATATATATATATATATATATATATATATATATACACAAGGTGTCTCAAAACTCATAATGAATCTTTCAAAGATTCCTGGGATCATCTGAAGACGATTTTTCCTCAACGAAAATGTCGAGGCACTAATAATTTTCGAATTATAAGTGATTGGAAATAAGAGGTTTTTCGTAAACTAAGCTTTGTAGAAATAAAATATTAACAAAACCACATTCTTCGATTAATTTTAAATAGAGTTTACTTTAGTTGAGTTTTAATTTAAGGCTTAATTGCAAAGATATATGATGACAAAAATTGGGAACATGCAAAAAATGATGGCCTTCATCAACATTTTCGCTGAGGAAAAATCGTCTTCAAATGATCCCAGGAATATGTCTTTGAAAGATTGATTATGAGTTGGGACACCCTGTATATATATATATATATATATATATATATATATATATATAAAATAATTTATATTATATATATATATATATATAATTATTATATATATATATATAATATATATATATATATATATATATATATATATATTATACATTTATATTTTCTGTGAAAATTTTTACTTGTTTATATTAAACACGAGAAAGCTAAAGTTCATAATTTACTGAGTATATATAACATGTATATAATGTGTGTGTAATTATCCTTGAAAATGAAAATTTCTTTTCGAATTTTAATGGGCTGATAAAATCGTTTTGAATCTTAACGACTCGCAGGTAAAACTTTACCTTTCTTCTTGCGTAAAGTTTGAAATTAGTTCCTCTATCTTGCACCAGTGTTCCTGCGGTAACAAAGTGAGGAAGAATTGCGAAAAGTATAGGACAGCATATGCCACGCTGTAGGGAAGCAAAGCCACTAAAAGCAGCCACTGATATCTGCCAAAGTCACCGACGTATGGCAAGACATCATCAAATGTCTCCAACTTTGGTTTTAATACGGTAGTCTCACTGGCATCCGTGCCATCTGGGCTTTTAATGCCATTCGAATTTTTTATCATTTTAAGAGATGTTGATACTTGATATGCTAATTTTATTCTTGAGGAACTAAATGAAAAGAAAAAATATAAATTTTGTTTCACACTAGAAGAATATGACTTTATATTAAAATAGAAAAATATTTTAAGATTATTTAGAATTATACAGATTAAATAACTGGAAATTATAACAAAAAGTTTGATATTTAGTACTTTAAAAATCTTCAAATTAGAAAAAAATTGGTACAATAAAAAACTATATATAATATAAACTCTATTTCATCCAGAAGTACATTATTAAATACAATGTAAAAATAAAAAATATTGTCATCAATATTTATTTGAAAAAAAAGAATAAGAAAGAAAATTTTGAGTAATTTGTTAATCACAATAATATTGTATTATTAACAATTATATTTAATGTTTTAAATTAAATTATATTTAATTTATAATGCTCCTTAAGCTAGAGAGACTCAAAGTGAAAATAATGTACTTAAATGAAACAGAGTTTTTTTTAAATTTCTCATGATTGGTTTTGGTTTTCGAGTGTCTTTCTCCTTTCAGAATTATAATTAACAAAATTGAAGGAAATAAATTATTCATTTTTCTTTGAAACTAATTACTTAATATTTATTCGTTATATCTTTGATATTAAATAAAATTACTTAATAATATTTATTCGTTATATATTCGATAAAGTTACTCTTACAATTTAACTTCATATCATAATTTTCACAAGTAATAAATTACGCAATTTCTCAAGCTAAATTTAAGCAAACTTGCAAAAAATAAAAAAATGTTCAAGACGCTCGACTAAGATTGCGGTCCAAAGTCCATGTCATTCGAGTGGTTCTTGGATATATCAAGCGATAACTTGTGTAAGGCAATCTAAACAGCCAGTGTTGTCCGAACGTGACGGGTGCAAATGGTTCGTGATATGCGCGCGCGCGCGCGTTCTCATTGAGACAATTATAAAGATCAAGCATGAGTTTGATGACTTGGCGCAATTAACGATATTGGACAGTGTTTATGTATATCCAGCATGTAATATCCAACAGAATTTATATACATAATATCTGACAAAGTATCTATACAAATAATATTAAATATTATACAAATATAAATATTTATATAAGAGAGATGTTAATAAACATAATAATTATATAAATAACTATGTTAGAGGTCATATATAAAGAGATTTTTAAGGAGGACTCAGAATTTAGAAGGAAGGAATATAATGCTTGCAAATTATATAAATAAATTATATAATTATTAGATCGAAAAAAATAATATTAAAAAATAATATTAAAAATAATATTAAAAAAATTTAATTGTACACTTTATGTTTTCAAGAATATCTAAACACATTTCCATTCATGGACGAATTTCATATCGAATCTGATACTTTTTCTCGAAAGCCAAAAATACTGTATTCACAATAATTTCATATCTGACGAATGTGATAAATACAAAAAGTTAACATTTAGGAGCGTTCATAAAATATAAGATAAAAAGTCGTAATTGCTAGGGTCAAATGTCAATGTTAACATGCTCGTAAATATCAGAATGATAAATTATAAAGTGGTCTGACGCATTTGATAATTTAGAAAATATTTTTAAACAGAGACAACACAATGTATTTTATACAAGATTATTATGCGACTGCTTTTAATTCCGCGTGACTCGGGTCAATCGTGAAATGTTTATACAAGATTTTGTTTAAATTAAAATTTTCAACTTTGTACGCGTACATAAATAAACACTTGATATATTTGAAAATAGTTTTAAAATAATTTCGCACGAGATTTATATAGTTTGTACTCACATTACGAATATCTAGTTGACTATTGTCTAGGTTAACTGTCATTAATCATTCATAAATGCTATTTTTAGAATAACTTTGTAGTTGTTATCATAAAATATGTAAATTTTTGTTTAACATTTAATCTTATTTTTTATTAAGATAAATACTTTTTTTTATAAATTAAATATTACTTTTCGTATCTTATGATTAGTAAGACAGGTCTGCATATTTAATACAGAACTTTCACGAAGCTGATCACTAATCGATGAATTATATTTTTTAATTTTTTAAGTTTTAATTTTGAACATTTGAATGCATAAATATCTTCGAGACTATTTTTCACTTTAGGATAACATTTATGTATTATCGATTTATAGCACCTTTATAATCAATTTTTTTCCAAATAATTCTTTTATGATAAGTTTCCTTCCTTCTAAAAAATTTTAGAAAGATCTTGAAACTATCTTTTAATTATGAATATTTTTAATTCGGATTTATTTTTCTATCATTTAGCTTTTGCAAATATTTCTTAGCACATCATGCATCCAAAAATTAATCACTTCTATTTTTTATGCGAAAGCATTAATACTCACATTTTTATTGTTTTATTTCACTGTAATCATGAACTTTTCACGTATTTAATTTTTTATTTATATTATCATGTTATGTCACATCACAACTTTCAAATTTAAATCTCGCGTTAGAGCAGAAAGATTACGCTACAATACTGAAGAATACTATCGAAAAGCCTCACCAAGCGTGAACTAATGTGCACTGTAAATTAATTATAAATGCCGATAAGACGACAATCGCAAATGTAACGATATTACTTCATCAATTTAACGATTTAATATCGAGAACCGGCAGTTGCGACGAAATCAATTGACGACGTTCGGGACGACAATGGTAACGAAGTTTTGTTGCTAAACACAAGTCGCTGTACGAAGAAGAAACTCAATCGCTATATGAAGAAGAAACTCAGTTGAGTATCATTAATATACGAGCTCAGCCTGAAATGCGATATACTATCGTGACGTATAGCTCATATATCATGAATATACAGCGAGACTATTTCGAATAGGAAAAAAAGTAGTGAAAGGTTTAAGAAGCACGACTACTAAGGGAAATAAGAAAGGAAAATATGAAAAAGATTCACACGCTTATCAAATAACGTCACTAATTTAGAACGCTTAATAAGATAAATGCGTAAAGTTTTTCTGAAAAATACAGAATTTTGTACAAATGAAGCAAATGTTAGAAATTTCGAAATTACCACTCGAAAATTATTTATTTTAAAAGGATAAATTTTTTACAAACCATTTAAATAATAATTTTGCTGTATTACGATTAAAGTATAATAAATTAATAAAATTGAAATAATAAATTAATAAAATTGAAATAATAAATTAATAAAATCGAAAAATCTAAAATTTGTTATAAATTTAGTTATCTCATAATTTAACTTTTATTATCTTTAGCATTCGATTAATTATTATTTTTGCGACAACCACTAGCAGAATTTAACTAACACCATCAATATCTGAGCACAAAGATATCTCGAGTTACTTTAGTTTTTAGTTAGAATTTTTTTCCTGCTAAAAAAAAATCAGAATCTGTCAAATCGATGCGTTTAAAAAATGAAAATTTATTTTATTATAAGCTTCTTAGCGATTTTAACATTTTTTATACAATTTACTTTTTCCGTGTAGAAAGTGAAAGATTTCATAGTATTCGCTAAACTCACTCGCTAGCGTAGAAATTTCTCGTTCTCGCGAAATTGTATGCAAATTTGCTCACCTGAGAAAAGATTGACACGATCGACCTTCGCGATACACACGCGAGCGCGTATAGAAAATTTTCTAAATATAACACTTACTTTACGTTACCTAACACATTTATATTTTCGGGAGTCTGGCTGTTCTCGAAAGACTCGCTAGTCTTGCGAGGAAGAACTGCGTTAAGTATGATCGCGTAAATCGGTTATCACAATTTCTATATCACCCTCCTTATGTGAATCCAGGATACGCAAATACTCGACACATTATTCGAATTATCTCGCAGTTCCAATGCCAAGTCAAAAATAAACTAGCAATCACGCTTTGATCGCTGTTCCAATTTTTACTATAAAATTTTATCAAACTTTTTACGCAAATTGCAGAAAAATAATTATACAAAACATTTCATATAAGCCATCTGAATATCTCCTTGTTATTAATAGTTCAGAAAAAATGCATAAGGAATTATCATATAATAAATGAGAAAATTATATGCGTGTCAAAGAAGTCAATATGTTATTAATCTTTCAACTTCATTATTGCAATGTAATGTTAATGAAATCAATCAATATCAAGCATTTTCAAGAAGGTATATTATTGATATTATTATCTCTTTTCTGTGATGTTGATTGGCCATTTATGCGCTTGTTTCATTTGTTCGTGTAAGTGATTAATAAAATAATAAATATAAAATAATAAAAATAAAAATAATAAAAATAATAAAAATAAAATAATAAAAATTTAAAGTTGATTAATTACTACATTTAAATAGAATTGCAAGATCTAATGTTTTTACACATTTGAAAAGAAATATATTTTTTTAAATCAAAGAAGTATTTTTGTGGAAATTAATTTATTATTAATTACTTTTTGTGATTTTAATCAACTATTTAAATTTTTATTTCTCTTCATCGTTTTCTTCCTTGTTTTCTTTTTTCTTGCACGTTTTGTAATGTTCTAGTAAGAAGGAAAAAAGTAACTGTTAATTAAAGGGCAATTTTGATAAAAACATTTTGATGATTGCAATATATTTGTCTTTTCACGAATTAAATAATTTCTTTTACCCATATTTTAGATAGCAAAGTGCGTAATGTCCACATGATATTGCATAATTCTTGCAGACCTCCTCGAAGATAAAACACCTCGAATAACGTCGATTATAACCGATCTAACTTGTTATCGCGAATATATACGTACTCCTGGACAAAATTAAAGCATAATTTTTTCTTAAAATTTTTTATTAAAATTTAAATATTAGCTTTTAAAAAAAAAATGAAAAAAATTATGCGTTAATTTTGTCCAGGAATTTGTCCAGTATATATATTTATACATGATAATGACTATATATATAAAATAGCAGTGACTATACTTCAAAATTCAGTTCTCACGAAGTTTAGATAAACGCGAAAGGTTATACATTTCGTAGGTTCTCTTCGAACGCTAGATGATAATAAATCTCTGACGACAAGATAACACAATTAGATAACAAACAAATTCAAAAAAAATCCTTGTTGAATCATCGATCTATCATCGACGTTTCATTGATACTCACTGCTCAATGATAAGATAATTTAAAATCTATATGCAGCAATAAACTGTTTGTTGATCTCATAATAGTGATCTCGATAATGTGTTTAATATATTAGCGCAATGCTGAGTCTACGCCAATTATGAATTCGAGAAACATGCAACTGTAAATCATCCATCATAATTCTCTTCTCAGTTATATATTATAATTGAGAAGCTGTCGATAGCTTACCGTTTATTGATATTCATACCTTCAATAGAAAGCCTTCGGTTTTATTCGAAAACGATCATACCGATAATTATCTTAATTAATTAGACCGAACATTAGTTGACGTTTATTAACACAGATTAACAGGATACAAATTAATTTTTAATTATCTCGTAACTTATTTACATTGTAAAACACTATATGTACATAAATCGAGTTTTTTCTGAATTTAGCAAAATATTTTCAGAACACGTTCCAGGTAGCACATATTCATTTCACAAATGTTTCACAAATTTTTCACAAATGTTTCTTCGAAACGTTTCATAACTGGTCCTTGAAAACGTTTCTAATTAGTTAAAATATCCACTTGGAAAACGTTAAGAGACATCCCACACAGCACATTATACTAAAAGATAACGAAAAGAGACACGCGACGAGCGATTCTTAACTTATCTCGTATTTAATATTTATCAGGAAATGTATATAAAGAATTAGTAATTAATATAAAATCTAAAGCATATTTTTGCCTTTTACGAGCAGTAATGCCAGAAAAAGGATACTACTTGCACACATCAATCAGAGAGAGCCACATACATCCTACGCAGAATAATTGTATGCGTGTGAGTCACATCCTTTTCTTGACATTACTGTTTATTAGTTTAATTTCTGACAAATTAAATTTAAAATAATTTATTTAATAATCTGTACTCCTTGTTGGGAGTCAGAATATTAAACAGATTATTAGAAATTAGGCGGAATAAATGGGAGAAATAGCCCATTTATTGCGTGTATTGAAGTATTCCTATCGAGTATCGATAATCTATATAAAATGAATCAAGTCATCTTTGAGTCATCATATGGACAAAACAGTAAAAAGTCACTGAAGTCGGATCATGAGATGACTTTTAGGCTCGATTCATACTATCGGTCCGCTCACGCTCCTCTTACGATTCGCTCTCGATTCCAGACGAGCAGTACAATTTTTACTTTACTTTACTTTTTTTTATTTTTACTTTATTTTTATTTTTTTTACTAAATCACTACATTAAAATTTTATTATATTTTTTTGCGCATGTTCATATAAAAATTAAGAAATACATCAATAATTAATTTATAATTATAAAGCAATATACATATACGTACCTTTTTCAAAGGACCAAGATTTTTTATATTGCTTTACTGCTCGTGACACTGCTCGCGACTCTGTTCGACAAAGACAAATTGCAAGAATTGACGATGGATTAACCGTAAGTTTTAAGGCCGCAGCACACACTTTTGCATAAGCGCATAACCATAAGCATAAGAAAATTGATTGGTTCATTTTCTTATGCATATACTTGGAAACCAATCAATTGTGCTGCAGCCTTTATTCACACTATCGGTACGAGTCTGGATAAGTTCGATCACACTTCGGCAAAATATTCTTTCAGAGAGATTCAAAATATTCTTTCAAAATATTCATTCGTTGCTTGAGCGAGAGCGGAGTGAGACTAGATCGACAGTTGAGTGCTACCCATAGTGTGAATATGTACATTTATAAACAATGGAAAAATATTTGATCGTGAGCAGATCGTGAGCAAACCATGAACGGAACGTGAGCAGACCGATAGTGTGGATCGGGCTTTAGTCATCTTTCCTTCGACTTGACGATGTCAGTAAAAGATGTCTGTGACAAAAAAATGTCCAGTTTTAGTAATACTTTTAGACGACTTGGTGCTGTGCGGGATGTTTCTTTTTTGATAAAAAAAAAACGTTTAAAATACGTTTTTTTTTATTTGTTTAAACATTCGTTTTCTCATAATTAATAAAATAATGCATTTATACAGATACTCTCTAAAAGTGAATCAGTATATTATCACTAAAAACAGTAAATAGATTTACTGATACAGTAGTTATAAATTATTATAGCATTGTAAATCAATAATATGCCACTGAAAGAATTAGTAATATTGACTTTTTTAATCGGTAATATTAGATTATAATTTATCTATTTCAAATAAAATTAAAATTTTTATTTATATTTACATGCATGAAAATGCTTAAAGATGATAATTTATTTTACATCTAAAATAGATAATGAACGGATCATTTTTATTTATTCGCCGGACATTTACTTGTCCGACTTGTAACAAAAAAATAAGCGTTTCCGCTGGAAATCAATGAAATACTTATTCTTAGTGATTTTATTCATATATTTGTAAATAGAAATTAATAGTTTTCGTAATAATTATATACATACACACTTACACACACATATTTATATGTATGTGTGTATATGTATGTATATATAATTATATATAATTATATATAAGTATATATAATTTGAAATTAATTAAAAATTTGTTTTTATTTTGTCTATAGAAACGTGAAAAATACGTTTCCTTAAGTATGGTTTTAAAAACGTCTCCATAGAAACGTTTCCTATTAATACTTTACGGTTAAAAACATTGGACACGTATATAAAACGAACGTGTGCTATCTGTGTGTGGCTTCTGATGACAAGCAAAAGTGTCGACATCGCATTTTATCACAACAAAGTTGTTGCTCGACAATTTGTCATTCGCAGTGCAAAATCTTCATTCATATTCAGCACATCGCAACATTTGAAATAGCTCGAAAAAAATTTGATTTGCATTATAATATCGTATTGTATATGAGCAATAGATGATGCACGCGCGGCAACATGTAAAATGCATAGAAGAAATGTTACATTATCTCGAGTATTTGCCTTTCATCTGTCTCTCATCTATTTTTCAATGCGGTTAGATTCCTCGAGATTGGAACGACGCAATTTGAAAAATCTTTTCTCCTCGAAGGAAGAAGCGTATGATTCGCGTGTTTTTCAACTTTACTCAGTTTCTTCCTATTACTAAATACAACTATGTGGAAGAAATTTATTTATTGCAATAAAAAATTGTAAATTACGTTAATACTGCTTACATAGCTGCCCGTAAAATCCCTATCTACTTTCTCGAAATTTGAATTAAATTTCAGAGATATGTCACATATATAAGATTAAAAATATAGTGAGGAAGATTGAAAAGATTCTATGATGTAAAATCACAGTAGGAATATATGTAAAATGATCGATTAGAACTTAATTCAACCAAGTTCTAATTGACACTTCTACTTCTTTCTACTTCCGCTAATACATACTAATCGCATAATTCTGCCCCCATCTTTCCTCTTATTAAATAAGAGTACGCTAGAAGAAAGCAATACTCTATTTTTTGCCGATTTAAAGCTATACCGTTGCAGGTTTATAGTATACGAATGTGCGCCTCAAATATAATTTGATTTTAGTAGCTCCGATATATCACATGATGAAGGAAGGAACGACAGTAGAAAGGAAGAATATATAAAAAAAACAGCGCCTTGGAACATTCATTTGTTTTCCGCTTCCGTGGCCGCGTTTACGCTCTTCCGCGATCTTATACTCGATCTTTGTATCATGCTGCTCCTCAAGGTTTCTCCGCGGGTGGACGCTCTCATCGAACTTCGTAGACTGCTGCGTTCGAATGATCGGAAGATGGCCACCGGTGGCACTTCGACGTCTGCAGGCTTTTTCCTAAAAAAAAAAATACATATGAATATGATATCTTTTTCAGAGAAAAAAGTCTATTATTTTCTACTACAACTGCTACTAAAATTATATTGCACTTAATTAAAAGGAGAGAGAAAATAGAGAAAAAATATGTCAAGTTTGAAATAAATAAAAGAGAGATAGAAGAAAAATGTTTCACGAAATATAATGTAAATGATATTTTTACACACATGTATTTAATTAATGTGAAAAAAATGTGATACTTACTTCGAGAGACACGGCATATCCCACAACTTTTGATCTTTTCCGAAATCCTCGCCATCCTGCAAGGTTTGCGGCAAATCTTTATCCAGCGTCTCCGGTAACAGGAGTGTCAGGAGACCGCCCAGGATTCCCATAGTGCCCAGAACCAATAATGGAAGAATGGAAGAGACAATGTCCAAGTAAACGACAAAGGGTGCGAGGATACTAGCGACATATCCCATTATATGAATCAAGGCAACCCCTTGTGCCCTTACAACTGTTGGCAACACTTCAGCCGCATATTGAAGACCGATATTATACGAGATGTTGACCCAGAATCGGCCAACAATCGCTAGGGTGGCCGAATAAATATCTGAAACGTTCAATTAAAACGAAAGAGATTATATGAATTGCAACATAATAGCCTGAAAAAGATATGTGAATATAATTCTTGAAGTCTATATCTTTGGTGCACCTGTAATAATATTATAATTTTATAATTTCTATACTTATACTTGTTGAAATCAAAAGTTTTTAATTAAATAATATATAATTATAATATATAATTATAATTATAATGTATATATAGCGGAAAGAGAAGAATTAATGTGTCCACTCACTGTTTGAAACCGCACTCGCCCAAATGCTGAAAATTCCGGAAATTACCATAGTACCGCAGGCCAACCATCGCCTACCCCATCGATCCAAAACGAGGGTAAGGAACGTATCGGCGGGTAGTTCGGTAAATGCCGCGATGGTAAATGTCATGAAGACATCTAGTCCGAGATTATTTACGTTTCTAACGTGACCATCGAATACCAGCGATATCGCCATCCTGCAATTGTAAGATATGAATAAAATGCAGATTTACTTTCTGTCGAGCATCTATTATTTTATCCGACATATTGGCATTTAAAATTTTTTATTATATATTTTATAATCGCATAGCATTTAATCTTGACATAAATTTTATTTCATAAGCGGAAGAAATATTTTCATCGATGCTCACCAGATGAGAATGAGGAGGATCGTAATGTTTCGCAAGCGTGGGCTCCTAAATAAATCCACTACAGAATAAGTTTTGTCCGCTTCCTGTTCCTTGCACACTCTGGCGCAAGTTTCCTGTTACATCGACATACATTCGTAAATTTTTATCATTAAATTCGACAACAAGCTTTCTCCGAAAGCGAGAAAAAGGTGGCAATAAACGTGCGATTCTTACGCGGAATTGTTGATAGACGTTGTCGGGCACTTTCGTGCCGTTCATGCGTTCGAATTTACCCAGGATCTTGATGGCTTTCTCCACTTGACCTTGGCTGACAAGCCACCTCGCGCTCTCAGGCACCAACCAAGGAGCCGCTACTGCCAGAACCAGAGGAACGGATATGGCGATGCAGGTCATCCTCCAGTCGGCCAGAAAATATGCGATCCACGGTAAGACGCAGGCGGCGAACGTGAAGAAGAGAGCTATCGACATGTTCGCCACAAAGGTACGCCATTTTGGTCCTACATATTCCAACACTAAAAAGACACACTATTCTAAATATCGACATTTGCAAAGCAAATCAATATTGATTTAAGTATAGAGTCTTAGTTAAAAATAATAACAATTTTAAAAATTAAAATTGTCTGTGAAACAATTTTAATTTTTGAAATAATTTCTAAATATTGACATTCGCGAAGTAAATCAATATTGATTTAAGTACAGAGTCTTAGTTAAAATAATAACAATTTTAAAAATTAAAATTGTCTGTAAAATAATTTTACAACCTTACAAACAATTTTAAAAATTAAAGTTGTCTGTAAAAATTAAATTGTCATGAATTATAAAAAAATGAATTATCAAAAAATTATCAAAAATAATTGTCAAAAATATGTCAAAAATAAAACAATCATGTGATTATCATGTTAAAATAATCATATAATTATCAAAAATTTATATATATATATATATGTGATATCCTTTTTACATAATAATTTATTTTTCAACTGAATGTCATGTTAATCGCGTTTTCAGCAAACACTTTAAAGTCCTAATAAACTTGATAAACCGCGCAGGATATCTAATAGTTGGGGCAAACTTTTCATTACATCAATAGTCTAACATGTCTCTTTTATCATCTTCATTGTGCAATAATAAGCGCTCCGATAGCGAACTTGAAGTAGCAATATCGCTTCCTGTTTATTAGAAAGATGACATATTACATCGCTGACAGTATCGTAATTAGATCAACTAGGACTGATCATTTTTTTAATGCGCTACCTTCGCGGATCGTCCATCTGTGAAGCGTAAAATTATCGGTGAACCTAGGCGTATCTAGCCGTTCAACCAAGGTTACGAGGCAATATAAACAAATTTCAAAATGCGCTAATTGCATATACCTCTTGAATAATTTTGTAAATTTACACGATATATGAGTGCATACTTCTGATTTTTAAATTTTTTCCGCAAGTATTATGTAACAATTAATTAATATATTTTGTTTTTTCTTCTTTGAAAAAGAAGAGCAAATTGTCATGAGTTGCAAAGCTCCGACGTCGATGATTGTAGTGATCGCACGATAGGCACTAAAACCCGACTAAATGTCAGCGAATGTAACCAATCAAACGATCCTTTCACGTGCCGCCAGCAATCCTTTAATATAATAGCACGCTTCTGATATTGGCAATAATAGCATGCTTCTACCTTTCGACTGCGAAATCGGCGAAACGGAATTGACAGAAGGCGCGAGTGCGATAACCGTGACTACCATGAGTCAAACTCTGGACAAGCTTGACCTGAAAACTGAATCGAGTGATTGGAATCGGCTATGATTCGCGATAGTCGAAAATTTAGGATACAATTGTCCGCATTAGATTGCCAGTTCGTCAAGGCTAAGTGAAAATCCCATATCTTTCTTTAGAAATGCAATATATGCGTGCATACAAGCATGCGATGTGCGAATCAAAGTTGAATTTCAATTCTCTTATGATAATGTGAGAGACTTCGTCACATTTTTATCAATTTAATTGCAATTCCCTTGAAATAACGACGATCATCGCGCTTATAGATTACGAATCTCTGATGGGGTTAAGGTTGACGTAACGGTTTGATGAATACGCAAGGAAAATGTGTCTCTCTATCACAAGGCATTGTTCTTAAAATTGGAATATGAGAAATATTCGCTTTGAATGGGAACGCGCGTAGAGTTTTCATCGCAACTTTTTCTTTATAATCGTTGATTTCATGACAAACTCGTTAAAACAGCGAGAAATGATTCTAAAAGTTTAATTGATTTTGATTCTAAAATTCTGCTAATTTCATTTGACGATAATAGAATATCGTTATATTTAAGATAGGTTTCAAGTAGTGCGATCTATTGACAATCGAAGCGGCAATTATATTCGCATTATTGTATTTAAATAGTCATGCTAATAAAATATTGTGAGTGAATCATAATTAATCCTTTATCGCTTCTTTACGTTTTTTCTAATTAATATTCATATCCGAATAAAATGCAAGCGCAAAAAGGGGAAATCTTCGCATGCTGGATTAATAATTAGCCAATTATTTTTGACGAGGTCATTATCATTGCCGTAATTCTATAATCATAACTGATGACACAACTTTTATTATTTAATCTTATCCTTTCAAACACATATGTGTCGCAAGACACGTTTCACGATGAACACGTATGTATCTTCAAAACAGTAAATTCCATAAGAAAGAAATTACTTATCGCTAATAAAAGAAATCTTTTTTAAATAGAAGGAAATTTTTTTAACTATTTCTTCTACAAAGAACCTACGCGCGAATATGCATCATATATATACCTAATATGTACATCATGGTGAAGCAATTATCGAAGGCGAAGCCGACGAAGAACCGGCACAGCGCAAACTCCCAGAAACTGTTGGCCAGCACAGTCGCGACTCCTGCTAGAAATCCGGTGATATTGGCACCGACCAACGCCGGTATTCTACCGTATCTGTCAGCGATCCATCCGAACAAAAGGCCGCCGAAGATCGCGCCGACGAAGAAGACGCTCTGGGCGGTCGTGGGCAACGCGCTCTGCTCGCACACCCATCCTAGCTGCAACGGAGACACGAATAATTAATTTCTCGAGAGTCAACAGAGAGTACCATCGCTATATAAGTCTATAAATTTCCGAGAGCTTAAAATGTAACTGTGCGAGAATTAACGCATTAGGGGAAGCGCGAGAAGATTTAATTTTTTACAAAAAAAAAACAGCGAACAATTCTTTTACCCACTTGACGATATAATTCCGTTTTAAATGGATTTGATAAATGTGAAAAGATTGCTTTATTATTTGAATCTAAATTAAAGCGATTTCTCTTATATTAAAATTTTATATTAAAATTTTATAGTAAAATGTATCTCAGAATCTCTTTAGAATTTCCTTAAAATCTCTTCTCAGGATCTTTTTATGTATTGCATTTAATTCATTTTGCAGCGCATTCACAATATATAATAGTAATGTGTTGTAATATATTATGATAGTATAGAATGTCTCAAAATTATCGGATGTCCTTTTAACAACCAATTTTCTAGCCAATTTAAAGGTGATTTTTTTTAACGAAAATATCGAGGCATAGTTTCCGAGTTACACACAAAAAGCAAAGCTTTTCTCAAACACTATTTTGTAGGAGGAATTTTGTAAAAGGTTTTACAAAATTTATTTTAATAAGATTTTACTTTGAGGGTTATTATAATTATTATAAATATATATATATATATATATATATATATATATATATATATATAACATGATAAACTTGGAAAGAATGATTTCGATATTTTTGCTAAGAACAAATTGATTCCACATTAATCAATTTAATCTACTAAATTCTAGGATTTATGTGGATATAACATTTTTCCGATTGTCACAAATGCTTATTTATTACATCTTGATCAGATTTATCATAATTTATTGCCATTCATTACTTGCCTACGCGATACAATTACTTCAAAATATGTTCCAATAATGTCGCGAATGCGTTTAATGAAAAGGTCGGGAAAGAGAAATGTCATTTCTTATCCCGGTGATTCTTCACAAGTTATCAATTTTCGTTTTTTGATCCGTGAGCCTTTTTATCCTTACCTCAGTTGCCACGGTTTCGTAAGGTATGTCGGTGAAATTGAACTCCCAACCATGCGAACAACCCTTCGTCGGCCAGCTTGGATCTGCATCTCTGATCCCGTTTAAAATTATTTCTGTATAATTTACATCGTACATGGTGCACTTGGAATGACCATTCTCGTCGACAGGTATCGCCAATGCAATCCTGAAAAAGTGAGCGAAAAAAAATTAGAACAATAAAATTAATGTAGGTTTCTGATAAGACAGTTCGATATAATAAGAAATGTTCCAGTAAAATGTTAAATGTTGATCACGAATAAATGTCAAGCTTTATAGGATCCTGACAGGAAGTTGAAAATGATGCCAGCAATGAAAAAGGCATATAAAGGTCTCTAATTATCGGTGCGTGCACACCTTCGATTAATAACGCACGTAATCTGACCTTTACAAGACTTACACAAACGAATAAACGCATTCGACATCGATTGCAACGCACGTACGACTTTTTTCATCCTTGATTCGCGCGAGAGCGTCTCCACTCACGAGTCCAGTAACTAACTGCGCAAGAATGTTGAAGTTACAGATCGTATGTGTAAAATTGTATATCTCTCATCGAGAAAAAAATCGTCTCTCTTTCAAAACCGTATCTTTCAATATATATTATTCAAAAATATTTGTAATAATTTTTCAAAAAAACTTATAATAATAGAAATATCGTATAATTTCTTTTTCTTATATAAAAAAATTTCTTCTTTTTTATGTACATACAAAATATAAGACTTTCTCGACAAATTTTGAATTTGTGAATTTTTGTACAATTTAAAATCAGTTTAAAAAAGAAGTACTCTGCGAGATATAAATAGTTATTAATTACGAATGATAAAAAAAAACCTGTCCACTTTTTTACGAAGCAAGCTTCAAGGATGCGAATGTAAAACTGCATGTATTCTTCATTTATCTTCGAATGAAGGTATTTTTAAAATTTAAGCTTAAATCATTAAGCTTATTATTTAATAAATTATTTAATTAAAACTTATAAAATAAATAAAAAAAGATAGCATCTATTCTAATTAAAGTTCTGTTAACAAGAATTTTTAATTTCTCAGAGAGTTTATAGAGAAACTTCGCGAATTCGTCAAAATAGAACGCGAAACATTCCTTACAATAAAATATTGCACAAGCGTTGCATTTCACGCCCGAAATAAATACAACTTTCGAATAACTTTTGCAAACTCTATCGTATGTTACAATGGCGCTATTATTCAGTATAGATTGAAATACACACAGAGAAAAATGTATACTGTATTCAAATAAATATTATTTATTTTAAGTATATCATAAGTTTGTATATCCGCAAATATATCGTAAGTTTACCACAAGCATTCAATTTAATTGAATATATTCTGAATTTTAGTAAGTGCAATATTTTAGTCAAGAATATTAAATTAAAACAAAAATTTGGTTTGCTTACTACAAGAGTTGACATAAAGTAAGTTTGATTTTTCTTTGATACAATGTTACAATATTCTTGAAGAGAAAATAAATTCTTCTTTTGAGTACATGATAATGAGATTTTCTAACACTTGTGATGAGTATATTTTAAGATTATTATCAAGAATATATTCTTTATTGACGAAAACTATTACATAAAAAAAGAAAAATAAACTGAGTAATCGCTTTTCTTGGCAGTAGAATGATATTTTTCTCAGGAACATCCTACATGTATAAAGTATGCATTTCTTGTCTTTGACGTGTAATCACGTGTGGCTTTAGCTTATGTCGAAAGATTTGCACAAATATTTCTCGCGTTCACGCTCTCATTGCTTATACGAAGGTTTCGAACGAATTTATTATCCTATATTATTATGCATTATTCCATCCAGCAGCTGGACGTCATATGCTTCGAAAGGAAAATGTATTTTCCTTATTGATATTCAATTCTCACTAATAGTTAATAATTTTTGCAGTAAATATCGAAGATATATATCGTCGTAAAGTATCATAAGGCTGAAAGAGTTTTACGAGCGACACATAAGAATGTATTTCAGAAAAGCAATGCATGTATTTTAGAAAAAGAATAAATGTATTTTAGAAAAACAAAATTTATAAAAAGTAGTTATTTTTATTTAATTGTTTGGTCATTTTTAGTTTCTAAATTATCTGTAATTTGCATAACTCATAATTGTGTAAACTCATTAAATATTCTCTTCGCTAATTTTCATTCATTAGAAGAGGAACGTCGCGATTGTTATAAAAATTATTTTTTAATTTTATTTACCTCAAGTACCACTTAATGCAAATATATTATAACAATGAATTCATTAATTATGCAAATTAATGAGTAAAGCGTCACGTACTGACTACTTGGTTTTAAAAACAATCAAAACGTCACGTTGTTGCAATATATTATCATATTGACGTTTATATATTTCTTATGAGTGTCTTTTTGCATAAATATTGTTCTCAGCCGGTCATTTATCTCTATAATACATATTATTATCTCTATAATACATATTCTGACGTCAGAAGACTATTAAATCGGACGTAGGATTTACTGCAACACGTGAGTTTCATCGTGCAATCGAATTGTAACTGCGAAGGTCTCGCCACGTGTGTCGAATTATTTTCACACTTTCCCTGGCTGATATCTCGCGCTTTGCAGTTTCCATGCGACCAAGATGAAAAGAAAAAAATGCTCACATTGACGACGACGTGGCCGCGAGGAAGATCGACGATAACGCCGAGAATAGCAAACATGTGTGTGTCGTATTGTTTAATTTTTTTTTATATGTTTATTAACGCAAGAGAGCAAAAAGAAGTCTGTTTATTCGAAGTGCAACCTAACGTTAGGAACACTTTTACAAGTTATTAACATGCAGCTATATTTCTCATGAATTTTATAGATCTTTTCAATCAAATTTACATATCTTGCAGCAATTATTACGAACAACTTATATAAATGCGAATATTGCATATGTAAATGTTATCTTTTTACGTTTTTTTTTTATTTAAACTTACAGGTATTTCTGTAATTAATTTTTTTCATAAGGAAAGGCGGTATTTTTCAAAGAGAAAATAATTCTAAATAAGTTAAATGTAAATTATATAATACATAATTTATATACGTTATCGCACAATATATATATATATATATATATATATATATATATATATAAATTTAATTTTTTATTATAAAGTCTTGCTGAATCTTTCAAAACAAATAAAGTAAAATGCAATAGATAGGGAATCATCTTATCATGGATAATCGGAATGTTAGGAAAATGTCTGTGTGTGCACAGACAATTATAACAGACTGGAATACAATCTCTTGAAGCCTCCTCTCTAATCCTTCTAATATCTATTGTAAACGGTACAACGAGACTCGTAGATTACTGCAACCGCGTTCCAAGATGTAATCAAAACGTCAAAGTAAGCAATAAATAAAGTAAACGATTCTTTACTTAACATCTTATCGTGCTACAAATGTTTCTTTTAAAAAAAAAAAGAGATAAGCAGAGGAAGAGAATATTAATTGTAATGAGAAATACATGCTGCAGATATAATTTAGCTGCCATCATGATAAAATAGTGACAGCTGAAGTGTTTCTTGTATGAAAATTCTTGCAGAACTAAGAATTTTCAATTAATATTGTCAATAAAATTGTTCTCTCTCTAGAAATATCCTATCCTAACGGTTCTTCATCTTCGCTGGAAGCGGAAGCTCAACGATTTGCATATCCTACCTCTCTTCGACAGTGAGATTCTCCAACTCGGGTACGCGGCACCAGTGTTCCTCCGGCACAAGCGTGATAAATATCTGCGAGAAGTACACCCAGGCGACGAAGAAGGCGAACGGTATCATCAGCACGAACAGGATCCTCTGATAGGTACCGAATTCGCCGATGTGCGGCAACAGGTCATCGAAGTCTATATCCTTGGGCCGCTCCGGATCATCCTCCTGGTCGCCGCTCTTGAGGCCATTCTTCATCGGAAATCCGGCCTCGGACGAGGCCGAGGCCGACAGTCCGTCAGGACTCGCGTCCTTAGAGGATAGATCCCCGAGGACTCTGCCATCAGCCGTGGGGAGTTTCTCCTGCGGTGGCATCTCGCTTTCGGTCGAGATCTCCGAAGCTCCCCGTGAGAAGAGAGGAGGCAACACTTTCTTCACACGGCGACCGCTGCGACGACTCGACTCCAGCCTTCAGGGATGCTGCGCCGCAGTTTCAAGATCGAGATGATGCCCGACCGCGCGCGATCTCGACTTATTTAAAGGCGCGCTCCTCTCAACTTTCCTCGACGATGACGGGAAGCGCTCGCAAAAAATCTCTTACGTCCCGTAAAACATGTTGAAGTTCCCTATCGCCGCATGTGATGAAACAAATCGTTATCGTCTTGCGCGTTATTATTTCTTCGAGCGCTCGCCGCGATAATTGAACCGGCAAGGTTGATCGGCTGAACGGTCGGTTGATCAGTCTTAATTAAGCGGCCGCGGACATGATGAGAGTATATCGCGCGACGAAGGCTCGGAGGAATATATCGAGGCTAATCCGAGGAAAAGAAAAAAAAAGCGGGTTAATCCTGAGACGAGAGACAACGACTGGAACGATTTGTTGCGTCCGTAGCTAGCTATATAAGCATCGATCGTAGGGTATATCCCCTCTCTTTTTCTCTCTTCTCTCTCTCTGTCTCTTTGCTGCTGCTACTGAACACAATTCAATGTTCTCCAAGTGGCATTGAACGCGCCACGGATCACATCGATCGCCCTCGTCCACTGGCCATCGTTGCTCGAACCACTGGCGTTGGCCTCTTCTCTTTTCTAGCGACGCGCACATCCTATACGACGCAGACACTCGATGGATATATTTGGATATCGATTGGATATTCAGGTTTACTAATGCGCACAATATTAATTAAAAAAGTCTTTTAGTTGTAAAACTTTTCGCGCGAAATTATATAGCTAGTCGTAATCATTTTTTTTTCTATTTTTATTATAAGACTGCACTTATAGGGTAATCTCATTTTGAACACTCTAGAAAACAGAGAATACATAATGTGCAATACATAATATAAAATGTTATAGATATCAACACATGTATGTACATATTGATATATACATATATATTAATAAGATATAAACATATTAATCACGAATGTTTATGCTTCTTTATTAAGTTCGGTCTTTTTATAAAAAATCTGTAATATCTATAAGTATAAAAAAATACATATAAAATAATATATTATGACATGATTTATGAAATAATAATTATAAATGCTGATATTATGCGGAAAAAGATTGCAAACATATATTTAAAAAACGGAAACACAAAAGCTTTTAATGTATCAAATATAAATTTAAATTTTTAATAATAATTTTCAGATAAAGATTTAATTAGAATTTTCATTAAAGAGAGAAATTAATTTTAAAACGCAAACATTATAAAAATAAATGCGAGCAAACTATAAACATTATAATGATTAATTATATGTGATCGAGTTGTTTTTTCTTAATTATTCTTCTCTGCCTTTAGCCTGGCAGAGATAAGAGAATATACAGAATAATACAAATTTGCATAAAAACAGTCTGAAAAAACAGCATCAATTATATATATATAAATATATATTGCATATGCATATGTATATTATATAAATTATTTGATTATGCGAAATTTGTGTGTGTGCAAAATTCCATTTGATATAAATACGAATAATATTGCGTAATGGCGCTGTCTGACTCACTAAATCAATTAATAATTAAATTGGTTAAAAAAATATATATATATATAATTAAAATAAAAATTATTAAAAAAAAAAATATATATATATATATATATATATATATATATAATTCCAGTACTACTATATGTGTGTTTGTATCAATAAAATATGTATATACACACCTGGAATTATAAAGTAATTGACCTGGTGAGTCAGATAGCGTTTACGCCATCATGTTACCACGAGATTTCTCCCATTTATATTTAATCAACGTTCATCTGATCGAGTGAAGATTGGTATATACATGATTTGTATATATTTCAACATGTTTTTAAAGCGCATCTTATTAGTTTATTCTTTAATAGACGATAATAGAGGGAAAAAATACAAAATGATATTATCTGTACAATTGTCGCGGTATTTTTCGAGATTGCCAAGAACAAACTTGTTTATCATGAAATCATAATTATCTTTAATTAGGCAATAATAATCATTAATATATAGCTATCTGCCGTGATATGACAGATAAAATGGCATGATTACAAGAAATATCGTGTTATGAAACTTTTACTTTTATTACGATTAACTCTTTGTCTTTATAATTGTAATTTATATGCTAAAATCTTATACACTATACTATATTTATCAGTATATAAAACTCGATTTCCAATTATTCAATATTCCAAGTTATCGTAATATTATAAAAAATATTAAAAAGTTGATTAAAAATCATTTATAATATTATATCTAGTAGTACACTGAAAATATCAGAAAATAAATCTTTTAAGAATTTTATATATGTATATATATAATATAAATATAATATAAAACTTTTCGAAATGGTAACAATTCTAAATAGGAATATAATATATATAATTATCAATTAAAATAAAATCACATTTACGATAATAAATAAATTTATATAAATTTATTTAAATCGTAAATAAATCATAAAATTTAAATTATTTGTCGCATCTACCGAAAGTAAAATTGAAACATTAAATATTTTTTTTTACTCATCTATTTTCGCAAATAGCAATTATGCGATTTGATTATTATTTGCTTTTATCAAATAGATTAATCATTAGCATTTTATAAATTCTATAATTCGAGCCTATATGTCACGCCTATGAGTCATTGTGCATATGTAATTAATTCTATACTCTGGAAATATTCTATACTCGTGAATGTATATCAGTGCTACAAAAAACGCGTGATTGTACATTTTTAGATACAGTTCTAGATCTAATCTTGCAGTTTTCACGGACTCTCCTTCCATATCGTATTTATATAATCTCGAGGCTTGGAGATCTACAGAGAAGATATTACATAATGTTTCGCACCCTGTTCTTATTCAGAAAAGCATACATATAATCGTTTACATAATTATTTGCATTAACATAATGTAACAATTTAAATTATCGTATTATTATATTAATTGTAATTGTAAAATAAGTTGATATATTTATTTGCTGCCATAATACTTTTGTTACTACATAATGTTGAATTAATCTAATAAAAAATATTATAAAATGTAGCGACTGTTTCAAGTCAATTATAATGCAAATTGCGCAATTTTAAAAATTTCTTGGAACATTGCTTGCACTTTAGAATGTGTTGTGCAACAATGATTGTCATTAGTGCAGTAACGGGAATCATAAGGAGAAACATCTTATGCATTTATATTCCAAGAGGTTTTGCAATAAACATTGTAAGAACTTTCATGTGAAAAAATTTAATACAAATTGTTTTTATTTATACATTTCGTTTGTGATCGGTGTCACAAGAGATATTCAGTTGATAATACGATATTAACATAATACAACTGATACACGTAATTAGATTAGATAATTAAATGAATGGGAGGAGAAAAAAAAAAGAGGTGAATAAATACTTATTGTTAATCTTTGATGTAAGATATAGTGTTCCTTTTATGATGCTTTCTATTTGACATAGCTTGCATGAAAGATATCAAATAATTGAAGAATAAAAATAAATAAGAAAAAATATGATCTTTTTTTTCTTTTTAAAAATTATACATTTATTTTTTGAAAGCAAAATTTTTTTCATAAATGAGGAATTAAACTCTCATCCCAAAGCTGTTGAGTTTCTGATTCATCCAGTACCCTTCTAGAAATAAAAGTTGATTGATATTAGGATATATTCATTGAGAAATATTTACATTTACAGTAATAAGCTTACACAAGTATTATACATATAGTTTATTAAGTTTTATTATAAATGATAAAAAAAAATACCATTAATTGTTTATGTAAAAGTATTTTTGTCTTATGATTGAGCAAATTTTTAACATTTAAAATGTTTAAGATTTCTGTATCACACCCTATATTGTTAAGTACCCAGATTAATCAAATTTAATATCCTCGACTCACATATTTTTATAGATAAAAAAACATAAGAAATTAAAAAGTAATGTATTTGTATTGCATATATTATGTATTATTAAAAACAATGATTTATGATGACACAATATTCCAATTTAATGTTTCTTACATATAAGTCATCAATTGAAAATTAAAATACAAATAATGTCATATTTATTATCAATATTGATATATTATTATTTGTCCAGCGTATAATATGATTTCCTGAAAAATTAAAATAATTTTGTTACTAAATCTTTTTAATGCTGTAAACACTAGTTAGTTTAAATAAAATAAAATATTAAGAAATTTATTTAGAAAAATAGAGAAAGGAAAATCTATTTCAGATTGGAAAGTATAGCTTATATTAATATTTATCATATATTATTTACCTGAAGCTATGCGCTAATTTTCGTTTTTTCCTATAAATTATTGTCACCACTACTGTAATTCCTAATAATATAATAGTGCCTATGATAACTGCAACTAATGTTAACACATGATAATCTTAGAAAAAATTTATGTAATTGTGTATCAAAAAATGAATACTTACATAGTACTCTATATGTAGGTACTGATATATCTTTTGATCGTGTTCTAAGGCACTTTGTTAAATGAGATAAAGTACCATTAACTATTGGACAATTCAAATTAAGTATTTCACAAAATAGAGGAAATAAGTCTGTGTTATTAAAAGGTTCTAATTTACATCCTGGTACAAAAGCGGGTCCATTAGCAAAGAAAAAGGGATGCATCTCCATTGCTTCATTGTTGTAACCATGTAGTCCAAATTCCGTCTGATTGTTAACTAAAATTGAATATCATTCACTGTATTCCCATTCATCATTGCTATATACTAAATATTAAATAATAATATATTAATTATTAAAAATGATTACAATAATAAATATAGTAAACACAAAATATACCTGTAATATTAAATTTCTTTTTATAATATTCTATAGCATCGTAAAGATTTTGAAATGCATATCCAACTTCAGCTATAACAAAAATAGGCCCTACACGAGTGTTATTGCCATAATGATATTTTTTCGGAATGTCTTCTTTTTTATATACTTTGAATGTATTCGTTTGTTCTGCAGCAAACTTTAATTTCTGATAAATTAACTCCTCTTTTCCTATAAACAGAATATTTTGAAGAGGATATAATAACATGGAAATATTAATTTCTTAAATAATATTAATATAACAACTCATATATTATAAAACAACCTTACCATGATTTGGAAAAATATGTAATCCTGGAGATGTTCCTACAAATATGTAATCGCTAGCATTTATGTAATTTGATAGATTGATTATTCTTTCCATAGTAACTGATGCCATGCCATGATCGCTTAAGTGAATTACATTAAGATCTGTTAAGCCATAATGATTAATTTTATCATGCATGTATTTCGTAATATTGTCCAACTTTTTTAAAATTTCATTAAATTCATCACTGCTAATTCCTACAGTATGACCATGATAATCTGGTTCCTCAATGTACAATATCCCAAAATTTATTGGGTTTGTGGGATGTACAAACCATGATATTAATGTATCAACCCTGTCTTTCCATGGAATTGAATCATTAAATGACTGAAATATTCGATTGTTAATATAATTTCCATATTCTTATAAGATTTTTATATTTTTATAATGTAGTTTCATAATGTACACACCTGAGCAAAAGTTGGCGATGTTCCTTGATACTCAAATGCAGAACCTGGCCACATCATTGTGCCACTATGCCGGCCACTTTTTTCATTTATCGTCTATATACCATACATTAATAAAACATAAATTATATAAAAAAATATATTCAAAATGCAATATATAATAATAATGTGTCTGCGAAGCTGACACGACAATCTACGAATTTAAAAAAAATACTAAGAACTCTGATAACACTTTTCATAATTTTACAGTTCCTGATAAAAATTAAAAAGAATTCCGTATTCCTTATATTAAAAAATCGAAATCGAAAAAATGATGTACAACTTCACAAATTGAACACAACACCTTTCTCTCTAAAGTACTAAAACGCGTTCAATATCATTATTTTTAGCAAAAGTTTCTGATAGTTCTGTTCAACTTCAGCCTATATATACAATTTCAGATTGATATTCTAATAATTTTTAATCAATTTTTAATGTCCTTCACTCGTGAAAGTGAACTCGTTCACACCCGACAGTGAAAATGTGTGGATAATTTTCCATAGTTCTAACAGTTCTAATAGTTCTCGACAGTTCTATAAAAGTTCTATCATTTAAATACATCTTTATCTAAAATTCAGACCTCTTTTGAAACAATTTTTTACAATTACTCTAAGTAATTTTTTACAATTACTCTAAGTAATGTTTTACAATTACTCTTTTTACAATTATTTTAGCTCTAAAGTGCTAAAACATATTGAAAATAATTATTTTTGATAACAGAAATATGAGAAATGTTATCAAAAATAATTATTTTCAATATGTTTTAGTACTTTATAAATATTGGAATATCAATCTGAAATTGCATATATAGGCTGAAGTTAAACAGAACTATCAGGAACTCTTAATAAAAATAATGATATTCAATGCGTTTTAATACTTTAGAGAGAAGAATAGATGATGATAGATTTGTGAAGTTAGCACATCATTTTTTCGATTTTAATTTTTTAATATAAGGAATGCAAAACTCTTTTTAATTTTTATCAGGAACTGTAGAACTATAAAAAATGCTATCAGAGCTTTTAATATTTTTTTAAATTTGTAGATTGTCATGCTTACTTCACAGATAATAATTATTATTTCTCTACATACCCAAATAGGAAGAATGTTGTTATCATAATGATATAACTTGTGTGAATATTTTGTAACATTGTGAATATCAGGATCATAAAATTCGTTATCTACAACCCCATGTGTTTCCGCATATAATCCTGTTGCCATTGTATGATGATTGGGAAAAGTTTTGGTGACAAAAATGTTCATCATGTATTCCGCATGAGTGCCTTCTGCTTTTAATTGATTCATATACGGCGTTAGGTTTCTCTCAAAATAGTTGTACCTGTAAATGAAAAAAAATACAACATTTTTATAATATTTTTACCTTTATATGAAGGATATCTTATAAATGTCTTTCTTTTATTTGTTCACCTGAACGCATCGTATGAAACGACTAACAACTTTGGATGTGGAGACACAGGACCTGCCTGAGCGTTGAGCAAGAAGAAAAATAACGAAACAAATAGGGTTGTAGAAATCATGGTGATGCAACTTTTAGATGATTTACAAGAATGTCATTGAAAAAAAAGCAGATAAATTATCGTCCTAACATGATGAGAGCCACAGCAGAAATACCGTTCATGACTACGAGTACAATCTGTCAGTCTGTTAATCGACTGATCGTTACGGGTGAGTTAACTTTAGAAAAAATAATAACCACGAGCAATTAGCATTTGCCACTTGACAGAACTTGTTCTACAGTTCTAGGTTATGTTCGAAAATCTTTCGCGTGGAGGAAAGTGGCATTATATTGACCAATCAGGACAAAGGAACTTTATTGGTCAATTAAACGCTACTTTCCCCGGTAGGATTTTTGAACGCACCCCTAAGGCTAATATTACATTTGTCGTACGACAAATTTTTTAAGCTGATTGGCTGCGGAATAGAAAATTTTTAAAGATTCAAAAAATTATTATCCCGCAACCAATCAATGTGCTTAAAAAATTTGTCGTACGACAAATGTAATATTAGCCTAAAGGCGGTTATGTATGGTCGCACAACCATAAACTAATAAAATAATTAGACGGAATAATAAGATGGAATTTCACGAAGAAGATGAAACAAATATGTCAAATTATGCCAGATGATCGATGGTTCGATAAACTTCTGCGACGTGGTTTCGTTTCTTGAATTGTCTTGAATCAGCTGAAATCAAGGTCAAATGTCACATAGAATAATTTCATAAATTTACGAGTTTCTACTCGTTAATAAATGCTACGATTCTTAGTTAATGCTCTCCTTCAGTTTAAAGTTGCAGAAACAGATAAGGCCTTTTCACACCAATAAATTATTTGTTTCGCACACGAAAAGGAAATATAGCAAAATGGTGAAATATTTGAATCAATCGGAGGCTATTAACATTGATAAAGATTTATTCGAAAGATACAAATTCAGCGTTGATCAATTGATGGAATTGGCTGGACAAAGTTGTGCTATTGCAATCGCAAAATCGTATCCGTTGTTGGGAAACTCGAATAAAGTGCTGGTATGTTGTGGGCCAGGCAACAACGGTGGTGATGGCCTTGTCTGTGCCAGACACTTGAAACATTTTGGATATTCACCAGAAATTTATTATCCGAAACGAACAAGTAATTTATTATATGAAAGACTGTTACATCAATGCGTCGAGAATGATATACCTATACTAAAAAATCAATATATAGAGAAAGCAACCGATCCGACAATTTTGCAGAAGTATTCAATTGTAATAGATGCTCTGCTTGGATTCAGTTTCAAACCACCAGTGAGAGAACCATTTGTATGCATCATTAATATGTTAAAAAATACAACCATTCCTATTTGCAGTATAGATATACCCTCAGGCTGGGATGTTGAGAATGGCCCACCAGAAGAAGGTGGCATAAAACCACAAATGTTAATATCTTTAACGGCACCAAAGATGTGTGCATCTAAATTTGAAGGAAGATTTCATTATTTGGGTGGACGATTCGTACCTGAGAAACTAGAGTTACAATATAATCTTAATTTACCAAAATATATTGGTACAGATCTTGTTGTTAAATTGCAAGATAATACAGAATAATTCATGCATTTAAATATCAAACTGTATATATAATTAATATATATTATTAAATATCTAAAGAATGATCTTAGATTAGAATGATTACAATTGAATACAATGTTTTCTAATTAATCTTTTTTATTATTGTACAATAAAGTTCCTTTTGCTTATAATATGTGTTTTTAAATTTATTTGTAAAGTTTTAAATGCAAAAAATATTTTTTGAAAAAAATACCATTAAATTTATGCTAAACTTAAATATTAAAAATATTATTTATTTAATGTAAGATTAATAATTTAATATAACTTAAATTAATAATTGTCTATTTAAATTTTGATTATGTAGTAGAAACAAGATAAGGGCTTCGTTATAAATTTCGATGAAAAAGCTGGAAATTAAAATCGTTGCGCGACACTCTGAAAAGAAAAATAAATAAATTGTCAAATGTCGATTTTAAAATATCGATCGAAGGTGTATTCCATTTGTAGCTATTTTCGCTCAGGATTCTTCTTTCTGATTGGTTCACCAAGGGCTTCGGAGTGAAAATAGCGTCAAACGGAGTGTACACTCCGCGACAACGATTCGTTCCTTGGTCCCTCTCGCGTGGCAAGGGGAGCGCCTCTAACCAATCAGCCACTGCCACGCTGCCAGCTGATTGGTCATTTCTACGCTCCCCTTGCCCCGCGAGAGAGGGGCCGTGGAACGAATCGTTGTCGCTCAGTGTACTTCTGCTTACTCCATCAAACGTTTTGAAGTGTCAAACGAAATGCACCCTGAACGTAGTCATATACGCGAGCTTGATGATGTCATGTTTGGAACTCACTTGAAGCGAGAGATAGAGATGCTAGAGAAAGAAAGAGAAAGAGAAGTTGATATTATTGGTTATTCCATTGCGTTGCCATGTCTGTAGAAGACATATATTTATAAAATAAATGAATTAATACATATAACGGTGTGTAAAAAAGTGCTATTGTATTTTGAAAGGGATTTAAATAGAAAGAAAAGAAAAGAAGATTGCATAAATTCACAATCTATAATATAGATAAGATTTTCCATCTTAACAGAGTTCATATTGTACATTGTAACCTTCATATTGTACCACAGAAAATCTCAGGATTATTTTACACTAAAAAAATGGTGTGTATAAAATTCCTAATTTTATGTATACCTAATTTTTGTATTTTATGCATTTCTAATTTTATGTAACTTATGAACAAAATTGTTTATGAAATATGTATATATATTTTTAAGGCACAAGAGGTTGAAGAAACTATGAAACGAATTCAGTCTCATAAAGGAGTAGTTGGAACGATAGTAGTAAATGCAGAAGGTACATGGGAGAATTTAAATGATTTATTTGTGAAGAAACTTTTATTATATCTATCAATTATATCTATTTTAGGTATTCCGATAAAGTCAACATTAGACAACACAACAACGGTTCAATATGCAGGCTTGATAAGCCAATTGTCAGACAAAGCTCGTTCTGTTGTGCGTGACTTGGATCCAACAAATGATTTAACTTTCTTGCGTATACGTAGCAAAAAACATGAGATTATGGTCGCGCCAGATAAGGAATTCATATTAATAGTAGTACAAAATCCAGTTGATTGATATTTAAAAGAAACAGAAATATATTTCAAATTTAAGATTTATTTCTTTGATTGTTAATCTATTCTATATGCTACATTTTAATATATTGAATTAGAAATTGAAAGAGTAATGTAACATGTAACACATAAATATTAATTTAATAAATTATGAGCTTTCATAGTGCTTTTTCTTTAGTGATATTTTATATTATTTTCAATTTGATAAAGATTGTGAATAAATGTTATAGTAATTATTTCTAACTTATTTATCTTTGTATTATTTATCACAATTACCAGTATGTCTTTTATTTATCTTACATATTGTATATCTTTTTTTATTTTATGATTTAATTTTAATATCGAGGTCATATTTTTATTATGGTTAATGTTATTTTATAAAAGTATACTAAAAATTTTACAATATAAAGAAATGAACAGAATGAAAATACAAAAAAAATTAAAAATTAAATAATTTGTTCTAAATGAATAAACAAAGAACAAAGTATATGTATTATCTTCAATTAGCTTATCAATCTTATCTATCAATTATTTTATCTAATATAATAAACACTAAAAGTAGTGTTCTAAAATATGTACCTTATATTTAATTCTATTTAATTATAATTTAATGTTACAAAAATACAAAATATTAATTAAAGTAGCAAAAACTTATTGAAGAGAAGTAACAAAAATATATAAATTCAGATATTTACAAATAAATAAGCATACAGTATATAAATTTATTGTTTGTTCTTTCAAAGTCATTAAATTTATTGTTTGTTCTTTCAAAGTCATTCATGATACTCCAATATAATTAAAACAATATATATATTAATAGAATAATATCAAATATTTATTTTTGTTTACTATTTTTTTTCATTTATTCTAAATTCTTGAAATATTGTGAGATACATTTCCAATTATATTAACATAAATAATATCATATAAATAAATGTCATATTATATAATATAATAATAATAATATAATATAATAGCACAGTATAATATTAAGTATATATAGTGCACATATATATAAATATATATATATAGGTGTAGTAAAATGTAGTAAGGTGTAGTAAAAAGAAATCCATTATTTTTGCATTAAATTGAAGGCTTTATTTAGCATAGTTAGAACGATCCGATTTAGGTCAAATATGCACCGTTTTGTTCGATAACTTGTTGCCATTTTGAAGGTAATTTCATTATGCCTCTCTCATAGAAACCCTCGTCCCTATTGGCAAAAAACTGGGACAGTCGATTTTCACAAGCTTCTCTTGAGGCGAATTTTTCACCAGCAAAATTATTCGCCATAGACAGGAACAGATGGTAATCACTTGGTGCCAGGTCCGGACTATAAGGTGGATGCATAAGAACCTCCCAACCAAGCTCCCGGAGCTTCTGGCGAGTTACAATCAATGTGTGTGGCCTGGCGTTGTCCTGATGGAACACAATTCCTCTCCTATTGGCCAAAGCTGGCCGCTTCTGGGCGATTTCTTCCTTCAGACGGTCCAATTGTTGACAGTACAGGTCCGAATTAAGAGTTTGACCGTAGGGGAGCAGCTCATAGTAGATGATTCCCTGCCAATCCCACCAAACACACAGTAAAACCTTCCTGACCGTCAATCCTGGCTTGGCCACCGTTTGCGCCGGCTCACCGCGATTCGACCACGACCGTTTTCGCTTGACGTTGTCGTAAGTGACCCACTTTTCATCACCAGTAACCATCCGCTTCAGAAATGGGTCGATTTTATTGCGATTCAGCAGCGATTCGCAGATGGAAATTCGGTCCATAAGGTTTTTTTGCGTTAACTCGTGTGGCACCCATACATCGAACTTCTTTTTGTATCCAGCCTTATTTAAGTGGTTCCAAACGGTTTTTTGTGCAATGTTTAGTTCCTGGGCAATCGAAACAGTGCTTACATGACGGTCGGACTCGACGATTTCCATTATTTTATCGACATTTTCGACAATTGGCCTTCCAGAGCGTGGTGCATCTTTGACATCAAAATTACCGGAACGGAATCGACGAAACCAAAATTGCGCGTGATTGGCTGTTACAGTATCAGGACCATAAACACTATTTACATTTTCAGTCGCCTGGCTTGCGTTTTCGCCTTTATCGAAGAAAAACTGTAAAATATGGCGTATTTTCTCTTTGCTGATGTCCATCTTTGTCCCACGCGCTTAAACAATACTGAGTCAAGCAATCACAAAACTGTCTCAGAAGTTTTTTTTAGTACGAAATCTTATTTTTCTAACGCCATGTAGTGTAACCCGATCGCATTTATACAACGCGAGATACAGATTACTAAAGCCATCTATTGGAAAAATAATGGATTTCTTTTTACTACACCTAATATATATACAGGGTGAGGCATCTAAAACAGGCCACCTGAATAACTCCGTTGGTAAGCCGAATACAAAAAAATTGTTCAGACAAAAGTTGTATGATTTCAAGGGGGACATATGATGGTGTCATTAGTTTAATCTTGAAGAGCCACCCGAAGGTCACGTGAAGTTTAGCTCCAACTTTTTAAATGGGACACCTTATATGCTTTTGCATATTCTTGTAGCTCATCTCAAGAGCTTTCCAAAACACTACAATTATGTTAGTTTTCATTAAATACTTTCCAAGTTATGAGGCTTGAAATTATTTTTTAATTTTACATAAACCGTAAAATATCTTGTAAAATATTCATTTTTCGATTATTTTACCTTAATACTTTTATGTACAAAATAATGAGAAGAATCAATTGGTGTAAAGAAAACACATAATTGCTTCGAACAAAAAAATGTAATTTGCAATTAACAATTACATTTTTTTGTTCGAAGCAATTATGTGTTTTCTTTACACCAATTGATTCTTCTCATTATTTTGTACATAAAAGTATTAAGGTAAAATAATCGAAAAATGAATATTTTACAAGATATTTTACGGTTTATGTAAAATTAAAAAATGATTTCAAGCCTCATAACTTGGAAAGTATTTAATGAAAACTAACATAATTGTAGTGTTTTGGAAAGCTCTTGAGATGAGCTACAAGAATATGCAAAAGCATATAAAGTGTCCCATTTAAAAAGTTGGAGCTGACCTTCACGTGATCTTCGGGTGGCTCTTCAAGATTAAACTAATGACATCATCATATGTCCCCCTTGAAACCATACAACTTTCGTCTGAACAATTTTTTTGTATTCGGCTTACCAACAGAGTTATTCAGGTGGCCTGTTTTAGATGCCTCATCCTGTATATATACACATAAACATATACATATATATATATATATATATATATATATGTATATGTATATAGTATATATAGTATATATATTACAGAATAGTACAATATATTATATTACATATATTATGCTAGTATAATATTCTGAGTTTATATACATTATTTGTTGAAGAATGTTTCCTCAGAAATGTTATATGTCCTTTGCAACATATATACATGCAGTCCTGCACAAATATTTTGTGCACAGTCTTCTTAAAATTACAGTCTAAAAATGCTGTATGATTAAAATGGCTTTGTTCATTTTGTAAAATCTTTGAAAATTCAGCTGTACTAAAACTATTATACATAATAGTGAGATATTCCTTTCATTATAAAATTATCATAAGACTTTATAAAAATCACAATACAAGATCAGTCACACATTGTATAGTTCATTATTTTCTGACCTTTTGAATAAGAAATAGGTAAAAATTACATCATCTACAATGGTGTCTCTTCAGTATTTATTATTGTATGTATAGATAATTGAATTGATATTTGGAGAGATATTAAGCTCCTTAATAGTAATACAGAAATAATACAGAAACATTGCCACCATTCCCAGAAAAAAAGAGACAATATAAATAATAACCAATATATAAAAATACCAATCACTAACTGCAAGAAGACAATTAATTATACACAAGAAACTTGATACGAAACTTTTCAAAAAGGACAAAAAGTAGAAACATCAATATTCGAAAATTGCATCATTGTTCGCATTATTGAAATATATGAAATAATAAACCATACCAATAATTGAGGCAAATAATACAGAATAAATGCGTTCTTTTGGCATTGAAGGTTTCATATGAGGTGAAAGGTTGTAAATTCGACAAAATTCTAATATTCCTGTGAAATCAGACAAAATCCCTATTGTCATAGCTATACAATATATTATGCAACAAATTATGACATATATAGGCCAGAGGCTTGCAAGAACACTGAGCGATAAAATTCTTGCCACTACAATTATAATGATAATTTCTATAAATTTTTTTTTTTAATATTTTTATAGTATAGCCAAAAATTTAATATATTAATTATATATCTGTAATGCAAAAGACTCATAAAAATTGTAAAAAAATTTTCATATTCATATTATTTTCTCAAGTTAATCGAATGCTACGATGATATAACTAGCCATTGCCCAACACATGCTCACAAGTGAACTGACAACACTAGCTGCTTGATGAACTGGAAAATAATATAAAAGCAAATTAAAAAAATTAAATAAAAAATTATATAAATTATACATATGTATGAATATGTGCGTATGTAAACAATTATATAAAATATTTAATAATTTTTTTGAATTTGTAATATGTGGTAATGTCTAATTCTATATCATTTCTCAATTTACACGAGAACCTATATGTAGCAGTAAACTTGGAAATATAACATTATATAAATGGCAGTAAACTAGTAGAAATAATATCAAAAATATTCTTGACACAAGAATTTTTTTTCTCTATATTAGATATTACTAATTACTCTATACTTTGTGATTTATAAGATACAGAAACATTAAAATTTATTAATACTCAAGATAATATATAAGTACATTCAAGATTAATCTCGTTATCAGACTTATTATAAGACATTAATATTAGAATTAGTTGCAAAATTTGTTGAGGTGCAGCTTCCAAGTAACATTCAAGTATCCTTAGGAATACAATATCTTGATATTTTCTGAGCATCTCTGAATAATACCGTTTTTCATCTGCATCGTCCCCATCTTTCTTACATTTATGCACTCTTAATGCATCCTTTGAAGTTTCCCAATAATAAACAACTGGTACTAATTTCAAAGGAATAGCAATCATAAAAAATAATGCCTTTTTGATTATTAAATTCAATCTCTTACAACAATCATCACTTGTAGCCAGGGATTCTTCTGTCAAGGAACATGATTATATATTTATAATGTAACTAATATAATTGAATTAGCTAAAGTTAATCGAATTACAAACGAATTTATTCTACTTCACTTCTTTATCTTGTTTTTGCATCCGTCTATTAACTAAAACAGTTATCAGAGAAGGAATTAGGATAAAGTAAATTGAAACTTGTGATTTTGCCATTCAAAAGGTATCGAATAGCGATGTTATAATCGAAACACATATTTATAATTTACATAACTAGCGAAAAACGCAGAAAGAAAATGTCCAATTGTTTTATGCAAATTTTCTTGTTTCTTCTGGTATCCATTTCTCTTAAAATATAAAACACCACAAAATTTTACTTGTGCGTTGTGACACTTTCTATGCTATTCTAGTTTTCTTTGTAACTTAACTTATGTTGTTTTGAAGGACGTTTTTTCATGCACGTGTTTCACAAAAGACGGTGAAATAAAGGGATACGCGAAATTATTAATGCGCATGCTCGGAAAAATACAAAATAAATATCTATCTATATAATATGTAATCTGTCAAAATACGTTATTTGTCAGCTGCGATATATACAGAATAATTATTTCGCAAATCGCATCAATTATAATATTCCTTCATAAGAATGTTGACTGTTCATTGATCTTCTTTAGGACAAAATGTACTTTCTGAAATATCTGAAAAATAAACTTGATAAATATCTGAAATTTATATTCTTTTTTTTGCACATACATAAATTCATACGGTGAAAAGCAAATTTAAGTTATATAATGAGCAAGAGCAATAACATTTTACAACTGTAGTAAATTTGAGTATCCAATATCTTTTCAACAGGAAGTTTTCGTTAACAATTTATTCTCTCCTTAGGAAGGTTCTATTGCTGTAATGAAAAATCCCAAAATTTATCAAAGTTCAAGGAATTAGCCTTTTATATTACTATCTACAGCATCAGGAAAATTGACAGGCAGATTAAAAATAAGATTATTTTGCAATATAAAATATACGTATATATGGATTGAGGTAACAAAATTTATTGACTAAAGATGAAGAAATATATGATAGTTATATATAAATAAGCATACAGTACATAAAATTATTATTTGTTCTTTCAAAATCATTTATGATATTTTAATGTAATTCTTAAAAAAAATATATCAGATAAAATAATATCAAATATTTATTTTTGTTTACTATTTTTTTTCATTTATTCTAAATTCTTCAAAAATTCTGAGATACATTTCTAAGTATATTAACATTAATAAATAATATCATAAATAAATGTCAACAGATACATAATAGTATAAAAAAAAAAAAACGAGAGTGGTTTCACTTATGGAAACAATTGGAAGCCATTTACGTTTTACCATGAACAATCGTTGCGTCTGGAGATACATTTCCTTTAAGATTTGTAAGCTGTGTACTATTGAATATGAACAACCGTTGCGATCGGAGTTGTATCTCCTTTTTGAAAAAATTAAAAAATTTTTTAAAATTAATTTTAGCTTATATTCTTTCTGTATTTAATAATCACCGCTTTCTTTCTCTACGAACCGTTTTATAAAATGTTATTACTCTAACGTTATTACTAAAATTGCGCTGAAGATGACTTGAAGATAAGTCGAAACGTCCGCACACACCTTTAATTCTTATATATATTATATCGGTTTTGTTTTTGAGCTTGTATTATAAATCATTAATATATATTTTCTGATTATTTACCTACATTATTAATTTGATATTTAGCTCTCTACGCCTATTTGACCACTTTAATTTTTAATTTACAGAGAGCTTTACCTCTTTTTGTTCATAATAGTATAGCATAGGATAGTATAAGATTATATATAATGTGCATGTTATATATATATATATATATATATATATATATATATATATAATATTTATATGTTACATATGTATATATATTATATATAATCTTATACTATCCTATTTTATATATATAGTGAGCCCTAGCATGAGTATCCTAGTTTATATATATAGAGTATAGAATATATACTATCCTATAGTTTATATAGTTTATATATATATATATTTAAATATATATATTTATAAATTATTATTAAATATATATATTTATATATGTATATAGTATATATATTACAGTATAGTACAATGTATGTATTAAACTATATATATTATGCCATTATAGTATTCTGAACTTATACACATTATTTAAATATTTCCTGAGAAATGTTATATTTCTTTATATCTTCTAAATGAAAATATTCTTGTTAAAATTTCAGTATAAAAAATTATGTGTGGTTGATTCCTGTCAGTTACGACATACATACATGCAGTCTTGTACAAATATTATGTACACAGTCATCTTAAAATTATAATCTAAAAATGTTGTATAATTAAAATAGCTTTGATTTTGCAAAATCTTTGAAAATCCAGCTGTACTAAAACTATTGTACATAATAGTGAGTTATTCTTTTTATTATAAAATTATCATAAGACTTTATGAAAATCACAATATAAGATCAGTCACATATTTTGTATAGTTAATTTCTTTTGTTCTTTTGAATAAGAAATAGATAAAGTTAAAATCTTGTTGTTTCTAATTCTATCATTTCATTTGGTACATTTGGAGAGACTCTATTTATATTATTCTTTTTAGAAGGATGAAAGACCTTATAATACAGAACCATTACTATAATTCCCAGACCAAAAAAGACAAAACTAATAATATGAAATTTATTAAAATACCAAACATTTCTAATTGCAGGAGGGCAATAATTTGCCCACAATAAATTTGATATGGTATTTTCCAGAAAACACAGAATGTAAAAGCTCACATATCTCCAAACTGTATTACTTTCTGCAGTATTGATGTATATGAAAATGTAAACAATGCCAAAAACTGAGGCAAATAATACAGAATAAATATGTTTTTTAAATGAAGGCTGCATATGTGAATGGTCATAAGTTCGACAAAAATGATCTGATATTTTGTTTGGATTTGGATCAATCCAAATCCATATTGTCATACCTATCCAATGTATTATACAACAAATTATGACAGATATAGGCCAGATGCTTGCAATGATACCGAGCGATAAAATCCTTGCCGCTACAATTATGATAATTTCGATAAATTTTTTTAAAAATATATTTTACAAATATTTTTATATGGCTAAAAATTCAATATATTAATTATATACCTGTTATGCAAAAGTGCCACAACAATTGTAAAATCTCTGCTATGCCACCAATATTCAATTTATCTTCTTGAGCGAATCGAATAACTTTATTATACTCAGCCATTGACGCACCCATGTATATAAATGCCAAGAAAGTACTGAATACTTGATCACTGAATACTGGAAAATAATATAGAAGCAAATTAAGAAAATTAAGATTACAGAAATGCCTACATATGAATATGTGTGTATAATTATATAAAATATTTAATAATTTTTTTGAATTTGTAATATGTTGTAATATCTAATTCTATATCATTTAATTTACAAAAGAACCTATATATATGGTAATAAACTTGGAGATATACATTATTTAAATGACAGTAAACTAATAATAATAAAAATAATAATACCAAAAATATCCTTGATACAAAAATTTTTTTCTGTATATTAGATATTACTAATTACTCTATACTTTATTTTTATTTCATTTTTTCTTTTTTTATGATTTATAAGATACAGAACCATTAAAATTTATTAATATTCAAAATAATATATAAGTACATTCAAAATTAATCTTATCATAAGAATTTAGCATTAGAGTTAGTTGTAGAATCTGTTGGGGTGCAGCATCCAAGTAACATTCAAGTACCCTAAGCAATGAAGCATCTCGATATTTTTTGAGCATCATTTTATGATACCGACTTTCATTTATAACGTCTCCAGATTTTTTATATTTTAACGCTTTTATAGCATATTTTGAAGTTTTCCAATAATTAACAATTGGTGCTAATTTCAAAGGAATAGCAATCACAAGAAATAATCTATTCTTGGTTATTAAATGCAATATTTTACAATAATCATCTGTGGAATTGTACTGTATGAAGAAACATTATTTTAATCAGACAAGTTATAAAAAGTACATATAATGTAACTAATATAATTGAATTAGCAGAAGTTTATCGAATTAAAAATGAATATATCTACTTCACTTCTTCATCTCCTCGTTGTTGCATCTGTCTACTGATTAAAACATTTATCAGAGAAGAAATCAGCATAAGGCAAATTATCGAAATAAAACTTGTGGTTTCGCCATTCAAAAGGTATTGAATAGCGACCTTATAATCTGAATATGTATCTAGAATTAGCACAACTATCGTAAAATGCAGACAGAAAATTTCGTATTGTTTTACCACATGAGTGCTAGACATGGTTTTCTTCTTTTTTCTGGTATCCACTCCTTTTAAAATATAAAACACCACAAAATTTTACTTGTACGTTGTGACACTTTCCATGCTATTCCAGTCTTTCTGTAACTTATGTTGTTTATATATATAAGGACGCTTTAAAAAAAACTTTTTCTTTTAAATTATTAGATGACTGTTTACAAAGAATGGCTAAAAAAACACTGATTTTATGACCATGAAAGACAAGGTTAACGGTATGTTAAAAAAAAAACAAAAACGCTTTTTTCACGCACGTGTTTCAAAAGGCGGTGAACGCGAAAGTATTAATGCGCATGCTCGAAAAGATTCAAAATGAATATTTACGATCAGTATGTAATCTGTCAAAATACCTAATTTGTCAGCTGCGATATATATACAGAATCATTATTTCGCGAATCGCATCGATTAATATTCCTTCATAAGAATGTTGATTGTTCATTGATTTCCTTTAGGACAAAATATACATTTTCTGAAAAAATAAGCTTGATAAATATCTGAAATTTATTCTTTTTATGTGGCACATACATAAATTCATACTATGAAATTTAAGTTATAAATGTGCAAGAGCATTAACATTTTACAATTGCAGAGTCCTTTCAATAGGAAGTTTCTGTTAACAATTTATTTCTCCTTAGGAAGATTCTATTGCTGTAATGAGAAACCTCAAAGTTGTCAGAGTTCAAGGAGCTAGCTTTTTATATTATTATATTACTTATTATATTTTATATTACTATATAAAGCATCAGGAAAATTGACAGTCAGATTGCAAATAAAATGATTTTGCAATATAAAATATATATAAATTGAGGTAGCAAAAACTTATTGACTAAAGAAAAAATAAAATTACATAAATTCATATATTTACAAAATAAATAAACATACACTATATTATAAAATTGTTTTAGTTATTTTAATGCCATTATATTCTAATATAAACTCATATGAAATTCGTAATTAAAAATAGAAAGAAAAATATTTCTATTGTTAAAATATCAAATATTTATTTTTGTTTATATTTTACATTTATTATAAATTATTGAAATATTTTGAGAGCATACATTTTTTTTGAGTATTGATATTATTAAATAATATCACATAAGTAAATTTTATACATATATATTATCTTATTATAATATTCTGAGTTTATACACGTTATTTGAATATTCCTGAGAAATATTTTCTTACACTTCTTAAGTGAAAATATTCCTGTTAAAGTTTCAGTATAAAAAACTATATATAGTTGGCCCCTGGCAATTGTAACATATATACAGTCAGTCTTGCACAAATAATTTTGTGCACAGTCTTTTTCAAATTATAATCTACAAATGCTGTAAGTATAATCAAAATGACTTTGTTCATTTTGCAAAATCTTTGAAAAGTGAGCTGTACAATTGGACTATTGTATAATAGAGATTCTGTTCATTGTAAAATTATCATATAACCTTATAAAAATATAGGAACAGTTACAAATTGTTCATCTTTTGTGACTCTTTTGAATAAGAAATAGATAAAGTTATGTCACTTGAACTGCATTTGAAGTATGATGCTTTTTTGAAGGATGAAAAACAGTATAATATAGAAGCATTGCTGAAATTCCCAGAAAAAAGGAGAAAATACAAATAATAAATAATACATTAAAGTACCAAGCATCTTGAACGGCAGGAGGACAAGTATATTTCCACAAGAAATTTGATGTGATATTTTCCAAAAGACACAGACTGTAAAAGCATAAATGTTTCCAAAACGTATTGCCATCCACAATATTGAGATATATGAAAATGTGAACTATGCCAATAACTGAGGCAAATAATACAGAATAAATGCGTTCCTTAATCGAAGGCTGCATATGTGGTGGAAGACTATAAGTCCGACAAAATTCTAATATTCCTTTGGAATCAACTAAAATCCATATTATCATACCTATCCAATGTATTATGCAACATATTATAGTATATGTAGACCAGATGCTTGCAATGATACTGAGTGATAAAATCCTTGCCACTACAATCATAATAATAATTTTCATGAATTTTTTTCTAAATATTTTCATAGCATAGCTAAAATATTCATTTTCATACATTAATTACATACCTGTAATGAAAAAGTGCCATAAAAATTGTAAAATTATTCCTATAGTACCAATATTTGATTTATCCTGTTGAGCTAATCGAATACTACGATGATAACTAGCCATTGCCCAACCCATGCTCACAAGCGAGCTGACAACACTAGCTGCTTGATGTATAACTGAAAAATAATATAAAAGCAAATTAAAAAAAGTATAAATATCTGTATGTATATATATATATATATATATATACATATATGTATATATATATATATATATATATATATATATACAGGGTGTCCCATTTTAATGCCCCACCCCAAATAACTTTCTTATTTTTAATTTTAGAAAAAGATGTTTCAGACAAAAGTTGTATGGTTTCGAGGGGGACATAAGATGGTACCATTAATTTGATCTTGAAGAGTCACATGAAGGTTACGTGAAGATCATTTTCAATTTCTTAAATGGAACACCCTATATATTTTTGCATATTCTTGTAGCTTATCTCGAGAGCTTTCCAAAACACTATAAATAAACATTTTTTCATCAAGTACGTTTCGAGTAATGAGGCTTGAAATCATTTCTTAATTTTACATAAACCATAAAATATCTTGTAAAATATTCATTTTTTGATTATCTTACCTTAATACTTTTATGTACAAAATAATGAGAGAAATCCATTGGTGCAAAGAAAACATACAGTTGTTTTTAAGAAAAATATGGAATTGTTAATTGCAAATTACATATTTTTTTCTTAAAAACAACTGTATGTTTTCTTTGCACCAATGGATTTCCCTCATTATTTTGTACATAAAAGTATTAAGGTAAGATAATCAAAAAATGAATATTTTACAAGATATTTTATGGTTTATGTAAAATTAAGAAATGATTTCAAGCCTCATTACTCGAAACGTACTTGATGAAAAAATGTTTATTTATAGTGTTTTGGAAAGCTCTCGAGATAAGCTACAAGAATATGCAAAAATATATAGGGTGTTCCATTTAAGAAATTGAAAATGATCTTCACGTAACCTTCATGTGACTCTTCAAGATCAAATTAATGGTACCATCTTATGTCCCCCTCGAAACCATACAACTTTTGTCTGAAACATCTTTTTCTAAAATTAAAAATAAGAAAGTTATTTGGGGTGGGGCATTAAAATGGGACACCCTGTATATAATCAATTATATATAAATGTATATGTATATATAACCAATTATATGTATTTAATAATTTTTTTGAAATTTGTAATAATAAAATATCTAATGCTATGTCATTTGTCCATTTACATAAAAAACTATAAGTATTATCTAAAAAATTATAAGTAGTATCTTTGACATGGACATTTTTTCTGTCTAATAAATATTACTAATTATTTCACTCATTATTTCATGTAATTCATTAAAGACAGAAACATTAAAACTTATTAATACTCAAGATATAAGTACATTCAAGATTAATCCTATTATCATAATGCTTTAGTATCAGAGTGAGTTGCAGAATATGTTGCGGCGCAGCTTCCAGGTAACATTCAAATACCCTTAACAATGCAACATCTTGATCTTCTTTGAGCATTCTCAAATAATATCTTCTTTCACCTACACGGTCTCCAGATTTCTCACATTTGCGCGCTTTTAATGCATATTTCAAAGTTTCCCAATAATGCACAACTGGCGCTAATTGCAGGGGAATAGCAAGCACAAAAAATAATTTATTTTTGATCATTAAACGCGTTGTTTTATGATCATCTAGCATATCCATGCTGGGATTCTTCTGTAACAAGAATTATTCCAATTAGGCGAATTACAAAAAGCATATCTAATTAATGTGATTCAATCAGCTGGGATAATCCGAATAAAACGAATATATTCTACTTCACTTCTCTATCTTGATGTTGCATCCTTTCACTGACTAAAACATTTATCAGAGAAGGAATCAGGATAAAGCATATCGTCCAAATAAAATACGTCTCTTTGCCATTCAAAAGGTATTGAATAGCGATGTTATAATCGAAACACATATCCACAACATGCATAATTATGGAACAACCTAGTAGGAAAATGTCCAGTTGTTTTACGCGAGTATCGGGCATTGCATCCACATCATCGAAATGGACAGTTGGAAGTACATTAAGGGATTGACGAAGACGATGCTCGCCATTTCTTTGTTCCATTTTTTCTTCTCTTTTTCGATTTCCGTCCCTTTTAAGGTATAAAACATTACAAAATGAGTTCAATCGCGCGTCGTGGCACTACTCCATTACTTTGTTTTTGTAACAACTTGTTGTTCAAAGTTTGAAGGTTAAAGACGCTTTTTTCACGCATGCGTTTCAGAAATGACAGTAAAATAGAGAGAGCGCGAAAATGTTAGTCCTGATCTGCAATAGGTAATTTAAGCTCTAAGCCTTAAGAAATTAACCAATCACAGTCGAGCATTCTCTTCATACTTGACTGTGATTGGTCAATTTCTTAAGGGCTGAAGTTGCCTATGGTCGAGTCTACAATAGGTAATTTAAGCCTTAAGACTTAAGAGATTGACCAATCACAGTCAAGTATGAAGAGAATATTCGACTGTGATTGGTCAATTTCTTAGGACTTAAATTACCTATTGCAGATCGGGACTATTGTAGACCTAGCCTTACAATGCGCATGCTCAAGAAAATTCAAAATGGACGCCTACGATCAGTGTGTAATCTGTCAAAACGTGTAATTGTCAGACGTGACTTGTATAGAATAATTATTTCGCGAATCACATCGATTACAATATTCTTTCAAAAAAATGTCGGCTATGTTGACTGCCGATTGGTTTCCTCTAGGACGAGATATATACTTTCGGTAAATATCTGAAATTTATATTCTTATGACATAAATTCATACGATGAAAAAAAATTGAAATTATACAATGTGCTAATATTAACAACATTTTATAATTGCAGCAAATTTGAGCTGTATCCGATATCCTTCCAGCAGGAAGTTTCCTTTAACAATTTACTTGTGGCAGCTCCTTATGGAGGTTCTATCGCTGTAACGAGAAATCCCAAGAAACTTGTCAAAGTTCAAGGAGCTAATAAGCCCTTAATATTGTTATATACATCATCAGGAAAATTGACAGCCAGATTGCAAGTAAGATTACTTTAATGCAAAGACATTCTTCAAAGAATTTATTTATCAGGCATTAATTTGCAACTGAAACACAAAAATTATTACGCGTTAAATCATTTAAATCATTATGTAACTAAATATTCCTGCAAGTAACATCTTTATTTGATATTTTTTCAGTGGAGCAGTGGACAATTGATATCATTTGGCTGGTCTCAACAGGAAGAATTGTTATGCGTACAAGATGATGGCATGGTTCTGATATATGACATGTTTGGAACTTATCAACATACTTTTAGTATGGGAAAAGATGTAAGCCATCTACACACAAGATATCTTTCTATTATCAATGAAACTTCTCCATATACATTAATCTTCTCATTCTTTAAGGTAGCTAAGGATACTAAAGTTATTGACGCAAAGTTCTTTGCGACATCCAACAGCACTGGGATAGCTGTTTTAACATCTACTAATCGCATATTTCTAGTAAACAATGTATCCGAGCCTAAAGTCCGACCAGTTACCGATATGCCAAGCAAGTATAATACAATATAATATATCTGTATATTTCCTGGATTACTGTCATTATTAACTATTGCTTTTAGGATATGGTGGACCAATTGATTGTTGGTGCGTGATACATTATGATAGGGAGACAGAGGTGATTTTGTCAAATAGAGAAGGAATCGTTGTAATTCATCAGTCCCACCAAAACACATTTCCATTTGTAAATATAATATATTATTATAGTATATTGTTAATTTATAATGTCGTTATATAATTATATTATATATTTCTTAATTTTCTTAACTTTACATCTTACACGAAAATCGATATTTGATATAATAAACTTTATCTCACTTTTAGAACAATCTCTTCAGCAATAAAATCAATAATGTGATAGCAATGGCTGTATCTGGCAATTATCGGCACATTGCACTCTATGCTGACACTGGACATTTATATATTGGTTCAATAGACTTTAGAGAGAAATATTGTGAATGCTATACAAATATGAAGGAACCTTTGGCAAATATAGCCTGGTAAATGAAGAATTATATAATTATAATGTTGATAGAAATTAATTTTCGAGAAACCACAAGTAGATTTAATAGGATTTTTTAAATATTTTCGGGCAGGTGTGGTACGGAAGCCGTGGTATGCAGCTGGAACAGTGCAATAATGGTAGTAGGACGTACAGCTGAGAATATAGTGTACAATTACGATGGTCCGGTACACTTGATTACAGAAATTGATGGAGTACGTGTACTTTCGAGTTGCTCCCACGAAATGATACAGAAAGTACCGAATGTCGTGCAAAGAATATTTAGAATCAACTCTACGGATCCTGCATCGTATCTCTTAGAGGCTTCTAAGCAGTTTCAGAAAAAGAGTCATAAAGCTGACAGTTATATAGATCTAGTGAAAGATAAATTGGATTCGGCGATAAAGGCTTGCATCGATGGAGCGAGTCATGAATTCGATTTTGAAACGCAAAAGATTTTGATGCGTGTAAGTTTGATAAGTACATTTTATCGAAACAGAAATTGTGATAATAATTATCAATCTTATTAGGCTGCCAAGTTTGGAAAAGGATTCAGCAAAAGAATGGATTCTGAATATTACGTTCAAATGTGCAGGATTTTGAGAGTTTTGAACGCAGTAAGACATCCTGCTGTGGGCATTCCACTAACATATACACAGTATCCTTTTGTATAGAATTCTCCTCTATATTCTTTTGTGATGCTTAAAAATCTATCTAAATCCTTATTAATGCCAGATTTAATGTTCTTACAAATCAAGTGCTACTGGACAGATTAGTAGTTCGAAGACATTATTACTTAGGTATACAAATAGCACGCCATTTACAATTACCTGAAATTGATGGGGAAAGTAGAATATTGGCACATTGGGCTTGCTACAAGGTGAAATAAATGTGATAAAAGATAAAATATTAAAAATATCTCAAGAAATATATACATATTTTTATCTAGGTAAAACAAACGCAATTAGATAAAGAACAAATAGCAGAGGAGATAGCTGATAAATTAGGATATGCTCCTGGTGTTTCATACAGCGAAATTGCGAAAAGGGCAGCTGATTGTGGGCGAAAACAATTGGCTATTAAAGTAAATCTACTAATTATAAATATATAAAGCATTATATTTTTTACATTATAAATAATTATATATTTGTATTTATTTTAGTTAATCGACTATGAACCGCGTGCGCATCAGCAAGTACCCCTGCTGTTGACGCTTGGCGAAGAGCGAGCCGCTCTGCATAAAGCTGTAGAGAGTGGTAATACGGATTTAGTCTACACTGTCATTCTTCATCTCAGAGAAAATATGACTCTCGGGGATTTTCAAGTAAGGAAAATAACGTGTTCTAAGTGCAAATATATAAGATTCACTTTTCTAATTAATCTATCATTCATTTATACAGATGTCTATAATGCATTGTCCTTTGGCAATGGCATTATATATTAAATATTGTCAAAGTCATAATAGAGAGACATTACGCGATATTTATAATCAATATGATGACTTTCATTCACAAGCAGTGTGGTTTATCACTGAGAGTTATCAACGAAAAGTTAGTAAAATTGTACATGAAAAATTTTACACATTTATATTTTTATCACAATATATTGAATAAGTAAAGGTATATGACACATTTTTAGAACACCATGTCGAAAGATGCATTGCTACAATCTGCACAAGAAAATTTTAGATTGGCTCGTAATGATACAAATGCTTCATTAACAGAAGAACAGATAAAGCTCTTAAAATATCAGAGATCTTTAGAGGATACGCTACACGAGTCAGTCGTTGGAAAGCCTCTACATGATACTGTAAAAATATTATTATTGCGTAATGAGTTGAAATTAGCGGATAAATTACGGTCCGAATATAAAATACCAGATCGGAGGTATATCAACTTTTATAACTTTAAGCAAATTTTTTTATATTTCGTCTTATATTAAATGGTATATTTTGACAGATATTGGTGGTTAAAGATACAATGTTTAGCAGAACAAGGTCTATGGAATGATTTGGAAAAATTCTCCAAAACTAAAAAGTCCCCCATTGGCTATGAGGTAACAAGTATTGCAAACTTGTGTATCATTTTTATATAATTCTATATATTTATTTATATTTATTGATTGTAACAAACTATTTTAATCCTTTTGCAGCCATTTATAGATGAATGTCTCAAGTATAATGAAAAATTAGAAGCAAGAAAATATTTAATGAAAATTAAAGATGATCTTAAAGTGAAGTATCTAGTAAAATTAAAGTAAGTATATGAAAGAGTTATACCTTTTTTAAAGTTAAATATATATACATAATAAATATATTGCTATTCTGTGCAGTATGCTGAGCGAAGCAGCAAAGACAGCGTTTGATCAAAAAGACGCTTCAGGTCTTACATTTGTGTTGGCGCAATGTAGTTTGACAGACAGGCAATTAGTAGATAAGATCAACATGTATCTAGCTAGTCTTAAAAATTAAAATTTTTTTGTTGTGTATTATAACTTTTACATGCATTTATATTATGCCATTTGAATTTTTTTTATGTATGTGTATATGTGTATGTGTGTGTATATATATAATTCAAATGATAAACATACAATGTAAAATATTTCCATATGTCAATAAACATTATCCATAAGATAATTTATATAAATCAATAAGATAAAAAAAGTAGTAAAATAGGTAAAGTTATATAGTTATTTAAAAAAATAATATCTATTACATTATATCTCATTTTAATCAATATCAATGTAAATCTTTACTCATGCCTGTACTCATCTTGTACTCATCCTGTTATAATCTGTACAAAAATATGAATATAAAATACTTGTTATACAAAATATCCATATTTGTAACTGATTTGTACATGTAAATACATTTGTACATGATGTATATATTCATACATATGTATGTATGTACATAAAATATCTGAAAATATCTAAGTATATCATTATTAAAACTTATTTAATTATAAGATTTTTAAAATGCATGTATAAATTATATATATATATATATATATATATATATATATATATATATATATATATATAATCTAACTATCTAATATTACATCACTATTTAAAATCTAAATATTTTTTAATCTAAAACTATTCATCAATTAATTTCTCCAGACCGTATGAACTTTGTATGTTTTTCACTAATATCATTTACAATTAATTGTTCAATCTCATCACCATCATTTAATTGCTCATTTGTAAGAGACAGGCTATAATCAGTTTCTTTGCTTACAATTACCACTTGTTGCTTTCTAGTTTGCAACATGTTTGCTATTACAAGCTGAAAAAAATGTCCAAAATTTAAATGTATCTTGCAGAATTTGGAAAAAAACTTTTAATTATGTGTATGTACATAATAATTACTTACATTGTGATGATATTTATTGAGAGCAGCTCTTGCTTTGGAAATTAGCAAGCTTTCATCAGTTTCCAATTTAAAGGAGACTACAAATGCTTTTGGTACCCATAAACTAACTAATGGGGCTAATATCTTTGGTACTAATTGAAGAGATATAGTTGGCGGTCCAGTTGAGTGAATTTTATGGACTGACTAAAAAGAGAATTATAACTATTATAATAGAATAAATTATATTTTAAAAAAATGTGAAAAAATTTGTTTATCACCATTTCATTAGAAGGAATGTAAAAATCTGAGACTGCTGCTGCTAAATATAGAATAGCTTTGTTTTCTAAAGGTGCTAATGCTTGACAAGCAGATCGGAGCAGCCAGAAATATTCAGGAAGAGTTGTGAAAGTGAGTTGTAGCAGTTTCTTTTGATCAAACGCTTCTCTATATTTTCGCAGTACTATTGCCACCTTCTGGGTATATTCAGGTGAAACTGCAAACATAAATGTATTGTTTATTAATTATATCAGAATAATTATGTATGATTACTTATAATTGATTTTTAGATGTATATAGTTTACCTGTGATAACAGGAGTCTCATTATTATTATCCGATATTTGAAGCAAATCTAAAAACTTTTGTCCAATGAAATGTCTTGAAAATGGTTCCAAGGATTTGACTCTGTAAATATATAGATGTTTTTATATATTATAATATTACTTATATTAATTTGTATTATATAATATCTACTACCTATACATAAAGATAACTGCATATCCATGCTCTAAGAAATATTCTGCCGAAACAGAGCCTCTTGTGCCTGCACTAAAATTGTCCACAAATCTTACAGTGTTATGTTCTAAGGGTACAGTTGTACCTCCGCTCTGTAACATTCAAGAGTCAGAGAAAATTTGCTATTAATTGAGTAACATTAAATTTTACACTCTCACCGTTATTAGTACTACTTTATTGCCCTCATCTAAATGCTTTTTTGTAAATTCCTTCAGAGCAGTTTCATTCTGCTCCAAATCTTGAGGAGGTGGATGCTTCGCATAAAAGTCTTCCCACGCTGACACCATTGTAAATATTTATACCAATTTAACAGATTTCTGCATGAACGAATAATAATCTTATAAAAATTTTGTATGAATATGATTAATAAGAGAATTAATAAAGAGAAAGAAAAATACATAACAGCCGCGCAGAGATACCATGGTTAGAAACAAATCACGTATCAGTAAAAGATCAATTTTCTGTTTAATTTCGATCGTCATTGACTTTGTAAATCATTCAAAGTCAAAAAAATGTCTTATTAATTGTAGTAACATTAAATTTACACTCTCACCTTATTAGTACTACTTTATTGCCTCATCTAAATGCTTTTTTGTAAATTCTTCAGAGCATTTCATTCTGCTCCAAATCTTGAGGAGGTGGATGCTTCGCATAAAAGTCTCCACGTAACCATTGTAAATATTATACCAATTAACAGATTTGCTGCATGAACGAAAAATAATAAAATCTTATAAAAAATAAAAAAAAAAAAAATTTATATAATAAATGTTATATATTATATAACATGTATTGCATAATAAAAACTTGCTTTCTTTCCCTTAACCTTGTATCAAAGTCATCATACACTGATTATTTGTTGCTAACAATAATATTATATTTCTGCAAATTATAATTTTATTCAAAGATGAAACAACTTTGATCCATAGATGAATATGAATTAATAAAGAGAATTAATAAAGAGAAAGAAAAATACATAACACGCGCGCGCAGAGATACCATGGTTAGAAACAAATCACGGTATCAGTAAAAGATCAATTTTCTGTTTAATTTCGATCGTCAATTGAACTTTGTAAATATCAATTACATAAGTACCTTAAAATAAATGGGAATCTTAATATATACTTGTGTAAGATAAATGCAACTCTCTGATATTTCAGTTGCAACGTCTCTCTTTTCTTTCTAGCAACTCATTCTATAGAAACATGAATAATTAATTAGTGACATGATCTGTCATTATCACTAACTTTCATAATAAAGAATTGAAATGAGACATAACATATAAAATTAATAATATATTGTTACTTTTACTTCAAATATGTGTTTAGTAGAATAAGAGACAGAAAAAGGGAAAAATAGCATTTTATATACAATATATGTAAAATTTCCATTTTGTTTAAATTTACATATAGACATTTTACTAAAATAGATTAAATGAAATATGTAAAATAATACTCTATTGGGATATTTTTATCGTGAGAAAATTATTTTCCCAAAATAAGATGTATACAAAGTAAAGCTGATTTGTTTTCACTAACATCAAGATATGCAAAGATTACTCTTTTATTAAATATTCCTCCAATCTATATTTAAAATAACATTACATAATGTACATTTAATAAGAATGAATTCTTCTTCGCAAGAAATAACTTAAAATTGCTGCGCTCTTATCATTCTGTCGCAAGAACATAGCTTAAAGATAAGGTAGTTAGAGGTAGTATTTTATAACAATTTATTCCTACAACAAATACTAGTTTACATGTTGCATCTCAATATTCAGGTGCTGGACTTTTAAGGTCTTTCACTTCCTGGCTCGAAGCGTAAAACTGTAAAGAAAAAAGGAAGATAAACATGAGTATTCACAGAAGCTTTGGCCTGAGCAACTTAAGGTCGTAATTGCTACAATCGAAACAAATTAAGATGATCACTCTCGTTACCTTGTAATGTTTATCTTTATAGTAATTCCATGGCTCGGCCTCCTTCTTATTGAGCCAGGAGACGTCAGGATTGCGAAGTGCTAAACGTAACGTGTAAAACAATGCGCCAGCTCCTCCTACAGCTATGCAAAGGTACAGTGGAAATAGCTGGAATGAGAAGAGAAAAAGAAGAAGATAATATAACGAATACACGATAAATTGTGCGTCTGTTTATCGTGTCGTGTCTCACAGCTGGATTCTTCTTCAAGCTGGTCATAGTCGTCCCCTGCATCTTCATTGTTGCGGTATCGAAGATCCGTGCCCTTGAACGAAACAGACGAACCCCTTTTCGCACTAAATTTTTTTTCGCAATACGGAGCAGCGTAGGGCTGATATCTATTTGGCGTTTGCGCAACGAAAGGCGTCGAAAATCGTCGCAGTTGGCGCGTCAAGTGTGACGTGTGGAATGGTGTTTAAAATTAAATTCTTTATCTATTTATTAATTTGTTTAAATTGTTAATTTTTTAATTACAATTACAAAGTATTAATTTGTTAATTTTATTTATTAATTTGTTTAAAATTAAATTCAAAACGCGTTGAAGTTCGAAGTCTATTCGCTTGAGCGAGATTCCACTGGAACACGAGTCTTTAAACGCGATTAAAGTCCGTCGAAAAAACAATCGTCGTGCGAAGAAAATTAAAAAAAACAAAACTATGTACACTTTTATTATGTTATATATGCTGAGAAATTTTTTTTCATCCAAGTGTATAGGAAGTTCCTCGATCTATAAATCGATTCTTCGATTTTACAATACATTCGACGTACACTGCGCGACAACGGCCACATTCAGCGGACTCAACAGTTGGGCAACATTACTAGATTTTCCGATGTAACTCGACGCTGATTGGTCGGACCTGAAAGTAGAGACCAATCATATTCGATTGCTACTTAGCGGTTGAGTCCGCTGAATGCGACCGACGTTTCTGTCCTGGGCGGGGCAAGGAGAGCGTAGAACCGGCCAATCAGCCACTGCCGTGCTGCCGGCCGATTGGCCGGTTCTACGCTCCCCTTGCCCCGTCCAGGGCAGAATCGTTGCCGCTCGCTCTACGCGACTGACACGTGATTGGCTGGACGTGTCGCGTCGCGCGTTGCGAACGAGGGATGAGGTTTGACGAAACGAGAGCGCGATCTATCCCCATCCCGTCTCCGTCTGTCCATCGCGGACTTCCTTGATCGACATCATCGTGCGACGTATCCAATGGCGGTATTTTGTTACTCTGCTAAAGGTGAATTTTTCCGCACGGTTTCGGGAGACTGGTATAAATATAAATGTTGATCTCAGAGCTGCGCGAGGACGCGGCCGTGTGACGGTAGCACGTCGTTGCTGGCGGTCATGTAATCGATCCCGGACACCAGGTGGTCCAGGGAGCGCCGAGGCAGAGTATCTAAATGTCGGAATATCAGCTGGCCGGATTCGGAGTATCCCGTTCTCTGGCGAAGCTAAGAATGCATCGTCGTTAAACGCACCGCATTCCTGATAATTGTCACACGTTTGTTCGTAACGTCCGCAAAGATGGGCTTTTCCACGAGTCTGCAGGGCCAGGCCGCGCACGAGGCGTTGCTGGCTCGCCAGGACGCCGAGATCAAGCTTCTAGAGACGATGCGAAGATGCCTCACGATGAAGGTCAAGTGCGATCGGGAATACGCTTCTACGGTTTCCTCCTTGAGCGTCCAAGGAAAAAAAATCGAGCGCAGCGAGGATCTCGTTGGTAGTCTCATAGTGCAGGTAATTGTTTGTTTGTGTATTTGTAACTTAATTGGTGTCAGTCATTGGACATCTGGTATCTGTAGAAATATCGTGTTTTATAGAGCTGGAAAGACATTATGGACTCTATCGATCAGACTGCTAAATTGATTAAACAACAGGCAGACTCTATTGAAAATGTTGCGGATCAGTTGAATACATTATATACAGAAAGGAGAAGGGCCAGGAAGCTTTATCAAGAGGAACAGACCTGGCTGACTAATCAGTTTCAACAGGTAAATAAAAGATTCAAACTGTGCAACAATAAAATACAATTAAGAGAAATTTAAGTAAATTTTGATATGATGCTCTTTTACTTATACGTTTCTATTGTAATTTATTATTTGGTTTATATTGTTTAATATTTTTCTCTTATGTTATGTGTCATTTTCAAGTTGACAGATGATGTAACTAAGAAAAAATTTGAATATCAGAAGAACCTAGATACGTATAAATTAATGAGGTCGCGATTTGAAGAATATTATGTCAAATGTAAGTTTTATATTCAATATTGCCCTAAATTATTTAAACAGTTATATTTGTGTAAAAAAGATATAATACTTTGATACAACTTTTTAGCTGGTCGAGGTGGTCGCAAATTAGATGAAGTAAGGGAAAAATATCAAAAGGCATGCAGAAAACTTCATTTAACACACAATGAATATGTACTATTACTAGGTGCTGTGACAGAATGTGAACATGATTTAAGAACTTGTTATTTGCCAAGTTTGCTTCATCGGCAACAAGCTATTCATCAAGAATTTATAACTTCATGGTGAGTTGTATTTTATACAATATAATCTTTGCATGAATTGGGACACTAACAAAGTATCTTATTTCTATTCTTGTTTACAAGTGAGGTTTTAATACTTTTTCTTGACTTTTCTATTCGCATACAATTAGAAATGGAGAAGGTAAAGATTTTATTATAAATGAGAAATTATACTTTTGTATATGTAATGTTTAAAATAACTTTTATATTTTTTCAGGAGGGGAATCCTTCAAGATATTGTAAAATACTCGGATTTTTCAACAGAGAAGTTTTTAGACATCCATGTACGAGTGCAAAAAATAGTTGACAGTATTAAGCCTATCGAAGAGTACAGGGATTTTATTGGAAAGCATAAGTACATATCTAACTTTATCTTAACTATCTTCAATGCCAAAATATGCGTATACTATATTAGAATATTACATAATGTCAATGTAGAACTAGGCCAGCATCTCCAATCAGATTCACATTTGATGAGAATCTTGTGGATGATACCTCAGGGAAATTATTGCCAAATAAGTTGACTGTAGATAATCTAACTATAGATTGGTTGAGAAGTCGTCTTACGGAACTCGAAACTTCTCTCAAAACTACACAACAAAATCGACAACGACCACAATTTCTACAAGAAAATAATAGCGATTCTAGGTATGTAAACTACATAATTTTTTATAATATATTAATGTCAATTTTTGTCATTAAATTTTTTTTCTAATTCATTTAAGAGCGTTTTTATATATTCTGTGCTAGAATTTTAATCTTAGACTATTCTCGCGAAAGAGAAGAGTTGAAATTACGTTGTCAGGAGAAAAAATTACAAAGACAGATAGAAGTCATTAAGGGTGCGCTTAATGAATTAGGCTGTGAAGAATTACCTTCGGGTTGCGATCTCTCGATGGAAGGTTCTTTCACTGATTCATCTACAATTAGTAAAGTGAGTAATTTTTTCTCTTCATTAATTAACAAGAAAAAGAACAATTTTGATAATGATAATTATAATTGAAAATTATAATATATAAAATAAATAATTTTCCTGTAATTTAATTCTTGATATCAACATGCTAAAAATTTTTATTATAATCAGATCTCGGATCAAAAGTTGGAAAATTATTTTGTATCTATAATAATTAATGTAGAAGAATATTATTAGATTTAATTAGTTTTTTCATTGAACACTAAATTGTCTAAACTTATAAGTTAGTTAGATTTGATACTTTACAGAGAAAGAAAGTGATAGATAATGGTCTGTTCACATTAAGGAGAAATCAACGATTTATGACAATTTTAAAATCACCTTTCAAATCTTTGCCAGCAATTAATGATTCGAAAAACGGACTAATTAGGGCAAATAGCGAAGGGCCTACAGTCAAAGCAGAAAATAATATTCCCCCTGTTGTATGTGTTACACTTTATTTGTGTGATATCTGAGTATTCGCGTGTATATTTCCTGCGTCCAATCGCACAAAACGATAAGAAGCTTGATATCTTTCATATCGTTATGCAGTATATAAAATATAGACTTTCCATAACAATATAACACATTTTTTCCAATTTTGATTTTATAATAAATCTTTGTATAATGATGTACTATCATGCAAACAGATAGTATCAAAATTTAAATATTGATTTAAATATTACAATTTGATATTTTTTTTATCATTACAAGAATTAATTTAAAGCGCATATAAAGATGATTGTTTTGCATATTTTATATATTATTTGAAATTATTTACATGATTTATTATAATTAAAAAGTGTTGCATTAATATAAGCATAATATGAATATTATTTGTATGCAATTAATTATTATCCTTTTTTATGAGTAAAGCATGAGAATTTCCTGCATGAAAAAGAATGTTTTTACACTAATATTTGTGAACATTTATATTTATATATAGAAATATGTTGTAAAGATAAAAATATATATGTAGTGAAAATTGCAAACAAAATTATATCGCTTATATTTTATTATTAATATTTATTTTGGAAAATTAAACTTATTTATAGGTACCATCGCATTTAACTAACAATCAAAAAAGTAATGGAAATGGCGGACTTATGGAGGAGGAATGGTTTCACGGAGTATTACCGAGAGAAGAAGTCGTAAGACTACTTGTCAATGAAGGAGACTTTTTAGTACGCGAAACAATAAGAAACGATGAATGTCAGATAGTTTTATCTGTTTGTTGGGACGGGCACAAGCATTTTATCGTACAAACTACAGAGGTGAAAGCAAATATAGTATAAATGTATAAATTAACATAGTATTATTAGTAATTAACATAAGTATAACATATAACATTTAAATATAATAAACTTAAATCTGATATATATATATATATATATATATATATATATATATATATATATATAAATTAGAATTATTTATTATTATAAACGCTCGAAAAAAAGTAGATTACATAAAAGTACATTAATTGTAGGGTCACTATAGATTTGAAGGACCCACATTTCCATCTATTCAAGAATTAATCAGGCATCAGTGGCTATCTGGCTTACCAGTGACTAGTCGATCTGGTGCTATTCTTAAAATGCCAATTTTGCGCGAACGATGGGAGCTTAATAACGATGATGTCATCCTATTGGACAAAATAGGTCGAGTGAGTAGCTTGGTACAATAGCTATATTTTACATAGAGTGACGTAGGTGTAGTTCCAATTATACATTACGATATGATGCGACTGATTTATAGGGAAATTTCGGGGATGTTTATAAGGCACAATTGAAGACCTGTAAGACTGATGTAGCCGTGAAAACATGCAAAATAACATTACCGGACGAACAGAAACGCAAATTTTTGCAAGAGGGGAGAATATTGAAACAATATGATCATCCGAACATAGTCAAATTGATTGGTATCTGTGTTCAAAAGCAACCGATTATGATCGTGATGGAACTAGTACCTGGTAAACTAATAATATTGTTGTTATTAAACTTTATTACTATATTAACATAAATATCGTGTTATTGTATTAAAAATTTGCAGTATATCTATATGCTACTACTAATATTAGCACTAACTTTAGGTGGTTCATTACTTACGCATTTACGGAAGAATGCTAGTACAATAACACAGCGGGAGCAATTGCATATGTGTAAGGATGCTGCAGCTGGTATGAGCTATTTGGAATCTAAGTATTGCATTCATAGAGATTTAGCTGCTCGCAATTGCCTCGTAGGTAAATAAAAATTATATTTTTCAATTATCAAGAATTCTATTGAACCTGACAAATTTGATATATAACATCAATAAAAATATAATATCAAATACGAAATTTTTTTTAGGGTACGAATGTATAGTCAAAATCTCCGACTTTGGGATGTCGAGGGAAGAGGAAGAATATACAGTTTCGGATGGTATGAAACAAATTCCCATTAAGTGGACTGCACCAGAGGCCATGAATTTCGGTAAGACTTTTCTAAATATCTTGATAATCATTAATTTTATGTTATTAATTTTACTGTTGCTCTGAAATTACTGTTTCAGGTAAATACACATCACTTTGCGATGTATGGAGTTATGGGATTCTAATATGGGAAATATTTTCTAAAGGTGGCAATCCATATAGCGGTATGTCTAACTCGGATGCACGCGACAAGATAAATACAGGTAAGAGAAAGAATAATAAAAATCGATAAATTATAGATATTAATATATCATTATATTTGTATTATATTTTTTATATTCTTAATTTGATTATTGTGACAATTTATATTAACTGATTAATTAGGATATCGAATGCCAGCACCGGATGGAACACCCGACGAGATCTATCGATTGATGCTGCGATGTTGGGAATATGAACCAGAGAAACGTCCGCATTTCGATCAAATATACACCGTGGTTGAGACGCTATCTCAAGCATATCTATGAGTATTATATTAAAAGTATTTTACGTGGATATAAACAAATAAGAAGTATAAATTGGTGCTATAGTGTTTTGACATTTATTTTGTATAATTTATGAATTATACGAAATTCAAGTTGATATCTAGATACAGTAAAAGTAAAAATGCTCACAACCAAACTATACTTTATCTGTAAGTATATGTATTATGGATATACTATATGACATATCCATGATATGGATATACTAGCATAAAAATTATTATTAAATTGCCATTATTACGTCATTGCATACGAAATTGCATGTCGATATGAATGCCATTAAATATGTTTTTTGCAATATATATTTAATTAGTATATTTTATAAATTATTATATATTTCTCCGTCCACACATATAATAATTCAGCTCATCTTACATCAAGTAGATGTATTGTCATTTTTCTATAGTATAATTGAATTTATGTATGTATTTTTATTCATGACAATGATGTAAAACATTAATTTTATTTATTCTATTATCATTTATGTATATTCTCTTTAATGATTTTATAATATTCCTTTGATATACATACAATGAATGTTATATGTGCATTAAATTTTGCAGATGTGCATACATGGGATACATATTTACATTTGTTATTGTAAATTTGTTGTTTTTCATTAAAATCATAGCGAGAAAACATAGATCATGTATATATAAAATATACAATTCTTGTGATTCTATATATATTTCTTGTAATTTTCACTAATATGAAAGTTTTATCATATTTAATTATATTTTTAAATAGCAATATATAATGTTGCATATGTAATACATCTTGTTCAATGTATGTTTGTTTAATTATGTATAAAATTATAATATTTATATGTAAATTCCGTTCAACAAATGTATTGACAATATCAAATAGTCAAACATAATCAAAAAGTTGAATATGCATATCATTTTCAACTAAACTTTTCTCATGTATAAATGTATAAAAATTAAATGGCGGATAAATATTAAATTTATAATATGAAATTTCATTGAAAAAGAAATATGCGGAAATGTAAAAAGATTACTTGTTATTGATTTAAGTCAAAATATTTTAATTTTATATAAACAGTTGAATAGAGAGAAAAACTAGAATTAAGCAATTTATAATATAGTATCTTAATTATAAAGAATTCTCTTCCAATAAGTAATTTTATATTACATTATTGTGCAATATACAATTGAGCTGAAAATAAAACGTAAATGCGTGTATGTATATCATTTGTATTAAATTTAAAGAAAAGTTTAAAATGTTATAATATTCAACACTCTTCTAATGTTAATGTAAGTTGATATTTTTGTTAATATAAGTTGATATTTTTGTAATTTAGATGCTCTATTTCTCTCACTTTTATTTAAATGATAATGTTATACATTGCACGCATAGTAATGAACAGTCCTTATGATTAGCTATAAGATACTATAATATGAAGAGATCCAGTCTAATGTTACAACTAATATAATTTCAATATAATTCACGTATATACACAGTTTATTATTTGTTATCACAATGTGTGCAATTTAACAAAAGACATCTTGTTTCCATATACAAATACTCAATGTTGCTGTAATAATAATAATAAATTAATAAAGACTGTACACATATTGGTCTTTACAAAAGTATATATTTTCAGTCAACTTAATCTTTACATTTTTTTTGGAAAAAATAATAAACTCTTCCAATAAAACATACATACATAATATTTCTGTTTCATGTCACAAAAATTGCAAAATTTAGAACTTACAATTTCTATAAAAAAACTTTTAAAGTTACAAGTATAATTTAATAAGTTCGTCGCTAACAGCCGAAGGCGTTAAAATTCCCAAGTCAGTAAATAACAAGCTAATGTAGTGAGGCGGAGTATAATCCACTAAGGGATGTTCCTTCTTCAAATTATTATTGAGAGTACTGGATGTATACTATAATAATAATATTATATATTTTTTAAAGAAAACATAATTCTCTTGCATTTCTTTTAAATTAAATCAATACAAATATACAATATATTTTACCTTAAATTCATCAGGTAAATCTACTTGGTTCAAAGGATAAATTCTCGCAAATTTAAAGCTTTCTGTCAGTACATAAAATGGTTTCTTTACTTCTTTTGCACACATTGCCATTGTATATGTACCTATCTACAAAGAGTAAGAAATATTTTTATAAAAGTTATATATATTTAAAATATTTATTATATATATTTAATTTATTATCTTATTAATTACATTATATTATTTTATATCATTACCTTATTAATTACGCCACCACTTTCTGCAACACCCTCTGCTCCAACCATTACCATGTCTACTTGCTCCATCACATATCCCACTGCAGAATCCAGTATCACTGTACATGATATTCCTAATTTTGTTAAACTTTGGCACATCTCTTTTCTGCTTGAAAAATAAAAATAAAATGCATATTAAAACTTACAGTTGCAATAAAAAAAATATATCTTATGTAGATTAAAGAGATTTGTACATACCCATTATTATCAGGAGATGATGATGTGACATATACTTCAAATATTTTATTACTTGCAGCAGCTTCCTTCATTGCTTGCAGTACTACTCTTGATTTTGAATGTGTAAGTATTGTCTGATAAAATGTAAGGCAATAGAGAGTAATTGAAAAAATATTTTTTCTTATATGTTCTTGTGAATATTTATTCTTACCGAACCATCAGTGATAAAATGTGCAGCTACTTTAGCTACTTTTCCTCGTGCTGCAACTAATTTTTCATAGAATACTTTGCCTCTGTCCAACATAATTTTTTTGCATTCTGCAAATGACTGATTAAAATATAGACATCAATAAAGTAGATATATTCTCATCATAAAAATAAATATTAAAAGATAAATGTATTCTAAAATTTATTGTTAATATATAATAGATTTATATATTAAAGATGTAAGGAGCACCAAAAATCTAAGTATTAATATTCTAAATATTAATAAGTATTAATGTGCTCTTTACATCTTTAATATATAAATATATAAATAAAATTTATATTCTTACAGGAGTATCTAATGTTGCTAATGTGATAAAACGTAGGAACAATTCGCTTCCTGATGCAATTGCAGTAACTGGAGTTTCTGTAGAACGCATAGCATCAATTGCATGTTGTAAGCAAATTCGGAGCTCTTGAACTGTTTCTGCTGTAATAATATATGAAAAATCAAACTATATTGAATTAAAAATATTATATTTTTTATCCTTTATTGTAATTAATAATTAATAAATTTGTTAAATACAATATATATGTATTTTACTGTTAGATAAATCTCTACATATATATTGAAAGATAAATATATATATATAGAGTGTTATAAAATATATGTATATTATATAATTTAGAATATTGTAAACATTTACATTTTGAATGTTCCAATACTTTTAATAAAGTACGAATAGTAGCCATGCCAGCAGATACATCCTTTTCATTTTTAATAATTCCATTAAAGTATCGACAAATCTCTGTAAAAATATTTAAAAATTACATTACTGAGAGATCTTTTGTGATATTTAATATATCATTATGTCAATATATTATACCTTCTTTCTCCATTATTACAATTATTTATATTGTTCCATAAATATGTTTCCACGTGTTTACGATTATGTCGTTTCCATATAACAGAGAGAAACCCGAGAACGATCCCCTCACTTTGACATATTAGAGTTACTAGATATATAAATACATAGTACCGCAATGTAATAAACAGTGTATAAATGATACATTAGGGCTGCGTTCCGTTTCACACATATGCGCGCATTATTTATAGTTTGCGTTACATATACTATAGATAAATGCCCAGATAGGCAAAAAGTAGAAATTGTGAACTACCAGCACGAGTTCTGATTGGCTTCTGCTTTTCTGCCAAGGTGTGAATGCGCCTTTATATTAAATTGTAATGTAAGGCCGGGTCTACAATAGGTAATTTAAGCCATAAGCCTTAAGGTGCAATTTCATTGACGCTACTTTTTAGCGTCAATGAAATTGCACCTTAAGTTCATATTTTTATGTTTATAGAGGACGCATCGTCCTTTCAGGGATAATCTAAAGCCGGATACTTTGTTAATCTAGTGACTTTAAGATCGCCTAAGAGCAGACTATGACAAAAAAGAGTGAAAACTATGAACAACTTTGTTGTTTGTTTTATAGATTTTAAAAATGGCTTGTCGTATGCTACATATTTAGAGTTGTAAATAATTTGATAAAAAATGTTCAATCTATAAACAATGGTAACGCAAATGAAATATATCATTGTCTCTAAATCATTATATGTAATTAACATATAATGTGTATTTAAAATTAATTTATCAATTTAACTCCAATAAAATTATGAAATTTTTTTCAGGTACATATTATTGTTTAATATTGTTTAATTTATTGCTTGTCAGTCATTCACATTTATTAAAAATAGTCTTTATTAAATAATGTGAGAAACTCTATATTTTTTGCGAATAGTAAGTAGAACTTTTATGGATATAGCATTTTGATAATAGTTTATATTTACAGTAGAAAATAATTTGTATTTCACTGTGCTTTTGTTCTATAGGACCTGAAGATGAATTATGAAAGGGTGTGACAAGTATCAGTAATGCAGGAAGACGCAGAGATAGAGCAAGAAGAGTAGTGAAAAGAGAAAGCTCCTAAATAAGGAGCAAATTATTGGCATGGGAAAAATTCCGATACAATTTCCTGGTCTAAATACTCCTGTGTTTAGAGGAAAAGAATTAATTCAACAGCAAAAACTGCTTGTAAATCTTGAAAGAAAGCAAAAACTTATGGAAATAGTCAAACCAGACCAATGCAAATAAAATTATCGCCATTGGAATGTATGGACGAGTGTTACAATGGATGGCAGAAGCATTGAATCAGATCTTATTGAAAAAGGTTAATATTTATGCTATTATTGGATTATAATGGTTAAATCACACACATACAAAAATCATGTGATACGATGTCTATTTTCAATTTTTTTTTATGTTTCAGTTCTAAATATTAAAATCTTATATAATTAATATCTTTGTTTTCTGTAGATACATTTGAAAGTTTTGAAACCTGGATTTTGGAAAACAAAATGATAACTTGTATGACCGGTAATTTAGCACGTAAGACTAGAATCAGTTCATTTATAGTAACTGGAAATGGAAATGGATTAGCTGGATTTGCGTTATCAAAAGCCAAAGTATCCCTAAAGACGGTTAAAAATAGGGCTGGTCAAAGACTAATGTATATTCCTACATATAAGGAATACACTGGTAAGAAAATAATTGTCAATACTATATAATATAAAATTTATTTCTTCTCTTTTAATATCACTTTGTATTTTTCAGTGTTACATGATTTCTTTACACAGTTTGAGAATATAAAAATATTTGTAAAGAAAATTCATGAAGGATAATGGGCTTGTTTGTCATCATGCGATAAAAGCGTGTTGCGAGATAATTGGCATAAAGGATATGTATGCCAAAGTACAAGGAGGAATGTAAAAGCATTCTTTATTGGTTTATTGCAACAGGTATGTATATAAAGTATTTAAAGGCATATTATACTTTTTATTTAATTTATATTAGTAAGAAACATTTTTTATTTATAAAAATATATATATACATATATATATATATATATATATATATATATATATATATATATATGTTAGACATAAAGCTAAAAAAAAAACGTGGATTGTGTCGATTAATTAATTAATTGTTTTATTTAATTATCAATTTATATATTATTATTAACTATATTATTATTAACTATTATATATTATTATTAACTATATTATTATTAACTATATTATTATATATTATTATTATTATTATTAGTATATTATTAACAATAATTTTTGTATACAAAAATTAAGTAAAATAGTTTTACTTAAACTATAAGGTATAAAGTTGTACATAAAAAACAATCTTTTTTATTTAGTATTTCAAGCATATTTTCATAGAACTTTAATTTAATTATTATATTATTAAAAATATTGAACAAAATAAAGAATTAAAGCTGGCTTTCTCTGCAGTCTCATGGCAGATTATATCAGAAATCATACTTTAATTATTGCAATATATCATGAAACAAATCAATCTCAAAATAATGGAAATATTTGCAGAAATATTAAATATGTAATGTAAATATTTTAATTTTTTTGTATGCGATCTATTTTTTATTCTATCGATGTTTTCATAGTGATGCACCTTGAGCACTTTGCTTCATATGTTTGCAATAAAAATATATTAAAGCAAATTATTTTGCAAATTTATTATTCTAATTTTTATTTAGAAAGACTAAGATTAAAAAAGACGTATGCATTTTTTTCAGATATTTCTATTGAAAAAAACGCATCAGATAAAACTTTCCTGTTTAACATTTTAAATGCGCCAAAAGATTTGCTCTTTATTCCACTTACTGCAATAATGTACACTAAAAATGACAGATCTATATTAAAAATGATAGATCTATATTTAGTAGTTGGAAAGAAAGAGAGGAGAAATGAAAAGTGCATCTAGAGAATTTAAAAGAATAAAAATCTAAAAATAATAATACATAAAAATTAATATTATGTATTTTTTTCATGAGGAATGTGGGGCGCACATTTATGCATTTATTTATTTGGATGAGATTTACTTTAGAGCACATTCAGTATTCAACTTTAATTTTATTTTCTCTTTCTTATGATATATAAGTATAACATAATTACCTGCAAATGCTATCACTTTGTGTGCTTACAGTGATACAGAAGCAACATTACAAGTACTATATTTACAGATAACATCTGTATAATAAAAAAAGCACCAAAAATCTAATGATGAAAAAAGGATAAATATTGTAGACCAGGATAAGTATCAACCAATTATTCCACCGCTCTGTTTCATTAGAGTTGCAATTTTCTTTTATATCATAAATATTATAAATAAGATAAAGATTTCCGTACGTTTCAAATAAATTTATATATTTTATGTATGTAATACTGCGCACACATATTAAAAGGTGATAATATCGCAGTTATAATAAGATACGATCCTGGCAATGTAGTGATTTTTGGGTCCTACTTAAAATAATTTAATTTGATTTATTTTTGAGAAATACGCACAATACTTGAGAACAAATTATTTTTGTGCCATGTATTACCTGTGTAAAATTCCACACACAGTATCATATTGTCTGCGATATATGAAAAGCTTCATCGATGAAATATGATTGAGATATAAGAAAAGTAATATAGTACTTGTAATGAATAACGTTAATGTGGAATACATAAATATTTTATATTTTAATTTCATATAATCAAGATGAGATAAGACACTCATGATTACTTTAAAATAGTGTCCACAAATATCATGTAACTTCAACAGCTGCACATTCGTCAAATTAATCCTATTACGTTAAATGAATCATAGCAACTTGTTTTAATTTAATCTAACCTAACCAATTATATTATATGCTTCTCATTAAAATGTGTAAAACTGTACGTCGCACATTTAATACGATTAATATACTACGTAATAAAATGTAATACACTAATGAAATAATTAAATATTATTTTTGAAAGCATGATAAAATCCAGACAGCATACACTTGTGTTTACATTCGACATCCAAAGCACTGAGAGGTTAGGTTAGGTTAGGTTAGATCGAAAAAATTTATCGTTTAACAGTTGGCAGCCCTACGAGATAGGCTGTGCAGCACTGCGCGTATATAAAATAAATTTGAAATCGCTTCTAGTCTAACCATCTTCACGCGATCGACTTTATTTGAATTGCACGGCATCGCATCGAATTATGATGCGGCGCCGATTTGTTCGAACGTAATTCGGAACATCGCGATGCTGTATAAGCGTCGAATGAGCACGAATTGTCACGCAAATATGATAAATCACATCTACTCACCGTTCATCGCTGTTCCACAGACCGCTCCACTCGCTCGCCTCGGGACGTTCCATTCCGATCTTGATGCACACGATATCATCAACGCGAACGCGCGACACTTTATTCGGCACTCCCGATATTCGCTCGCATCCGATAATCATCATCAAGGGCGCAAATAACGCGACGCGACTTCGCTCCATCTTCGCGATCGCGCTATCACTGAACTGTGAAAAATAGCTGTCGCGCACTTTCACCGACATATTATGAAAATCGCGCGATCATCCTTGGACACTTTCGACGTTCTTTCACTCGCGATATTCGTTTAAAAACGGTTAAAAGACGCGAAAAATGCGGACGTACGACGATCCGTGTAACTGCGTATGACTCCGATTCACGTATGACGCGTATGACGTAGCAGTGACGCGTATGACGTAGCAATGACGCGTATGACGTAGCGATCACGCGCTAACATGGCGGCCGAACCAGTGCGCATTCGTTTCTGCGCACTGGTTCGGCCGCCATGTTAGCGCGTGACTGTTACGTCATACGCGTGATCGCTACGTCATACGCGTCATACGTGACTCGGAGTCATACGCAGTTACACGCATCGTTGTACGTCCGCATTTTTCGCGTCTTTTAACCGTTTTTAAACGAATATCGCGAGTGAAAGAGCGTCGAAAGTGTCCAAAGATGATCGCGCGACTTTCATAATATGTTAGTGAAAGTGCGCGATAGCCGTTTTCGACAATTCAGTGATAGCGCAATCGCGGAAATGGAGCGAAGTCGCGTCGCGTTATTTGCGCCCTTGATGATGATTATCGGATGCGAGCGAATATCGGGAGTGCCGAATAAAGTATCGCGCGTTCGCGTTGATGATATCGTGTGCATCAAGATCGGAATGAAACGTCCCGAGGCGAGCGAGTGGAGCGGCCTGTGGAACAGCCGGTGAACGGTGAGTAGATGTGATTTATCATATTTGCGTGACAATTCGTGCTCATTCGACGCTTATACAGCATCGCGATGTCCCGAATTACGTTCGAACAAATCGGTGCCGCATCATAATTCGATGCGATGCCGTGCAATTCAAATAAAGTCGATCGCGTGAAGATGGTTAGGCTAGAAGCGATTTCAAATTTATTTTATATACGCGCAGTGCTGCACAGCCTATCTCGTAGGGCTGCCAACTGTTAAGGTGCAATTTCATTGACGCTAAAAAATAACGTCAATGAAAAGGCCGTTTTACACACTGAAAAAGTTGAAACTGTTTGAACTTTATTTTATTGACGCCAAATCTAGAGAAAGTCTAGTGATTTTAATTTGCCGCTGATTGCCGCTTCAATGAAATTGCACCTTTAAGAGATTGACCAATCAGTCAAGTATGAAGAGAATACTCGATTGTGATTGGTCAATTTCTTAAAGCTTAGGGTTTAAATTATCTATTGTAGACCCGGCCTAAATCTTCCATAACAGTAGAGAGAAAGAGAGAGAGAGAGAGACAGACAGACAGACAGACAGACAGAGAGAACAAGAGAGAGAGAGAGAGTGAGAAAAAGAATGGAGAGAAATTCTAGATTATTTTGCAAAATAATTTGATAGATCTATCAAATCGGTGTACATCTTAAGTTTAAATTTGTGTGCATTTGTTATATGACAAGTCCAGATGTACCTGGCTGCTTAAAGCACAAGGTAGATACAAAGGATCCAAATACTTTAATTCTTTCGAAGAAATCACGCTTAAACCCTGGTTCCATAAACTTAAACTGAATCGAGAAAACATAGTCACCTGCTGTAGACTAAGAAGCAACCACTATGCTCTCAACCTTAGTTTATACCACTGCAATTTGATTACAGACTCTTCTTGTCCATGTGATTATCCCATGCAGGACGCGGACCACATATTTTGAAGCTGCCCTCTCTACACATACAAAGGACTTCTATCACAGTTATCCAGGTTTAAGAATTTAACGCAGTCCTACAAGATCCAAGACATTCTGAGCAAATCCTTCACCGAAGTTATCCACGTACTGCTTTCCTTCCTTAAATCTTGTAACTTTCAAATCTGATTATTACATATTTTATCCTTTTATTTAAACCAGTTGCTGGCCTGAGTATATTGATCGTTGATCAGATCAAAGACGGCCATAAAAAATTAAAGAAGAAGAAGAAGAAGTCCAGATGTAAATAATTTTCTTGAAAACACTTTAATAAAAAAAGAGGAAAATATCTGGGCACCTGTCAAATGTGTCAAAATGCTTATTTTATGTCTTGTAATATAGCTATCTGATTAAAAACTATACAATGGAAAATAAATCTGACGATATACTAAAAAATAGCGACGATTCTGAAATAGAATCCAAAGTAGGTTACATATTTGTTTGAAAGATCTTAAATACTTGATTATTGTGACATTCTACATGTATGTATTTGTAGGAAATATTAAGGAGGAAGATGCAAATGAAATCAGAAGCTCTCCTGTTGTTGAGTCAGGAGTTGGATCAATGTAGGATTCAACGAGATCAGTTTAAATTAATAGCAGAACAAATTCAAGAAAGATTTCTGCAATTGAGAAAGCAGATGTGTGAAACTAAAGAATCAAATAGGTAAATAATTTTAAACAGAATGATATATTATCTTAATATTCTATTTCAAATTTTTTCTTAATTTAAGCAAATAAATATTTTTGCAGATGCTACAGTTCAAATGATGATTTTAGAACTTTGGATTTATTGACAGAAGCACGAGAACAAAATAAATGTCTTAGGCTACAAGTTGAAACATTAAGACAGAAGCTAGCAGATGCCGAAGGTGATATTAAGGCATTACGTACAAATAGTAATCGTACATCAGTTCAGCAACAAGAAGCTCAACTTGCACCAACAATGCATCAAAGGGAGGAAATGATAGAGCAATTAGAAAAGTTAAATTTAAAAGTAAGTATTGCATAAGAAAGCACTATTTATTAATTATTAATTATTTGTTATGATTTATCAAACATATATATCCATAATATATTGTTATTCAATCAATAACATTGGTTTCTATCATAGTGTTCACAGTTACAAACAGATTTACAAATAGTATTGGATGAAAAACATGAACTGGAGATGGAAAGAGATGCTTTCAAGTGTAAGGCACATCGTTTGAATCATGAGCTGTCTAAAGCTTTGAGTGCTTCCAAACCAGTTGATCTGGATGCTCTTATCAATGAAAATAGGTAATTAATAATGAATAATTATATCAAAAGATAAATATCTGAATTTTATTTATGTTATTTATGTTATTTTTGTTCTTAGATATCTACAAGAAAGACTGCAGCAATTGCTTGAAGAGAAGGAACTTACACGCCAATCTCTGTCTAAATATAAGGTATAAGATTGACTTAAACAAAAAATCATTGTGTAGCATTAATTTGTGATTATTTTTGATATTAAATATAATTAAATATAATTGATTTTTTCTAGAGTATGTTGGATAGTAAAAGGACTAAAGGAAATATTAAATTGGGAGTAAATTCTGCAGCTGGAACAGTAATGACTCACAAACAAGGTAAATTACACATATTTATGAGTATGTATGTACATAAAGACAGTTTATTTTTTTTTTAGTTGAACAACTTCTTCAGGAAAGTTCTTATATACCACCTCAAAAATCTGTTGCTGCTGTTACTGACTTACGGTGTCTTTGTACTGCTTTGTTAGAAGCTTTAAATGACAAAACCTTGGCTCTAGCCCATCAGAAGAAAGCGAATAAGTAAATAGTTTCATATTGTATTTAAACTTAATTGTATTTAAAATTGTATTTAACTTGAGTTTCTACATAAAATAATTCATATATATTGTTATATAGAATATATAACAGAATATATATTCATATATGTTGTTTATATAGAATACTGGCATTGAGAATTTGTGAATTGGACAGTGCAGTGCAATCACCAACCATGAAACTTTTAGAGGGTTACACAAGCGCCAATGTTGATTTAAGATGTAAGTATAAACATATACAATTTTAACATATAATATACAATACATCATCATTACATTTAAATTCTTTACAGGTGATAATGATTTAGATCATACAACTAATTGTAATATAGATAATATTGAGGAAAACAGTATTATAACAAACAAAAATAGTGTACAGTGTAGCTCTTCTGAGAGTCAAGTTATGCAACAATTGCAGTCGATACAAATGAGTCTTCCAAAGAACTTGGGAGTATTAGTTCAAAAAGCGTTAAATAATCTGAAGGATAATGATAAACAGAAGATATGAAATTAGAAATGCTTGATATACGAAGAAATATGTGAACGTGCCTGCCTATATAATATAATATATATAACGTGGTTCTGTAAGTAGAAGCTGCTACATGCTTCATTGAAGCACATCAATCTTTGCAAAAAAATTTAATCTCTCTCCAAAAATCATATCTGTTTAAGAACAACACACAAACTCAACTTTATAAAGAATAAATTACTACAAATGTTAGCATAAAAATATTAAGTGCTACTTAATATTCTTGTTAAATTTGCAGTTAACATATATAGTAATTTCAAAATTTTGATAGAGATAATTTTATTAAATGATAAAAGACAATTTATTATACAACGTTTGTTGTAATAATTAATTTGACATATCATTTACACATAACATGTAGCTACAACGTCATAATACATATTGAATGATGGTAACTAAGTAATGACGTTTCGACAAATATCTTTTGCGCAAGACACTATCCAATTAATCTAAGCACGAAATTCGAATTGCGTACTTGGTCGCTCTAAGAATTGTTGGTCCCACCGATATTTTTAATCGATGATAAGATGCATTTTCCCTATGCGAATATATGTATATACGTTCTGCTAATATATAGAAATGACATTCCGTACGTACGGAATATATTTGCATTTGTATCATCATTAACTTCAATTCTTTCAATTTATCCTTCTGTCTTTTCCAAACGTGAAACGCTTAGTTATTGGTAATCTCTCATTGTTTTGTTTTGTAGAATTTCCATATTCATTCATTATATCATTTGTAACTGTTTCAACTCCTTTCTTTGTTGGATTTTTTTTTCTTTTATTATTTAGCATATATCTGAAGATTAAGAGGAATTATTGCAGGAGTTATATAATTAAGGGGAATTATAGAGGGGTATATTTAAAAATATAAATAATAATATTAGAGGAATTTTGGACACATGAGAATTAATAAAACTGAATGATAAAAATGAAAATATACTTCCTGAGAAGTTTTCTTACATTCAATTTAGTTTTTTTTCTGTAATTGTTGTTTCTCTTTCTTTGTTTCTTTCGGCAGTTTTCTATACATCAGATTTTTTCCTTCCCAAAATTCGAAGGATAATTTTCTCTTTATTTATTTGGTCCATTTTCTATTATGGAGAAAATGAAATAAATATTAAATTACAAATGTTTATAATTTTTTGAGAAAAAATCGAAAATTCTTATTATATAATAACCCTTTATTTTGTTCCTTGTTATGTTGTTTAGTAATATTGCTTTCCAATTTCTTTTTAGTTTTTCCTTTTTTCTGGATAATGTTGGACTTTTATTTTCAGATTGGACGTGATATTATTACTAAATTATGTGTTTTTGATTTTCAGAAGTCTTATAAGGTTTTTCAATACGAATTTATCGATGCATGTATATATAAAAAGATTCATTTATTAAAATAATTTTGTCCTTTTAATATAAATAGATAATATAATAATTTAGATAATTTGCCACATAATAGGATACAAGTATTACTTCAACTTTTTGTATTTTTATTATATATATTAAATTAATTAGATAAATAAAAGAAATAGATTTATAAAGCATATTTCTTATGTGTTTAGAATTTTAATCATACATTATACTATACATAAATATATAAAAATAATAAATTAATTATAAATTACTTAACGAATATGTATATATATTCATATAGCACATTTGTATGTTCTCACAAAAATATGGATGCCTCAATGGATATTTCTCTACTTGTGTGCATATACATTTAAAAAATATAATGGGAGAGCTGTACATTTATAAATAATAAGAATGCTTGTAAAAAAGACGGCACAATAAATATAATATACACACATTATAATTTGACAGTATAATATATATACGTTATAATTTGTATATAATATATATACGTTATAATTTGATATTTCCTAAGAGGTATTTTCTCATAAATCCTCATAGATATTTTATTACCGTTAAATGGAAGTTTTTCTTTTACGTTACTTAATATTAACTAATATAGAATTTTTTAAATTATAAAAAAGACAAAGGCACATTTAGTTATGTTAAATTTGTTACATATGTCAAAGCATCTTGATATGTAGTAATTGAAATAGAATGCTGATTTCTGATTCCTGAAAATTAGCATTGCAATACATTCTAATACATATTTTAATTTTTTTACAGATTTGTATGGAAATATATTTATGAAGATATTGTTTTTTCCCTACATGACTTCACGTTATGTTATCACTTCATATTATTTTTAATCCAATCGGTATACTCAGAGACACGCGTATAAACGCCAGGATAACCGGGCTCGCCGCACTTGTTGCCGAAAGAAACTATGCCGATCTGCGTCCATCGACCCTCGACTCGCAGCATCAGCGGTCCACCCGAATCACCTTGACACGCGTCCTTGCCACCTTGGCTATAACCGGCGCATAAAAAATTGCTGGTGATTGGTTGAAAGTAAGCCGTGTTGCAGTCTTCATTCCTCCACACCGGCAGGACCGCTTGTCGTTGAATGGTGCTTTCCTTTCCTCCTGTTACATCATTTTCGTTACGACATTTATCAACTAAGAATGTATAGAGAAAAGAGAAGAAAAGAAGAAACGAGAAACTTGATAAGCTTCAGATTTAAAAACTTATAACTCTTCACAGGATGTATATTTTTCTATTTTATCTATTTTTAATCTAATTTTGAATGTATATATTTAGAAGATGAAAGACTATACTCGTTTTTTAAAGTATGTATTATGAATCTCTTATTTTTCTTATATTTTAATTCTTATTTAATTTTTCGTATTTTAATTGCAAGATCAATTCTCAACGCTTGGATCTGAATTAGTATGAGAAGAATTTAAATTATACTATGACAAATATTTAATCGCTAGAGAAGAGAGATAATCACCATAATAAGTGGTGCCCCAACCAACCACTGTTGGTCTGGCGCCGACAAACGGTTGCCCGCGAAATCGTGCCTGCGGCAAACAAATGGGTATTACATACGGTGACCTTCTTACGGGTCTGGTGAGCTCGAGGACGGCAATGTCGTTGTAAAATCCGACGCGAGAGAACTTCGGATGCGCGTGAATCTCCTTGACCGCGTAAGTCTCTGGTGACGAGGGTTCATCATCCCTTTCCAGATCGATGTCGCCGAGACGCACAGTGAATTGGCGAGCAGCAAAGCTGTTAAGAAATATATATTAGTTATAATGTTAAGAAATATATATTAGAAATATATTAGAAATATTAGATTTTATATACATTGTAGAAAAGACTTTCCATAAGAAATTCGTTTCAAGAACTTTTTTGTAAGTCATTTTGTAAAAAAAAAGAACAATAATTCTCCCGAGAATGTATACACATTTTTAATTTTTATCTTTCTGATTAAAGTTATGGATCAATGCATTATTGGAACGTTCCTTACGGCCGTTGTCGTTGATCTCGCGTGCAATGAGCAGCAGTAAGGATATGGTGCGATCCTACCAGAGACCCTCCGCACCAGAACTCCGTTCGTCGGGAACCGTGAAGATAGATTGCCGCCATCCAAGGCCAACGACCAGGCAACGCTTCTTCGCCTCCGACCACACGGTATTTGCCTGAATTTCTTACTCCGCATTCTAAACAGAAAATTAAAAATTCTTTATAACTCTTGTTTTCGAGGAACAAATTTTTTTCCAAATTCTAGCTATTTATTGGCAAAAATGCGAGTGATGACAGTATGAAGAAAATCTGACAAATTCATTTCTTTCTAAGTCTGCAACTATTTTTCACAACACAAGAAAATGCTGAAATACCGTCATCATCCTGAATAAAATTGTTGTCGACCGTCCCGATTGTCTCGAAGCCATTCGTATTATTGCCCAATAAGTCTGGCGATGGAACGATGTGCGTCGTAGGTCTTATAGTTGAAGATGTTACCGGATACAAAGGTATCGGACGTGGTGTGAGGGGTTTTGTGGGTCGAATCGGTGGTCGTGGGAAATGTCCACCGCTGTCACTTCCGGAGAACGTATCTCCACCAATGTTGCTACAACAGTCACTTGCTTAGGTTTTATCTTTTTAAGACAATAAACATATGTATAAGATATTTTAATATTTCGACAAATTTTCTTGTAAAATATGTGTGAGATGAATGTAATCATTCACAGTTAATAACATGAATTTCCATTTACATGGGAATAGAGAGATTGTCGGTTTTATCTAACGGACAGCAAACCCCTGGCACGAACAGACTCTTAAAGCACAACGACTGCCTCAATTTAGTAAGATCAAGTAACAATTGCGGACAATTGCTAAGATCCTGGCACTTTCCCGGTCCACCCTCGGCTGTCGTGCATGCAGATAGAGTGGACTCCTTATCTCTATTTGACAATTTCTCTGCAGTTTGCTGCTGCTGCTCTTGGACTGGCGGTCCATGTGTTGAGGTCGTGACTGTTTGTCTCAATGGCAATGCTACACCGCGTACCAAAGGAGCGATGCTGTCTGTTACATTACGGCCTGAAAAAAAGGATAAGTGTCAAGAATTCATATTCTTCATAAGTTTATAATTTTAAAAAATGTTTCATAATTTTTCTTTATAAGTATATAATTCGTTATTAATATAAGAAAAAAACATTCTATACAGATAAATAAAAATAACATATTCTATATAATTTAATATATATTGATTTTTTCTTATATTACCTAGAATATTCTTGGAGATGGTATACAATGCCGAGGGCAGTTCCTTCGGTGGATAATTCGAGATCTCGACGCCTCTCGTCATATTGACGATATAGTTGCCCACAGTATTTAAGGCGCCCAAGGTCTCGCTGATGGTCATCAAAGGATCGCTCTGCTCTTGCTCAACCTTTACCAGCTGCGTATAGGGGCGCACTCGCGTGTCTCTACGATATATCGGTCTGTCCGATCTGCTTGGTTCGGCTCGGTCCCAAGAGTGCGGCCATCCTCTCGTCGGCGAGATGTACGAGTTTCTATATTCGTACGCTGCATTGCGACATTGCCTCATATGAATCAGAAGCGAGTAGAATCATTATAATAATAAAGGTAATATAATAAGAAATAAAAGTAAATGATAAGAACGCGACGAAGATAAAAAAGTGCTTTATTCTTGATTCTTCAGTCGTCATTCAGTCATAATCGCACACAAGTGATATACTTGTATATGAGAAATCTCGTAAGATTGCATAATGATGTTTCTTACAGAATCGCGAGTATATCACTTGGCGTGATATAATCGCGATTATTCCGATAAATCACAATCTCATTCGTGCTCCACTTTCATTCACAGAAGTCTCAGAACGCTCCAAGTGGATTTAAATAACTGATGAACACGATTCGTCGAGACGATTGTATATATTGCGAATGATGTTTACTTTTCGAAAACTACTTGTCGGGACGAAAATTACTTACGGTAAGAATGGTAATGTACGACTTCTTCGGTGTACGAGATGGAGCCGACAAATAGACTCCATATTATGCACAAGCCTGAAACATGAATACGTTATTAAAACATGAATTAAGCATGGTTCTATATAATTTCACAAATATATCATTCCATTGTACAATTTAGTATGAATGAAACGAATGCATACAATTCGCGAAATTATTTTGCAGATTATTAGCTTTCAATTTTCGCATAAATAGCAATCATTTACCATTCACTCGTATTATTTTAAATAATTTATTGTTTATTTATTTATTATCATTAATATTAATTATGTTCAAAGAGTTTGGTTTAATATAAAAATAATTTAGGTGTAAGTAACTAATTTTTAATAATTAAGTTATTAATATTTTTTTTCATATTTCTATCAGGTTTCAAATTGATACACAAATTCAGACGCCCCGATGCTGCGAACGTGTCAAAATGATGTTCATGTTTATTTATGAGAATTACGGAGTCATTCGCAATCATCTGTCATCGGAAATACCGTTGCCGTTTAACACATGTCGTCCATAATAAACGGACGCGTTATGCAACATGAAAAAGCACATCCGACTTTCTGATTTTCTCAGAATTTGTCGAAATTTCAAATAGAGATGCCATTCCAAATAAACATGAGAGAGGAATCTAGACGCGCGCGCAGATTTAACAAAAACTTTCTAAAATGAAGGAAGGAAAAAAACATTTTATAAAAATGTATAATATACATATATATAATAATTTGACAAACATGATTGCGCTTATTGTAAGAGATAGAAGGCTCATTAAACGCAATTAAAACTACATGATTGATGCGAATGGGAGAAAATTTCACCGACAGCAAGAATATCGATCTTCGCAGATCTTTCTAATCAATATCACACAATTATGTATGCGAGATATTTTGTGATTAGAGTTTATCTTAGAAAGGATATCGATTCGCAACGCGTTTCATTTCGACCTTGTTTCACCGGCCGTTCTCTTGTTAATTAGGTGAAATTAAGTCGAGCGTTAAACATCGTCAAACCTTCCGGAACCGCAATAAGAAAAAGATACTAATTCGCCTTGGGAAATGTTTCGAGTCTGAGATCATCATCGTCGAATAACTCCTATCAGAATCAGGATCTAAATCAGGTTCTTGAAACTCGATTCATTGATTTACGATTCATTGATCGATATAATACGATGCAAATATAGTGAAAATTTCGACTTGTTTTCAATTAATTCCAAAGTAAATAAAAGTTAGATCTGTTCTTGTTGAAGAAAAAGAAAAACTATAATAGCTGGTTATATTAGAGGTCTCTAAAAAAGAAGTACAGTCAGTTTTGTAACAATCGCGCGTGACCCAGTTGCAAGAAAGGCGAATGATTCTTTTTTTTTTTCAAGATACAGATCACATATGTGTTCTTCAAAAATCATATACATATATTTCCTCGACCCTCGAGGTCCGGGATCGGGGGGCTCGAGTAAAATGTATAATTAGAAAATTACGTGTTCCGATCGCGTGGAAGTAAGATTCTTCGGAAACTGGTTACGAACGCGCGTCAGGCTCTTCTCATCGACGGTGAAAGTTGCCCGGCGTGAAAGTGTGCCTTTCTTCTTCCGTTCACTGATTCACGTTGCCGTGATATGTCGAGGAACGACGAGGACGATTTATTCTTCGGAGGAACGGGGATAGTAAAAGCACGTTCTTAGGATAATTTACGTTGCGCGATGATAGGGGGAAACCCAGCTTCAAGTGTTACAAGGACCTTCTCTAATAGCATGTGTATCGAAATTATTCGATAACTCTCGCAGAACATGCGGGTTGAATAATGTTTGAAACTTGCAATTGCATTCATCTTTCGTGGAGATTACATTATAATTGTGTGACTAAACAATATTAATTTTAATTTTAATTTATCCAATAAAATTATTTATTATTATTAATAAAATGTGAAATGTATAAAACGTCGAAAAAAAATGATATATAAAACACAATCATGACAAATGATCAAATTATATTTAATTTTCAATACTTTAGGAATTTTAATTTAAAGAGAAATTTGATTTTTACAAAGATATGTAAAATTAAAAATTAGTGAGATATATTTAAATGATCATATTTCATTTTCGCCAAGGAATAATTATCCTTATCTGAAATAGATCAAAGGATTCTATACAGACGTTTTTATAAATAGGCACGTTAATTATAAAGGTGTATAAAGGTTCTTTCATTATTCTGTCACTTTTAGACATGTTTCATTTAAGATTTCGAGACGAGGAAAGGTGCGTCTCTTTTCTAAGTTTGAATCTCTTTGTGTCCCATAGTGCGTTGCGTGTGTACGTATATGTGAATACAGTAGTATATACCCACGCAGTAACCCAGATACATATACTGGACGTCGTGTGTGCATATACCTGCGCTATCCGCAACTTTATTCTCGACACATCGATGGAAAAGAAAAAAAGCAGAACACATCCGAAGCATCATTTTATAATACTTAAATCTCCAACTAAAACCTCTCGAGATCTTAATATAACATTTTACGGTACTTAAATTCAGGCAATCTACTTCCAGAAACAAACATGCGCATCTTTAATTCTACAAAAAGTTACATTATGTATGAAGATATTACATATACACCGATACACATATGTATAAATGAAAGAATTATATAAATTTTTTTACATATGATAACTTTATTTTAAATTAAAATGTATGTTATGTATTTTAAAGTGATCTTAATTGAAAATTTACTTAAATTGTATAAAATTTATTTATGTAAATTTCATAAAAACTTTAACACAGAGTTGTATTGCTCTTTTTTTCTCGGAAGAAAAGAAAGAAAGAAAGAAAAAAGCAAGCTGAGAATTAATCAATTTATAACAATTAAAACAATGCATAGTGAAATTTTGTGTGTATAATTCTACTGTTTTAGATATGTAAATTACATTACAAATTAATGAGAAGTCATAAAGAAGTGCACGCATTATTATTAGAAATTTAGATTTAAAAAAATTTATATATGAATTCTACGTGTTAAGATTTGATAGGAATTTAATAAAAGCGAGGTAATTCTTTCTTAAATGACAATTAACTTGCGAGATATGACGAATCACAATGCTTGGACGTTATCAATCAATCGTCGCGATTATGATCTTATAAGTATGTATATAATAAAAAAAAAGTTATGATAAACTAATATGAGAAAGTAAGAATTTGCATAAAGAATTTATAAACGTATAATTGAGGTCATCTTCAAGCTAAATGCGCTCAAGTTAAACTAAATCCACAACAATCGAGTTTCGAAAAATATTTCTAAATATTTAAAAACTTATTCTTTTCTTTCTTTTTGTTACTTGTTGATTTGTTTTTATGTTAGAAGAGTTAGAAGAGAGAAATTATATTTCATAATCTGATATTAATATTTTTAATATATTATATTACACTTTTTCATATTCACGTGAATTTCCACATGTAGATTCTTAAACCGAAAATAAGAAATTTATAATGTATAGAGAAAGCGATCCTAAAGATGCATATTACTGAAAAAGCATGCAAATGTGGATCGCTTTCTTATTCCAGTCTTTGGTGCACTAACATACCAGTTTCAACATAGTTTTCACTTTTGAAAATTAATTCGAGTACCACCAATCACGGGCCTATCAACAATTCGCTGTCACTATTGCGCGTGTCGTCCGCCAATTATCAATTCACTGGGGACGGTTATCAAGCACATAGTGTATCATCAACATCAAAACATTGCCTTCCGCAACTCTCTATGTATAATTTCGATAATCTTTCAGCATACTCGCAGATGCAAAAGAGGATTTCACTTACTCAGGACCATTGGCGAAGACATCTCGTTAGGAAAAAAAGGAAAACTTGTTATCCCGGGGACATCCCCAGTGTTTGTGCAACGCGTCTGCACGATACCCGAGGGACGCGACGTCGAACTATTCTAACTAAGAATGTCGCTTTGCGTGATCAGCGCGAGAGCACCGGCGAGTTATGCATAGTGTGTCGAGAGGGGCGGAAGAAGAAAGAGAGAGAATGAGAGTGACAATCGGCGGGGAGACGGAAGAAGATATGACACCAGAGCGGTAAGAGAAGAAAGAAGGAAATAAAAGAAAAATGATCGCGCGAGAGACGGAAGCGTACAATCGGTTGCACGGGACAGACCCAGGGCAACGACGAACTACTGTCCGTGAAAAGACCTCGACACACTTTACTCTCGACGGTGGACCGCGACCTATCGGCTCGCTCGCTCGCTCACTCTCTCCCGTTCTTTCTCCTTCTTTCTCCGAGGCGCCGTCTTCCCAGGTCTTCAAGGGAAAGTGGTGCTCCCTCTACTACTCGTTGCTCCGTCTTTCGATGACGATTCGATCACGTAGGAATGACTCGAAGCCGGCGAGTCTTCAACAGGTGTGTGCGCCGGATGTAATCGCTGTTATTTCTTCGATCCCGCTTGATATTGTCCGAGGAATTTCTGATGTATCTTCGGGATAGCAAAGCCTCGTTTCTTTTTCTTTTTAGACTAAAAGAGAGAGAAAGTGAACCGAACGTATGCGAGTCGTAGTATTATCTAAATTTATTTACGTTGTGATAATTCCTGCTACATCGAGTGTTCTGTTGTATAAAGTAAGCGTCGCTATATATACCACATTATTTACCATATAATTTATCCTCTGTGATGGAATTCAATATACAGATCGCCAATATATTCCGAAAGAGAAAGAGAGTACGCATTTTTCTTAAGAATACAATTATGCGATAGATTGCTCCTTTAGTATATTACTCATTCATTTTATTCTATTAGGACGCACTAGTTTAAGATAAACAGATGCACTTATAATTTTAATGTCTCTCATTAATATCGATCGCTCTTTGAGTGAAAACAACACTGATCGAGGATCAATATCCGTAAACCAAATAATCATTTACAAATTGACAAAAAAAAAATAAATCATATTTTGTTTTGTGAGGACACAATGGATCTATTAACACATGTACAAAAGTCCGTTAGACACGTTAAAAATTGTTAGAAATGTTGTGTTGTATGCCGAATGGATACATAAAATAAAGAACCGATGACAAGGAGCGCGTCTAATTACAGATTATAAGACAAATACTCTTCTCTGACGTTATTATACACGAGATGTGGACTTTGTAGAAATTCAAATATTTTACGGATTGCGATAAAAAATATTGATATCGATAGAATGTATGTCAATATATGTGCATAATCAATATATGAACCAAATACAATATTTTAAGATTATCGGTATGATATTTGTGCGAAAAGTCTTTCAATAATTGAAAAATTCTTCCATTTTCAAGATTGCAAAGAACTCGCACAACAATAATTTATAATCTGTTGTAATTTAATAAACGCGATTACATAAATTTGCACATTAAACGTGCACATTAAAAGTGTAATTTACACTTATCAAAGAACGTCTTACGAATCTGTCGCAAACGTTCTGATATTATTCGAATAAGATATACGCGAAAACTCGCATGTCTAGATAATCAATATTTTCTCATAGGCATGGACGATTTATACGCATCAAACCGTTCGTACGATGGCGCCGTTCCTGGTGCTGTCAATCCCATAGATTGCATCGGTCCGCTCTGATACGTCGGTGGAATCGGATGTCGCAATGTATTTCCCATGCTACTAGAGTTGCTCCATCTATAAATGCGTCGCATATTTGTATTTTAATTATCACGCTAATTGTGTCTTTATGCTTATTGAGCGATCGCATTGGATAAAAAAAAAAGTACGTTCACGAATTACGCTCGTTGAAAATTATACGCTTCAGTATGAATTACCTATTGACACTGTCAGACGACCTAGAACTCCAGCTAGAAGGTTCACTACGGGGATCGCGAGATCCGCTACTCGTCACGGAATTAAACGACTTTGAGGATGTAGGTCCCGAATGCCATCCACTCGGTGTACGATTGCTTTCTACGTAACGACTTTCACCTGCATTGAGATACAACAATAGCGTGTATACCGAAAATGAATGAAGACGCATACATACATACATACATACATATATTTTTTATTTTTAATAATTTATTATAACTAATAATATGTGTATTTCTCTTTTTCGCATAGGATGCAAAAAATCATTATAATGTTTATTAAAGAATATTAAGATGATCGTAAAACTTAGTCTTTTTATAAATGTAATTTCATCATTTAATGAATATTGTCTTTTGAATTGCTTGGTATGCTTTATAATAAAAACTATGTGATACCGAAAGCACATTTGACATTAATGTTAAATATCGTATAATATTTATAAGGCTAAACAAATTTGTATACAAATAATATTTTCATATCTTCTTTATTAAACTCTCTGATAGTAGGTTCAACTAACTACAATGAAAGTCAAGCAAAATTGAGAAATCGTATAAATTTTTATTACGAAGCATACACATTTGTAAAAGAGAATACAAATTGGATTTAAACTGAGATAATAAATTTTTTTATAAAAAACATCGTTATATATATTTTAAAAACGCGCACGCATGTTTGGCACTTGTAATTACACTTTATATATCTCTTCCATTTTTTTACATATACATATATATTTTTATATATTTTTTTAATATCTTATAAGAGACATTATTTATTATTTTTTATTATTATTTATAATAAAAATGCCATCAGATTGCTTATGTGCGAAAGACACAAATTATAAAAATAAGGAAATTTCTTTACTATTGTATCCAATTTTATATTCATATAACAATTTTGCTTATTAAGTTCAACATAAAATTAGTGTTTGTAAACTTTTAAAACTTTGTTAATCTTTCATCTTTTGTGCGTATTATGTTCCATAAATTAGAATGTGATCTAGCACCATGTATATGTAATCTCATTTGCACATTATTAATCATATACTATCCAAGAATTTTTCAAATCGGGGATATAAATAGATAAAATATATAAAAATAAATTTGAGTTTATCTTACAGCATCAACTTATACGTATCTCTCATCTACTAGAAATATTTCATGAAAATATTTTCTGTTATACTATTATTTAAGATATTAATATCTTGTACACAAAAGAAAAGAATAATCTAAAAAAATTCAATTAAAAATTTAATCTAAATAATCAAAAAGAAAAATAATCTAGAAATAGTTTAATATAAAGTAAAATACTATGAAATCAAGAAATTTTATAATAAGATGCAAGATTATAAAACTAAAAGTCTTGTAACAAAATCTTAAATACTGGATGTTAATACCATCTTTCGTATGTATGCAGTTTCTCATACTTACGTGGCGTATTAGATCCTGGCGGTTTAAAACTATCGCTGTATCGCGTATGACTGTCTCTAGAGGTTCGATGCGTCTCAGGCTCGGATCGTCGTACTTCGCGTTCGCGAGTATAGGATGTAGTACTTGGACGATCGTATCTATGAAGTCCAAAATAAAAGAACTCGATTAAACTGATAAGAGATTCAATCGCGATAATTTTATACAATAATACGACATGTACCTTTCCTTAACTTGTCGAGGATCTATGGACGAAGATGCAGTGGACAGACTTTCTCGACGTACAATGACCTCTCTTCCGCGAGAAACATCAGAAAAGCTATCCGATCGACTGCTTCTCGAAGAGAAATCGCTACTTCGCTTAAACTCCTTCTTTAATCCCATGTCTTGAGCGGATCTGAAAACGAATTTCATTATTCGCATTATCTTATTGCATATTAAAAGAAATATTAAGTGATAAATGATGTAATAATTAATAATAATTAAGTGATAAAGAAAGCGAGAAAAGTTTACCTGCTGGATTCGTATCGAGAAGGTGGCGAAGGATCTAATCGTCTATCCGATACTCGATCTAACATATCGTTTCGTCTGTCGGCTACTCTGTCCGGACTATGTCTACGGCTATGCTCTGTACTCATTCGTTTCCTGTCAGGTTCCACGTACAAATCCCGTGGATCTCTTCTGTCAGTAGATGTTCTTTTTAGAGAAGGCGGCGGTGGTGCACGTCTGCTCTCCTCCAGACGCATCTGCTGTCTTTTTAATTCCAATCTTTCGCGCTCAAGTTTCTCCCTTTCAAGCTTCTGCCGTTCGCGCTCGAGTCGCAACAATTCGGCCTTTTCCTGTTCGATCCGCTCCCTCTCTCGCCTCAACTTCTCTCTTTCTCTCTCCAAGCGCGCGGCTTCTTCTCGTTGTCTACGTTCTATCTCTCGCTGACGCTCTATGTCTTCTCTCCTTCGCCGCTCTTCTTCCCTTAGAATCCGTTCTCTTTCACGAAATCTTTGCCGCTCACGTTCTTCCTAAAAATTTCAGATTTTTTGCCTTTTATATTTTTTTTCTTGCTGTACTGATAATAATTTTATCTTCAATGAAGATATTTACTCTTATCTTTGCAAATGTGAGAACGTCATCGCGCCTCCGTCTTTCGCGGCTTCTAGATCGACTGTGACTTCGATGATCTCTGTCCCAAGTACGAATCCGTTTTTCTTCTCGTCTTCCCCTCTCGCTCTCCGGCTTTTTACTGGTGGATTTCGTCGATCGGGAATCGGATTCTTTAGACAGATCTTCCTTCTTATCTTGCAACTCTATCTTCTTAGATTCAATATTTTCATTTTTGTCATCAGATTTTTTTGCTAAACAAATGTAATAATTGTTGATTATTTATACTAGTAGAAATTAGAGTAAAAATTATTTACAAAAAATATAATTTGCTTGTTGCTCCATTTTTAATTATTATCATAAAGAAATAATATTTACCAGCATCTAATCCCTTCTCTTCAATCTCTTTTTTTACTTCCTTTTCCTTTCTTTCATTTACGTCATGATCCTTTGGCTTTTCTTTTTCGTCTTTTTTCTCTGATTTACCATTAACAGTATCTCGTTTACGTATATGACTTTGCTGTGTATCACCTTTTGCCTGATGACAGTTTATAATAAGAATAAGCTTGCTTGTAAAGCGCTAGCGATATTATATTTTGTTTTGAAAAAATGTACGTGTGTAACAGTGAGCGAATCTAAGTTTACAAAATAACATTTATTAAACAACTTTTTGTTTTACCTGCGAAATCTTACCTTTTCGACAGATATGACGCGTCCATGAAGCTCGGTTCTGTGTAAGTGTTGTATACATTTTGCTGCATCTTCGCTTGAAGACATAGTAACGTAACCATAACATCTTGCCCCAGGAGTTCTCGCATTGGTGACTACTTTCGCGCCTATAACTTTGCCATATTTGGAGAAGATCTGTTTCAAATCGGTTGCGCGTGTACTGGACGACAAACCGGAGACCCATAGATTGCGACTGCTCGCACTGGTTGGACTGACCTGAGATATCTTTTTATCTGCAAAACATTATGAATGGTTATACAAGACACATATACAAAATTCCGTAAAAATCGATAGAACTAACCATCATATTTGTTAATGATTACAGATTTAAATAATAATACGCATTCAAAAAATAAATAAAATAAATATATTAGCTTACCCTTTTCGTCTCTCTTCTGGCTTTTATTGCTAGACTCCGCACTGAAAGAGATAAATATCATTATTGTATCAGAAAATTGAGGATTGCAATATAATATTCGATTACAAATAACGAATTAATTAGGACTATATAATTTGCGAGGCTTAATAAGTATCTCTGGAACTATGTTAAGGACACAAATTTGGCTAGCAACTTGTATATTTTTAGGCGGTATATGTGACCTAGATTTTTTTCTTTAGAATTCACTTGTACACCATTGTATATTAGTATCAGTTCTAGATAGATAATTGAATATGTATTCATTGTCTGTATTTTCGGTTCATCCATTTTCGTCACTCGTGTATAAGGAGAAATGGCATCCATGTGGCAACACTTATCAGCTCTAAGCATCCACAAAAGGGAAATCAGCTGCATAGTTCTTCCGACTGAAATTACTTCTTGTCGGGATAATTTTTTAAAAACGCTTACGCGTTTATTATTTTTTTTTTATTATTTATTAGGGTAGTAGTATTTCTTCAATAAGCAATAGGATTGCTTCTTGACAGTACGAGGATTTAAGCACGTTCTGCCAAATGTAATTTTTAGCATAAGATATTTAATGTCCTTTATGTGCACAATGACGCAGGATGGAATTGTCGTCTCTCAATGAAACAAATGTCCTGTAAGAAACACAGCACACGGGATTCATCCGGTTTTTTTTTGACGTCGTAGAGTATATATAATCACCTTTTACTAGATATATGAAGAGAAATACAATATGCCACATTTGAGACTCATTTAAGTTTGCTAGCCAAGTTCTCGACTACTTAACATATTTGCCAGAGTTAAGAATTATAGCCTAGAGCACACGAGATTGGAAGAGTAACTTCCAAGATTCTCGATTTAAGAAAATGGAATAAAGGTAATCTTGCATGTGACGTGTGAGTGATCTCATCTTGGAAATCCACATTTTGTCCCACGGTACAGAGAGAGAGAGTTAGAGAGATCGTCCCGATGATACGGTTATGCAGCAGTAGAACATCACTAGTAGAGTCGTGAGTGAGTGAGACATTTCCAGTTTGCTGTACCACAGTACCGCGAACCGTACTTCTTAGCTCTATGAGAGACCAACCTCTTGCTTCCTCCATCTCCACCGTCCTGCTTGTTCTTCGTCCCAACGTTTGCACCGGACGTCGTCCCTTCCTTGCCGCCGGCACCAGCTTCCGCTCTACCACCGCCTTTAGAGTCTCCCTTCTTGCTGTTCTCTTCTATTTTCTTCTTCTCTCCACCATCTGCAGGGACAACCAAGGTAGCATAGTCACTTTCTGCAAAGCCTCAGACTCTTCTCCCTCCCGCCTAACATTCTCCTTTAGTGGCTTGTATTTCCAGTCAGGAATTTTGGGCAAGTCACTAAGAAATTCACACAGTGAGCAACGATGTAAGGCTTGCACGATATTGCAAGCCCCCGATCTTCGAAATATCGAAATATCGATATCTTCGATCTTAGAATCAACGCAGAGAACTTAAACCCGTTTCGCCGGTTTTTTTTTTATATACGTTGTGCGCGCGTAAAGCTACCAAAACAATATTTTGTATCTTTATATATACGAAACTCCGATTTATAAGGGTTTTAAACGATGAATTAGAAAAAAAATAGCTGTGCAAAAAGCATATGTTTTTGTTTTCAAGAATTTGCATCATTTTATGTCAAGAAAATAATTTCTGCAATAGATTAATTTTCGCGCGCGCGAAAAACGTGCTTTAATATGTTACATGTGACTCGTCGAGGCACACAATATTGGTCTCTTATGTGATAAACAACATGTTGTGTTAATTTATATTCTGTGAGAAATATATTCGCTGATGTACACTTGAATCTTCCTTTATCCATGTGACTTGATGATAGAGATCCAGCGATGCTCTATGTAGTAGGTATAATTAATGTAATTGTGTATATCAAATTCTAGCGTTAACTAACTTAAAGACTATGGGATATGATTTTTTTGCTGCCAATAGCAGCGCCTAGGAAGATGTCGGGAGATGTACACTTTATCCCAAAAACCTTATCAATCACCATGCGTTCATCCCGGTCGAAACACCTTATCAGTAGCCGGGTAGTATGCGCTTCAATGATCATGCTACGGTTGGCTACGTTGCGTCCAGATGTTGAAATGAAGTTGACGAGGACGAGGCTCTTAAAGATTGAAGCTCGTAGGACGAGAAGGAAGTTATTGTGGAAGACATTGCCCTTGTTCCAGATAGTTGTGCTGTTCTGTTCTCATATTTGTTGACTTGAACACGCTTGCTCTTGATGCTGACACTTTTGCTAATTTACTTGAGGAATGCCGCAGATACAAATATCGCTACCCTTCATATTCTTGGAATCTTACATCTAAGTTAAAAAATAATAAATAGTGAAGAACTTACCCTTGTGTCTGTCGTGAGATTCTGTCTGTAATGAAAAAGTTATTTATTAGAAGTGATTTGAAGACAATTTTTGATTCTAAAAACTTTTAAGGAATTACTACATATAATTTTGAAAAGTTATCTTCTTTTCTCTTACCTCCTCAGCAAGGAGATTTTCTTCATCTTCTCCAATAGTCAAATTAATGGAGTCCTCGTTGTCAATTCCGTTAGCCTCGACAGTAGCAGATGATGCGGTTAAGGATTGGTTTGCAGTATTATTTTTGTCTGATTCATTCTTGTCATTACTCTGTACACCTTCAACTTTCACTCCTTGAATTTTGATTTCCTGTTTAAAATTTTCTTCCTTACTAGTATTATTCTTGACTTCAGATTGAAATTCCTAAATTTAAAAAAAAATCAAAATATAATACAAAATAATACAAAATAAATCAGAATATAATACAATATAATACAAAATAAATCATCAGTTGTAAATATAAAATATTTTGATTTCATTAATTTAAATATTTCATATTAATAACAAGCGTTTATTATTTACCTCTTTTTTAATAGAAATTTCTTTTTTAATAGAAACTTCTTTTTCAATATTTTCTTCTGCCATAGTTTTTATTTCTCCTTTGGATTTTTCCACATTTTCTTGTTTATCAATATTTTCTTCTTTCTGATTATCAGAACATTCAGTAGATTCTTCTTGATTCAAGGTTCCTGTAACAAGAAGATAGATGAAGAGATTTAATTAATAATGAAATCTCTAATCTTAATATATATAATATATTATAATATATTTAAAATATAAATTTATATTTACATTACATTATATTTAAATATAAACATAATGAATTATTTTAATTGTAGTGAATATAAATGTACCACTATTTTTTCTTGGAATGACTTTACTTGGTCCACCAGATGGCACGATGAGATATTCTTCAGGATTGTCTCCATCATCCGATATAGCCTAAAAATATAATTATTTCATTTTTTTATTTAATGATAATCACTATCTGATTTATCAAGTTTACAAGTAATTAATCATTTTGATCTTATATCTTTTCTCTTGTATAGCAACTAACTGTAAAATTGTATCTACAGCATAGTTCATGCAACGCTCTTTTTACCAACAATTAGCACAAAAGCACTAAGGCGCTAATAGTAAAACAATTATCATGTATTTTAAAATACTAGCAAATTAGCTGCAAATTTTACTTTTCCTTCTCTCGCTAGCATGTTAGTCAAACTATTCCAACTTTATGAGTTACAAGGATATATATTAATATATATTAATATATATAGCATGCATTTAAATAATATTGATAATTCGCAAAAGCAAAATTTTTAATCACGCTTGTATGATTTACACAATGCTTTTTGACTAACACCCTAGTGTATGATGTGATAAGAAAAATATTTAAGAACAATTTCTGTTCATTCAACGTACATCAATTACGTACAATAAAACGTCCCTCTTATTACATCATATGCTAGCTTATAAAAGTAGCTGATAAAAAAAAACATCATGTAAACCAAGTTAAAGCGCGTAGTAAATGGCACGCGTAATAAATCAAATCGAGGATTGATCACACCTTCGACGATTATTCGATAGCCTTTATTTCGATTGACGCAAATAAGCCTGCTGCTAAATCAATAGGGTTAATATGGCGCGAAGTCATTGGAGGGTGAATCCTAAATTTCGGAAGAATTAGTGTGGAAGCGACAAAGCGACATTACTTATACCTTTGACAGCCGCTCGAGAAGCGCCGCTTTGTTGCCGGACTTGTCGAGTCCGCGACGTTCCAGCTCGGTCTTAAGATCTATAACCCGAAGCTCGGTCAGCTTCTTGCCTTCCATATCGGCCATTGTACTTGCGAGGATGACCGTTTGCAACTTTGCGAGATAGCGTGGCGACGATACAGGGGAATGAATATCGATGGCTGAATTGATAATCAATAATTATTATGCGATCGCGACGAAACGGTAATATGAATCGTTCGATTAAAAAAGCTCAAAATACGACGAGATGCAACGAGACTCCTCCGATACACGTATTACGTACCGTGCTAGAATCAAGTGAGAACGGCCATTGAAAATTGTCCATTGAACTGCGTTCGAGAAGACACAAATGTGGGTTTGTTCCTTTTGTATTTGTGCTGCACTCGCGTTCTCTGCACTTCTGCACTCGCGTTCTCTGCACTTCTGCACTCGCGTTCTCTGTACTTCTGCTTTCTCTGTACTTCTCAAAATGAAACTGGAGACGCGTTTCGTTTGACGCTATTGAAAGTTTCGAAGCGTTAGATGGACCAATCAGTGCAGAGACTCGTCCTGATTGGATAATTAAACGATTCAAAATTCTATTGAGAAAGATGAACGGATCTCCTTATTTTGATTGGTCGATTAAAAAAGTGAAAGTTTATAATATTAAATATATATAATATTAAAGTTATATATATAATATTAAATATATTAATATATTAAATATATTTAATATATAATTAATATATAAAATATATAAAATATATAAAATATATAAAATATATATTAAATATATAAAATATATAAAATATATATTAAATATATAAAATATATTAAATATATATTAATATATATTAAATATATATATTGGATCAGTGCAAAAGTTCGTGCCCGATTTGTAAATAAAAATCAAACAGTTGTTATTGTTATAAAACCGCTTTTATTAATCAATAATATATTCGCCACCGTTCTCGACAATCATTTTCCAACGTTTAACCAATGTATGGATACCACGTTTGAAAAAATCACGTGGTTTTGCGTCAAAGAACGCGGTGATGTGATTTTTGATAGCCTCCACAGAATCAAAATTCTTGCCATTTAAATCGTTTTGTAATGATCGAAACAAATGGTAATGGGAGGGTGCGATGTCCGGAGAATATGGTGGATGCAATAAGATTTCCCATTTTAATTGTTTCAATTTGTCCAGAGTCATTTTCGATGTGTGTGGTCTGGCGTTGTCATGGTGGAAAATAACGCCTTTACGATTAACCAAGCTCGGGCGTTTTTCTTTCATTGCTGCGTCTAATTTGGTTAGTTGTTGGCAGTACTTGATTGAATCAATCGTTTGACCAACAGGAAGCAGCTCAAAATATATAACACCTTGGCAATCCCACCAAACAGAGAGCAAGACCTTCTTTGGATGCAACTCAGCTTTGGCAATTGAATCTGCCGGTTTATTTGCTTCCTTCCAAGTACGCTTGCGTTTGACGTTGGTATACAACACCCATTTTTCATCGCCAGTCACCAAACGATCCAAAAAAACCTCTTTTTCCAATCGTCCGAGCAAAGAAACGGCTGTGGAGATGCGGTCCAACTTGTTTTTTTCGGACAACGAATGCGGTATCCAAGTGTCGAGCTTTAAAGTGAGTCCCATCTTCTTTAAACGCCGAAACACGGTTGATCGATCAATGTTTAAGACCTCAGCAATCTCTTCCGTCGAAATGCGTGTGTTGTTTGCTATTAATGCGCGCAGAACATCGTCATCGATGTCGGAAGGACGCCCAGAACGAGGTTCGTCTCCGAGGTCAAAATCACCACGACGAAATTTAGCAAACCACTTCTTCACCGTTCGAAGTGCTGGTGCACGGTTCAAATAAACCTCCTGAATATTTTTTGTCGCAGCGCCAACAGTTATTCCTTTCCGAAACTCGTAAAGCATCACATGTCGAAAATGCAACTTTTCCTTGTCCATCTTCAATGATTTTTTCACGACTTAAATTTAACCAAACCAAGCAATTTCTAATGCTCAAATGACACGTATGACTGTTATTTTTCCAATAATATATATTATGCATATGTAAACAACAACAGAGTTGCTAGGCAACTTCAACAGTGCCATATGTACGAATCGGGCACGAACTTTTGCACTGATCCAATATATATTAAAGTTATATATATAATATTAAAGTTTATGATATTAAATAAGTGTACTTCAAGTGCTTTCTTTGCAAACGGATCTGATTGGTTGATCTGAAATTAAAAGTAAATCTGATTAGCTACGCCATGTTGTTATTATCTTCTCGAATGAACATGGTGTGACCAATAGCTCATCGAATTTACAAGATATCGCATAATGTTGAATATGAGATTTGGCGGGTCTTTTCTGTTAAATAACGATTGAAATACCAGTTGCTGGCCTGAGTATATTCATCGCTGATTGGATCAAATATGGCCATAAAAAATAGAAAGAAGAAGAAGAACGATTGAAATCATTGTGATTTATCGAGCAAAAGGTAGTTTTTTGTCGACATAAAATTAATAATCTTTAGTTGCTGGTATTGTTAAAATTTCCCACAAGTAATTTAGTGTAATTACCTTAATATTTTTTATTGTACGCACTCTGTTTATATAAATATTGTATACACTTTTATATAGGTTAGAAAATTGAAATAAAATAAATAACACAAGTAAGTTATATATATACAATAAGTTATATATATATATACATCTTTGAAAAATTAGTTGCCAGCATATTATTATATTTGTGATTGAAAACATGATGTGGAAATATTAATTAATCAACGATTGACGAGAGATTAATAATAGTTTACAATCTCAATATTTTTTTATATTCTTCACTTGGAACTAAATTAGTATTTCATGAATGACTACATAAAGTGAGACAAAAACTATGGATTCATTAAGTAAAAAACATAGTTATCCTGTTGAAAAGGAATTGATGGAAAAAAGTTATGTGAAAGATTACACAGAAGCAGAAGTTGAAGAGTGTCTAAGGGTAGGATAATTCGTTTTATATTTTTATACAATCATACAATAATAATAATATCTTTAAGAAGATATTTACTTATGTATATGTATATTTTTATGGAAGAAAAATAGTAGCTATATTTTCTATATTTTAGTTTGTAAACAGTAGAGATACCAATACAAAGAAATCTGAATTCAATACATTACTTGAAAAATTGGAAGATAATGTGCAAAAGCTCTATGTGGAAGATTTAGCAAAAGATTATCAAGAGTGTAATTTTACTTATAATCCAAAATGTAATTTGCCAATTGTTTCTATGAAAGATAGATTATTATCAATAATTGAGACGAATTCTGTAGTTATTATTCAAGGACCAACTGGTTGTGGAAAGACCACTCAGATTCCCCAATTTATTCTTGATGCTAATATCAAGAAGAAGCTTTCCTGTAATATTATAGGTACATTTTTGAATATAATTTTCATTACATATTTGTATTATATATATATATATATATAAAATATACAAAACATCTCTTTTGATAGTAAAGTATATAAATCTTGATATTTATAATATGATATTTATAAATTTCTGTTAGAGTTTATAATTATTTTATAATTTTTAATATTTTTATATGTTACATATTTCATATTTTTTAGTTACACAACCAAGACGAATTGCTGCAATAAATGTTGCTAAAAGAGTTAGCCAAGAAAGCGGATGGACTCTTGGTAGTCTCATAGGTTACAAAGTTGGCATGCAGGTGGAAAATTCACATGAAACCCGTTTAACATATTGCACTACTGAAATCCTCCTCAATATCTTGATACGTGAAAAACATATGTTAAGATATACACATATTATATTAGATGAAATTCATGAACGGGATCAAGAATTGGATTTTCTCCTACTAATTGTTAAAAAATTGTTGCAAACAAATTCTAGACAAGTCAAAATTATTCTTATGTCGGCAACGATTAATGTAGTAAAATTCGCAGAGTATTTTTCTACCAAAATAGGAAATGAACTAGTGCCACCACCAATTATCAAGATTCCAGAAAAAAGAAATTTTAAGATTTGTACATATTATCTGGATGAGATAGAAAATCTGGAAACAGTAAGTATGAGTAATAATAATTATTCAAAATTTAATCAATCTTGTATATAATTCTATATAATACATTAAAATTATTATTTATTACTATATATAACAACATAATAATAAACATATTGCATATCTTATTTCACAATAATTATGCAATATTTTTTTGTAAAGTCTATACATATTTTAATAATGTAATAGTTAATAAATAATTTATATAATATGGTTTTCTAATACATCTTAACTTTGTTAAGTTTGTAATTATAAGTATATAATAATAAGTTTGAATTTTATAGATACCAGAAGTGTCTGTAGAACCAAAAGTCACTAAAAATATGATTAATGTTTGCTTCCTTATCATCAATGCTTTGGATCTAATTGATATAAATGATAATGAAGATTCAGATTCACTTCAGAGACACGCCGTTCTCATATTTTTACCTGGAATTTATGAAATTGAAGAAATGTATAATTATTTATTAGCTCATCATATGAATAAATTGTGGGACTTGGTGATTTTGCATTCATGGATTTCTAGTAATGAACAGCAACGGGTTTTTTATAAACCTCCGGAAGGTTACAGGCGCATTATACTTTCCACAAATGTTGCTGAAAGCAGTATTACTGTACCAGATATAAAATATGGTAAATAAAATTCTTATAAATTATACAATTATTCTTCAGAAAAAAAAAATATTAAAACAAAAAATATTTGCGAAAAAGTATATAGAGATATTAAAGTAATATAAATATATAGTTATTTTATAATATTTCCATAAAAAATTGTACACGCGCATACGCGCGCGCATACATATAATTTCTAATAACAATTAATTATTGAAGAGAAAAGAAATGCCAAAAAATGAACAAATAAATGCAATTAAATATTACTTATAATTAATAATTAATTTAATAAATGTTTATAATTTATAGTGATAGATTTTTGTCTTGTAAAAGTAATGGAAGTTGATCCCATTACTCATTATCAAAGTTTAAAACTTTGTTGGGCAAGTAAAGCGAATTGTATACAACGAGCTGGTCGTACAGGTCGTGTAATGAATGGCAGAGTATACAGATTAGTGCCAAAATCATTTTATGATGTAAGTAATGCTTATAAGTTTATTTATATTTAGTACTTTCATAATCTGTATACTTTAAGAAGAGTTTCTATAAATATATAAGAGATTAAAATGGATCATAAAATCTTTGAAATTTACGAAATTTACAGAATATTTTTAATAACGAGAGCACTCCGGAAATACTCCGCGCTCCACTCGCCAATATTGTTCTTCGTGCCAAGATTTTCGACCTTGATGAACCACGTGCCCTTCTCTCTCTTTCTCTGGATCCACCTTCTGTCTCTAATTTAGCAGCCACTATCCTGACTCTAAAGGAGGTCGGAGGATTAGTAAATGAAGATGATTCCTTTCAACCTTTTGATGGGAAATTAACTGATCTCGGCAGAATAATGGCATTTCTTCCACTTGATATACAAATTACGAAATTAATTATGCTAGGTCACGTTTTTGGAGTTTTACGGGACGCTATTATTTTGGGGGCCAGTATGACCATCAAGGATGTTTTTAACACACAATGGCACTGTAATGTTTCTTCTTATGCCACTCGTAGAAAATGGGCTTACGATTCTGACAGCGATTGCATCGCTATTTTAAATGTTTACAAAATGTGGCAAAATGAAAAAGCGAATCGTCGATTAGCTACTTGTCAAGCTGAAAGACAATGGGCCGAGAGAAATGGAGTCCAACTAAAAACTCTACGCGAATTACATGTTCTGATAAATGAGATCACTCAGAGATTGATGAAGTTTGGAATTGAGGAGAGTATTGGAACTAATAAAAGCATCTGGCAAGGTATAAATATTCCTTTTGTTGTAATTATTTAATTGTGCTTTAAACATAGTTAATTTTTTAGTAATCGTTTTAAAATCATTTTTAATATTTTTTATTGTTCTATTCTTTGATTTTTTTTTGATAAATTTCTAAATTATTATTTTACAGTTATCTTTTATTAGCTTTCATTATTATTTTTAGTTTTAATTTGATTTCTGAATTATGTATATATTTTCTAAAGCAAATTTTATGTTCCTTTTAAATTTACACTTTGTTTCACAATTATTTTTTAACTTTTTATTTATTTTTTTATTTTATAATATTTTAGATTATTTTTCAATTATAATACATCTACAATTCGTTTTATTTTTTTTAATAATTATTTTCAGATACTGATCGTGATTTTGTACTTCAAGTCATTCTCGCAGGAGCATTCTATCCTAATTACTTTGTCAAACGTATACAAAATTTGGAAGTTCATAAAGAAAATATTATAAAGAGCGTAGGTATCTTAGATCCCATGAAGACAGTTTATCTAAGAGGATGGCCAATAGATCAACCTGGATATTTGTATGCTAAAAAATTCCAAGAGATTTTTGCTAAGCATCAAGGAATTCTAGAAAATCAAATAGTAGTGTTTTTTGATAAATCAAAACGTGTTTATGTGCAATTTCGCGAGAAAATGCCTATTAATGATAATTTTTACAATATATCAAATTTTGTGTATCAGGTAATTATTAATTTATTATTTATATTTTGTGTGTGAGTGTGTGTGTGTGTGTGTGTATGCGCGCGCATGCGACAAATATATATGTGTAATTTAATAATATATAATTTATATATAATAAATAATAATAATATACATGCACAGATTTATATAAAATATAAAAAATATGAAAGAACTGATAGAATGTTTATTATAAAACATTATAATTATGTAACATTAATAATTGATGATTATGTAACATTATATATATATTCATTATTAATTTATCAGGCTATCAAGATGAGGCATTGTAATGTGCCAATCAAGATAAATTTGTTGAACATAGGAGAAGCACTTAAAAGGGCAGAATATCATGACATTCATCAATTTGAACGAACTCTTTTCTTTCATAAGGATTTAAGGAAGATAGAGAGCGATAGTTATAAAATCAAGCCCAAATTGCCAGGACTTGATGTCACTTTTATACCTCTATTTATACAAACTGTAAGTTTTCTTTTATTTTGTAAATTAATAAAAGATAAAAATTAGAATTATAAAAAAATGTTTGTTGTTATAAAGAAACATTTATAATATTTATAAATAAGAAAGAAACATTTATAATATTTATAAATTATATAATAATTATTATATTAAGTTCATTAAATTATTGTTCGATGAAATTATTATATCTGTTCATTGATTGATGAAATTATTACTGGATGAATTATTTGTCTAATTTTATTTATGCACATTCTATATTAATATATGCCAATCAATATTTTTAGATTATTAGCCCTGGCTGTTTCTGGGCGATTCTCAATAATAATGACACCCATTTTAAGTTACGAATTATTGAAAAGATTTTGAATAATCGCCCATTAAAAGAACTTTCTTTACCTCCAAAAATTTCAACTATAATCGCCGCTCCTATGGAAAGAAAAGATTCTTTAATTTATCATCGTGCTATAATTGAAGACTTCACTTTAGGACTTGGACAACTAGTTGACGTTTTTTTCATTGACAACGGTCACTCCTCTCGAGTTCGATATAGTGATCTAAGAGAAATTAATGATGTCCAAATTTTGGAAATACCTCCTTTAGCATTCCAGTGTAATTTAGCTTTTCTGCGACCTTCAAATCAAGCTAATTTTCATGGTCGTTGGTCAAAAATTTCGAAAAATTATTTTGAAATGCAAATTAAGAAAATGAGTAAGATTTTTGGAAAGATTTATTCAGTTGTTGATAATATCGTTAATTTGGAATTGATTGCTATTAATAAAAAAGGAGAAGAATTTAATATTAATGACGATATGATAGAGAAAGAATATGCTAGAAGAAAAGAGGAAAATTATTTATCGACATATAATCATGAATTGAGAGTGAGTATAAACAACTTTAAAACAATATCAAAGGAGGAAAAGAAATTTTATGAAGAGGAACAGTATAATAAGGATCATTTATTAAAAGTAAGTAAAATGGTTGGTTTTAAGATGAAGATTTAATTTAGTAATAATGTAATATAAATTTTTACATTTTAAATTTGTTCTTATTTATTGATATTTTTGATATATATTTATATAATTTTCATTATTATTTTGACTAAAATAATGAAGTATGTAAGTAATTTTTATACTTGCATATTTTTATATTTTTTATGCTTTTTTCTGCTTTGTATAGTTTTTTATAAAAACAATAAAAGAAGGCAGAATAAGAAATTATAGCATATGATGATGATAATAATGATGATGATAATAATAATAATAATAATAATAATATTTGAAAAAAATTAACATATATAACTAATGTTAATTTATAAAAAATGTGTGTGTGTATAATGTATATGTGGTTTTATATGTATATGGTTTTAGTATCCTGATCCACCTAAAGAAGAAGAGTGCAATTTCAGCATAAAACTTCAAGGTCCGTACTCTCCCTTAGAAATGGAGTTGACCCAATTGACATCAGTCGGGAAATTTAAAAAAATATATATAGAATCGAATTCTGTGAATAGTGTCCTTTTGGATGACGATCACGATCAATCATTGGGACGTCTTTTGGTCGCTCAGATTGTCAATCAAAATTCAAATAATGGAGAATTAATTTTGAGAAATACCACTTTCCTACCAAATATTCCTGGACTTGCAGCATTGTTTGCGCTAAGTTTCGCACCGCGCATGGAATTGAGATGTAATTCACGAAGGACTCATTACATAGGAGCTTTATGTGGTTTGGGATCGATGGATAATTGCTCTGAACAGGCTGTGTTCCCTGATCATGATATGGAAATTAAGTTTGATGTGGAAATCACGATTGACGATATTAAAGAGGTATATTGATGGTTAAAATAATAAATTGATAATTTAATAAGATAAACTATAAAAAAAATTAATTTGTCTAGAATTTGGGATTTTAAACTTTTTAGATTTTAGATTGAAGGAAATTTCTTATTAATATCTCTTGTTTTTTTATATTTTATATATCCTATTATATTTTACAATTGTTTTACACATAATTTATCATATGTGACACATCCATGTATTACACTTAATTATTCAAAAATTATTTCCACTTCTGCTATTTGTTACATAATTTATTAATTTTATTAACAGATTACAAAAATGTTCTATTTATTTTATTCTGTGTCTCTTTTTGTATTCCTATTTAAATAATTTATTAATATTATTTTTCTTTTATTATCTTTCATTAATAATAACAAAATAATAATATTAATAGTTAATTTTTACATCACGATTCTTTCTTACAGATAAATAAATTACGTTATTGGATAAATGCAGGAATGCAAATAGATAAAACTTCCAATTGTGAGCATATTATAAACTGTCAGAATAAAATTAAACATATTTTGCTTGAACTAAGAGACAAACAAAGAAAATTACGAAATTTAGTGAACGACGAGATCGATGATTGTTCTAATAAATGGAATTATTATAATAAATTATATTTTTTACCATCCGTTCGAGAAACAACGAGACAATGCGATATTTATCCGTTGCATAAAGCATTAGAACTACGGGAGATAAATAAGAAAAAGGAGGAAATGATAGAGCATCTTTTGGAATTGCAACGTTTTGCTTACGAGTATGTAAACATTTTTAGCATATACACACATACATATAAATATATATATATATATATATATATATATATTTATATTTATATATTTTATTTTTAACATACACACATGTGCATACAAATATAAACATTTTATTTTTTAGAGATGTACATAAGATGAAGAACGTGACCATTTTCTGTAAGCTGTGTGAAATAGAGACACTCGGTCTGTTGGAATTACGTAGTCATCTTTATTCAGAACAACATATAAGAAATGAGAAAACATTACAGAATTAATTAGATTATTATTATATCATTATTATATATGAAGAAGTTATTGCTAAATCAGAGCCAAGTATTTTGCCAAATATTTTGTTTAGGATACTTATAATAATTATTAATTTAATTTTTTATTACAAACGATTATTTTTTCTATTATGAACAAATATGAATGTTATTTTTTAACTTAGATTTTTTTTATCTATATTTTGTATCTATACATAAATAACATTTGGTTTAATTTTTTGATACATTTACAGATTAATACACTACTATTTTTTATAAGGCTATCTTATATAACATAACTTGCATATGTATCTATAATTCATGTATAAATTATGTATTTTTATATAAGATTTTGAGTCTGTTCGTTTTAGCTGCACTACTTCACTAGTGCAATTAGAGTGAAAGAAAGTATGTTGGTCTCTTTCTAACTTATTGCACTAGTGCAGCAGTGCAGCTAAAACGAACAGATCCATTGTGTTGTGTTTGGTAGCGTACTATAAATATAGCATCTATGGTATACATACGTACATACACTCCATATTGGAGATTAGAATTTGACCAATCAGAGCAAAAAGAGCGAAGGATACCCACATCGATTGGTCGGATCTAAATCTTCAATGCGTACAAAGTCTAATAAGCTACATAAAACACGCTGTATGTACATGCAACATAGAAATTTATTTGCAGTCTGAAATTTGAGATTTGATTTTGTAATGTGATTTATGTGCAGCGGTTATGTCAAGATACGTATGTTTTTATATAAAAAATATGACGAATGTAACTAATTGAATTAATAAATAAATTTGTTCCACGACACGAGTTATCGTTTGTCGTATTTTCGCGAGTAAAATTATCAATGATGCAACGTACATTGAGCGATTATTCATTTTTCTGTCGAAGATTACGTTATTGCACTTCAACTGCAAATGCAGAATTATGCAATAATAAAAGATTAACAGGTGCATTTATTATATCTTATTTATCTTTAGTATTAATACTATATATACATGTATATGTTTCTGTACTTGAATTTACATATGTATTCAATTTTTGTAATTTGCAAAGAATTTCCTCCAAAAAAAAGGAATAACTTTAATTTTTATACATTGGTAAGAAATTATAAGAAATAAAACTTTGATTCTAAAATTCCAGAAAAAAAATTAATTAGAATCGAATAGATGAATAAGAGAAATATAATACTTATTTTAAATTTGTAAATGCAGATTTTCCAGCGACATTTAAACCAAAAGATGTGGAGCAAGGATGGTATGATATCTGGCAGCACAACAATTACTTCACAGCCTCTAGATTAGTGAGAACAAGAGATAAACATGAGGAAAAAGAGAACAAAGAACCTTTTAGTATGATCTTACCACCACCTAATATTACAGGGGTATTGCATCTAGGCCATGCGCTCACTGTTACAATTCAGGATGTTCTAGCAAGATGGTTAGTATTGGTAAAGATAGTAGAAAAATAGTATAATATAATAGTAACATATAATATAATAGTAACATATAATAATATTATAAATCAAGAGTCAAATTATTACATTATAATCATATAATATAGTTATATATTATAATTATACAATATATTCAAATATTATACAATATATATAATATATTACATTCATATATTACATTTGAACTTTTTTATTACTATATAAACTTATATATAGAAATGACCATAATATTATTAATAATTTTGTTATTATTATATCATATTTTTACATTCATACATTTATTTACAATAGGTAAATTTACCGTTATATTATAGATTTTTCTCTACTGTGCACACATACATACAGGCATAGAATGAAAGGCCATCCAGTGTTGTGGATACCAGGTCTGGATCATGCAGGAATTGCAACGCAGGCGGTGGTGGAGCGTGTATTGCAGCACACACGAAACATCACACGGCGTGATATGGATCGTATCGAATTCGAGCAATTGCTCTGGCAGTGGAAGACAGAGAAGGCCACGATTATCAATCAACAATTGAAAGCGCTTGGTGCTACACTTGACTGGAACAGAGAATATTTTACTATTGATGAAGTAATGTATATATTTTTTATTATATATAAATTATATATTTATGTTACAAAAAGTAATTATTACTAGATTATTATGACATCGAATGTTTATACGTATCTGTGATCTTATAGAGACATAGCACAGCAGTGACAGAAACATTCGTACGGCTAAATGAAAGAAATCTATTGTACAGAGAAAGAGATCTTGTCAATTGGTCGCCGGCGCTGCGCAGTACAATCTCAGAGATCGAGGTCGAAGATTTCATAATAAACGGCAAAACGCAGCTCCGATTACCTGGACATGACGGTAAAGTCACTGTTGGCCAATTAATTAAGCTGGCATATCCGATCAAAGATTCGAGTAAGTATAAAAATAAATATTAATTAAAATTGATTTTAATATGTCAATTTTAATCCATTTAATTTTGCAGAAGAAGAATTGATAGTTGCAACAACTAGGCTGGAAACAATTTTTGGAGATGTGGCAATTGCTGTACATCCAGATGATGAAAGATATTCGAAGTACATTGGCCGGCAAGTTTTACACCCTATAAAAGAGACATTCATACCTGTCATAGCCGATTCCTCGGTCAAAAGAGATTTTGGCACAGGTAAAAAAAATATTTATATTTTATAAAAAATAAATTTATACATATGTCGAAAAATGTGTATAGAAAAAGAGAGAGAAAATAGATTAATAAATTTTGAGTAAAACTTTTTTTATTATTATAATTGTTGAACTAATTATACATATGTCTTTCTCGCAGGTGTGGTAAAAATCACACCGGCGCATGATCGTTCGGATTATAGCATTGCCAAAAGGCACTGTTTACCAGTTATTAGCATTATCGATGAAGCTGGCAATATGACGGACGAATGCAAGGAATTTAAGGTATAATCTCGTAGAAGAAACTCTTTTTTTCTATTCTAGACTCGAGATATTTTTCTTTTAAATGAACATATTTAATATCTTTTTATTCTCATATAACATATTTATATTCAATTTTTTGTTTTTATTTAATATATTTTTAGAGAATATTGGTTAAATATATTACCATATTTATTACTTATCGATTTGTTTTCTTATTTATTATTGTTGTATTGTTGTATAATTTTAGGGCTTGTCAAGGTTTGTCACACGGGAGAGACTCGTAAACGAGTTGTCGGCGCGAGGTATCGTGAGGAGCGTAGAAGATCATCACCAAATGATACTACCACGATGTTCGCGCACGCACGATGTAATTGAGTATCTGCCTAAAGAACAATGGTTTGTGCGATGCGCGGCAATGGCTAAACGAGCGTACGAAGCTGTAAAGAATGGTGAATTAAAAATTGATTCGAGCGACGATGGTATTCACGAACAATTGTGGTATGACTGGCTTGAAAATACTAGGTAAAATTTATTATATATGATTGTAATTATTAAATTAATATAGATAAATAAGTTAAATCAATAAATCATTGAATAAAAAAATAAGTAAACAAAGAAATAAATAAAGAAGTGAATAAATGAAAGAAACGAATAAATAAGTAAATGAATGGAATATATGAATACATAAATAACTTTAATCATATACACACACATGTAAATAAATAGATTTTTAGAAAAAAAATTTTTTTCTTTTCTTCAGGGATTGGTGTGTGTCAAGACAATTGTGGTGGGGTCATCGCATTCCAGCATATTCCGTAAATCATGGTGACAATAATAATGATAGTGGTGACAATTTCTTTTCTTCTAGTAGTACTAACAACATTTCATGGATAATCGCACGATCTGAAGAAGAGGCATATTCGCAAGCACGGGAAAAATATGGGGATACAGTGAGGATACATCAAGATCCTGATGTCCTCGACACGTGGTTCTCTTCGGCAATTATACCGTTTGTCACACTCGGTTGGCCGAAACATGTTAGTTTTTATTATTACTATAATTTTATTTTAATGTATTATCATTGTTATTATTTTTTTGTTATTATTTATTTTTATTATTGTATTTTAATTTACATTATTATATTTGTTACTTTATTTTTATTATATTTGCATTTTTATTATATCTATTGTTGCAGACAAAGGACATGGCAAAGTATTATCCATTAACACTGATGGAAACTGGTCATGATATTTTTATTTTCTGGGTGGCGAGGATGGTGATGCTAAGTCTAGAAATGACACAAAATTTGCCATTCAAGGTATACAATTATATATGCATAATCAAGTATTTATATTTTATATATACATATATATATATATATATATATATATATATATATATATTTAATAAATATATAATAACTTTTTATTCTACAATTTTAATATAATAAGTCTTTCAATAAACACAATAAATTATATTAATCAATTCACAATTGAGTACTATTAAAATAAAATTCTATACTATTTGTTATTGAAACATAATATTGCCTTTTTTCAAACAATATAATTTTTCTGTTAAAATTTTATGTATACTATAAAAATATCTCTTTAGTGTAAATGTACTTAAATTGATAATTATATACATGTATAGGAAGTTTTGCTCCATGGTGTCTTATGTGATGCTAATAATAAAAAAATGTCCAAGAGCTCTGGCAATGTCATTTTACCAGAAAATATTATGAATGGTTGTAGCTTTGAAGTGAGTATTTTCTGAAGTTGTTATATATATATATATATATATATATATATATATATATATATAATCAAAATTATATTATAAAGATTAAAATGCAATAGGAACTAAACGCTCAAGCAAAGCAAAATAATGCAGTGGGCATTCTTAGTGCTGACGAGTTGCAGCGAACACTGCGTGTCAACGCGAAATCGTATTCTGCAGGAATACCAGACTGTGGCGCAGATGCTTTAAGATTATCGTTGTGCGCACGTAATATTAAGAGTAAGTTAATTAAAATTAAGAACCTGAAAATGAAGAGCCTGAAGAAATTATTTAAAAGTTAAAAGAATTTCAAAAAAATTTTTATATCTTAAGAATCATAAGAGAAATTTTTATTATAGATCGTACCATCAGTTTCGACATGGATGATTGTCGCATGAACAAATATTTCTGTAATAAAATTTGGCAAGCAAGTAAATACATATTATTGATGGCAAAAAATGGTGAGGAGATCAAAGAAGATCAAAAACATGAAGAGAAAGGAAAGAAATATCTAAATACTTTGGATCAATGGATCCTGAGTCGATTGTCATGGATGGTAGACAGAGTGAACAGTGCGTTCGCCGAACGAAACTTTCATAAAGCGATTGCTGCAATTCGTCAATTTTTGCATTATGAATTCTGCGATTTTTATGTGGTACAATATAATACAATATTTTATGAAATATATAAGAATGTTAAAAATATTGACCATTATAATAGTGATAATGTAGTTTGCATCTTAATTAATTTTAATTTCTTCTCTTGAAAAAAAAATGAATCTATACATATATATATATATATATATATATATATATATATATATATATATATATATCTTTTAATACAGGAAGGTACAAAATTCGGATTTAAAAGTGGCAATGCAGCTGGACATTTCGATACTCTTACAAAATGTTTGGAAGTATCGCTACGCCTTCTCGCACCCATTACTCCTTACTTATCGGACGATCTATATACAAGACTCGCTAAAAAGAATTTGCCGGGATTTCAATCTGTTTCTTCATTGCTGGAGACATCCTATCCCATGTCATATGAGGTATGTGCATGTATATATAAGCTATATATTAATAATTGTTATATTATTAATTTTTTCTAATATATACACAATTTTTGTTCTTTCCTCACCTCTCTCTCACGCATTTCTTTTTTGAACATTATTATATAAATTAGATAATTTATATGATTAATTTTTTTATTTGTTTTAATAGTTCGAGAATTTTAGAGACGTGGTATTAGAGAAAGAAATGTGCAAGCTTTTGAATGTGATAGATGTTATCAGAAGCTGTATGGCAAATGTGAGCAAGAAGTCAAATCCAGAAGGTGGGTTCTGGTAATTAGCAAAAATCATCTAAATAATTTAAATTTTTAGTCAGATCTATTACGAAAATTCATATCTAATATAAAACACACACACACACACACACACACACACACACATATATTATAAATATAGACAAATAGAAATAATGAAATGTTAAGTGATATATGACAAAAAGTCTGTTTGTTTTTGTACAGTTAATATCTTGGTCAATAACGTGCATGATTATGACTTCTATTTGGAAAATATAAACCTAATTAAAGGAGCGAGCAGAATCTGGAATGTGCCTATCCACTTGACAGAATCGATTAACGACGATGATTTTCATAATAAAGCGACAAAAGACAACTATAATTCCGACGATAATAGCATTTACACTATTCGATATATACACACGAACGATTGTGCACTACTTATTGCAGTTACGGTAAATTATTTTATTGTTTTTTAATATATAAATATAACGAATTACATCTATGTATATATAATTGTATATATAATTATTTATTAATATATATTTATTACACATTTTTAGACTGATAGTACAATTATCATATGACAAATGTAATATCGGCCTTAGAATATTATCAATATCGATATTAATATTTTCTATATTTTTAGTAAACAGTAAAAAAATATATATATATATATATATATATATATATATATATATATATTCTTATTACTATTTTTTGAAAGAATTTATCATGCTTATTATTTATTTTGTAGGACGCATCAATACTGGAACTTATTAAAAAGAATATTACAAGAAAGGAGAAAGCAAAAGAGAAATAAAGAAAAAAAATTTTTATTAGAATGTGTGATCTATGTATGTTTGTAAATATAATTTCTCTCTTTCACATATTTAATAAGTAAATTATAATTTTTCTGAGATTTTTTGATAAATATAAATGTGAATAATATAATATATAAATATGAAAAAAACAAGTTGCGACTGTGCAAATATATATATATATATATATATATATATATATATATATATATATATATATATATAATTGAATACAGAACTTAACATAAATGCAATTGCAAATAATAATGATTATTTGCTTAAAATTATAATCTCTATAACTTTAAACTCTATAAAAATATCATCTCTTTAGTGTGAATGCATTCAAGCATTATAAATTATTCCTCAAAGAAACATTATATATTATAATTTATCTGCACTGTAGATAAAATGATTATAATATAGAGCATTATTTTACTTATAATGCAGATAAATTATATAATGTTTCTTGGGAATTATATATACACTGCTTAAAATTCTGATTTAAACTACCTTTTATCTAATTTTTCTGATATATCAATGTTTTAGAGTTTAAATTTTCACGATTCAAATTTTTAAACAGAATTATAATTCTTGAAATTTATGTCATCTTCGATTTTCTTTATTTTTTATCAAAATCAAATATTTTAGCCTTTTTCCCTCGATCCATACTAATTACTCCAATTATATGTGCATGAACTAAAGTGAGTCTTTTTTCTCGCTTTAATATTTGATCATATGCAAAAGTATCAAAATAGCCAATGATAAGTAGAATGGAATAAAAGAGAAGTAATAAGCAATGAGAAATCAGTAAGCAGTTAATTAAAGACATCTTACTATAAAAGGAACGCACAATATATTGCAAAAAAAGCATAAATTAACGACGTTGCAAGCGTCAGATAGAAAAATCTTTAGTCGTAAGTATAGGCTTAGTTGATGTCTGATCTCTTTATTAATCACACTTTTAAGGTCAAAGAGAAAGGGATGCTTGTGCGAACCACGTGTAATGTTACTGATATGAAAATATATATTTTACAGAATCGTCTTTCTCTGAGACCTGACACAAAACTATTTTTATTGTTAGCACTGACAGAAAACTCGCAAAACAATGACTGACAACGACTTTCATATCCAATCACCTGACAATGACAAGGAGTTGGCACAACGTCCGCCATTAATAGGGAACTATAGCGCGCGCAATTTGCAAGCTTTATTCTATTCTATCATGTACACTGTGCGACAACGATTCGTTCCGCGGTCCCTCTCGCGAGGCAAGGGGAACGTAGAAGTGACCAATCAGCTGGCAGCGTGGAAATGGCTGATTGGTTAGAGGCTACGCTCCCCTTGCCTCGCGAGAGAGACCGCGGAACGAATCGTTGTCGTGCAGTGTACATTCTATTAAATAGAGATTTATATTTCATTTATGTCAATAAATAATAAAAAATTATTCTGTAATATATTCTAAGTAGCAAATTTTAACGTTAACGTAATATAAATATTTAATTAACATTTATTAAATATTTAATATTTCATTAATAAAATATTAATTAAATATTAATAAAATAAACATTTAATAAGCATTAAATAAATATTCATATTACAGTAACATTAAAATAAACGTTTTTTTATTAATAAATATCACTTAATAATCGTTATATGAAATAAAATAGATATAAAAATTAATTCTTTGTTATACTTAAATTATTTTTAATACATATTTGTACATTATTTACGTAACGTAACATGTCTCGAATAGCTTTGTCTTCTTCTTTTCTGTCTCTTTCTTATTCTGTCTCACTCCTTCCCTATAAATGGCGCGACCAATCAGAAATCATCACGCGGTGTCCTAACTCTTACTTGAGGAAGAGAGAGAGAGAAAGAGAGAGAGATCTTCTAGCCTTACTTGAGGAATTCTATTGCTTAAAAAAAAAAAAAGAAAAAAAAAAGGCGAAATGGCCTCTCTCAAGTCTCTTTCTGCAAATGAATATTTGGAAATTTTGGCAGGCCATGTTTTCGATAGCGATAAGTTGGTAATTATCGCTAACGCGTTTATGTGTACAATGTTTATATTGTATATATAAATATAATTAACTGGTAATTAATATTTCTAGGTTACTTACAAATGGCTAAGTAATGAACTGCATGTTCATGTTAATATAGCAAAACAAATCTTATGGGAATTCTACCAAAAATACAAAAACAACAATGTTGAATGTACATATTTATTAATTGGTCTCTTGAAGGATAATGGAATGCGTGTAGAAATAGTAAAGGAATCTGCTGTATCTAAAGCTAAGGAAAAATTTAGTAAAATAATTTCGGAGCATCTTTATAGTGTCCACAAACCTCTTGCGGAATTAGAATTACTCGCTACTTCTGGCTCTGGAAATGTAAATTACAGCGCAATAAAATGTGATGCTTGTAAAGAGAGAAGTGATGAAGAAATGCAGCTGTTACGTTGGGGTACTGCTGCAAAGAAAATTACAACAGAAAATAAAGCAAATTCAAAAATTGTATTAGATTCTATAGATTCTACAAATCCATCAAAAAAAGAAAAGAATTCAGTAACAGCAAAGAAAAATGGATTTAATAATTTGTTTAGTATGACTGGAAAATCAAAGAGTTCTGAAAAATTAAAATCCTTTCAGGAACAGGATAAATGTTCAACAAAAAATGATAAAAACTTTTTGGAGGAAAATGATTTGACAAAAAAGGATAAAGATTCATTGGAGAAAGATGAAACTTTAAGAAAGGAAGTTAAAGAGTCAGCAGAAAAGGAAAAAGATTCTATGGAAAATAATAAAGATTCTGTACAAAAAGATAAAGATTCTTCTAAAAATAAAAGTTCTTTGCAGAAAAATAAAAATTCAATAGAGAAGAATAAAGGCTCTGTCAATTCTACTGCTAAAAAAGTGTCTCCAAAGAGCAATTCTATAAAGAAAGGAAGTTTAGATAATTTTTTTGGAAAGCTTACATCTCCTTCAAAGTCTACAGAAACTATATTAATAGAAAAGAAAAATGATAATGTTAAAAAGGAAGAAGTTATGGAAAAAGAAAAAACTAAAGAGAAGAAAAATTTACGTGGAAAGAAGCGTAATAGAAGCAAAGAAATAGATGAAACTATTAAGAAACGGAAGAGAATTGTTGTCCAGAGTGATTCCAGTGATTCAGAAATACAAAGTGATATAGAGATGGAAGAATTAGTTCCTGAAACCCCAGAACCTGAAGCTGTTGCAAGATCTAAAAGTCCCTCTCCACCAAAAGTAAAATGTGAAAATGGTAAAAGAAAAGTGCTAAAATTAGTCAATAAGACTTATAAGGAAGGCGAATATATTGTGACAAAGAAAGAACATGTTTATGTAAGCTGTTCTGAAGATGAAGAAGAGAAAAAAGAGGAAGAGAGGAGGGAGGCAAAGAAAGTAGAAGCAAAAGTGGAGAAAGTGAAAAAAAAGCAATCTACACTGACTGATTTTTTTAAGAAGTCTTAGATTCATTCTTATTTTAAAGTCCAATTAATTCATAAATATTCATTTATCTTATCAATATCATATTATAAATTATTTATTTTGATATAGATAATAAAATATAATTAAACATTATACAATAAACATTATATACAACATTAGTAATTATAAGTGATATACAATATTAGATATTTGTGTAATGCAATATTTAAAAATTTTTTGTATTCATATTTGATTATCATCAAGCTTTTGCTAACTGTTTGTAAATTAGTTGACTTATTAATCACTAGAGAAATTTTGTTTAAAATTAATGACAAAGTTTTTAAATATTATTCAATAATAAAAAATTTTTTACATAAAAAATGCTGCATTTTTAATACAGAAAATACCTCTAAAATGAATATAAATTCAAAAAACAATATAAATATATATAAAAAGATATGTAAAAATTGTTATCATATATATATCATAATTTGAGATTTGCTATAAGATATTCCATAAATATTATATAAATTAATATTATAATATAAATATTATACAATATAAATTATAAGTTGGCCTTAAATTTGTCATACCTATTTCTCACAACAAGATGAGTAATACATTATCAGATAAACATACTTATCAGATATATTATCATATGGATAGAATTGGTATAAGGTATTGGTATAGTTATATCCTCTGCTGTGACTGAATAAGCAACTATTGATACGTAGTCTGTGAAATCAAATCTCAAATTATGTTTAATTATTGTAATATTATTATACTATTGCTTTTAATTGTGTGCAATGAATGTTTATGTGACATATGCAAAATCTGCAAATGTGTTTCAAGTAAGTTTAAAAGAAAGATAAATCTATGGAAAAACAAAATAATTATTAAAAGAAAATATAATTAATAAATAAGATATGAATATAAACAAATATATATTATTTTTGCTATTATATTATCGATTATAAATATTGATATTATATCTTTCAAAAGAGGAAATAATAATTCATAAGAATTATGAACTATTATTATAAAAATAAAAATAATAAGTAAACAATAATGATAAAAATAATAAAATAACAATGATAAAAATAATAAGTAAATAATATATATAATAAATATAAAATTAACAATTATTATATATACATTTTTATGTTATACTATTAATTATAAATACTTTTTATATTATATATATCTTTTTTTTATATTATATATCTGTTCTTATAGATATAGAAGCAATTATTGATTGTCATAACAGACACCTGGGAATTAATGAAGACTTTAATTTCAATAATCTCTTCACTCTTGATCTGCCTCAAACATTAGAGAAACTTATTCTTTCAAAAAATAACATAGTATTTTTTCCGACAAACGAACTAAAGAATTTGAAATATTTAAAGAAATTAGATCTATCTCAAAATAATTTGAGTAATATACAATCAGATATTTTCAAGAACTTAAACGACCTCGAAGATTTAAATTATTCCCATAATCTATTATGGCACTTCGATATTTCCATTATAAATATGGATTCTTCTCTCTCTAAATTTAATTTGAGTCATAATCAGATCAATAGTCTGGAGAAAAGTTCAGAAAACACAATAACGAAGTTGAAAGTTTTTGATGTGTCTCACAATAATCTTACTAATCTCACTAATCTGGTAGTAAGTAATAGCGTATAATTATAATTATATAATTTTGACAGTAAAAATTATTTAAATTTTTCTATATTGTTATAACAATAAATTGTATAAGCAGAAATAATCATATATATAATATATAATTATTATCTATAATATATTAATATTATATTTTAATCTTATTTGTACTCTATTTTATTATAGAATTTTTTCAACTGTTTACCAGAGCTGGAATATTTGGATCTCTCCTTCAATCAACTGAGTACTCTCCCACCCAAGTCGTTGCTCTACCTGCAGCATTTAAAAATACTTTATATCAATAACAATCATCTTCTTGATTTAAATCTCCAAAATCTTCCATTGTCATTGCTGGAACTTTACGCAGGAAACAATTTTATCAATCACTTATTACTACAAAAATCATCAATTCACATCTTAAACATTCAAAACAACTGCATTTCTAATATATACAAAAATCTAACATTACTGGAAGAATTAAAAAATCTAAATATTAATGGAAATTCCTTGTCAGAATTTCCAGATGTTTTTCTAAAAGATTTAGATACGCTGGATTTATCCTTTAACAATTTAACAATAATTCCTGAAACAATTTCTGTTAAGAATTTTCCAAATTTAAGAATTTTAAAAGTTAATGGGAATCGTTTAAAAGATGTAAAAATTAGGTCTGAATTGAGATTGAAAAGATTTGAAATAAATTTTGTAAAGACGATTGAAGAAATTGGTAAAGAAACGTTTCTAATGCTGAGGGAGAGGGAAAACGATTGTATTAATATAACTATTTCGAATAATATAAAGTTGAATATAATCGAGAAAAACGTTTTTCAGCATATGAACATTTGTTCTGTAAGTATATTTTATAATTTATTTTTTATATAAAAATTATATTTTTACATTTTTTCTTGATTTTTCAGCTAGATTTAAGCAATAATTGTTTTGCTCACTTGCCGTCAGAATTATTTGATGTAAATGTTTCAAATGCGAAGTATCTCATTAATTTGCAAGGTAATCCATTTATTTGCGACTGCTCATTGCAATGGATGTTAAATATATTAGTTCCAAAACTTTACTTGATGAGACCTAGTCTACTAGAAGATTTAAGGTAATTACAATATAAGTTAATGTAATTATATGGATTATTAGAACTTATTTCACAAATTATGAACATAAATATCAACTTATTTGGTGTATTTATATACCATTAAATTAAATAAATAAAATAATTTTATTTTTGAATTTATTAATTATAGATGTGCTGGTCCACCTCCATTAACTGATAGAAGAATGGTCCATTGGTATAAGTGGAAGGGAAATGTTTTTTGCAATAACACTTCACATTTCGCAGAAAAAATGATTTTTGCAAGTATCTCTAATAAACAAATTGTGAAATTTGAAATCAGTCCTGGAATGATCGTTGCTTTGGCCATGGCACTTTTTGTGCTTGCAATTCTAACGACAATCGGCATTTTATTGACTCAAAGAATTATTGTGAAAAAAAGACGATTTAATCGTAGATTTTAGTAAATATATAAGATATCAATTCAATTATGTAGATCTGTAGATAGAATAAACTTATTATAATTACATTCTATCTGCAAATTATAAGAGCAACTTGTTATAGTTACTTATTATTATTATACTATAACTCAGTAACTAATTAAAATATCGAAAGAATTGCTGCTAATAAACTTAAAAAAAAAGAAAGATGCACATTATTTTTGTAATGTATATTATATGTATACAGACATACCTTTTTCAAATAAAAATCTCACGAGGTCTCTTCTCTCTCTCTCTCTCTTGGGTTTTTATTAAAAATAATATTTAAAATGTGTTAGTTGTATCTCTTTGATTTTCTTTATTTGATCTTTATTTTCTTATAAAAACATGAAGACTGTCACTGTGGGAAAACATATAAAAGATATTATTTCCATGATTTAGCACAGCTTACATTCTTATGTAAATTAGCTGTTATAATCTCTAATCTCTTTTTATCTTTTTATTGTAGCACTTATGTAACAGGAACCATACTGCAATAATGTATAATAATAATTACCATATATAAACCATATATAAACATATCAAGAATTTTGCGCTTGCGATTATATGTGCTTTGGTAAAATTACAAAATTCTATTTATTTTAAAAATAAGTTTATGTTTAACGGTAGGTAGCTTTATATTTAACTTATATTTAACATTTTAAATCACTAATAATGGCTTTAATTTATATTTTTAAAGCTATTTACATTTTATTTTGTTTTTGACACACATTTCCGATGTCAAATGATGTCTTAAAAGTTTATAATTACATAAATTTTCTTTTCATTCACTAATTAATATTTCTTGTCATTAATTAATATAACCCATCATAATTATATCAATTATTTAAATTGATTTGTACTTACAAAGAGTTAAATTAATTAGTTTTATTTAATTTAATTATGAATTGGACGCAAGAGTAATTATTAATTTTTTCTTTGAGTTATAAGATCGATTTCTTTGTTATAACGCGCGAGAAAAAGACTCTTATAAAATATCGATTTGATAAAATCGATTCTCAACACGTGAAAACGATTCTTATGTTTAAGATTGTAATAATAGGCATACTTAATTAGTGTCGTCATTAGATATCATCGATTTGCCAATGACTAGACGTTACTCTTGGAGGAGGATTTTCTCTAAGTTCGGTTAAAAAAGTGCAAATGTTTTGATAGTAATTTGGCTGGCACCAAGTTTCGTTATGCGTGCCACCTACGATTGGAAGTATGCGTTTGCATGTGCTTCGACAATTTTTGTAGAGATCCTGCATCATGCGAGGTGGTACCAACGTGTCCGCCAGACCGGAAATGAACAGAGTGGGCACTGTGACTGCGCGAATTTTCAGAATAGATAAATACTGTAATAAGAAGTATAAAAACATGAGAATAAATATATATACATATACATATACATATAAATATAAATATATATATATATATATATATATATATATATATTTATAGAAGATATTCATTATTTTAAAGATTATAAATGAAAAAAATATAATAAGTTATTATATTTAATTATGATAATAAAATTAAAGAATAATAGTATAATAATATTACTATTCATCGACAAAAAACTTATATTAGTTTTTAATAAACAAAGTGCTATATCTTTCTTAAAAAGAATTCGTTTGCAGAGACTCGAAGTATACAAAATATTTAAAAAATTGGAAATATTTTATCTTTTCACCTTGTTCTTGTATACAAAAAGTGGCAGATATTGTAGAAATTTGGATCCAACAAATAAGGCGGCCATATCTGGAATACTAGTGAAGGTGTTTTCAAGTATAAGGCACCAAATCCTCTGCGAATTTTCTTCTTTTGTGGCTAAATCGATTGCTACTGCTCCACCTATCAAAATTATCAGATTAAAAAATAATAACGTGAATAATGTTTGAAATAATAAAATAAAATCTGTTTCCTTACCTAGTGATCTACCGAATACTATAATTTCATTAGTATTAATATCTGTTCTACTGAACAGATAATCTATTCCTGCTCGGGCATCCATATAGAGACCTTCCTCTGACGGGGAACCTTGTGACAGGCCATATCCCCGATATTCTAACATTAGAATATTACACTGGATATTATGATATAGTCCCATTATGTTTTGCAATCTAGAAAAAATCAATATAACTAATTGTAAATATAATTATAAATAAATATAATTCATTATAATTTTCCTTTTAAATATACACAATTAAATTGTTTTTTATATGATACATTATACAGATATAATCAATAAAAAATATCTTGACAATATTAATATAGTTAATAAAATTCTTAAAAATATTTTGTAATTATTGTTGTAATAATTTATTAATTTTTTGTAATTATTGTTGTAATAATTTATTTAACTTCTATTCTTAACATGTGAGTATGTGTAATATAAATAGAATAATAAAATAATATAAAAAAATAATAAATTAAAATAAAATAATAAATATTGAATACCGGTGGCCCATATTGCCAGCATTGCCATGAAAAAACAATAGCGTAGGTGCCTTCCTGATTCTATCCTCTGGTTGGGAAACAAAGAACATGTGTAACATTGTACCATCTCCAGCTCTAGTATACACACTTTGATATGGTAAATTAAATATTGAAGGAGCTGGCACATAAACTCTGGAATGAGATGGCAGTTCTGGATGATAAAGAAGTTGATCTTCCCTGTGATAGAGTATTCCTGTAATAATAAAAAAATATTAGAAACATAAAAATAGTCTTAATATAATATTATTCAGCTATTAAAAAAATTTCTATAACTAATAATAAAATAATGATATATATAATAAAGGGTTTTATCAGAAAGAAAATAATATTTGTAGTAAAAAAGGTACAAACCAGTTGTAGCAAAACACAGCAAGAAGAAAGCTAAAATTCCACCATATAACCAATATAAAAGGAAGCAGATAAGGATATAGACTCCGCTGAAAGCCCAACACTTCATGGCAATGCTACCCAGAAGTCTCATTGGTCTACTGCGAGCCAAACGTATTCTGAAGGACATTATTCCTGCGTTTCATCTAATTTGACAAAGCTCTACGTTATCTGAACAGTCCAATTGTTTGCAATAAGCAGATTTGTCTTGGCTTAAAAACAGCCATGATCCATTAAATCAATCACTGCACTTTTCTCCTGCAGGAAATTGACAAATGTTCTATTAACAATACATTATTACAATTGTGATTTTTATTATTTATTTATTCTATACATTTCATAATTGATGATAAATTTTATAATGTATCTCTATATATCAATTATATCTTGTTCTCAAATGTCGAAGGCGCATATTGTAAGAATCGTTAAGAAATTACAAAATCTTTCAAAAAATTATAAATTTTCTCATCTACTTACATATGACTAAGTATAAATAAAATCAATATTAAATTAATAAAATAATTATACGATTATTACGGTTTTCTTCGATCAATTTTCGCTTCGATAAAAATAAAAGCAATTACGTGAATTATGGAAATTAGAGAAAGTCAAGTATTGTAACTTAATCTAATCTGTAAGATGACAGACATAAAATTGGACGACTCAATTAGTGGAATTTTTACGACAAGAGCTAAAACGTGAGGATTCATAAAACGATGATTGCTCGAATTATTATCATTATACCTTGAGTATATCGAGCGTTATTTAATCTCTTACACGCTAAATTGTGCACATAAATTTAGGTTAGTTTGTACATACATACGTACATACAATTATTGCACTTTTTATTCTCGTCGAACGCGCGCGCCATTTAACGAGATTTCCCCGAACTAGGACGTTCAGAAATCCTACTCGTGGGGTAGAAGCTCGATCGAACTGACCAATCGGGACAGAGAATTCTCACCCCTTTTACCCCGATTGATCAATCAAACGCTACTTTACCCCACGGGTAGGATTTCTGAACGTATTCCTCATCTCGAATTCTCTTGATCCGATCGCGTCTCCTCGCCTCCGAGGAGGATGTGAGAAGAAAGTGCGGAAAGTGCAGAAGATACAAGTGCCGATCGTAGGACGGAACGGTAGGATTGTACGAACGGCCGGCGCACTCGCGTTTCGATAGCGGTCACCAGCGGTCACGTTGGCGATCGAAGGTGCATGTACGGGATAACCTCGCTCCGCTCAATCGCAGAGGAACGTACGCAATGACGGAGATAGTGGTGGCCACCGACGAGGAGCAGTTACTGTCGCGGATCTCTAATCTTGTCGCTCGCGCCGCCGATGACGCAACCTCACGTGATGATCGGATCTTTCGATTCGGAGTATCAGGTGATCCCCTATAATCCTGTCCTCTATCTTCTTTCTGCTTATCATTGCGTGTCCATTTAGCTCTACGGTATCACTTGTGTATATAATTCCGGCGTTCTATAGAATTCTAATTATATGTGTGTACATGTGTGTGTATATGTAAAATTCTTTAATATTCTGTATTTATAATTATATATATATATATATATATATATATATATATAATTACAGAATTTTATATATATATATATTTTTTATTTATATATATATATAATTACAGAAATTTATTTATATATATATATAAATAATTCTGTAATTATATATAATTACAGAATTTTATATATATATATATATATATATATATATATAATTCTGTAATTATATATATATATATATATGTATATATATGTATAATTTATGTGTTTTTTACAGAATTTTTCAGATTTCTATTTATTGTCTTATGCAACAAAAATTAATCTGTTTTTTTTTTTCACTAAAGATCAAATTTTCGTATTGTCATGCTTCACGAAAACGAACCTTTTCGATGTAGAATTATATATTATTTCATTGATTTATGAATAAACGAAACAATAAGTAATAAATGGAACGAAATACGTTTTTGTGATATTAAATTTTGCATATTTCTAGCATAAGAGAAATTATATTAGCGAATTTATATCATGATTTTAATCTTGCTCTCTCTCTCCTCTTTTTTTTTTCAATTTAAGTGTTACACTTTCTACACTCAATATGAAATTGGCATTTAATTGAGACATTAGCTTTGTCATCCTTTCAGCTAAAAAAGTTGCATTTTTATTTCGAGATATAATAAAAATTGTACATATATATGTTTTTTATGTTTCTTCTATTTATTGGTATATTTTTATATTTGGAAAAAATTCTATTTAAAATTCTATGTACACTGAGTTTTTTACTCTATAATAACATGAATCATGATCAATTAATGAGAAGAAATAATTTATTATATTAATGAAAAGAGTAATGAATTAATGAAAAAGAGAAAATATGTAGAAAAAACTAGATATATAAATTTAAATGTGTGTGTGATTTGTTTAAAATATATAGTATAGAGAAAAGTATAGAAAAATATATGGAATGTAAATGAAATAAATATATGAAATGTAAATATATATAAACTTTATAACATATAATTGCACAAGTTTTATAAAAAATTTTATATCTCACATATACATCGCTAACACACACATGTCCAAAAGATGTCACAGAGGTCATCGAGAGAACATCCAGAGGACATAAAATATCCTTTAGCTGTCCTCTAGATATTCTATAAATGTCTTTTTATGGATGTTTTTTGAACATGTGTGTTGTTAGGGATATATACCAAATATGATAAATTAATAGATTAAACTTTTTCTTATATAGGAATTATTTAAGAATTATACTTGTGTATATTTTGGATTTTATGGTGTATGTTTACTAAGAAATATAAATATTAAATATTTCTGCGAATCTTTTTCTACAAATTCATATACAGAAGACTTTAATGAAAATATAGCTAAGAAAAGCATACATTCACTGATTACTACTAATTATATGATATTTATTATTGATCACATTTATGTTCAACTTTTCATGTAGTTAGGATTAATTAATTGATTAGACAATAGTATTACGTCGAAATATGATACATAAGATGACAATATTCATATTTTTAAAATAGTAAATATAAGCAAATATGCTAAATATAGTGAAGGAATTTTTTCGAAATTTGTAGGTTAAATATCTTATATTGATACCTCAAAAATAGTATGCATAAGCAAAAATAGTATGCATATGCATATATAAGAAATGTTTTAATGTTTAAGATTGGCCAAAATTGCTATTTTAATTATATACTTAATCATATAGAAATTATATTAAAAAGTTTATGCCAATTGTCTGAAAAATAACTGTCAATGTATAATATATAAGAGATAAAAGAATAGTTTAAGTAAATATATATGTAATTAGATTTTTATATATAAAACATTTTTAATTTTTAATTTTATTAAAAAGTTTGTGGGGAGATAAGTGTGCTAAAAGGTGGTCATATACAGATGAAAAAAAAATAATAAATTATTTTCAATTAATGACTAATTTGCTATTTTTATAGGTGGTTCAATAGTGGAATTATTGGTCAAATCTTTGCCTAATATCGAAACTGACTGGAGCAAGTGGCGCTTCTTTTTCTGCGATGAACGAGTTGTGCCTCTAGAGAGTTCTGATTCTAATTTTGGCCTCTACAAAAGTTGTCTTATTGGAAAAGTGCCTGTCACTGAGGAGCAATTCATAAAAATTGATTCAGACTTAAATGGTATGTGATCAATGATTTATTCTATTAAGGAATTTGAAAAATAAGGACTAAAAATCAATCTGTATCAAGTGTCTATGATTAGATTAGACTGCATATAATAGAAACTTCTTATTTTGATAAAGAAATCAGAAATTATGCTATCAAATTTATTGTTCTGCATTATATCATTGTATTATGATTTAAAATGTGCTGGTCAAATATTAATCCTACCAAGAATGTGATTCGGACAGTTATAAAATTTTTAACGCCATTAAAATCAATATTTATAATGTTTATGGACTGAATGAGGAAATTTATAAGACAGATATACTGTCTTTTGAAGAATTGATTATATACACTTGCAGCAATATTTGATTCTTATTTTTTGAGCAGTCTGTGTAATAATTGATTCGTATTTTTATTACATATAATTAAATGTCTCATATAATTATTATTATTTTATTTAATGTCTTTTTTACACACTTGTAATTATTTTAATCTTCCATTATATTCTTATTTTTTATTCACATTATTGCATGGTACGTTTTGTTTTTTGTCATTTTATTTATTATCACGTATATATATATATTTGTTTTCTGAATTATTATTGTTTATATTATTTATTTGTCATTTATTTATTTATATGTATTTGTAGCCGAGAACGCGGCGAAGGATTACATTAAAAAAATGGCCTTCTTCTTCCCGCCGGACAGATTACCGAGATTCGATTGTTTGTTGCTGGGCCTGGGTCAGGACGGGCATACATGCTCGCTCTTTCCGGGTCATCGAGCTCTCGACGATGAGAACATGTGGGTCACATGGGAGTTAAATGCGCCAAAACCACCACCTAGTAGGATCAGCCTTACCATACCAGTCATCAATAATGCTCGCATGTGCGTATTTATCGTTACTGGCGCCAGCAAGACCGAGATCGTCAAGGTAATTATCAAATTTTTTTAGTAATTATTCGATTAACTTCAATTTACTTTAACAATTTTGCACATTTTGAAAACACGAGAATAAGAATTTAATATTTAATATTTTTAATAATAATTCATTAATTGAAATTAATAATAATAATAATAATTAATAGAAATATGTAATAAAATATATTTTTAAAGAAAATAACAATTTTTATTTTAGAATTAGAAGATATATATGTATCTTATACTTCATGGCCAACACTTTTGAATGTACATTTGAGTCCACTTTAGAGTGAGAAAGAGAGTAAAAGACACAAGATACCATGCATGTCCAGTATGTTGTCACATGGTTATGTGACAAATATGAATTGTAGGAGAGCAGCACAAGAGAGGAAGTGGTAATTATTAGGGAACTTGAAAGTAATTAATATGCAAATTTTCTCTTTAATGTTGAATCTCACTTCTGGATATCTCATTTCCAACCAGCTTCTTCTTTAAATTTCTGTCTTGGATTTAAATATACTACTATACTATCTTTTTATCGCCTTTTTATTTCTTCTATGTTTATTTAATAAATTGATTATAAATTATTGATTATTCAAGAATTTTCTACTACTATTACTACTGTTCCCTTTTAGCTATCTGATACTTCATAGATTAAACTTACCTCTTGATTTCATTTTTCTTGCGCTGTTCTCTCACTACTTCATATTTGCCAGTTGATTCTTAGAACATACATAGTGGCAGAGAGGGCATGTCCCATTTGATTAAAATTACAGAATTGCACGTATATAAATGGAGATTGAAAATCTCTCGACATGTACAGAATTTTGATTGTATTAAATTACTTTTTTATTGTTGTTACAGAGGGTCTTAAAAGATAAAGAGGATTTGCCAGCCACGAGAGTGAATCCAATTGATGGTACTCTCTTTTGGCTGCTCGATCAGGAAGCAGGCAAACTACTTAATTCAGACTGAAACGCGAAATTAGCCCAAAGTAAGACCGCTACAAAAGATTTGCACCATTTTTATAACATTCCATATTATGTATTAAGATCGTCCAATAATTCCATTATAAACCTTTTTTTAGCTTGATATTTTAATACATGCTTTTTTCACTATAATTTACTATTAAAGTTGATAAAATGTTTGAATAAGCATGTGTTTATACCAAAGGCATGTAAAAATAAGTAAAAATCACAAAAAATCAAATAGGCAACTTTTGACTGATATTGCTCAATAATATCGTTTATATAAAAAATATGTAAACTTTATCGTAAATTAATCTGCACATTGTAAAAAAACAAAAAGAATTTAATAAATGAATAAAATTTGCATTTTCATCAAAAAGAGCATTCCATGATAAAAATTTAAAAATTTTTGTTAAAATATATAATTTAGTAACAAAAAAATTTAATCGAAATTTATTACATATATATAACACACATAATTTAAGAAAATTTAATCAAAGATAGAAAATAAAGTGATTTCATTATAATTGTTTTTGATATATAAATTTTACTTCATCAAACTATTATGCTGTTTCTATTTTTTTAAATAATAACAGAGAGGAAAATACAAACAAATTAATCACAAAATTTACTCCAGATATCGCAAATTTATAACCAAAAAGGATAAATAAGAAATATATTTGGTGCCTATTAAAAATTGAAAATTATAGATTATATGAATTAAATATATATGTATTGTAATATATTGCAAAACTGAGAAAGTACAGTGCCTTTCAATAAAGATAACGATAAATTCACAATTATATTGTCATAACATATTTTATGATAAATATTATTGCATTTATTTTAATATGAAGTAAATTAATACAAAAAAAGAATTTTGTAGTACAACATGCATCATTTTATTGTTAATTACTATCAAAGCTATATTTTTACTATTAAATTGTAAAAAGATTAGATTTTTTATTAAATATAAAATCTAATCTGTTTACAATTTAAGAATAAGAAATTAGCTATATTATGTGTATATGTGTATATATATATATATATATATATATATATATATATATTTATATACAAGAAAATTTACAATATGAAATATATTTCATACATATCTATTGCTCAACTGGAATGCAATTTCCTATCAAATTCTTTCCTATAAAGTTCTTTTAAAATATTATAAATTCGAATATTTTTTTTCCATTTTTCGCAAATTTTATTGTCAGATTCATGATTTGTATTAGAATTTGGGTGATTTTAAAAGGTGAGTATTAAAAATCATTTGTCACACGCGATACTATGTATGATATTTATATTATTTCTTGTTTAATCTATTTAAATTCCAAACTGTTCATATGCTTAATTTATATACAAAATAACTGTTCCCAATTCATATACAAGATATTCTAGAATAAAAAAAAGAAGTATGAATAAGCAAATTAATATAATACATTTTTTTGCAAAAATTATGAGGATAAATTCTCTTTTTTAGAAAGAATTTAATTTTAATTAAATCAAAATGTTTAATTTGAGAAATAACATTTTGTCAAAGATTTAAAAAATTATGATATAATTTACAATTATTTATTTAATTAAAGATGTTTAAGATTATTAAGTTCCTTATATAGTTAATAAAAGAATAGATTTCTTTGATGACAAGATACTTACATTGAAAGATGAATAGCTTAAATATATGGATTAATTCTTAAACAAATTTGTAATATGTATATATAGGATATTTTAAAAATATATATATATATATATATTTTATTTATTTTTATTAAATCTCAAATATATATGATATGGGAATTACAGATTAAATTTTCCCTATGCATAAATCAGAAGACGCAAATTTAAATAATTATAAGCAAATTTATACTTGATAATTCAAATTTTTTAGGATGTAATTAAAAATATTTAAATTTACACAATCTCATTAATAAATATTTAAAACTATATACATATGTATATAGAAAGATCTAAATTAAAATTTTTATTTTTGTAATCAAATGGCCAATGAGAAATCAAATTGACTTATCTACAAAATACCAATAACCAGATAAGATCGAAAATAAAAAGTGAAGATTGCTTATAATATATAGCAATTAGAAATTATGTAAAAAATTCGATCCATTGAATTAATATTTTTCGTTCTTAACATACATTATAAAATGTATTATTCCCTTTTTATAGAATTTTTCTCTATCATATTTCAATAAAAATCTCAAAATAAAATGTGTTTAAGGATTAAGAATAGATGAATGTTAAAATGCAAAATTATTCAAAATTGTTTATTTCATAAAGCATGCATTTTATTTTAATGAATCAATTTATTTTACATAATTTTGCAATAATCTCATAATTTACAAGATCTCTATATATAGAACTACACGAGAATTCAATTTACAGTCATATACATATCACAGTATTGATGTATATCGATTCTCCATTTTTGCAAATCAAAACGAAATTTTCTAAATCGATATTACATCATTTTTACAAATCGTAATTCAATAAATATAAATTTTCTATGGACAAAGTCAGAAAAATAAAAAGAAGTTAGTGATCTAAAGTAATAATCTGATATATAAATAAATATAATAATAAAGAAAATTAAATTCAATATCAACTTTTATTTTTAAATTAATCTATATAAATGTCTATTAATTTATAAATTCCTGTTTTATCACAATAATCAAAATATTACTTATAATTTTATTTATAAATTATTCTCTATTTGTAAATTATAATAAAAAAAATTTATAATTACATATATATAGGTAATAATTTAATTACATAAACAGAGAGATAATTATAATTTATATAACATGCAAATCTTGTTTTGAGCCGTTTTGAATGTTGCCGATAAAATTCCTTTTTATACTGAATAATAAGAACTGGCCTTTCTTTCTTTGATCACTATCACTTGCTTGTATATTTGTTTACAAAAAAATATAATACTTTTTTTTACACATGGAACATAATCTGCCTTGTACTTATTCAAAATCAGACATCGTTGTATTGTAATATTAACAATATGACAACAATTGCTAGAAAAAATTAATTATATTATATTAATTCACAGTTATTTTTGTATAATTTATTAATATTAAAATATTAATGTATATTTAAATTTCAATAAATCATAAAAAACTGCGAAAGAACGCTCGATTTATCAAAGAAACTTTTCAAGTTAGCAATAATAATAAATAAATGTCAGAATTGTTTTTTTTTCTTTATTTATCTTTTTCCTCTTTGAGATAAAACGAACATATCTAATCGAACGACCATATATTCGCCTGTCGATGATTATTTATGTCGAACAAAAAGAGAGGGAGGAGAAAGAGAGAGAGAAGGAAAAAGAGAAAATAAGTTAATTAATTAAATTAATCCTAGTATGCATATTCATCACGTCATGTTAACTCCCAACGCCTGCCGGAAATGCTCATATACTACATAACTGATAGATACAGCAGGTGCAACCTACAGAAAAAGAATGTATATTTTAGTAAGGGGAATATAATTTCTTAAAATTGTATTAACTTACATTTTTGTATGTTAAACATAGACAATAATTAGAATTTTATATTTTTTGTAATATGAAAATAAATGCAACGCAGAAAACTAATCAACATTATGAAAAAGAAATAATCGTTAATTTTAATAATTTCGAATTTCGACTTGTTACATGTCTTTCATTTAAGAATGAATTATAAATATCATGAAGAGTGCAGCACTTATTTTGCAGAAGTACAAAGGAAAAATATAATAAGTTTTATTAAAAATTAATTCTAAGTAAAATGCTATTTATATTTAGAAAATCTGATTATCTAGAAATAAAATTCATACATCGAAAAGATTGGATTGTTATATATTAATTTATTTATTTCTTACAAATTTATTTTAAAAAAACTAAAAAAATGCAAAAAATAAAATCACAACAACTCCAACAAAATCTATTCGAAATAAATAATTTGTGTGTATGTGTGTGTGTATCTATATAAAAATTTCAATATATATTTCATTTATGAATTCAATAAAAAAATTCTATAAACTTTTAAATACATTTATATATTCATTTATTTTCTATGGTTTCATTAATCATACCTTAAGAAAGTTAGGTGTGAGGCCGCGATACAGGCCGCGTATTCCTTCACGTTTCAGAATGTCTCTAAACATTCCCATCATGGTATCGGGCGAACGTTCTGGCGCGATTTCGGCTTGCAAGCGCGTTCGCACTAATGCCAACGGATACGAACACACCTGGCCCGCTGTACTCGATGTTGTGCCACACAACAATAGAACCCAAAACGCTGGTTGTTCTTTCTTGTCGTGTGTGCGTAGGTAACTATTTTTCAGGGTCTACGAATGCAAATGAATTCATCGAGAAAATCTTGAAGAATTTATCTCTCGAATTATATCAATATTGAATTAAATAATCCCATAAATATATAATTTAATTTTGCACAAGTAACATTTTAATAACTACAACAAATATATAATAAAATTGAAAATAATTTCGCAATATTTTAACTTACTTCGTAGACGGCTAAATCGATGCCTGCATAGGGAAGAATTCCTATCAAATTGGGTATGTAGCCTCTATAGAAGGATTTTAAACCACCTTGTTTATATATTTTTTTAGCTGCGTCGACCATACCGTTGAATTCGCCCGTTTTTCGCAGCGCGAGTCTCGTCTTCAGCACCTGTAAAATTATATATCATATATTCTGATTCTTATTTTTCTTTAGAGTTTATTTCATACAAATGACTTCATTATATGTATATACGTATGTTATATAACTGATCTTTTCTGTACTTTTTTTCCTTTAACAATCTAATATAAGATACAAGAAGTAATTAGAAACGACCACACTGGCAAATTTTATTAAAGTGAATCACGACGTTTCGACCATGGTTTTGATCCTTTTCGAGTGAAAATAATTTAGTTAACTATTCTATCGTGAGAAATAAGGAAATCACTTCGTCAAGATTGTCATGTCAACCGTCTCCATCAACACACAGAGAAAGACAGTCTTTCTCTGTGTGTTGATGGAGACGGTTGACATGACAATCTTGACGAAGTGATTTCTTTATTTCTCACGATAGAATAGTTAACTAAATTATTTTCACTCGAAAAGCACCAAAACCATGGTCGAAACGTCGTGATTCACTTTAATAAAATTTGCCAGTGTGGTCGTTTCTAATTACTTCTTGTATTTTATTTACTGGCGACCTTGAAGAGTTTAATGTTAATCTAATATAAGCTAATATAACGTGATAATATAAGAGCCATAGTACACGACACAAATTTACATGGCTTCTTGTATCTGACGTCATGATTCAATATAGCTGCAACGAGTAAGATAATGAGATATACCTCGAGAGGGTAGATTGCCGATTGGCTGATACCGCCGGCCATGGAACCGGCGCAAAATCTCTCATAGAGTTTGAGTTCATGCGCGTCGTCCGTCTTGATAGCTCGTTTCACCTGTTCGTATGCCATAAACTTGAGCGCCGTTTCCGGACCAATCTTGAGCACGTTAATGCCATTGCCGCGCCATAAGCTGCTAATGCCACCCTCGCGCAACATGTACCTGAAGCAACTCATGATATTGCAGTGTCGTGTGCCGTGGACCTGCAAGGACGATCGGACGAGTCTCTCGTCGTGTTAAAGCAAACTAGACAAATTTACTCGCTCGCTCACGTTCGACATGCTGCTAAGCGGATTTTTTTACGAATAAAACAATATACAAATTTTTCAAAAATGTATATAAGTTTATTTATATAAATTTATATATTAAAAAAAAAATATATATATATACTTTATACATATAAACTATATATTTATATAAAATATGAAATGTTGAAAAAATAATATATAAATATATTGAAATATTTTTGCCTTTATCGTTATTAAATATAAATCATGAATATCAAATGAAAGCTTTTTGATAGAAGTAGGATATAATTAGCAAATAGAATTTACCTGCAAATAGACCTTGATGCGATCAAGGGGAGCAGTGCAGGTACGTGATACTGCACCAGCTATCCCACCGGATAATAAATGTCGCCACCACATTCCCGACACCATCTCACCTTTTGTGAATTCTTCGGGAACGCCAATGTCCTCTCCGATGTCCATATACTACAAAAAAAAATATTACAATTAAGTACTGAAAGCAACTGATGATTTTATCACAGATATCAGACTTATCAAAAAATTAATAGTTTAAAGATTATTCAACGAATCTTAAATTAATTCGATATTAAATAAGACACGTGTTATTTTACATGCATATATAAAATGATATTTATACACGCACATTTAAACAAAATTTATTTGTATAATTTTATTGATTTGTAAGACACTAATAAAAATACAAGATTAATAAGATGTACATTTATGAAATAAAGAATTATTTTTTTTAAATTAATATCTTATGATAGACGCAATAATATAATAAATAATATATATGTACCCACACACATATACATATACATACACACACATTATGTAACTTCGAACAATATTTAATAACAAAATTTAAGAATATGTTAAAATTAGAATGTTATTATATATATAAAACTTTTGTAAAAAAAAATGGTGAATAGGAAAATAGTTTTTAATTATTTATCTTTAACTTTTGCAAAATTATCGAACTCGTATATTTTTGCGAAGTAAATTTTTTCCTTATCAATGTTTTAGAATGAGTGGCTTTGCCTTGAACGTAAATGTGAAATCAATTAAAATGATAAAATTATTGGCACGACTAACTTTTCGGTTTTAAATCTCTCTTTCTTAGAGACATCCTGTATGGATTACTTATCAACTGTGATAAAATATCAAATATTACAGTATTGCGTTTCGATGAAAGTAATCTGTAATGTATAATACAACAGAGATATTGTATTACAATACTAATGCATTGTAATTCCAAGCCTTAGTATAGATATTGAGTCTGCGAGAATTAACATTCATAAAAGGAATGTGAATTTGAATTTAAATGAAGATGTATTAGGCTAACACGAGCTTTCTAAACTAATTTTTGCACAATAAGATATTTAAAGTACACACACACACACACACACATTTCTCCTACATTTCTCCTAGAAACTTCATTCTTCATAACTAATTTCAATCTTTACTTAGATCCTTCTGTTAAAAATTTATCACAAATTTAACTACTCACTAATTATACTCACAAAATTAATGCTTTAAGTCTTGAATTATTTAAAGAAAAATAAGCTAAAATCTTTATTTTATTTTTAATTTCAATATTTATAAAATAGGAGGATTAATTTTTTTTATTTTATCATATACGTAATATACGTGCATATTTAACTTTTTTAACTCGTACATATTTAACTTTTTATATAAAACTCCAGAGAGAAATAAAAGTTAAGATTATCTGTTACAATATTTATAATGTGTACTTTTGAACTTTGTATCATTTATATATCGTCATATTTGATTTCGCAAATAAATTTGGATTTTATTCAAATTTGTCAGTTTATATATAATAAATTCTACTGTAATATTATAAAACAAAAGTGAGATAATTGTATGAATATATAAAAGTGAAACAAATTTCTTTTACTTCATTTTTTTAAATAAAAAAAATAGTTGCAAAAACATACTAACTTTACGAAATACTTTCGTCCTGGGAATTTCTCATCAATTTTACGAATAACTCGTGATGTAATAATTCGCGAAATCATAATCAATGATTTTGTTTACAAGAAAAGATAAAGAAATATTATTTTGCAATTTATTCGATACAGTAACAAATGAGACATAACGAATAAAAAAAAGAATTGCGAATCGTAACAAGATTGATCACGAATATAAAGAAATGTTCTCAACATGTTCTCAGTTTGACTGGGCGACAAGCCAAATAGATGCTAATGTCTATAAGTACAATATGCAAGGTCTAGCCTTTTAGCAACATTTTCCGCGCTCAAAATAAAAGGAGCATATTTTCACAAGGAAGTAAGACAGAAAGAAATATATATAAGACTCATTAAAAGCACTTTCTTTGAATTACAAATTGTTCGATCACAATTTAAAGCTGATTTATGATTGTTTTAATTCAAAAAACTAGATGTCTTGATATTTTCAAAATATTTACACATATAACATATTCTATAATATAGAATAATATTTAATTAAGAGATAGTGTTTAATTAAAAGAAATGTTTGAAAACGAAAACGAATTTTCGGACTATTTTCATAAAGTTTATAAAGTTATATAAAAAAATAATGAGACAAAATCAATCCTTAATTTTTATTTTTATCTTTAAATATTTCACAAGGTCTTTTCCGAAGCACAAGGTCTTTTCCGAAGCACAGTATCATAAGATTACTCGGGGGCTGGATCTGGGGAAAGAGATATGACCTAATAATGGAGGCACGAATGTTGTTTATCTTTCAGGACTTTCCCGACAACTTGTTAAAGATTAAGATAAAAATAAAAGCGAGTGAGATAAAATAACATTTTATAAAGTCAGTTACTTTTTCGATATCAAACAAGGTTAAAAATTATTTCGCTGTAGAAATAAAATGATTTTATAATCGGAAAACACTATTATTATATTAGATTTAATATAGAGGAGGCTTTTTTTTTAAAGAATATCTGATAAATATTTAAGATAAAATTTTTTAAGACACCAGAGAAAACAAAAGTCCTTGAAAGATGCATTCCAGAATCACTTTCACTCGGGATTCTGACCATTTCCTTCGTCCTATAAACTTTCTTTTGCCATTTGGATGATCACAATTAGTAAACTTGGGTTCTGATTGGCTGTTTGAAGGCTATTTCTAGCATTACTCACCCGTTGTAAGAGCTCATGGTAACCCTGCAAAAATTCCTCGCATACTTGACACGTGGACAACGTGCTATCATGCTGGAGAAATCTCGGTTTCTGTAGAGCATACATGCTGCGATCGATCAGCTGTAATCGCGATTCACATGGTTGCGAATATGCTCGTCGCATGAGATCTGCCGCACTGCTCGCTCACTCTGAAGTCAGTCGTATCTACGCATACGATAGTCTCTGTATTTCTCTTTTAAGTTTCTTTAATTACAGTCTTCTTATTATTCTGTTCCTTTTATGTTTATATTTTTTCTAGTTTTATATCCTTTTTTTTCTAATTTTTTTATTGCCTATTATTGTTTTTACTGCCTATTGTTCTTCTTTCCTCCTTTTTTTCTTCTTATTTCGAGAATTTTCTCGATTTTACTTTATTATAGTGTCTATTTGTATCTTTTATTTTTTTCCGGTTATGTATTATTTATATTCTCTCTCCTGTTACTTTTTTTTTTAAATGATATGTCGTTTCTTCTCCTTTTGTGTATGTGTGTGTGCTGTGATTAATATATATTGCATCACGTGGTGTCACAGAAATCACGCTCACTCTGTAACGTCTGTCGCACTCACACTGTACAGTCTGCACTTTCGAAAACTTTCGAACTTTCTATACAGAGAAGAATTTGCACTGATCGAAATTTCACAAATCCTTAAGAATCTTCCGCTTTTTTTCTCTTCTATATTTTTTAATCGCTTATCCACTGATTTCTATCCAATTATTGAGAGCACTCTAGTGATTTTTAGAATCAGTGGAAATGATTTAGCAATAAAAATTCGACGATACATCGACAGACACTAATCTAACAATGTGAGTGCACCCACGTGGCCGAAGAATCTGCTTAGTAAAAAAAGAATCGATCTCGTGGTCTTTAATAGTGGGGGAAAGAAGGACGAGCTACGAACCAATGATTCGAACGCTCGGAGTCCGACTGCGAGACTAACGGAAGAAGCGAGGAAAACCCGGGTACGAAAATATCGTGCCCCTCCAAAACGGAGAACTTGTTTGCTCCCTTCCTACATAACTGCTTGTTCTTTTCCTGACGTCACAGAGCGCACACGTCATCGAGCAAAGATCCGTGCAATGACGGTCTGAGCAAAGTCAGCGACCGTCCCACAGCACAAAGTTCACTCACAATCTAATGAGAAGAGCATAGGGAAATTTTAATTGTATTTTTCTACATTCTGTTTTTCCACGAATGTATATTACACAGTAATAATACTATTTTCTCTCTCTTTTTCTTTTATTATTTAATAATGGTCCATTAAAATTAATATTAGCAAGTGTTTCAGTGGTAATAATAATAAAATTAGTAATGTATAATAGTATTAATAATAATAATATTAATGCTAATTTGATGGTAATTTGATTTATATTAATGGTAATTATATTAATGGAAATGATAAAATGGAAAAACTTGAATTTCTTATTTCAAAATTTAGCGTTTCTTAAACCAACAAACCAGGATGGAATTTATGAGAAAATATTTACAAAAATCAATATTTTTAATCTCTAAGTCTTAATGAAAAATATCACACGAATTGAAGTTGAGAATCACTATCATGATGTAACAAGTAGCTGACGTAATATTGCACAGCATTTCATTATGTACTTATTGGAAATTTGATTGACTTGCATAATTTAAGGGGATATTTGCTTTTGTATATTTCGATGCATCAACATGCATCAAATATCAATGTATGTGTGTGTGTGTGTATACACACACACACACACACACACACACATACATATGCGTGTGTGTACACTGTATGTGCATATAATATGTATGCACATGTATGATTGATATTTGTTATTTTATTTTTCACAAGCTTTTATCAGTATGTTAGATATCATATAGTATAGTAAATATCATATTCTTTCTTATCAATATAAAATTCAAGTTGTATGAATTACTCACTGTAGTATGATGCCAATATTCGATGATGTCAAGCAAGGTAGAACTTGGTGCATAGAGGAGGAAATCCCGCCATTCATCAAAACTAATTTTGAGGCTTCCATCTTGGTCCATTCTGTATTTATATATAATATTTAATGGTAAATAATGTTATTTAATGATGATTAAATATATATACTAAAAAAGTTAGTAACAAGTTATATCTAATTATAATTAATAATATGTATATGTATTAAATTAATATTAAAGAAGAGAGAATTTAAACAAATAATCTTTTTGTTATTCTTTAATAATTATTTTTTTAACATTTTATTATATATGTATGTAATTTAATATTTAACATAATAGATATAATATTATTTGCTAATAATAAGGATATTTATTCTATTTTTAATAATATTTATATAATTCTTCTAAACTTTTGAATAACGAATTGTTTTTATAGCTTTTCAAGAGGAAACTATTTTTCTACAAAATAAATTATGTGCACATTCCAATAAATTTTGTATATATAATGTTTTGTATATTAATTGAAAAAACTGTTGATAGATAATAGTTATCAATAAGAAAATTACCGTTGCAATAACTTTGTTGCTTCCTCTCGTGCAATTTCTATCCCCAGCTCTTTGAAAGCTCTTATCAATTCTTCCAAATCTATCTTACCTGAAAATAACAAAACATTAATAAAATTGTTTAACCATGCCTACAATTTTTATTATTATATATTATAAGAAGTAAATTCTACAACTAATAATACCATAATTAATAATAATGTGCTAATTAATAAAATAAATTATTAATTAAACTAAATATATATATATATTTACATGTTATATTATAATCAAATTTTGGTTTGATATAGAAAATTTTTTAATTCTAAATCTGTGCAATATCTCAGAATATTGATCTTTGTTTTACTAAATACTTGCTTACCATCTCTATTTTTATCAAGATTTGAAAACTGTAATCGTAGATTCTTCTCATGTTCACGAACATAATGTATGAATTCAGCCAAACTGATGTCGCCACTTTTAGTACTGTCTGAGCTGGCAAGAAATTTCTATAAAAATAAAGAAATTATTCTTTAGATAACTCCATTTTAAATGTAAAAAGTGCAGTTAAAAGAAACAATATGTAAAAACGTACATTATATTTGCATGATAACATTTTTAATCAAATTTTAATTTTTTTATAATATAATATTTATAATATATCACTGTTTTCTTTCATAAGATTTTTTAAGAGATACTTAAGACTAATTATTTTAAAAGACACTTAAGACTTTAGATACTATCTGTCTAATAACTCAATTACAAAAGAATATATATGATTCTTCATTCTTCTCATTTGAATACTCTATTAAGGATTATATACATTATTATACATACATTATTATTACATTATATACATTATTATTATAATATAATCTATAGTGTAATTTGAATAAATAAATTTTATTGAAAAACTTTTTTCTAAAGATTATTTTAAGCAAAAAAAATATATATATATATAAATGTGTGTGTGTGTGTGTGCGCGTGTTGTGTGTGTGTGTTATAATATTTATATGCACATAATTTTTTTGTAGACTAGATCTTTTTTCATATGCTAAATCAGCTCTTTTCTTTGAAATTAAAATTCTCTTCTTTTGCAGTTCCATCTATTGACATATTCCATGTGACCATGTTGAAATTTTTAAGTATTGTATTGCTTCTGCAACTATATATAAACACATCTGCATAAACCTTTAGATTTGTTCTAGTTGTACTTTTCACACCTTCTCTTTTTACCTTTAGATTTGTTCTAGTTGTACTTTTCACACCTTCTCTTTTTACCTTTAGATTTGTTCTAGTTGTACTTTTCACACCTTCCCTTTTTCTCTCTTTATTCCCGAATACATCTTTTATTTTAAGTGCAGAGAAATGTATCTGATACTAGAAATACATTCTTCATTGTTTTTTTAATTTTCCTCTTTTATCTAATTAATCTCTTTTTAAATAACAGTCAAAAAATATTATAATCTAATAAATTTTAAAGTTTGTTCGATCTATCAATTCTTTTTTCTCCTTATTTATGATTCTTTCTTTTCAACATACATTCATCCTATTCTACAGACAGAATGTGCGTGTGTGTGCTGCATATGTATGCGCGCGCACGATACAGGGACATTAGATATTCACATAGCTTATATATTAATTAAAATAATAAATACAACGAATATTCATTATGCATCTCCGCGCGCACACATACATATAATATAAACAAAAATAAATAATCACTGAAATATAATATTATATTAAAAAAAAGTGACAAAATTGAAAAGAATGAAACAGAAGAATATTGATATACTTGACGTTATATATATATATATATATATATATATATACAGCATATTTAAATTAAAATAAAAAAGAATTCCAATTCTACACACACACACACACACAATCTCTTTCAAATACATGTTTCTAAGAGCAACACACACATATACACACATCGTATATGTATACTGTGTATTACGCGACGTATTTCACGTAACACATAAATGTAGAAAAAGGAACGGAATATATGTAAGAACATACGCAAATACCTGGGCATATTGCGTGTATTGCGTGTGCACGCCGGCCTCGCTTAACGCCTTTGACAGATCGTGCACGTCGATGCGGCCGTTGCCGTCGAGGTCGAGCGTTTGGAACAGCCGCTCCAGCCGTTCCTCGTCCTGGGCCGGCAGCTCGTGCAGGTAATGCGCCGGCGGCGGCGTCGCGGCCACGCGCGCCGCCGGCGACGCGCTCACGCGCGCACCGCCGCCGTTCCCCGGCATGTTACCTGCGTATCTTACCTACCTACGCGCCACGCGAGAATCCAGATAAGACGAGGGCAGGCGCTCTCGCAGCGAAGAAGCGAGGCGAAGCCGTACCGTGCGTAAAGCGTACGTACGCGCGCTTATGTATGGGTGTGTACGTGTGCGAGAGAGAGCGTACATGTCTACGGACATCGCGCGCACGCATCAGCCGCACTGCCGTTGCTGGAGGGTGCGCGCGCGCGCGCGCACTACGCGCCGACGCTGACAGGTCCCGCGAATCGAGCGCCGTGTTGCTGTCAGTTGTCAGGAGGCTGCACGGGTGACAGATAACCGGACGGCAGCGTTGTTACCAAGCGTAGTGCCCCGAATAGACGCCAGAGGGAACGTCATTACGTCAAATACGTCATTTTGACATTTCGCGTTCGAAGAAGTTACTTCTCGGGAGGGTTTAATCGACCAATCGGAAGGGTGGAATTTTTTGCTCCCTCGATCCTGATTGGTCGATCGAACGTTACTCCTTCAGTGAGTTGATTTTCGAACGTACTTCCTCCGCGCTTGAAAGCGTCGCGGGACGGAGTAGAGGGAAACTGTCGAGCTTCTCGTGTCATCTCGTGTCGCGTTTACATGTTGATGATCTATGGTGCGATAAAGGTTGAGATTAGAGATCCGAGTCGCGCAAAACTGCGCGAGAAGAGTGATGCGCAAAAAGTGTAATCGATGTGATGTTTCGCTGTAACGAGGTGGGTGATGATGCTAACGGTGGATTTTATATCGCCGATTAATTTACGTGGTCTTCCGGATTCCGAAAGTCGCTGTCATGATATCGAGGACATCGCGATAGAGGCAGGTTTTTCGTCAGCGACACGAATAATGCGACTGTTTCGTCGAATTTTTCTTACAAATTCCGAGAAATTCTTACGATTATTCTCTACAACGTGTAAGAACGATCGATCTATTGAATCGGAATGATCTTGCCGTATTGCGCCGTGATTTCTCGATCTAGAAACCTCAGCAAAATATGGTTATGAGGCAGAATTTATCGAGTTTGTTCTTCCTATAACTGCACTTTCTATAACTCTTACACTTTCTCTTTACATTCTGTGTACTTTACATAAATTTTATACCTTCAAGGTATCAACATTACCTACAACTTTCTATTTTTGCTCATTCATACTATATTTATATTTTATCTACGTTACATTTACATTTTATTTTCCATGCTTTTCTATTTTTTTCATTAATTTCACATTATTGACAATATGAAATTCATAATTAAAATTGCATTTTTTTTCGTTAAAATGCGATAATTATTTTAAAAATAACTTACATTTATATAAAATGATTATTATTATTAGTTATTATTAGTTAAAATTACTAATAATTATTTTTAGTTATTATTCATCTATTCTACCAAATAAGTCATCTGTTAAAAGATGAAATGACAATCTGTGAAACGTATTATTTGAACTATAACAGTATACATTACAGACAAATTGTAAACGTATATAAATGTTATAAAATATTTATCAAAATTTTGAATATATTTGGTAAATTTCACAAATGACTATATATTTTTCTTTTTTCTAAATGTATGTAAGTTTGTATTTTTTCTACTCCATAGAATGCCGATACAGGCACCACAGTGGACTGAATTCCTGTCATGTCCAATTTGCTGTCATGACTTTGATGCAGCCATACGAGGCCCTATATCGCTCGGTTGCGGCCATACAATATGTCGCGCCTGTCTCGCCAATCTGCATCGCAAGCAGTGTCCTTTCGATCAGGTATGCAAAAAATATCAATAACAATATATGTATGAATGTGTTTTGTGTAGTAGTATATATATATTCTTTACATATACTTAATACATATGTTATACGCATTGTATGACAATCTTATTTCATTTAATGTTTAATTACCTTATTCCTTTTGCACAGAGCATCATCAACACCGATGTGGAGAGATTACCGGTAAATGAAGCACTGTTGCAATTGCTAGGCAATCCAATTTCAACTGTCGTCTCATCAACATCTGTGTCAAATCAGCAACAAAATTATCAGAAGTTGCTACCAGTTGACCAACATGCTAACTATCTGCGGGCCAAGAGTTGTATTGAGGAACTCGCGCTTTATCTCAAACCATGTCAGACGACTAACACTGCAGGCATGTACAATATCTATTTTTAAATATCAGATATAAGTATTAGTATTACAAATATATTTAAGAATAAAAATTAAACTAAAATTTATTGTACAAGAAATTAAATAACATATTGTTATAGTAGATTGCTGTATAAATTATATTGTATTTCTTTGTAGAATATATTGTAGATTGTTAAAATTTATATATTATGTTATAGTAAACATATAAATCGTCGTGATAATTAATATAAGTTATGAAATTGTTACGATATATGTAGGTATCGGAGGCGGGGGCGGAGGGTTAGTGTCCCGACCCATGCAACGTAAACTGGTGACACTGTTAGGCTGTCAATTAGTGGAACCAGAGGGTAGAGCGCGCGCCCTGCGTGCCGCTCGTAGTCTCGGCGAGCGCACCGTTACCGAACTCATACTGCAACATCAAAACCCTCAACAGCTCAGTGCCAATCTCTGGGCAGCTGTACGTGCTCGCGGTTGCCAATTTCTCGGGCCAGGTAAATTTTATTTGTAAAAGATAAAAAAAATGAATTCAAATAAGCTATATTTTTTTACTTATTATTAAAGAAAAAAATAAAGAAAAAATTAATCATATTTGACTTTGTGGTGGTATTTTTACAGTTACAATGATACATATGTATTATTTTTTAAACGAAACTATGCAAGCACAAAAAAACTATGCACTTTTGTTTCTACAATTATTTTTTTCTTATTTTTAGCGATGCAAGAAGAAGTATTGAAACTTGTGCTGTTGGCATTAGAGGATGGTTCAGCATTATCGCGCAAAGTATTGGTGATGTTTGTGGTACAACGTTTGGAGCCACACTTTCCACAAGCCAGCAAGACTAGCATTGGTCATGTAGTGCAACTTTTGTATCGCGCGAGTTGTTTCAAGGTAATATACAGTAACAATTACAAAAATATTTGAATGCTTCTAAATCAAATGCTATATTCTACAAAAAAGAATTATATATATTTACATAAATATATAATTATATATAAATTCTCAAAAATCACTGTTATCTTTTTAATGACTATATATCAATTATTATTTCTTTGTATTAACAGGTATCGAAACGCGAAGGCGATTCGTCGTTGATGCAGCTAAAGGAAGAGTTTCGCACTTATGAGGCTTTGAGACGCGAGCATGATGCGCAAATCGTACAGATTGCCACGGAAGCGGGACTGCGCATTGCGCCCGACCAATGGTCGGCTCTACTCTATGGCGATACCGCACACAAGTCTCATATGCAAAGTATCATTGACAAATTGCAGACACCACAGTCATTTGCCCAAAGTGTTCAGGAACTTGTGATAGCATTACAGCGTACTCCAGATCCTGGGCAATTGAGTGGTCTCAGGCCACAATTGGAATTATTGGCCGCCATAGATCCCAGTCCAGGTATAATAATATACATGCTATATATGATTTATAATATTGAAAAAATTTTTCATAATTAAATGAAAAAAAGAGAGCCTCTAAAACTCTTGAATATATAATTTTTAGAGACGGAACCACCAAGCTTGACTGAATGTCGAGCAGCTTTAGAGGCCGTAAGAATAGTTGTGGCTGCGTTGGTGGATTTTGTGCGACAACACGGAGGCGGCAATACCAGCGGTGGAAATCGAAAATCAGCGGCACAAGACAGTGGAGGTGGCGGATCTGGCGGAGGTCCGTGCCCGGGTCCGACAACTGGCAAGTATAAAGTCAGCATGTGCAGAGATCTGGCTCTTCGCGGCACTTGTCCGCGATCTAACAATTGCACCTTCGCCCACAGCGACACCGAGCTTGATAAGTAAGTCTGTATATCTAATACATATTTCTATCTCTACATTTATTTATTTATAATATAATACATCATTTCTATCTCTACATTTATTTATTTATATGTACAAAAGAGAGAGAAAGAATTATAAAGAATATGTAATATATTAAAAAAAGAAATCGATATTCAAGTAAATTATAAATATTAGGCATTGTTATAAATTATATTTTAGAAGATTCAATAATATATATAATCTTGAATAATAATTAATATTTTTTCGACTATTTCATATCAAATTAATAATATTTTTTTATTGTTATACTGCAAGTTTGTAGATTGTATAAATAATATATATTTTTGGTGAGAGTATGAATATATCATTGATTTCAATACTTTTTACATACAGATACAGATCGAAGAATCGCAAATTGAGTGTTAGAACGACTTCAAATCAGATTGAATCAAAGGGTGAGAAGAATAACAAGACCTTTAATAAACAGAATGGCGATTTAACAGCTTATCATTCTGCCAAAACACATGATAGAGAAAGTGAGTATATAATGAATATTTATAATTATATAATTCCATTTAAAAATGAAATTGAAAGGAGATACGCACACACGTATATATAGCTAAGGAGAAATTTTTATTTTTATTTATTGAATAAAAAAAAACAATAGATATTGTGAAAACTAAAGTTATACTGGTCGATATTTCTTTGAAACAGAAAATAAATTAAGTAAAACATAATGTATATAGACTGAAGTAGAATAAATATCTGTTATTTTATTTGAATTACTTTAGCGGCCGTACAGCATCCGATGCCCATTCCGACCAATCTAGAAACTAACTTGATCGATTCATTGACATCAACTTACATGCTGCCGTCTGCATCCCCGCAAAACTTACCGCATCTTGGTCTGTGCTCTGTGAAGGGAGGAGCTATGGTAGATGGCGGAGGATCTGCTGTCCACTGCTCAGGACATTACATAATGTCGCCAGGATCCGTTGCCCCTGTTGATTATGGGTCTTCTCCAACGACCACGACAAATCTCGGAATGTGGGACACTCCGCAAATCGTACCAGCAAATCATGTAACAAACGACAAAAAAGTGAGAGAAAATTATTTTTTGTAATAAATAACATTTAGATAAACATAAAACATACAAATTTATTTTACTGATAATAAAATGAAAGATTTTTGAGAATAAAAGTAAAATTTCTTTTTTACTGCGCGAATCATATTCTGTACAATTTCCTACTTATTAAATGAATCTGAAGTGCAAAAACCTTTAACAATAATACATTTTTAAAGCTAGAATAAAAGACTACAATTATTATGGTTTGTATATATATATATATATTGATTTTCATATTTTGATTTTCTCTTTTATTGATAAAAATAGCTTATAAGTCTTCTGGCTACAAGTCACTTTTAGAGGCACTTTTTTATCGATGAAAGAGAATTTAGAATATGGACCATTAATTTTAGTAAATAATTATAACAAATATATAATTATACAGATAACTTTAATAAATGTAATGAGTAGAGAGAGAGAAGAGAAAATAATCTTAATATTAATGCTATAATATTTTAATAAATATTAATAGAGTTGTAAAATAAATATTACAGCAACGAACGGCAAAAACTATGTTGGCAATGTTACTGCAACGTAGAATGGAGATTCTGAATCAATTGGAAACAATTATTGGCAAACAGCAGCAGCAACAGCAGCAACTAATTTCCCCGCAAATGAAAACGGTAATAAACTGATCATTTTTATTTTTTTACATTCAAGCTCTCTTGTATAATATATAATATATATTAACAAATAATATATATAATTAATATATATTTAAGAAATAAAAAATTGTATTTCTCTCCTTTATTAAATATTATCTTTTAAAGATCTTCTTTTTTATACATACATCTGTTTTTATATTTATAGTAAATTTCTTCCTCATATTGTAACATACATTATTTTATTATATTTTATTCATTATATATTTATTCTATATTTTTCTTTAGAATTATGATCTTCGACAGGAAGGCGACTTGTTGACTACATCTAATAATTTCTCAATATGGGCTGCTGCAAATAACTTTCGCTGTCCTTCTGGAACAGAATCACCACCCGCGGTTTCGCATCTGTTCGACGATGATGCGCCCTTTGTGCCCTTATTGGACATGCCTCCTGCAGCCTCTTTGTCACCAGTCAACAAACAGGGATCCATCTCGAGATTGTCCAAAACCCTGATAAGGTGCTAATAATAGTGATAATAAATGCAAATAATATAAAATTACATCAATATGAGGTTGTGTATATAGTAAAAAAACAATTATTAATTTTTTATTTGGAATGAAAAAGAAATAATGAGAAAAAATAAATTTGATTACAACTAGTTCAAAAAGTTTAATGATACAATTCATGAAAAATTAAAGAAGAACTTTATAATCACAATTGCAGATGTGTATAAAATATATATTATAGATTAATTATTATTTATTATTAATTATTTTTTATTATATTTTACTATATTAATATATTTATTAATATTAATATTAATTTATTAACATTAATGTTCTTTACAATTGTTTAATATTTAATTTTAGTGTTAACATTTTATAATAATTATATTTTTACAATTTATATGAAATTGATAATAATAGATCTCCCTGCAATGGACCTCTGCAACACTTTGCAAGTTTCTACAACGAAGGGATTGGACCCACCTCTGCGCAATCCACTGCATATAGGAGTCCAAACTCTGTAACCTCTTTGTATTATGGAAATCAACGTGAGTGCAAAAATAAGATATGTATGTTGTATAGAATTATATACATAAATTATATTTATATTATTTTATATATTAATAATTCGATGTGATTTTTATCAATAAATTATATGTAAACATATATGCATATATATTGATATAATTATTAAATTGATATTAAAATGATATAATTAACAAATTACTGCAGCATACGTGACAATTGGCGCGAATGGTGGTATACAATCCATGACGTCGACAACCCCCAGTGACGGTAGTGGCGGTGGCGGTAGTAGTTTCGTGAACGAGAATTATATTACTCTTGGCCGTAATATCGTTGCTCCAGAATCGCTACCGCAATTTTCGAGATCGGAATATATGTCGAGTAAAGAGTGAGTAATAGAATATATTTGCATATATAGTGAGTATGTATGCATATTATTATACATATATATTTTTCAGCTTGATTCTTGAATCGCAAAAGGTAAAACAGCAACTTAGACATCTCGAGAAAAAACTCAATGACTTAAAGGTAATAAATTGTGCTTCGTTTTCTGTAAAATATGAAAAATATTACTTAATTCTCATACCATATATGATATGTAATATAATATATTAAATTATATGATATTGAAAATTGAAAAATTTTAATAAATGATAATCTCTAAAACTCTAATAAATGATGATTTTCTGGCAAACTCTAATAAATGATGATTTTCTTTGATACTTTATTAAAGAAAAACTATTATATTTTACTGCTACAGAATTTGTTATTGTAGTAGAAATAAAACCACACACATATATTATTTTCTCTAAAAATAATTTTGAAAATATTTGATATCAAAGTTGGTATTATTTTCATCATTAATATATTATTCATGTATTTTCATTAATATATAAATATATACTTACAGTTAGCGACACAAGGAGCCACTACTTTTTTCACGGCGGGCGAACGGCTGGCACAAGAATTGCAGATGATTGAAGCAGGTATCAGGGAAAGAGAAAGAGATATGCGAAATTGGAGCTGTAATCCATATGGTACTGGTACTGGTACCACTACGTTTCCATGGATCCAGCAATCCTCTAATGATTGGTTGTCAAATCAGGAATACAATCAGGATTATAAAATTGAGGAAGTAAGTTATGTCATTATATTTAATTTCATTTTAGAATTTATTTAATAAAAGTGCAAAAATAATTCTTATATTTATTAATTTTTATCTAGGATCAAATTTGTGCTCTTTATCGATTTTATTAAATTATTTTCCTGTTTTATGTAAATACGGATTTGATTAAAACTCATCTTATGATTTCACATATCTTATCTACAAAAATATTAATCGTCTATCTATCAAAATATTAATCGTGACCAATGTTGCTTAATATATAATAATAAATAATGATAATAAATATTGAATTTATATATTTATAATTACTATTAATAATTTATAATTACTATTAAGAATAATTCCTATGTTTGTGATTGATTAATTGATTAATCAGGAGGATACGTATGAAGCGGGAATCGCGAACGATATGCGGGAACTGGAATTGCGATGGGAATTCGAATTGCGAGAGCAGGAGAAGCATTGGTCCAGTGGAGGTGAGGAGGATATTATTACCACCACTACAACCACTACCACCACTACCACCACTTCCAAGAATAAATAATATTTATTTATTCTACTCTATAACATTATATAATCTCCTCTCCATTTTCCTATTGACACTATTTTTTCTTCATCTCTTTGAAAACATGTATTTTTGCATGTCGAAATCGATCTCCTTTTGTATTTCTGTAAACTAATATCTATAGAAAGTAAGAATTTCTTCAATTCGTGAAGAAATATATAAAGTACACGCAGACCTGCGAATCTTTGAAACATCTTTGACTATTTTTATTTTAATTAATTAAATACAGTATCGCGTATAATAAAAATGTGGAAATTATATAATTTTACAATTCTTATTATATAATTTCCAAATTAATAATAATCGTCAATTACATGTATATGTTGAGCACATAAATTCTCAATTGTTGAGATAAACAAGATTCAAGCTAATCTTAAATATAAATGAATGGCTGCGTGCAATAAAAAAAAAATGCTAAAATAGACTCAATTTATACTGTTTACTTAATCAAATAATTTAATATATTTTAAAATTTTTTAATTAGATTTTTCAAAAAAATTTCTTTTTATCTGTATCGTTGACCTATCTTTTCTTTCTGATTTAGGGGAGACATAAAAAGATAAGATAATAAGATTAACAAACAAGAGATTTATGGGGTTTATTAAAATTTAGCAATAATATATAGTCAGTGTTTTATAAACAATGACTCGGTGGAATATGAAAAACGTGTAGATAAATATATTAAATAACGTATTTAATTATATGCAGATCGTATACTCTCTATCGATGATACGGTATCACATGCAAATATAATAAATAATACATTCTAAAAGAATGCTGACTGCGCTTGACCTGATCGACAAGGTTAATTGTCTCTTACAATGATAATAATAATAACAACGCGTTATTATATTACATGCTTATACATATATTGTGTAGATATATATATATGCTAAAAAAAACTGCGTTCCTTTGGAGGACGTTCTATTTATAGAATTTCTATATTCCGAAAAAGATGGAAAAAGAAGCAAAACCATCCTACCTCGATATTGGAGACGGCTCATTCTATATACATACAGATTTTTATATAATATAGTATATACATACATATATATATGTATATATATATATATATATATATATATATTTATGTATGTATGTATATATGCATATATGTAGAAGTCTGTGATATAACCATTTTATTTCTAAATGTAATTAATTTTTATAATCAAATTCTGAAATTTTCAAAAACTTAAAAATTACTATTGTCATTATTAATGAAATTTAAAATGTATTTAATATAATCACAATTATATATATATATATATATATATATATATATATATATATATATATATAGAATTGTTAAATTGTCAAAATTTTTTAGAATATTTTATATTTCGGGAAAGAAAGTATGAATTGAAGAGCCGTCTCAGAGGAGGGGAGTCTGGTCATTTTAGTAAATCGTTGCAATCCAAATCGTCTCTGTTTTTCTATTTTTACGGAATAACAAAGAACGATAAGAGAACAGTTCCAGTTTTAGTGGAAGCAACATTTTTTTTTATATGACAGATGAGATCTCTCATCGACTTTATCTTATAAACCTTTAGAACGAACTATACTATGTTCGAGTGAAAGTTATCTTTTTTTCTATTAAAAGAACTATAGATAATTCGAGTAAATTTTTCTTTTTAACAGTAATATGTACACGTGGGAACAGAAATATCTTAATACATAAATTTATGCACATATTGAAACATTATATGCATTTTCCATATGTATGCCTTGACATTTAAATTCATGTATTAAAGTATTTCTGTTGCTGAGTGTATATACATATAGGATAAAATTAATGTTTTTGTGTTTTTTTTTTTATTAATTAATTGAATTATTACTTGAATTTCTTTTCAAATTTTTTCAAAAAAAAAGAGAAAAACTGTGTTAAATAAAATCAGGAAATCAATACATTAGCTTTCTTTTAAATTTTATGAAATAACTTTTGTATGCATTTATTATGCAAATTGTATGGCAAGAAGATCGAATATTAATTTTTAGAAAAATAGGAAAATCATGAAAAACTAAGATATTATCTTTTTTCTAAATTTCAGATAAAATTGAAAGTATATATATTATTTTACATTTTAATTTTTGATATTTCATAAAAAGTATTAAATATAATAAAAAAATTGACGTACTTTTTTGCACATAATATCTTTTCTTTGAAATATATGTGAAGATTTTATATAATGCTAATTGTGTGGCAATAATTGAATCGTTTAAAAAAATGAAGAAATATTGCGATTTTGTAATTTGATTAACAATATTTTTGTTATTAAGTTTTTATTATTTGACTTCTTATTAATTGTTAATTTTTAATTGAAAATAACATATATATCAATAATATATATTTAATCTTATCATATATACATGTACATGCATATGAGTTTCGTATATAATTATTTGACATTAATTATAGCAAAATATATCAATTAACCGACGCAGATTTTTAAAGAGTTAGCCTTATAAAAAAACATGGTGCAATTTTCATTCGTTTTTGTTCATTATTACGCAATAATCGTGCACTTGCGCGCGTGATATAAAAGTTGTTCATTATCAGTTTTATTGTAAATTTTATTTATATATATTTTTTTATCTTATTATAATTATGCAGTATATAATAATTATGTAACGGATGGCATTATGAAAAATTTTATCAGAAAGATTCTTCTTCAATAATAAAACTAAATTCATTCTCTTGAATAGGATTTCTTCAATTATTTTGTTTATACAAATACAATAAGATAAATAAAATAATATTTATATATCTCTTTTAAAGAAAATTGATTTTAAAAATTAATATTTTTTTATTTAAGAAGTTACAATTTATTTCGAGAAAAAAATTATATTTTTTATTATGAAAGAGAAATTATATTAAAAAGATTTTTTTGGTAAATCACTGCTAAAAATTTAAAAAATCTTATTTAAGAGAAAATATTTGATATTTATACATATATATATATATATATATATATATATATATATATGTATATTATTGTATATGTATATGTATAAAAGCCACCCTTGCCATGGAATGTATGGTAAGGATTATCCGTTATGTATATACACATAAAAAACATACCGCCAACTTCCTCTATTCTTTCTTTACTATTATTCTCTATATAGGAAAAATTAGTTATAAAAAAAATAGAGAAAAAGTAAAGAGAGTGTAGGTTGTGTATAAAAACTGAGGTTCGCAAAATTATCGAGAATTGATAATGAGAATAATCCTTATGCTTACACTATTCGATAATTAATTTCAATAATTATTAAATATAAAATTAATTACATTTTTATATAATAAAATTAATTTATCAAGTTTACTAAATAAATATAGTAATAAAATTTAAACCATAATTAATATAAGTTATTACTTTTGCTAAGGATCATTCTAATGTAAAAGTGATTTTCTCTATTACATTTGTTAATTTCTTTAAAAAATCAAAGGAAGAAATTTAAATTCTAACAAAATTTTGCGGATCTTCCAATAAAAAAAAAATACACCGGGAAGGAACGAGTGCAACGCGATGCTATGTTTGTGCAGAATGTGCTTCTGATTTATTATAATATTGCATGTTAAACATGTCAGACCTACCACTGTGTATGTACAATTTGAGATACATAGGTGTCGATGATGGTACGATATGATTCTATTTGATATATATTAACTTGTTCTTTGTTTGAACATTATAATAATGCGATATTATATAGATAGCGATATCACATATCGGAATATATGACGATATATTATAGTCACTCAATGCACTTGCCACTTATCAGTACAACAGAAAAACTTATTCACCAGCACGGTAAATCCGTCGTTCCCTAAACGCTAATAATTATATATAATTGCGTATAATATAATTTTATATTAAATCGTGTTATATATAATCATATAATATAATTTAATAATAATTAGGCAAATAATGAGGCGAATCGTAATATTGTAATAAAAACTCATGGCAGAAATTTATAATTAATGTTAAGAAAAAATGATTCATTAATCTGTACTTTGTCCTATGAGAGAGAATAATTGTCATCTTTCAAATTCATCTCTAGAAAAAATGAGAGTAATTCAATAACAATATTAAATATTGTGTGTGAGATAAATAGCAATGTGTAGAGCTCAATAAACATTATTTACATTTAAAGTGTACCATGTGTATTTGCTATTGAATATCACATCAGAGAAAAAGACTTTTATTTTCATCCATTTTACTCAATGCAATAAATCGAAATCATTCTCTCATGAGACAGTGTATATATTCTTATAAAATTATAATTATATAACTAAAGTGTTAAATAAAATTTTATTATAGAAATAAAATTTTATTCTATTACAATGAACTCATTTTAATCGTATATGAACGAAATAATGATGAAAAAGCATACTTTTGAGAGAAAGAAGAACAAAAATTAATTATTATGTTGTGTTATGAAATATTTAATAATGATTGAGAGAAAATAGTTGTTTTATATGGTAAACATTTTATAATTAAATATAAAATAGTATAACACACTTCTCTCTCTTTTATACTTTACTATAAAATTATTTACTATGAAAAATTCTATATATATATGCTCATGAATATACGCACTTTTAATGTATTTTTCAACGACTGTGTACTGTAAGTGTGAAAGTGTAACATATAAATATATTTATTTACTCAATATAACATTCTTTTGTGATGGTATTTTCCCTATTATGATTTCTGAAATAATTTTGTTTATACATATTTATATAATTTATAATTTATAATACATATTTATATAATTTTGTTTATACATATTTAAATATTTAAATGTTTTTCAGGTGAAAAATTTAAGCGACTTGTATTCTCTTCAGTTTCCATTAATAAATAGGATTTTCTTTTCTACTAAATTGATTTAAATTCTTTCCTGAGTAAATATTTGAAAGGAAATATTTGAAATATAAACTTCATAAGATACAGTATCTTTATAAACAATTGAATAAACCGCGTATTGCGTTGTCTCGTGATACGTTCGGAATTCTACCGGTAGAGTAAAATAGTATTTAATTGACCAATCAAAAGAGGAACAAAAATTTCTTTGTCCTGATTGGTCTACTTCTCGGATAGGATTTCTGAACGCACCTTTAATCATATTTTTTTAATATAACTTTTTTTTGCGACACGCAGGTTATCTATAATTCTACGTTTACCTTTTTTTATTAAATTATTCTTCTAAATATCTAATATCCATATTTTTTACAACCCACCGGTAAATATTTCTCTTACTTCTATTGATTTTATAGTATTCTATTAACGAATTCAAAGTCCATACTAGATAATTCGTTAGTCATTGTTTATTTCTTGCTATTTAATGTAGAATCACTTGTAGAATTATTTAGAACGGTTACGAAGACCCTGGAATAAACTTGGTAACCGACAATCGGATCAATTGGTGCAAATAATTATTTTATTGCATTGATATCGATCTTTTTTAAGAATAATTGAAACTTGAAGATGTTGAAGGTATGTTTAAATGTTCATATATTTCTACTTTTTATAACAAGAATATAATAGGTGTTTTATATTTATGGGTTTTATAAATAATATATTATTATATTATATTATTTTAATATTTCATATATAATTATATTATTTTATATGATAATATACTATGTATTTTTTTCCAATTATAAAGTTTAGAACATTCCAGTTGAGATTATTTCTCTTATCATTTGTTTTTGATTTGTAATTGCTATCCTCAATAATTGTATATATGATTGTTTATTAGTAATAATATGTGTATGTTGTTTTCTTGTTCATAGATTTGTTTAGAAATTTACTTAGGTTGATGCGATACCGTTATTATATTATATTTTTTTTGCGTTGTATTATTTGTGAAATCAAGTATGTAAAATCAAATGGTTTTTCATTACACTCTGAGTTTATAAAATAAATTTATATTCATTGACAATGAAAAATATATAAAAACAAAAAAGTAAGTTCATATGAAAAGTGCAATTTTTTTCATGCTCAATATAAATTTATTTATTTTTTATGCTTAAGTTTACTTATTTTTTAATTGTATTTTCTCTATATAACAAGTATATTTAAATATTGAAAGAAAATAGAAAAAATGTACAAAAAGTATAGAAATAAAATGTAAATCAAAAGTCGAACTTAAATTCGGCTATTTTTTACTTTGAATGTTTAAATAATATTAGTTTTTGAGATAATCAATCAAGAATTAAAATAAAATATTTGTGCATGTGTGTGTGTGTATTAAAGTTGTTATAAAGTTATTATGACAAAACTTATTCATTTGAATATCAATATAGATCTGGAAATTTTTTTACAGGGTATTGTAGCTTTGGTGACTGGCGGTGCCTCCGGACTAGGCCGTGGTACTGTAGAAAGATTTATTAAGCAAGGCGCAAAGGCAGTTATTGCTGATTTGCCTGTTTCAAAAGGCAAAACTGTAGCTGAGGAATTAGGAGAGAATGCAATATTTGCACCTATGGATGTATGCATAACATTTAGTATATTCATTGTACTTTTATCATTTTCGATATTAAGTTATACAAATTGCATTATATATTCTTTTCTCATTATTTTATTTTTATATTGCTATATTATCTAACATTTTTCTATTTTATACCTTAAAACACATTACCTCTTATTAGGTAACTTCAGAATCAGATGTTCAAGCTGCTCTTGAGCTTACAAAACAAAAGTTCGGCAAGCTGGATGTCTTAGTTAATGCTGCTGGCATTGCAATTGCTTTTAAGACATACAATAGCAATAAAAAACTCCCTCACAAATTAGAGGACTTTTCTAAGGTTCTCCAAGTCAATACAATTGGTACTTTCAACGCCATTCGCCTTTCTGTTGGTCTGATGATTGAAAATACTCCTAATCAAGATGGTCAAAGGGGTGTAATTATTAATACTGCAAGTGTCGCAGCATTTGATGGCCAAATAGGCCAAGCTGCTTATTCTGCTTCGAAAGGAGCAATTGTAGGTACTGTATTTTATCTTATAAATTAAATTAATTAAATTAAGATAAAATAAAATTGAATATATGTAAGTAGTAGGTATATTAAGAATATGAAACAAAAAACAAAATGAGTAAAATATATATACACACACACACATACACACATACACACATACATACACATATATATACGCATTTTGATTTTTGTTTCATATTCTTAACATGCCTACTACTTACACATTCAATTTTCTTTTATCTTAATTTATAAACTTTGCTTCCTTATCTTATCTTTCTATTTCTTATCTATTCTTATCGTCTTATCCATTATTATCGTCTTTTTTATTTTATAGGAATGACCTTGCCAATAGCTCGCGACCTTTCCAAGGACGGAATTCGTGTCGTAACAATTGCTCCAGGACTTTTTAACACTCCATTATTAATGGAGTTGCCAGAGAAGGTGCGAATTTTTCTAGCAAAGAGTATTCCCTTCCCTCAAAGATTAGGGAATCCTGATGAGTATGCAATGTTGGTGCAACAGATTGTGGAAAATCCACTACTAAATGGGGAGACAGTTAGATTGGATGGTGCTCTAAGAATGCAAGCTTAAAAGATCATCAGTCTTCCATATTAATGGAATATTCCATATGGAATTAAATCACTAAAATTTTTTTTTGTATTTCTATTTTCTTATATATATATACATAAAAGTTTTCTGTAAACTTTATATGATACTTGGGAAATTTTTTATCTCATCCTCTCCTCTCCTTTTAAATTTTTTATGTTCTGTGGGATATATCATCATAATCTATATATCTATAAAGAGCTGTAATATGTTGTATTTTATAAATATTAAAGCTTAAAAAAAGTTTATAAAAGATTTAAATAAAATTACCTTTTTTACATGCAACTTTGTTGTAATTTTTAATATGTATATATACAATTAAAACTTGCTTTTTTAAAATTGTATAAGTTTTAATTATATTTTTAATATTTTTTAGAATTTATATTTTTAATTTTATTAAAAAATATATTTTATAAAATAAATAATAAAAATATATTCTATATAAAACACTTTTAAAGATATGAAGTTTATAATTTATTTTTTATTTATATATTTTATTTTTTAAATTTTCTTGACATTTCTAGTAAATCAGATAAGGGTGAAATGAAAACGAGAGATGGAAAATGGAATAACACAATACTTTTTACATGCAACACCAGTGTAATTCCCTTGAAATGTACACCAACAACTGCGTGCAAGTTATTACACTCTTTGCAGTATACAGGTATCGATAATCCGTTTTATCTCATCTCACTGTACACTATCTCTTACGAAAAAAAAACTCCTCCATCTCTTTATCAATTTTACTAAGTCGAGATTTTCTAATCAACCCATTAAAGCCTGTTGCCCTAAAATAGGACACACAGTTGATGCTTCTAACTTTTTATGAATGGATCAATCTCGGTGATCTTATATAAAGTTTTGCATAATGTCATGGTGATCTTGTTAATTCTTCTATTCTTCTCTTCTATTCTTCTTTTCTTCTTCTTTTCTTATCAACCTTTATCAAACTTAAGTTATCTCTTATTCAATTTAATCTTTCTGCTGATTGATTTGTCAGATCATTTCCTCTTCTTTCCTAGGATGTTAATAGATCAATATAGTAATCTACTTAGTTTCATAAATAGATTTCTGCTCGGTTACTTAAGATATTTAACATTACATTTTTAAAATACTTGCGCTTCGATTAAACCTTAGTTTGAACAGTTTTATAACAAACATGTAAATTCATCTATAATTCGTCAGAGTTCTAAAGATTAAAATTGACAGAATCTCGTTGAAAAGTATCAGAATCTAATGCTAAGGACACAAAAATGATTATAGTTCATAATATAAATATTTCTTAGCTCGATTGACCTATTAACGCCCTATTATCTTAATTATAATTCAACCACAAAACATTTTTATCTCCACCACTACTCGATCACCATAAGCACCTTGTCAGTCTCAGAGTCTTATTAGAGTTTTATTAATTAGTCTTTCTTGTTCAGCACTTCAGGCGATCGCCAGAAATCTAAGAGATGTCGAAAATTGTCGGGGTGGCCATCAGGCAATGTAATCTTGCCATTGTGGGCCCTGGGGCCCAGTCAGCCCTAGGCGTTTGATTCCTTGAGAGTCTGCAACTTCTCTAACTGATCCGGTTGAAGTTCATCCGGGATACTGGCCCTTCCTCCCACTAGCATTTTGCCTGGTACCATTTCTTCTTCTTCTTCCTCCGTAATTTCTGTGACTTCTTCTGTTACTTCTACCACCGTTCCTCTTGATTGAGAATTTTCATTAGTGCTGGGACCTGAAGCGATCGATTCTGCTTCACTTCCAGAACTACTACTGATCGGAAACGGTGCTGAATCAGCAGGAAGTTCGTCGATTATGGATTTTTCTTCAGCTTCTTCTTCTTTTTCATCTAAAATAACAGTTGCCTCTTCCTCTTCTTTACACTCGCTCTCATTTGGATCCGAAGCAGCACTTGAAGCTTCAGGGTCAGCTTCAGAGGTTTCCGATTTTCCTGGATCTTCCGAAGTCTCCTCTTCCCCAGGAAAAGGATGTTCGATCTCTTCCATTGGAGTTGCAGCTGTAATGACAATCTGAGCCACTCCAAGACCAAAATCGTTTTCTTGGTCAGCGGATTTGGGATCTTCGGATTTCTCTGCCTGTGAATCGAATAAAATTTTATTTTAGTATAATGTAATGTGGTTCTATATGAACTATGTATCCCATATTGCATTAAATTTAAGAAAAACCTTTTTAAAAAAAAAGATAATCACGTTTTAAGCCAGAAATAAAATTTAGATTTAATCTCTAAAAATATTATTCAATTACAAATAATGTTGTATGAAACATTTATAAAAACAACCACATGCTTTTTGAAAGGCAAAGGAATTTAAAAAATCTAATTGTGCTAATTATGCTAGGTTATAATATATTGCAAGAGAACGATTTTATCCAGATCTTATTTTATTATACAAAGACTATTTTAAAATATTTCCATAATCTGTTCAAAGTTTAATCTTGTTTAAAATCTTTTGGGATACATGATTCATGTACGAGACCACAAGATAGAGGAATGGATCATGAGAATTTAACACACATGGAATTTTCAGGACTCCTCTTTGCAAAAATAGAAAATGCATTTTTATCATTTAAAATTTTTAAAAATTATATGCTAGAATTTATTTTTACCAAATAGTCCTAATTACATTATAATACTTTGGCAAACAAAAATTGCATTGGTTCATTATATTTTATTCAATTTTTGTAATTTATTTAATTCACTTTTGTGATGATTATTTTACATGGTATGTCGAAATATAAATATATAACGTTGAACCATGATATATGCATTTTCTATTTTGACTTATTATTTATACCAATTACTTTATTAACATTATTTTTCCTAGTGGAAGTAGCTTTACAGAATCAAAGAGATAGAGTCCGATATGTGTTAAATATCTTTGCTAAAACAATCTTTTATATTATATCAATTTACCTTATCACCCGATTCATCTGATACTTCCACAACTGCGCAGCAAGTTATAGTATTTCATAGATTAAAATATGAATAATTAATAATACCCACTATATTTTGACTATTCCGATAGTCTATTTTGCGGGTTTTTATTTAATTTTTGAAAATTACCTAATATATTTGGTGCTTCCGAATTATCATCTCCAAATTGCGAGCCATATTGGTCCTTTTGGTTCTTGGACAGATTTATCATAAAACCCCCATCGCCATTCATTGCTGACTTTTCTTCTTGCGATTCTGTAATATAATTTAATATATGCGTACAGGCGCATATATTAAAATAGACATGTATAACAGAGAGAAATATATAAAGTAAAAAAATTTATAAACAAAATTAAGTTCTTATTAAATATATAGTATTAAACATATTATCAATATTATTATTATATTTTCATGTTATATATTCTCATATATAATATCTCAATGTAACCATTTAATTTTATTTACTTTTTATCTTTTTATTATTTTATATCTTTATATTCTTTTTTATATTTTATATTCTTTTTATTATTTTATGTCTTACTTTATGTTTTTCCTTTCATTACCTTTTAAAAGTCAGCCTACATGTCACAAGTTTTTATGTTAAATTTTATAAATCTTTGCTTTAAAATGTGGATCTCTCTTATTATATAAATTTGCGAATTCATGGTTTTCAAAGAATTATGATACATACGATATTTATAATTATATTCATGTTAATTCATATTAATTGAATATAATGTACATTAATTGAATATAATGCACATAAATAATTAATATGAATAAATGAAAGTGATTATAATTACCATCAAGTTGAGCGAGTTCATCAGCTAATAAAAATTCTGGTATTTCTGGTGGAGTGAAGACTGGCGGCGCAGAACTCGGTGGTGTTATATTGTCCTAAAATAAATATTTACTTCTGTTACTTCTATTGTAATTAATTATAACTTATTTAATTTAGATTTTGAAAATTAATATATATATATATATATATATATATATATATTAATTTTAAACATTTAAATTAAATAATTAACTTATAATTAATTACAATAGAAGTATATAACATTTTTTGCGTTATAATATAATAAAATCTTACCTGCAATATATTCTCTTTTATAGATATATAATTTATCTTGTAATATATAATATATCTTATGATATATATAATTTATTTAATCTCTCTTATATTTAGAGAATATATAATACAGAATCTTCTAATGTCATACAACTAATAATATATTTAATTTATATAAAAAGTATTAAAATTTATTAGTAAATATAATGTTTGATAAAACAATATTGGGATATTTTACCTGTGGGGTCAAAGGAGACCCATCCGGACCGCAAGGTTCCACAACGAGAGAAGGGAAGATACCTCGTTGATCTCTTAGCTCACCTTCCCACCAACCGTCATCCACATCGTGCGGTTCTTTTCTCAGCACCTTCATGATATCACCTTCTAGGAAGCTCAGCTCCTCGTCGCAAGTCGCATCGTAATCGTAGAGTGCGATACAATATTGTTCTATTTCTGAAAAATTATAATATATAAAATATAATATATAATTAGTATATTAATAAGTATATTAAAAAATCTTACATAATAATTGTATCTATGATTAGTTTTATCTATCATGTGTATATACAAGTATTCTTTTTTTAAAAATAAATAGATAATAGATAAAATATATTTTTTATCCGGTTTCTTAAATTTTATCGAAACAACAAAAGTTATAATCGAATCTCTGAACATACCTCCAATATGATTTTGTATAACATCTTCCGGAACAATACTTTGCAAGTCGGCATCGGGATCAACGGCGTCATGATCGTCGATCGTATAATCGACAGATGAAAAGGAAATTTGTTGAACCAAACCTGGACCCTGCGAGGTCAAGCCGCCGGTAGAAGCCTCCGGCTCTCTCTCCACATCGAGATAATTTTGAGGTACGAAACCTTCTTCTCCCCGGTAATTCCTTGCTTTTAACCATCCATCACCATCGCCCTCGCCCACTACATCCAATTGCTCACTTTCTACAATGGAAAGCTCATCGGGATTTTGCGCCTAAAAATCGTAAAAAAAATTTGTTCATGTCAAATAAAAATGATATTATTTTAACAAAAATATTATAGTTAATAATTATATAAATTAATAGTTTCATATTTCATATTATTTCAAGTTTCATGAAAAATATCTTTTAAATTATTCGATTTTTATTTAAAAACTTAACAGAAAGTTTTTTTCGAAGATAATACTGTGATATATAGATTCAAATTAAATTTATAAATAAAAATGTGTGACCATAAAAAATATATTTTAATAATAATGTTTTTATAACTTTTTAATACATTTTAGATTTTCAGGTTTAGCTTACAAAATGGAATTACACGCTTACTGTGTAAGAATAGAGAGCAGTACACTTGTATATAGGTTGATTAGAAGGCATCTCTGGTATCTCGTGCGTCATTTCTTGTTCGTCTTTCTCCTGATTGTCCCAATCAACCGCTGTAGGATCGTCCCAGCCTGCCGTTAGCTGCTCCATTCGTTGCTTCTCCTGCTCTAACAACGCTAAAAAAATAATCTTTTATTTCATCATATCTTTGCTTATTTATTAAATCATTAAGTATAAAAACACGAGTAACTTCTCGTGAATTTTGAATCGACTCGTATTTATTTTTATTTAATTATATTTATATAATGATTGTACATGTATATAATAAATAATCTAGTATAATATAATCTAGAGTACCAAACTAATAAAAAAATATCCTGCTTGTCCATATGCCTTAATAATAAAGAAATTTATATTAATTAAAATGTAAATCTTATATAATATTAATTAAAATGTAAATCTTAATCTTAATAATAATATGTGTGAAAGATTTATGTTAACAGATTTATGTTAACAATTTATGTTAACAATAAAATAAATTATACATAAAGGATTTTTATACAAGTTATAGTATGTGAAAATTGTCTACATACCATCGACTTCAGCGCTGTCGTGCCTCTGCCTCTCTTCCACTTCATCTTCATGTTGTGGCGCATTTTTTCCGGGTCGTTCGACGGTTGTTAAATCGCTTCCGCCATCGCCATCGCTGTCATAGAAAGAGTCTGATGATGGATGTTCCTGAAAAATATATTTTATTATTTTATTATATTTTATATACAATTCTTGTCATATTAATAATTAGAAAAATTTTATAGATATTTTTCATCTATGAATAATGATGTACTTTCATATTCTTGATTTTTTCCGCTATAAATAAAATTTGCAAGTTTTCGCGAGAATAACAATTTAGTGAATGTAAATGTTTAATTCATAATAGAAAAGATGAAAAAAAATGTAAACAAAATACAGAATATTTTTTTATAATTATATTTTTAACATCTTTAAATCTGTTAAATAAAAATTCGACAAACTGCACATATTTTGATAATTACCGCTGCACCAGATGCATCTGTTCTGACGGAGAGAGAACTGGCCGAACGAGGAATATCCTGAACGCTCAGCGTTTCAGCCTCTTGCAGAAATTCGTCTACATTTACTGTAAAATTAAAACATATAATAATTTCACATTTAACGTAAAATTCGAAATAATAAGATATACAAGATTTCTTTTAATATAATCTATAAGAAAAATGTTAATAAATGTAAAAAGATAAAAAAATAAACTCAATTTTAGAGAAAAGTAGATTGATAAAAGTAGATTGCTACTTTTATATAACATCTATATAAAAAAATTTCTTCTTCCTTATAATTTTTCTAATATCTTTCTTTATATATCTTCTTGTGGATTAGTAAAAGAATAAATAGACTTTCCTTTGATAACTTCTCAAAACATGTATGAATTAATTATTAATAAATTAATTTTATAGTTTTAGTTTTCCTGTTATAAATACAAAGTTAAGTATTAATCTGAAAAAAATGCTTTATTCTTTTAAAATACACAATAATAATAAAAAGAAGAAAAAAATATAATATTTTAAAAAGAAAATATTGACAAACCTCCACCCTGTCGAAGACATTCTAATCTCGCTTCAGCCTTGAGTTTTGTTGTCTATTTAGAAAAGAATAGAAAATGTACATATATAAATTTATATATATACAGGGTCTACCAAAAGTGTGGAAACCCCTAAATATCTCGGAAAATATACGTTTTACAGAAAAGTGTTTCCAACAAAAGTTGTAGGGTTTAAGAAGATCTATATACTGATTCTATCAGTTTGACCTTGGATGGCGTCGTCAAGGTCAGGTCAAGGTCACATTGACTTTTTTAAATGACACCCCCTACATTTGATTGCATATTCTTATAGCTTAATTCAAGAGCTTTCCAAAACACTATAATAATGTTCATTTTTATTAAGTACTTTGCGAGTTATGAGGGTTGAAATAATTTCTTAATTTTACATAAACCATAAAATATCTAGTAAACCATTCATTTTTCGATTATCTTACCTTCATACTTTTATGTACAAATTAATGAGAGGAATCAATTGGTGTAAAGAAAACACATAGTTGTTTCTAAGAAAAAATATGTAATTTGCAATTAACAATTCCATATTTTTTCTTAAAAACAACTGTATGTTTTCTTTACACCAATTGATTCCTTTCATTATTTTGTACATAAAAGTATGAAGGTAAGATAATCGAAAAATGAATGGTTTACTAGATATTTTATGGTTTATGTAAAATTAAGAAATTATTTCAACCCTCATAACTCGCAAAGTACTTAATAAAAATGAACATTATTATAGTGTTTTGGAAAGCTCTTGAATTAAGCTATAAGAATATGCAATCAAATGTAGGGGGTGTCATTTAAAAAAGTCAATGTGACCTTGACCTGACCTTGACGACGCCATCCAAGGTCAAACTGATAGAATCAGTATATAGATCTTCTTAAACCCTACAACTTTTGTTGGAAACACTTTTCTGTAAAACGTATATTTTCCGAGATATTTAGGGGTTTCCACACTTTTGGTAGACCCTGTATATATATATATATATATATATATATATATATATATATATATATATATATATATGTGTGTGTGTTTCCACTTATAGTTTAATATTTAAAAATATATATCAAAATAAATAATCTTTTTTTTTGGAATAAATTTTACCTCTGCTCGTCGAATAACATGTTTTAACTCATCGATCTTCGTATCTAAATCTGGACCATTAGGATCATTTGGATCAGTCTGAGAAAAGAAACATATTTAATATTTAATTTATAAAAACATTGTAATTTTTACATATATTTAATGATAAAATTCATTTATAAAATTTTATAACATTAAAAATACATAATTGTTTTATTATAAAATAAAAATCTCGAAAGAGATAATGTTAAACTTTATCAAAAATTTAGAATTATGATGATTTTTTAAAATGAAATTAATATAATAAATTTTTATGTTATTGATGGTTATCATTGTTCTAAGATATCTAAAATATGAACCTTTTGGCCAGCCTCTTTGAATTGTAGCAATATCTGCAGTTTTCGATTGTTCTCGCGGATATTGCTGATCTCGCGAGCAATCTTCGTCGACCAGCGACGCGCTTCATTGCCCAATGTTGTCGCTGCCGAATGATCGGCAGTTATCCTAAATTTGGCGAAAATGTTATTTTAAATCAAGCAAAAATCTAGAAATTAATTTGTATAAATAAATTTTTTAATATTCTAATCTAAACATACATTCTTCACATGCATTATATCTATATGTACAGTTCTATATAATTCTGTATATTTATTATTCTATCTATAAAATTCTATATATTTATTCTTTTATTATTTATAATATTAATGCTTTATAATATAAAGATGAGTTACAAACCTATCTATGGGATCATTATCGCAGGGCTCAAATTCATATTGAATATGTTGTTTCAAAACGGGATAGTATAAACAGCAACATTGAATATTGTATTCTCTAGTAAGCTGAATTAACATCATTAGTCACAAATTTTTTCTTATCCCTTATATATTGTTTTATTCACAAATTAGTTATTGTAAATTATTAAATGTACCTGCTGAGCTTGATCGCGAATTTTGCCGAAGCTGTTTTGCGTGGCTACACATGTAAGTAATTCTGTGCGTCCCATCAATGTTAAATATTCTGTTACCTTGTCGTAAACCCCATGCTCCAAATACTAAGTAATGCAAAAAATATATCAAGTAATAAATATTTCATATTTGTTATAAAATCATGATTTTGCAAATACAGAGAAGAGAAAATAACAATGACTTTTATTTTTTTTCAAATATGATCATATATAATTTATATATATGTATATATATATATATATGTATATATATATATATATAAATCTTATATCATGTTATGAAATACTCACTTGCATAGTGGATTGTAAATCGACTGCAAAATATCGGTTTTGATGAGCATTAGCGGCAGCGAGACTCAGTAAATAATCATTGCGTGCTCCGGTTGATTTCTCCTCCAATTGATCTCGCTTCGAGCTAAACTGTAAATATAAGTTATATAAGATTAAATACAGATCAATCCTAATTCCGATAAACGTACAATTTATCTTTTATTAAATAAATTAATAATAGGAATTATATATTATATTTAGATATAAATAAATTTATAAAATTTATTATTAAATGTTTCATTTTAATAATAAAATTATTTAATAATAAAATTTAATGTTTCATTTTATTATTAAATGTTTCATTTTTTTCAATAAAATATTACACTAATAAAGAAATACTGTAGTAACTTAAAAAACAACGATGATATATATTCTTTTTTTTTACTTTTATTATTATTATTATTATTATTGATTATTTTAAGAGAGAAGGAATATTAGAATGTGCTATTTTTTTGTGCCTGTGTGTGAATGAAAAGAAATTATTATATCTCTATGAAAGTTTTCGAAAGATTTTTACGTGGTAAATTGTGTTTCAAGATCGTAAGGTGATAAAGAATTAAGCTTAATCTGAAAAATCATACCTTAGCGCTATTTTTCTGCAATGTCGTTATCGACTGGAAGAAGGAACCCTTTTTCTTCTTCAATCTAAAAGTATTGACCGAACACATGAATTATTGCGTTCATAAATTATGTAGTCGACTCATGAAGTTTATGCCAATATACAATGTGTAAAGAAAAAACATTGAAGAGAAGAAAAATAATAGAAAATATATCGAAAAATTAAGTCATATATATATATATATATATATATATATATATATATATATATATATATAATATGAATAATAAATATAAATATGATACAGAAAATGTGATACTCTTTTAATGAAATTTTATCTTTAACAAAACAAAAACTATTAAAGCTTATATATTCAAAGAACTTTATTAAGAAGAGATCACATCGAAAAGTTTTTTTGAAAAAAATTCTGACTGAAAAATGATCTAATTTTCGGGCGTTAGATAATTAAAAAATCTATATATAGATAAATACTTTTCTTCAATGTCCTTTGCTTTGTCTCGTACATCGTGTGCGCTATGTTCCTCATCAAAGTACGACTTCTTCGTTTTGTCGACGTCCTGGACGCAGGTCTGCAGTTCTTTTTGTACTATTAATAATTGGTCGATTGCCTAGAAATTCAATTATTACAAAAATTTAGAAGTAATATATTATATATATATATATATATATATATATATATATATTTAATATATGTAATATACATTTTATTTAAACAAAAGATTTTTTTCTCTATCTATATAATTCTAATAATGTCCTCACTTTCTAAATTTATATATTGTATATCATTTTTATTTTCACACATCATAAATCGCGCGAAAACATAATATAAAAAGTATGTATTTTTTAATTTAATAAATAAAGTTTTTTTATACCTTCTTAGAAACTTGTAATTTATGCATCCTGAGGATCTTGGCATCATCGGCAATCTGCTGCTGGAAAACCTCAACGGCAGCGAGATGCGCGCGCGCCAGCTTCTCGTTCTCCTCCAGCACGGTTCGCCATACATTCCACATGTTCCTATAATCATTCGACCGCACGCCCGCGGATTGCCATTTACCTATGACCCTTCTTCTCCTTGGCAAACTTCCCTGATCGATAAGCAGCCAAAGAGAGATTGAAACCAGTATAATTCCGTAGAAATCAAATTCCCATTTCTTACAGCATATGATTACGAATATGATTCTTAAGATATTAAGATTAAATTCAATCGATTTAAATTCTTTTTTGTTACATGATAGCTCCATAATAATCATAAAATTAACATATATATGTATCAATTAATCCAATTTCAATCGAATAATAAATAATTAAACATAGTAATTGAATTGATTTTAACGGATTTCTAATCTTGATCTCTATAGGATCTCTATACGTTCTATGACATATAATATGCCATAGAAACAGTGTTGACGAAATTATACCGGTTTTAATACTTAGAATAAACATTTGTTGTGTCGAAAGAGAAAGAGAAAGAGAAAGAGAAAGAGAGAAACAGGAAAAATAAAAATAAAAAATAAGACAAATACACAAAATAAATAAAACTTTAAAAATCCAAGGAAATTTAAATATTAGGATAAAAATAAAAAATCATATAAATACATAAATAATATATATACAAAAATAATATGAATACATAAATAAACATAAGCAATAAATAAATTAGAAATTAAAGTTTTATAAAATATATGTTGTATGCAAACTTTTATCTTTTGCATGATTTAATTACCATTTTTCTTCAGCTCCATCGACTTTGAGATCTGGTATATTTGGTATTTTTTTGTTTAAGTATGCGGATGATATCTTGAGCAGCGCCTACGTGAATGAGTATAATACTTTAATCACAGTTAACGTAATCATAACAATATGTAATTAGATATTAATAAAAGAAGATACATTAATAGCAATAAATATATTATGATACATTAATAAGTAAAGATACATTAATAACAATAAATATATTATAAATACTTATTATGTTAAAAATGATAAATGCACACGTATACAAAATGAATTGCTTACCTCAGAGTAGGATTTTTCGATGGCAGATTTTTTAATCGTAAAATTACTGAAAAGAAAAAGAAATCATTAGTTATTCAATTGTCAAAAAACCGATTAACAAAATTTAAAATTTCCTTAAAACAATTTTGAAATAAAGATTTGTGTATATTCAATCTCAATTTGAATTTCAAAATCCATATTCTGTAATAATTGCACAATATATGTTCTATAAAAAAACAATTTTGATTTAGAGTTCTCCTAAAATAAAAATATTTTTAAAAAATTTGAATTTGTTTTAAGACAATCATATGGATTATATTATATATTGCATTTAATACTTAATATATATTTTCAATATCATATAAAAAATTATAAAAATAGATTAATAAAAATAAATATTTATAAAGATAATAAGACATATTTATATATAAGTATTCTCTTTAATAAAAATAATAATCTAGTAAACATGATGACGTCTAAAAACGTCTTAATGACGTATTATACATTATTAAGACATCTTTAGACGTCATCATGTTTGTTGAAAAATAATAAACAAGAACTGCATGTAAAACGTAATATAATGCTAAAGTATCGTTTAAACATGTTTACATAAAATGGTTTACATAATACGGTAAAACATTGCATGTCTTTACCGTATATCTTCCAGAAGGTCGCATTCATGCTGATTTTTTGCTTGCAATTTTGCTGCCTGCTCCGTGTGCACATTCTTTAGAAACTTCGCGTAGTTTCCCTTGCAATCAAATAGAAGAAATCAATTAAAAATATAAATCAAACATATATATATTACTTTAATTTTTCATTTTATAATTAAAAAACTCTTACTTATTAATTATTCTGAACTTTTTCTAAACTATTAATTCTCCTTCTGTTATTTGAGTAATAATTTTCGAGATTGTCTAATTTCTCTAAAATTATTTTGTCAATCTATTATCGAGTTTTTGTAGCCTGTCTCCACCCAAAGTGCAAATTGAAAATCAATGCTAATCAATGATATAAAAGGTCTATTTGCAATGTATTTTGTCTCAATTTTATGCAAATGACATCTTTACATAAACTATTTTTCGTAAATTTATCAACAAAGAATATAATTATATATTTTATGCAAGGTAATATTGTAATTAAATATATTATAACTTTTTTATCTAAATTTATAATTACTAATAATTTATATAAATGTCATTTTTAATTCTAAATTACTATAATGTATAATTAAGTATGTAACATTTATATTTTATTTATATTTATATAAAATTGTATCTCTACTAATTATATAAATTATTGTTAATAATATAATTAATCATAAGCTATTATATATTTATATTTTTACTGTAATATAATCATTCAGAAATACATATATTATTCAAATTTTTTCTTCACAATCGATAAAAGTTATTATAATCACATTCAACTTGGTATAATTAAACATAACTTCTACATGTCTCCACCCAAAATGTGCGTACTAAAAGCAGATTGCTTGCAAAATTTCGATGTGAGAGTATTAACAGTGATTACATTGGATACTCTTTGTTCTGTCCTTTTTATTAACTTCCTTTTGATCATAAAAACTAGTATAATTTTATAGAATTTAAATTCCAATGCCACTGGTACGGGAAAATATTGTATATTAAAAATTTACATTTTAATATTGTAACATTAATATTATACAATATATAAGTATTATTATACATAATTGTGTAATTATTATTTTAAAATTAGTAGAAAATCAATATAATTATTATTATTATTTAGAGGCTAAAAAATTGTAGCAATAATATATATTATTTAGAAAGAAGATCTTTCAATTTATTTCAAGAGGTACAAAAAGAAATGGAATTAATATGTACGTGTGAATTTAATATATATACACATTTATTACTAGACTATTATATGTGTACATATGTGTGTGTGTGTGTGTGTAAAATCGTAAAAGTATTATATATATTCTTTTGTATACTCTCTGTATATTATTCATCTTATTGACATATAAAAATGTAGTCAAAAATTAGATATAAAATTTGATATTTTATTGTCTCGTATACAAATTAAAATTAACGTAATAATCTTTTAAATTCATCTATTATCTGTGATATTGGCGTGGGAGGATAATTTTAACTTTTGATACTCGGTGTATGAAATCGATTTTCTCGTATCTATAATACGGGAAAATGACTCTTGTGTTTTAGACACACTTCGCTCGGTGTAAAGACGCTTTTCCCGTACCTGCCGCACAGGAAATTGATTTTAGAAAAGCACAGGGCTCATAAAATCCTTGTTATCTAGGATGAATTCTCGAGTACACTCTGATGTACGCAATGACTTCCTCTTACTTTTCTCGGTGGTGGTTGCATGCTGAGGCGAGTTTTTCCCGCAACGCCGGGGGAGTAGGAGGAGGAGGAGAGGGGCAATTTCGCTCTCACTCGCCCTCGCTCGCTCACGGCTCACCCTCTATGCGCACACACCCCACGCACGCACGCACCCTCGTCGTGCACCGCTCGCACGCTCGTACGCTACTGATCTCCTGCCCTCCTGAGGCCACCGCCGGGGGTAGTACGCCGCTTATTGATCGCCCTGACTCCCTTCTCTCTTGATGACGCCTGCGCCGCCCCCGGGTCGGCGAACGACTTCCTTTCCGACGACCTACTAAGCCTCGTCAAGAGAAGGAGTTGGAGGAGGGGATAAATGAGGAGTTAATTGCGGCTGCTCGTGATGATTTTTTTTAGTCACTACGATTAGTGATTTCACAACTCTCGGAGGGTTTATGATCGTTCATATTTAAAGATTATCCTTTTATAAAAGAGCGAAAAATAATGGCAAAAATGTATTAAATTTTTTTATGAGTTCGGATGATAGCTCCAGCTAAAACGCTACTATAGTTTCTATAAATATTATCTTCAGAGTTAGTTAAAGTTAGATGTGACAAAAAAAAGAGTGCACATATATATATATATATATATATATATATATATATATATATATATTATATATATATATATACATGTATAAAAATTCTACATTCTTAAAAAAATGATGTTGACATAAAAAGAACACATTATGAAAAGGTTTCTAAATTTATAAAATGCAATAATAAATATGTAATAAATATTACTTAGACATGTTTCCTTGATGATTGATTATTATTATTTGTACCTGTATTATTGATATACAGGTGTTTTTCAATAAATAAGAAAGAATACATCACGAATATCTAAAAATAAATAAAAAAGTTAATATAAACATATGTAAAAATATAATTTAACTTCAAAGATTATTTCGAGAGAGAAAATCTCTCTCATATATATATATATATATATATATATATAATGCTCTCTAAATAATTATCACTTTTACACAAGCTCGCATATACGTCATTATATGACTGTCTCACTTTCTCAAAGATATCAAGCGTCTTCCAATTTGCCAATTTTGGCATGGACGATACTTGATGAGTATTTCTGTTATTAGTGAATCATTAAAATATGACATTTTTAGAACTGTTCCACATGTTGCTAAGTAACTCCAATTTTACGACTTTTCATTTAGAAGCTTAAACATTTTATAAAATAATACAAAAAGAAATATAAATTATTATAATTCTTTAAATTTTGTTTGTAAATATTTGAATGAAATCTATTATATTGTGCAAAATATAAATAAAACCGTAATTTGAGAAAATTTAAATATTAATCATGCGTTTTATATGAATTTTTTTTTCTTTCAAATTCTCTATTCATTTTTAACAAATTTCCTTTATTAGAGAATAAAAATTGTAAAAAAAATAGTACTTTTAAGGAGTGAAAAGGGCAAAAATTTATTTATTGACAAATCGTATTCAACTTTATTATAACGGTATAAAATGGAAAAGGTAGTGAAAACGCGCTGATATAGTAGAAGATGCGATAATAATACATCGATCATATAGGATATTCGCATAATACAAGATAGTAAATCTAAATATTTCATATATTACAAAATTGTAAAAACCGCAAGAAAGAGGAGAAGAGAACACCAGTTTGCACCTTCAAATTAATGTGATTAAACATAATCTAGAAGAGCTATATCACAAGAGAGATGCTAGACGAAGATATCTATCTTTAATCTTAATAAGTCTTTTTTTTTTTAATGTGGTTATATATACCGAAAAGCCACATGTAGTAAAAAGAGGAAATGGCATATCAGTATCATTAATTAAAAACATTTCCTCTTTCTATGACAATAAACCTCTTTTTTCAATAGAACCGTATAGATCTCGAAGAAGAAAAATCTAAGAGTAAAAGACAATACATTGAACCATAAAGATTGCAATGTGTGTTAACTTTTTATTAATAAATTTTTTCAATCATAGTCATATGTAGAGATCATGTGTATCAAAGATAAAAAAATAAAAAAATATTTAATAATAAAAAAAAATAGAATCTTATCCACACAGATAGAATAATCAAATTTATTTTCTTTATACGGAATTATATGGACTTTGTGATATCAGAAGGATAAAATTTTTATCTTATAAGTAAATGATTTACATTTTCTTCTTCAAGTTTCGAGACGAAGATAGATTGTAAAATTTTCAAGATACCTTCAAAATCCAATGTATTCCAAAGTCTTCAGAATCCAACGCATTCCAATTTTTGAAGTCCAATTTTTCGCATTTAATGCATTGCAGAGTCTTTGAAGCTAGCAGAGACGAACATAATCCTCTTCAAAGTTTTTGTTCAAGAATTTTCAAACTCATCTCTTCCATAAACATTTTCAATGTCATCTTTGGTCTTTCTTCGACCATTTTCAAAGCCTTTTCAATATGTTCTTCAAAATTCTCTTCAAAAGAGCTTTTTGATCAGATTTTTGCAGGATCTTTTTTAAGATCTCTAAATCTTATTTTAATTTATTTCTACCTTTCACGGTAATTCATCAGATGGTAGCGGACCCAAGTCTTGATCGCCAGATCCCATAGGTCCGTCCACATCAGCATCTGAACCCATAGGAAGTCCAACTACTTCTGGTTGAGGAACGGCTCCTTCAGCGACTTGAAGAAGCATAGGATTTCCAGCGGCGTCTAAAACAGGATCAGCCGTGGCTTCAGCAAGATTTGTCACTGATTTGGATTTAACACATTGAAAGTCAACGTGACGGCTTTTGGCCTCTTCTTTTTCCCATGACATATGGATAAAGGGTCGTTGAACGTAGTTGTAAATGACCTCGGCGCGACCACCAGCGCGTTTCTTCACCTTCTCTTTATAGGTTGGATAGCCTTCGATACCTAAGCGAATTTTTTTCAAACCGCGTTCTTTCATCACTTGCTTAGCTACGTCCCGATTTTCAATATATTTGAAGAAACGATACATTGCCGTACTGTTGACAGCTGAAAATAAAAAGAAAAAAAATGATATGTATGTATGAAATTAATGATTTAATAAATTTTAGTTTAGATTTTCTAGAAAAAAAGGAAGAGAAGAAAAAATAAAGAAAAGACAAATAAATTTCAATTTATGAAAATACAACAAATTAATTTTTTATATATTCAAATAATAGCTTAAGAAAAGAAAGAGATAGAATAATATAAAAAAATAATAAATTAAATTATAATTCAATAAAATCATGAAGTATTCCTTCTATGCTTAATTTTAAAATATTATATGAGGTCCAATAATGTTCAATTTTTAAAAAATATTATATTTACGTCTGTTGTATTTATTGTATTTTCATATTTATTATAATAGTTTTATGAGTATTTATGAGTTTCTAGTTAGATTGTATGACACATAAACATGTTTAGCACTTCCTAAGTATGCAGCGTTAAATATGGGGTATATTATGATCGTATTAATATCACAAGTTAGCTTGAGCATTCATTATTGAGGAAAATAGGTGGAACTAATAGAGACTATGCATTTTCAAAGGCCAAGTTAATCGATTTTCCATTAAAGACAGAATGATCATCATAATGTGCAAGGTTAGCACGTGTTGCACTTTATAACAAAAAAAATTGCACCTGTCTTCTTAGATCTTTCCAAGGTCTTATACTTGTATCAGTTATATGAACTTTCCCATAAAAGTATGAAAACAAGCAAATAAAGATTTTAAAAAATTTTCTAAAAAGAATGTGTAATAAATCTATTTTAAATGAGATATATACGAAATATAAGAAATAGTTGTAATCTTTTAATTTTTAACTGTTAATCTCAAATATTAATATCAAATTTTTAATTTCCAACTTCTAAATTTTAATATAATATTACAATTTTGTAATTATAAAGTAATAAAATAGAAAATTATAAATATTCTACATTGATGGTGTTTCGATTTTTTACTATGACAAATAAAATTGCTTTTCTAACAAATGAGATAAAAATATACTACAAGTGTGACATATAACATCCAAAATTATTATTTTCATATTAATTTAAATAAAACAATTATGTTATTAATTAACAAAAAAATTTTAATTAATTATTTCAAATTTGATCTCTTCTTAACATTTTCAAGATAATTAGATACGTATATAAAATATCTTAAGAAATTTAAAAATTTTGTTTATTTACTTTGGGAATATTCTTCGCCCATTTGAGGAGGGTATTCTTCGTCCCAATCGACTACGTCATCCTCGAGCAAGACGACAATGTGGCATTCGCGATCGCCACGTCGCGCACTATTAACCATTAGCGGCAAAATCAGATCCTCCAAGAACACTTCAAACTGGCAACGCGCACCCTCATTCGACAACTCGTGTAGCAATCCTCCTATAACAATAACAAAATAAATATACATTTTTAACTTTAACAATTTACAAGTAAGATAAATCATTTCTTATTCGTTTAATTCGTTTCTTCTGTTTACACATTTGACTTTTTCAATTCATTATTCAATTCATTCAATTCAATCTAATTGATTCAACTTTAATTATTCTATTATAATAGATTTTTAGCATTTTATAGTAAGAACAATTATAGTAAGAAATTTTTATTTACATTTATAGCAAGCATAGCATTTTATATATAGCAAGAAATTTTTATTTATTTTTACTTATAATATTAATTGTATCTACATCTTTCTCATTTATATATTTGTATTATTATTATTATTTGTATTATTATTCTTATATTATTATTATTATTATTATTATTATTATATATTATGTTATTATTATTATTATTATTATTATTATATTTTATATTAATTATTAATGTACAAACTCTCATGTGAAATCTTATTATATTTTATAATAAATTGTGCCTATAATAATTGTATCTGAAGATATAAAATAATATAAATATTTTCATGGCACTTACTAAGATTTTGGCACTTCACTGTACTAGCATCAAAGGGCACCAGCAGATAGTCGCAGGCCTCTCGCAATTCTTGAACACTTACAGTTGGAGGACATCGAATTACTCCGCCCTTATAATATTCTAAAATAGCGCGAAAAACCATGGCAGAAATGCCGTCTGCGACCTCGTATTCACCGCGTTCATTAGGCTGGGCATATTCTACCCCTGAGCTGAACATGCGACCCAACATTGTGTTGGGATGCGCCGTAAACAAAGCTGGATCAACGATAAATCTGAAATAATAAATATAGAATAAATAAATAGATTTAATAAAAAAAGAATTACTTAGTAAATTTAAAAAAAACATAATAAAAAACATAAATAATTAAATTGATATTTTTAATAATAGTGTTCAAGATGTACAATAAAGCATATTTTTTTCGATAATATAAAATTAACTTTCTTCTTTGAATTTAACTTATTGCGGAGAAGTATGTGTGTATGAATGTGCTATAGTGAACACATACATACAAATACATGGTAATAGAGAAGATTTGAATCTAATTAAAAAAGAGAGAATTTTAATTATTATTAATATTTAATATTACAAATTTATATTATTAATATTATTAATTTAATTATTATATTAATATGTAAAGTTTTAATATTTAATTGAGACAAAAATAATTATTTAACTTATTATTTTAATACAAATTTCATTAATTTGCTGTCTTATAATATAAATCCTATTGCATTACCTAGTGTTATCGACAATCAGGGTGATTCTCTCATCGCTGGTTGGTTGATTACTAATTCCAGTAGTAGATCCTAATATCGTCGACCCTCCCGATATAGCGTTGTCCCTGCTGCTGCTTTGATTTTGGTTCTGATTCTGTTTAGTGATGCCGACGTTCGTGCGAATTCTGGGGATAAGATTAATAATCTCCCTTAAGGAGAATATGCAGCGGCATATTCTTTTGTATATGTGTATCATATGAGAAACTATCGCTGATCAATACATAAACTAACGCGGTTCGCGAGACCTACCTTGCAACTTGCGAAGCCCAGTCGCTTGATTTTGAGATATTGCATATTATTAGAAGAGGAAACAATTTTTCCAAATAAATACATACAGCTGAAAATTGTTTTCATTTTTTTTTTCTAGTTCTAATTAAAATAAATATTTATAATTTTATATGTATTCTCTAATTTAAACAAAATAAAAACTAAATGAAATATATGTGTCTCACACAGTATAGTATAATAAAAATTATTATAGTAATAAAAAGAGATAAGAAATATACGTAAAAAGGTCTATGTTTTTTAACTATATATACTAAAAGATTTCCTTAAAAATAAATAAATAATTTTATGTATGGAGCATTTCTTAAAATAAATATTTATTTTTATTACTAATCATTTTTGTTTAAAATAAAAATGTATAGAATTTTTACTATATTATAAATATATCAAAATAAAATATATAATAAATTAATAATTATCACATCAATATCATCATCAATTACATATTAGAAATAGAGCGATCATTTATTAAAGATATTATCTTATATGTTTATATATGTATATGCTTTTTATAAAAATCTTTTAAAAATTATAGAAAACAGAAATATTATTTATTAACAACAGTACTAGAAAGAAAATTTTTGATTGTAATTCTTTTTCAGCTAGAGCTATAGTAATAGCTAAAAAATTAATGAATAACAAATAAAAATTATAAGTATTGTCGTAAGATTGTTACACATCTTTCTTTCTTTCTTTATTTTCAGTTTTGTTCAACAAAATTTCTTTAGACCGTTAAAAATTAGAAAAAAATAAATACAGAAAAAACTTTATAGGAATTTTCTGCTTTTTATTACGTGCATTTACCTGTTATGGTGATTTGTGAGATTCGTGTTCTGGGAATTTCTGCCGGAATTGAAAGAATGACAATGCCGATCGCCGCTGCCGTCCCTCTGTACCAGACAAGATTTCGGCTTCGACGAGCCACCACAACTATACATGCACAGAACAACCACGTAATCTTATACTAATCAGCTACTACGACAAGCAACTATAACATCTCTACTAATTATACGCGAATTCTAGAATGCTCTGTATGTTTATGTATATTGTTTAATGTATTTTTGTTAGAATCAAATTCTCGTGACAAATGATAAGAAAATGACTTGAGATTTTTTTTCCACATCACACACAATCAGCAGAGAAGATTGAATTTCATTTTTCTTCCTTTGATTTTCTAAAAGGTTCAAATTATTCCATATAATTAATTAGTAATTAGCACATAAAACTGCAATTTATGAAATATTATATTAATTTTAATCAAAATGCAACTGCACAAGCGTAATTCACTTAAAAAAAATTGTATTACCATTTATTATCTTATAAGCACATATATGTATATATGAACAATTTCTATTTTTTGACATATGACAGAATGTGATGAGAGCAATTTTATGAAAATTTCTCAAATTTTTTCTAATACATTAGATATACAAAACACGCCAAAGAAATTTTACCTTTACTCATTTTTCTATATATGAAGCAAAGATAATCTTGAGCAATAATTAAAAATCAATAAATATAAACTATTATATCTAATATCAGTGCAGTTGAAGAAAATGCATAATATAGCATTAAAAATATAAATAAACATATTTTTATGTAATATAAATTTTAATATGTATATTAAATATATGTATATATGCATAATAATATATTGCTAATAATATTTACATAATTAAAGTATATTGACAAATATTAAAAATATAATTTGTATATTATACATTTTCCATAGATCAGAATATCGCATAAATGTAATTAAGTTTTTGCCAATTAATAGAATAATGCGTGTAAGTTTACATAAATTAAGAATATATGCATGCGTGTAACAAAGATTTGTAAGGACAAACCCCTAAGTGCATGCTAAGAGATATCTAAGATGTAAGAAATTAGAGCGAGATGTAATGTTTTCAAAATTTGTTCTTGTTCAAATAACACAGTGCAATTTAACTTATCTGCAAAAATATTAACTCCTTTAATGTTATTAACTGTGCTAATATTGAAATGATTTTACTAAATATGTTGCTGAATCTTTATATAAAAATTACTCTACAGGCATTTTTCATGTCATTGGATTCAAAACTGAAGAAAGATTCTGAATTGAAAATTTTTACCTCAGCCTATTCTTGTATAAATGATGCCTTCCTCTTCCATCAGTCTCTTTGTAATCAGTCTCTGTATCACTGCTGCTGTCTTGCACATAATTGACTCGCTCTGATGGATTCGACATGTTGAACCACCTGACAAAAATATATAAATTTCTTATAATTTTCTAAGAGAACCAATCTAACCACTGTTCTAAAAGTATGACATTCACGTGTAATATTTTTATATAATATCAAAATAATCGTAATACAAGACATATCTGATAATTCATTTATTTTTATAAATAATAATAATTTTAAATAATAATATTAAAAACTTATGAAGAAATATGTACTTTATATGCAAATGGAGATAAAAATGATATAATATATCTATTCTAATAAGCCTTTGAACCTTCGACACTGTCTCTCTCTTTCGAGGTTAACCTCGCCATCTTCGTTACATGTCAACGATATTTTGCACAATATTAACAATTAGCGACGATACTTACGAGCTCGAGATCGATATTAACCAGCTGAGCCGCTTTAAAAGCTTCTTCGTGGATTCGCAGATCTCCAGATCGTACGAATCAGTACGAATGCAATTTAACCTGACAATGACAGTTCCTCGATCGACGAACTCGATCGCGTGACCACGCATGACCGCGCATGCGCATGACCGCGTCCGAGTCGACACGAGCGCTGACGGAGATTCACGAGACACGTCACGAATGGCGTCCGCGAGGTTATGCCCGTGACTCTCAAGCATAAACACCTCGATGCAAATTCTCTTCGATTCTAGTGTGGGTGTAAAAGGGATGCTTTTTACCCCACTCTAACCGCGGCTGGTTAGGCAACTAACATGAACAGGGGATGATTATTGATATCCGATAAACGTGGCAACGGACTCGTGTCGAGAGAAAATGGGATTGTTCGATCGCTTAGCGAATCTTCTAGGTCTTAGGAAAAAAGAAGTAAACGTTTTAGTAGTGGGCCTTAATAACAGTGGTAAGTCGACGGTCATAAATAATTTCAAACGCGAGGATGACCGTTGCATAGACATAGTGCCCACTGTCGGGTTTAATGTCGAGAAATTTGCATGTAAGTTAAATAGCGAGGAGCGATCAAGTGCTCGAGATGTCAAATTATACTGCTTTCAATGCTATTTATTATCGCACCACCATTAATTCAAAATTTCACAAAACGTTCTATTTTTTTTACAATAAGGATCGAATAGAAAAAAATAATGCAGCTACGAATTCTTGTTCTCTAATTATAATAAATAATGAAAATTATATAAATATTTTAAAGACGGCACAAAAATATACTTGTTACCGCAAGATATATGCTTTGTTATCTCTTATAATTTTATATTTATTTTTTCACATTTTTACTTTTTGTACTTTTCGTATAGCGTTGATTTGTCTCCACAGCTTGTAATTGTGATAATGATCCAATCGATTTAGTAGTACTTACTAATTTTGGCGTCTTCCTTCTTTTAATTTTCTTATTTGTTAGACGACTATTTTCAAAGTCGTTATTAAATTTATCAGCAGATCGCGTTGTTGCTTTGATTTTTGTGATATTGTCAATTTCTAGACTAGACGACGAAGATATTCTTCTATGACTACGATGTAATGGAGTACTAGTGCCTAGTGGAATTATCTTTAGCTTCTTTTTAGGGTTTTCAAGTTTATCATGTGGTTTTGATGCAAACGAAAGATTTTCATTGATAGAACTGGCAGAATTTGCAGTCTGGTTGTTTTGGAAATTCAATTTGGTTTGTTTGAATCTGGTTTTAGGTTTATGTAATGGTGTTTCTTCTGTAAGGTTTTTATAAATTTTCGTTCGTTGTTTTGAAGTAGATGGAACTGGCTCTGTTTTCTTCTCTTTTATCGAAATTTGCAGAGAACTTTCAGTCCTTGCCTCTTTTGTTTGATTATCTTCCTCATTATCTGATGATTTATTATTTGTTAAAATAATCCTTTGTTTTTTTCTTTCATTCCATTTCTTTTGCAGTTGATGTCTTCTCTTGCTTTTTCTTAGCGACTTCTTTCGAATCAATTGCAAATCTACTAAAAGGCTTTCACAGCTGCTGGTATCCTGAACAATAAGAGATTATGATAAAATGTATTTTACTGATAAAATTTTTATTTAATTTTATATTTATTTAAATACTGTACATTCAATTCTAATGGACTGTCACTGTCGCTCGTCCGCATCCATGTAAATACAGAATCTTCTGTTAAAATCTTATCAAATGCTGTTGACAAGTCTGATATCTTGAACTCATTCAAGCATACTTTCAATTGTTGTTTTAGGTCATTGTTTAACTTGTCTTTTTCCATTGTATCAATGTTAATTTTATGTGGTCTTGCTTTATTCGAATGATAAAGTAAGTATATTATTAAGTTCATATATCTATCACTTTCTCTGTCGTGTACACCATACAATTCTAAAACAATATTCATATATCCCACATCAGACTGCAGAGTACAATGCTTCATGTGTGAAATTTGTTTCTAAAAACAGACATTATTTATTAGTGTATTGCATATAATTTATATAATTTAATGTACCGCTTATCCTCATAACACAAATATACTTTTAATGACAGGAATTGTTCTTGCCGAACGATGTAACAGTCAATATCGTGTTTACAGCTCTTTATAAAAGGAGTTAAATTTTCCAATTTGTCGAGGGGTATTTTGGTCAGCATGTCATCCATATCGATCGACATTGGCATTATCCATTTTCCCAGGTGGGCTTTTCCATCCTTAATGAAAAACTGTATGGCGTAAATGTCTTTCTTCTGTCGCTCGCTCGTCGACGTAAAGTTGAATACAACTTCGTCCTTTCGAAATTTGACGCAATGAAGACCGGCGAAATTGTAAAGGTCATTTTGCAGATCAACTTCGACATTTGATATTTCCCTGGGATGCGATGGAGTCTCCCTTTGCAATTCGGATACATGTTCCTCTACATTTTCAAAACGTACTGTGTCCAGTTCCCGTTCGCATTGTTCAATTATACATTTCAGATCCTTTATCTCTCGAAGCAATTTCTCCTTTTCCGCAGTTGAATCTAAAAATCATCAAATCAGTTATCCCTTCGTCTAAGTAGGGTTAGAATATTTAAGAAACAATTCGTGCACCTTCATTAGTCGGTTCGATACTGGCGTTATTGTTGGTGGAAGAGCTATCCGTTTGCATTTTTCGTTTCATTCCTATATCATTTGCAATAATAACAAAGTTGAACGATTTTAAGTAAACTTGCGCGCCAAAAGAACAGCTAGATGCGGTTAACCTGTCAACCACTCATTGCGATTCAAGAACAGCTATTGGTGCATCATTCCATGTTCATCGGAATCTAAAAATATGCACCAATCACGAATAGCTATTTGAGGAAGGAGTGCAGTATTCAATCTTCAATATTATGGTTCTCAAACATTTTCATCTCCGATTACTGGAAAGCATTTCTAGCTTTTTTATATTATTTATGCGACAATTTATTTTATTTTTTTATTTATTAATTTTATTTATTTATTTATTTTATTTTTATCTAAAAACGAATCACATTTGGCAAATAAATAATGAGATTGTAATAAGATTAAAATTGCGTTTAAGAGAGAGAGAAATTGCATTGAATGTCGTGAAAAATGAAATTTTTCGAAAAAGAAATCGGGAACTTTTCTATTATTCATGAGACAGAAATTGTATAAAAATGTTTTTACGAATTTTTTCTATGTACACAATGATAAATATAATATATATGTTATTATTGATTTGCTCGTACTTCGGTATAATAAGCGAAAATCGTTGTTTCAGTCAAGAATGTCAATTTTACCGCATTTGACATGTCGGGTCACGACCGTCATAGATCATTGTGGGAGCATTATTATAAAGATTGCCACGGGATCATCTTTATAATTGACAGTAGCGATAAACTCCGACTAGTTGTCGTGAAGGAAGAATTGGACATGCTCTTGCAACATCCTGATGTGGCAGGTATATTATCTTCCTTGCATAGGTAACTCATCAAATTAGCATCAGGAATCTCTATAATAAAAAATAATGATATAATAAATTTATTTAAAATATACAAGAAAATATATATCAATTATAAAAAAAATTTATAAAATATAATTATATACAAGAAAATATATATCAATTATAAAAAATATTTATAAAATATAATTACACCAAAATAACAAGAAGCGCAAGAGAAAAGACACATGTTATACTTCCGTAACAATCCTCCAATTATTTGAAACTCGATACACCGAGCAATTTATTAAATAATAATGAAGCAATTTATTAAATAATAATAAATGCGTGAAACTGATGCAGAGGCACATATTTCAGGCCGCAAGATACCCATCCTTTTCTTGGCGAATAAGATGGATTTACCCGACTCCTTGACTACCGTGAAGCTGGTCGCTGGACTGGGTCTCGACCGAATACAGAATAAACCCTGGCATATACGAGCAACAAACGCGATAACCGGCGAAGGTCTGCAGCCGGCGATCGAGTGGTTGACGGATCAAATTCGCGATATATACATCAACAAGAGATAAGACGCATCGACATCGTCTGCGACTGATTCGATGTCCTTTTCACGCAATCTGTCGGACGGCATCAGTGTCTGTAACGTCATTTATATGTTTATATCGTTTGTATTCGGTGTCACGAATCTCGTCACACTTGGACCGCGTTTGATTTGGCGCGAAAAATATTTGAAAATTTTCATAGCACCAGTTGAGCGTAAAATGGTAAATCAATCGTAGACATAAAGTACACGGATGGGTTTCGGTCATTTTTAACAAGCTCGGTTTATCAATTATATTTATAATTAATAATTTATAATTAATAATTATATTTATAATAAATAATAATAATTAATAATTATATTTATAATATTAATAATTTATTATATTTATTATATTATATTATTATATAATATTAATAATTTATTATATTTATTATATTATATTATTATATAATATTAATAATTTATTATATTAATAATTATATTTATAATAAATAATAATAATTAATAATTATATTTATAATTAATAATTTATAATTAATATTTATAATTGATAAATAATTCATACTATTCACATTCATAATTGATAAATCATACAGTCATGACGCATGGATATCTAGATGGGACACGTATTGAATCAACAGTCACGATGCACAAATTTCTAGACGCGATACATTCGACTCGGAAAGTAGCTATCTTCAAGCGTCAAGGACACTTTCGTAATGTCGAGTGAAATTCGTTCAGTATCTTGTGAATAACGGACAAGTCAACGATGCGAGATCTGGTGTAATGGCGCAAACTTTCAGTATAAATTTATTCTTATTACGAAAAGAAAGTATCTGTTTCACGGTGGAAAGTGTAAAAAAGTATCGAGTCAGGAATTTCGCGATTTTCGATTCTCGATCGGATCGGCGATTTTATGGCGACGTTTAATTGCGAAGCATCGCTGCAAGCTCAATTCAATTCCGTCCAAATGTAGCTGAATATGTAAGTACATAAAATATATAATGTATGTAAAAAATTATTACATCGTAATCTGAATGCAATTGCAACAATTTTTCAATCCAATCGCAATTTTTCTTTATCATGGTTCCGTATAATTAACACTGCAGAGAGAGATTTTGTCGTAATTAAAATAAACTATTCAATTTTAATGGATGTTTCATTTGAATTGATTTTCGTTCTTGCTATTTTAAAACTACGCATATTTATTTAGCTGTACATGCGTTTATTATATATATAGCGATAAGAAAATATATAGAATCATAAAATAAAATACACAAAAATTCAAAAAAAAGAGGCAACTGAAATAACTTATTTGAAATCAGACGCTCTCGTAAGATGTCGCCACCGGTTATTGAAATTTCGCGCCTCTGAAAGTATACTTTTTATTAAGGATCCTCAAGTAAGAAAATTAAGGCACTATTTTTATAAAACAAACAAGAGAGAAACAGATACACAGATGCATCTTGCGTAATTTTGAGACAGGAGAAGGCTGTCGAAAAAAAGGTGTCAAATTTAAAATGTCAAATTTATTTATAAATAATTATATTTATCATTTTTACGAAACAACGTTCTCCAACAATTTTCACAATATCATTTCAAATTTTATTTAATGTTTGTATGTATTTTTTATGGAATTATAGCTGGTACTGTCCGTTAGTATAAATATTTTAATAATGGTAAAAGATATTTATCGATTTACGTAGTCCATAAATGATATTTAAATACAATCAATATTCCCATTTTATCGATAAAAAAGTCACTTTAGGATCTTCTTAATTATAATCTTAAAAAACATGTACATAATTTGAGATATATTGTACGTTTTCTTTACTAAAATCTACTCAAAAAAGCGGAAATATTTCATTAATGGCGGACGACCAATCCGCATCCTGCAGCCTCTTAAGGTGCAATTTCATTGACGCTAGAAACCAGCGGCAAATTAAAATCACTAGACTTTCTCTAGATATGGCGTCAATAAAATAAAGTTCAAACAGTTTCAACTTTTTCAGTGTGTAAAGCGGTCTTTTCATTGACGCTACTTTTTAGCGTCAATGAAATTGCACCTAACAGTTGGCAGCCCTACGAGATAGGCTGTGCAGTACTGCGCGTATATAAAATAAATTTGAAATCGCTTCTAGCCTAACCATCTTCACGCGATCGACTTTATTTGAATTGCACGGCATCGCATCGAATTATGATGCGGCGCCGATTTGTTCGAACGTAATTCGGGACATCGCGATGCTGTATAAGCGTCGAATGAGCACGAATTGTCACGCAAATATAATAAATCACATCTACTCACCGTTCACCGGCTGTTCCACAGGCCGCTCCACTCGCTCGCCTCGAGACGTTTCATTCCGATCTTGATGCACACGATATCATCAACGCGAACGCGCGACACTTTATTCGGCACTCCCGATATTCGCTCGCATCCGATAATCATCATCAAGGGCGCAAATAACGCGATACGACTTCGCTCCATCTTCGCGATCGCGCTATCACTGAACTGTGAAAAATAGCTGTCGCGCACTTTCACCGACATATTATGAAAGTCGCGCGATCATCCTTGGACATTTTCGATGCTCTTTCACTCGCGATATTCGTTTAAAAACGGTTAAAAGACGCGAAAAATGCGGACGTACGACGATCCGTGTAACTGCGTATGACTCCGATTCACGTATGACGCGTATGACGTAGCAATGACGCGTATGACGTAGCAATCACGCGCTAACATGGCGGCCGAACCAGTGCGCAGAAACGAATGCGCACTGGTTCGGCCGCCATGTTAGCGCGTGTCGCTACGTCATACGCGTCATACGTGAATCGGAGTCATACGCAGTTACACGGATCGTCGTACGTCCGCATTTTTCGCGTCTTTTAACCGTTTTTAAACGAATATCGCGAGTGAAAGAGCGTCGAAAGTGTCCAAGGATGATCGCGCGACTTTCATAATATGTCGGTGAAAGTGCGCGACAGCTATTTTTCACAGTTCAGTGATAGCGCGATCGCGAAGATGGAGCGAAGTCGTGTCGCGTTATTTGCGCCCTTGATGATGATTATCGGATGCGAGCGAATATCGGGAGTGCCGAATAAAGTGTCGCGCGTTCGCGTTGATGATATCGTGTGCATCAAGATCGGAATGGGACGTCCCGAGGCGAGCGAGTGGAGCGGCCTGTGGAACAGCCGGTGAACGGTGAGTAGATGTGATTTATCATATTTGCGTGACAATTCGTGCTCATTCGACGCTTATACAGCATCGCGATGTCCCGAATTACGTTCGAACAAATCGGCGCTGCATCATAATTCGATGCGATGCCGTGCAATTCAAATAAAGTCGATCGCGTGAAGATGATTAGGCTAGAAGCGATTTCAAATTTATTTTATATACGCGCAGTGCTGCACAGCCTATCTCGTAGGGCTGCCAACTGTTAAGGTGCAATTTCATTGACGCTAAAAAGTAGCAAAAAGGCCGCTTTACACACTGAAAAAGTTGAAACTGTTTGAACTTTATTTTATTGACGCCATATCTAGAGAAAGTCTAGTGATTTTAATTTGTCGCTGGTTTCTAGCGTCAATGAAATTGCACCTTTATCCTTCACTTGAGGATCCCTAACCTTTTATGACCTTTTGCTATTTACGTCACGCGTAGGTTAGACGCACAGACGTCTATAGATGTGTTAGGCGTCATATCGACCGACCTGTAGCGTTTAACAGGTGGATTCTCTATCGGAGTGTCGATAAGAAGAGCATAGATTTTGGTGTTTGAAAATGTTGAGAAAACGCTTGTTAACATATTGTTTCGCGTTTGCCGTTTTTTTCAAGTTTACGAGTAGCTATAATGTCAAGAAATATTCGCTGCTTATGCCAAACGTGAGACCTGATACGGTAAGTATGAATTTTTTATCTTTTATAGAGGAAACAAGAATGTCCAGATAATCTTTGATAACATATGTTTTCGATGAAAAATAATATATGAGAAATTTGAAAATCTTTTCGCTGATATATATATTTTGTATCGTGTTCAATTTATTTTCTATGACAATTATATATTAATTGTATAATATAATGATAAAAAGTAAATTTATAATAAATGCGTTCTAGTTTCTGAATTTTTTGAATAGCTAGTGCATACATTTTTTTTATGGGTATAAATTATCCGAAATATTCAATATATCCTATTTTATTATTTTTTTTAATAGCCTGAATTGTATCTGTGCACTCCAGTTCGGGTAGATTTTACAAAAAATTATTATATCACTGGTTTTGAGCCAAATGCAACAATGGAAACAGCTCATCACATACTCGTCTATGGTTGCTCAAAGCCGGGTAGTGCAAAACCAGTTTGGAATTGTGGAGAAATGATTAGTTCAAATCAAAATACAGCATCTCCTTGTAGCGAAGGGACTCAGGTAAAAATTAAATTTATATAATATATCTTGCAAATTCCCTGGATATATTTAGATTATAAATAAATCTTTTATTTTAATAGATTATTTACGCATGGGCAAGGGATGCTCCTGTATTAAATCTACCAGATGGAGTGGGCTTTAAAGTAGGTGGGGACTCTTCTATACAGTATATTGTCTTGCAGGTGCATTATGCACATATCGATCACTTCAAGGATGGCAGAACAGATAACTCAGGTGTAATTTTACATTATACAACACATGCAATGAACAAATTGGCTGGGATCATTTTGTTAGGAACAGGTGGCGTTATACCACCTAGAGAAGTAGTACATATGGAAACTTCTTGTCCTATAATAGAAAATAAGACTATTTATCCATTCGCATATAGAACGCACACTCATTCACTTGGAAAGGTAGTATCTGGTTATGTGGTAAAACCGAATAACGAGTGGATCGAACTCGGTAAGAGAGATCCATTGACTCCTCAAATGTTTTATCCCGTTACTAACAAAGTTCCAATTACCTATGGTGATAGACTGACGGCGCGTTGTACGATGGAAAATATACGCGATAGACCCACCTATATAGGTATGACAAATGAAGACGAAATGTGTAACATGTACATTATGTATTATGTTGAGAATGATACTCCCTTAAAACGAAAATATTGCTTCTCTCAAGGACCACCTATGTATTATTGGAGCCAAGATTTCATAAATATTCCTGACAAAGAGGCATCTACATTGTAATATTCCTAATATTGTTTTATTTAATTTAATTAACTATATTATTTTGATATAATTATATATATTATTTTGATATAATTATATATTATTTTGATATAATTATATATTATTTTGATATAATAATAAAATCTCAATTTTTTATTTTAGTATGTAAAATTAGGAAAAATATTTCCTAATATTTCCACATACTGTATTTTTAAATCTATTTAAATTCAATAGGAAATTTATGTTTGCAGATCAAACCGTCCTAACATGATTTACAAATGATTTTTAATTATATATAATCACATTTATATTACTAGATTTTTTATGAAATTTACATGAATTTAATTAATTGTAACCTTATCTTATTAAATTTAAAATTATTTATATAATATTTGATTTTATATAATATTTGTTATAGAGATATATAAAATTTTAATAAAGTGATTTGTTTTTTAAGATAAAATAGAAGCAATATTCTCTTTTTAATCTGGAGGTAAAAATATTTTTATGAAATAATTTATTAATTGAATTATTAATTTTAAAATAAAATATAATTATGTGCACAAATTATTCAGAAAGAATTTCTTACTTTTCAAGTGATTATAGATGAAAATATTGTAATCAGGGTATATATTGTACTTATTTTATGCATGCGTAATACTCAAAAGATTCAATACTAATTTATAATAATGAAATACCTCTTCTTGTCAATTGTTATAAATGTGACATATGACCATCTGTTTGAATTGCTATTGCAATCTACTGCAAGTTGCCGATTGGTTGTTGATATATAATATGTATAATTTTTGTTTGACAAAAACTAGTCTACATTGATTAGTAGTCTAAATTGGCTATTTAATCATTAATATTATACTTTACAATGTACTGTGCAATGTACTTTTAAAATTACAAAAATTTAATCTTATATATTATTTTATATTGAAGTTATATATGTGTGTGGATCTCGAAGCACTATGCAGATGTGATATAGAAAGATAAATTAATCTTAGGCCTAGTGTTTCAGTTAATATTTATAATTATGTTTATTTATGTGTATTTTACGATTATGTTTGTTTATGTGTATTTTACGATTAAATATAATTTGTGAAGAAAAAAGAATTATTGGACATAATATATATAGTGCTCTCAATGAATTGGCTATTAAAATAAAAAAAAATATATATATCTTCTTCTATTTTAATAGTCAATTTATTGAGCATACAATCAGAAATTGAAACATTTGACAATTATATACACGATATAATTTAAATAATTCTGCAATATTACTAGCAAAAAAATATTGCATTTTATATAATTTATCTTTCGTAGCATATACATTCCAAATCGATTTTTAGAATTACATATATAAACAGATGCAATTCTTCATTAATTAATAATAATTAAAACTATTATTAATTATTAATTAATGAATTAATTTTGTTAGCAAAAAGAAAATATGCTAAAAAATGTATAGATACATTAATTAATTAATTTTATTTTATACATTTAAAAGTTATATTCTTTACTAAGATCAAAATAGTGCTATTATATTAATCGTGCGAAACTTTAATTAATCTCTGACTTTATTTATAACTATTAGATAATAATTTAATTAGCAATTTGAAGAGAATTATTTTAGATAGAATGTTTTTCCCGAAGTAAAATATCAATGTAAAATCGGTAAGAATATTCCAAAAAAATGTAACGAAATTTGTCTTCAATATCTTCTCCAAATACTGTATATATGTATACAATCGCTCAGGAATGTTCACCTGAAACTCCTCGAGATTATATTTAAATTGTTAAATAAAGAAATATAGATCTTTTTCCCCGTCTCAGCATGTTTTTCGCGGGACAATGGATGGATATTTATTTTCGAACATATATAAGCGCCACTATCGTCGCTAAAAAAATCTAATTATAGGATTTATGAACTCAATAAACTTGTGCAAAAAAAAAATCTGTCTCGTGATTTCGTTTCACGTTATTTGCGATGCGCAACAAATACATTTCCAGAGGACAATTTCAGAGAAGTACATTCATTCTCTCTCTCTCTCTCTCTCTCTCTCTCTCTCTCTCTCTCTCTCTCTCTCTCTCTCTCTCTCTCTCTCTCTCTCTCTCTCTCTCTCTCTCTCTCTCTCTCTTTCTCTCTCTCTCTCTTTCTATCTTTCTCTCTTTTCGCAATGCATTCTCGTAATTGAAATATACTCGTGTGTACATTTGTGTAATACCTACAATACGTTGCTCTAGTGACCGAATGTAAAAACGATATCACATCACGTATAGTCCATATTGCGTTATATAATAACGTTCTCTTGGTCGCATATGGAATTGGCGACCTTTTGTTTGCACATTTCAAATATAATAAATTATATTGCAGCGTTTATTGTTATTGTTATTATTCATCACACAACATGCATTCGGTTGTCGCGTTCTGTTCACTTAATAATCTATTTTTATATATCGTAGACGTTTGCTGTTTGAAATTAATCCTACGTGTTCAGAGTTTGCTATAGATAATTTCATAATTATCTAGATAAAGATAAAAATATGTAAATTTATCTTAGATGAGATAAAGATGATTTTGCTTTTACTTAATCTAGATGAAAAATGAGATAATTATTGCGATAATCTAGATAATTATGTAGATATTTTTGTTTATTTTAGAAGACTATAAATTTGTAAAAAATGTGACGCAGATTATAAATGGGATATTAAAATCATAAACACATATTCTTTCTCTTTTCCTAAAGAATATTTAATATTATAAAGAAATAATAGCAAAAAGGTATATATATATATATAAATGATATGATAAATATTTATTTATTAATTTATATTTATAATATATTTATAATATATTAATAATAATAATATAAAAAATATATTTTAGATATTTTAGATAGAGTTTTAGAAGCTTGCCTGGAAAACTTTTTTGCATAATGAAAACGTCATCTTAGACAATTTTTAGATAAGATGACATATATTTTTCATCTCTTCAAGATAAAGATAAATTTGTATTTCTTCATCTAGTTAAAGATAAAGATGATCCATTTCTTTATCTACATGATTATCTAGATAATTTTATTTAGATACCAGCAAACATTGTACGTGTTACACGATGCATAATTGTTTTCCTTATTGCTGAAAGTAATTTATAATATTACTCGCGGACTTTATCATTTTGTTGTTGACACGGATTGTGTATCGTAGCAAAGGAAGACATCAGATTAATGGGCGTGCAGGCTCGGCGTTGATGGTGGCTCTAAACAGGATCGTGAAAACGAGTTATGGACTCTGGCGACTTAAATTAAGTACGGACGTTCGCTACAACGTAATTCGCGCGGTTCCATTAAACTTAAAGGGTGCATCAGGAGAAAGGTAATCCCGTCGAGGTCTTTAGCACCGCGATAAAGCACGTTTCGCACGGCTTTATGTCGGATTTATCGTGCGTGTTTCCCATACAACGTTCATCTCGTTAGTTTCCCGTATATTTTTTTTTTGAAGCATCCCGTTATCGATCGATTAATGAAAAGCTGGCGAATCAATGCAATGAATTCGATCGAATGGTGCTAGGTCGTGTTGTTACGTGTCTAACGTCTATTAATGCAGACAGATCGAGACGATGAATTAGTTGACCTTCAATCAACCGTTACACTGGTCGTATTTGCTGATCACAAATTACATTCGTGAAGTCTGACTGAGAATATTGGACTGCGAGAAATCGAGCTATTTATAAGCGATAGTTAATGTGTTTAGACGACAAACGAAATTAATTGGCCCGGTGAAGTTATAAGAATTGATTAATCGATTATCTCAAATGGTGCTTCTTGCTATTTTATACACATCGAGATTTGTTAGCAATATACATAATCTTTTTTATTATATAATACATATAATTAAAATAATAATTGGAAAAAACTTGCACCCGTACTTTCAATATTTTCGAATCAACCTTTTTCTTTAGGAAAATAATAAAATATTAGTCATTTTTGAGTTATAATAAATTTTAAGAACAGAAACTTCTTTTTTCATAAATATTTTATCAAAAATAAAAATAAATAATAAAATTTTATTCTATAGATTATGTTTTAATAGAAAATCAAATTAATCAATGAATATTCATAATTAATCATGGACAGATTAATTATGGATATTCATTGATTGAAAATTAAGGATTGTAAAAACCAATAGGACAATTAAATTTTCGGCAAAAAGAATTGATTCTAAATTAATTAAAAATTAAATTAAATTAATTAAGAATTTCTGTGGACATTATATATGTATAAGTTTATTAGTAACATTTTTATATTTTATATTATATTTATTTTATTATATGTATATGCAAATCTCAACAAATTTTATTAAATAAACTTTTGAATCAATTTTTGATAATGATAAAAATTTATAGAAGAGAAGATCAGCTACTTTTGTCTATCTGATATGAATTATAAATGAATATAAATCTATTTTTGATTTGAATTATAAATATAAATTTGCAGACATTTCGCGTTGCTTTTATGGATATTACTTTATCGTTTTTATTGTTGCAGAATGTCTAGAGTTGCTAAAAGTGTGTCGATGACTGGTGAGGTACGTTTTTAAAAAACAAATGACCGGAGAAAGTGCAGCCAACGAGTTAAAGAATCTAACGGAGGTGTGGTCGGCGTTTTTAAGAGCCATTGATGAAACCCGAAAGAGTTAATAAAGTCTCCTCTCTCTCTCTCTCGCTCTTCGCACGATGTCTGTCCCAGGTATGATAATTTACAGTTATGTCAGCTCGAAATCGTCTGTTTCACAATTAAGTTAAGTCATCATGTGTGATGCTGCAACGAGTTTATAAATCTAATACTAATCAATTTTCGATCAAACTCTTATTTTCACTTGTTTATAAAGGGAAAGATTGCATTCGAGATTGAACAGATGATTTCAGAGATGATACGTTTTTTAAATAGTTTTGCTTATTCTCTTCACAACATCCGGATATACAGTATGCGTTCCACATTGTTTCTCTAACGAACGCTTTTTTTTCCTAACGTTGTTCTGTATTTTAAAATTATTTGCATCGAGCGCATTTTTTTACGGTAGTTTCACGCGCAGATATTATATCTGTAGACCTCACGCGACGATAATCGGGCAATTATTAATGCGAAAATTGCTTTCGTACTTTCGTTTCTTCCGGTTACGACCTACTTTGTATACGCGCAGGAAACATTTGACACGCAGGGAAGTGTTTTAGATTTTCGTACGAGTGACGCGATCGAATCGCTCACTTGTAAAATCGAGAACCGGTTTTGCTCATTATCGTCGCCCTCTTGCACGCGTCTCCTTCTGACGAGAGTTCACGTCAATATACATATAGACAATATGTCTGGCGCAATTTGATAGTCGTTCTTTGTGCGCGATGAATGAATATACCCATCGTAGAATTCCGTATCTATTTTAATCGCGCTAATTCCAGAGATATCTGAGAACGTTTCAGAGCTAAAGCAATATTCTATGAACATTAAATTTCGAATTAATTTTAACGATTGAATTTCAATTCTCTTTGAACCTAGTTACACATTTCAGACGAAAAGTTTGAAGAGAGTACATTTTTTTCTATTTTTCTAAACACCAAGTTAAAAATAAACTTTTATTTTTAAATAAAATTATTTGTAGTAAAAAAGCCAACATTTTTAGAATTCCAATTCAAAATACAAGCAGCTTGATTCGCCCAAGTCTGCTCACATAAGACCATTTTCTCAATTTTGCGATGTGTCTTGGAGAAGAGAGTTTTTCCTTACATCTTTGTCAAATAGAATCTTGTTAAAGACAAAAAAAGAGATATATTATACCTTGATTTTCCCTTGCACCAATTTCATCTAACGATCTTCTGTGAATTTCATTAAATTTCGAGTTAATTTTAAAATTAATAATAATCTTCTGTGAATTTCATTAAATTTCGAGTTAATTTTAACAATTGAAATTCAATTCTCTTTGAATCTAGTTACACATTTCAAACGAAAAGTTTGAAGAGAGTACATTTTTTCTATTTTTTTTAACATCAAGTTAAAAATTAACCTTCATTTTTAAATAAAATTATGGGTGTAACAAAAAAAGTCAACATTCAACATTTTTAGAATTCCAATTCGAAGTAGAAGCAGCTTGATTTGTCCAAGTCTGCTCACATAAAACCATTTTCTCAATTTTGCGATGTGTCTTGGAGAAGAGAGTTTTTTTCTTATACCTTTGTCAAACAGAATCTTGTTGAAGACAAAAAAAGAGATATATTATACCATTGCCTTGACTTTCCCTTGCACCAATTTCTAACGATATTCTGTGAATTTAATTAAATTTTGAATTAATTTTAACGATCGAATTTCAATTGTCATTTGAACCTAGGTACACATTTCAAACGAAAAGTTTGAAGAGAGTACATTTTTTTCTATTTTTTTAAACATTAAGTTAAAAATAACCTTTTATTTTTGAATAAAATTATCTATAACAAAAAGCCAACATTCAACATTTTTAGAATTCCAATTCGAAATAGAAGCAGCTTAATTCGCCCAAGTCTGCTCATATAAGACCATTTTCTCAATTTTGCGATATGTCTTGGAGTAGAGAGTTTTTTCCTTACACCTTTGTCAAACAGAATCTTGTTGAAGACAAAAAAGGGGTATATTATACCATTGCTTTGACTTTCCCTTGCACCAATTTCATCTAAAGATATTCTGTGAATTTCATTAAATTTTAAATTAATTTTAACGATCGAATTTCACTTCTCATTTGAACCTAGTTACACATTTCAAACGAAAAGTTTGAAGAGAGTACATTTTTTTAATTTTTTTAAATATCAAGTTAAAAATAACCTTTTATTTTTGAATAAAATTATCTGTAGCAAAAGCCAACATTCAATATTTTTAGAATTTTAATTCGAAATAGAAGCAGCTTGATTCGCCCAAGTCTGCTCACATAAGACAATTTTCTCAATTTTGCGATATGTCTTGAATTAGAGAGTTTTTTCCTTACACCTTTGTCAAACAGAATCTTGTTGAAGACAAAAAAGGGGTATATTATACCATTGCCTTGACTTTTCCTTGCACCAATTTCATCTAAAGATATTCTGTGAATTTCATTAAATTTTGAATTAATTTTAACGATCGAATTTCACTTCTCATTTGAACCTAGTTACACATTTCAAACGAAAAGTTTGAAGAGAGTACATTTTTTTAATTTTTTTAAATATCAAGTTAAAAATAACCTTTTATTTTTGAATAAAATTATCTGTAGCAAAAGCCAACATTCAATATTTTTAGAATTTTAATTCGAAATAGAAGCAGCTTGATTCGCCCAAGTCTGCTCACATAAGACCATTTTCTCAATTTTGCGATATGTCTTGGAGTAGAGAGTTTTTTCCTTACACCTTTGTCAAACAGAATCTTGTTGAAAACAAAATAAGAGATATATTATACCATTGCCTCGACTTTCCCTTGCATCAGTTTCATCTAACGATATATAGTGAAAGTTTGTATGACGCGACAGGAGAGTTATATACGAGGGTTGACCGTGCAGAGGGTTAAAGATCGATTCGCGTCATGCGGTGAGCAGCATCAGTATTTCGATTTAACGGGAGTAGAGAGGAGGCTGTTGCGAAGAATACGAATTACTCGTGGCAAAATAAATCGATGAGACTTTGTGAGACTTGGCGACACGTGACTCGCGTGTCAAGCAGATCCGTGTGCTCGAAAGCGAAGTTCAGGCCCGACCGAATATAGATCGAATGTTCGATCACTTCTGCTCCATTAGTCGATCAGTGTCACGCGTCGAGAACACGGGGAGATTACTTTTGCTACGATCATTTTACAGGCTGAATCCTCGATATGTGCTTTCTCTCTGATATGGATGGCTCAAAGCGAAATATTGTGCATAAAAGGAATAAGGAAAACGGGGCGAATGTTTCATCTTTCCAGCAAGATTAGGGGCGAACGAAATATATATCTCGCTCAGTCTTCTCAATCGTTTTTCTCTCTATTTATCTGTTTATCTCTTTTATGCGAGACTTACGTTTTGCTATATAATAAATCTCTCATCAATTATGCACGCACTTCACATAAACCGGTATTCTGCTAACCGGATAAACATACATATAAAATGCTGCTATCTTAATAGAATATCGGCGCTATAAGACGCCATTTTTTTAAGAGGTGGTAAATTAAATAGATAAATAAATTCAGAGAAGCGTACATCTCGCTCGTGAGAAAGTTGCCAGAACTCTGGATAAATGGCAATTTATCCAACTGCCATTAGTTGAATATATCTAATGGATAGAGGCCCATAAACTTGATTCTCGTCGGCGGTTTCGCTCATAATTTCGTTACCTTCGTGTCGCGCACGAAAGTAAAATTTATACGTGCATCGGTATACCTTGTATGAGTCACGTATTTTCAATCATCGATATGTTCGAATACCGTACAAATTTCTCTGTTATTCTTCCTACGGACAATGCTCCGCGATCAATATTCACGACGATGACTTAGAAAGCTGACATACGTGTAGCGCGAACGCGATATACGCTGATGTATCATTAATCATCATCTATATGTCTGTAGTTCATGTTTCCTATTCTTAATCACTCCGTGCATTTCCAGCTTCGCGTTACGAGCTCTCGCGAAATTGACGTGCTCTATTCTCATCGTGTGTCTGGACATTAATAACGCGAAGAATATTAATAAACATTTATTAATTGCCATACATGTAATATACTCTCTACGCAAACATTAATATCGGAAATATTAATAAACATTTATTGGAGTTATAGCGTTTAATTACGTTTGTATCGTATACATAAAATTATGAAAAAAGTGGCAGGAAATCTTTCGACTTATTTAATCCACGCGATAAAAGTTACATTTATTAATAATTTTAATCGAGTAGAGATTGCACGTTATAACTTTGCCCGATGTAAAAAGAAACAGACGCGCGATACGCCACAGTTGCTTATAAATATATGTCCGTACCAGTTGCCTTAGTAATCCTGACTTTCATACGGAACAAATTAATAGTTGGTGTAAGCCGGCTGCTTGTTGCGGAGATGCTAACGTTGCTTGGTTATCGAACTTCTAGGCAAGCAAGATATCGAGTTCGCAACAATTACCGTTCTTGCATGAAAGTCCTGTGATATCATACCGCTTCGCAACTCCCAACGCGGAATGATGTTTGACGTTTTCGAGCCGCGCGCGAATTATGTACTTCGACCGGGTGCGCGCAAACTTCTCTGATATTCCCGGCTGTCTCTACATGAAAATGGATGTAGAGAGAAATACGAATGTGAAATAAACATGAGGTCGCAACTCGGATTATATATTAACGTCGTTTTCGCCCTCCTCGCACTGAGAAAAAAATCTGGTTGCATTAATTAGAATTCTGGTAGATTCAACTAGTATGTCTGGAAAATGGACGAACCCCAGAATTCTTGTAGGAATTACCAGATGAATCTGATTAATTTCTTCCTGTTAAATTTACCAAATTTTCTGGTTAATAATACTAAACTCGCCAGCACCAAGTCGTCTAAAATTTTGTCCATCTAATCTCAAAAGTCTGTTTAATATTCTGAACTCCAACAAAATTCTTGGATAAATTCAATCCAGATTATTGAATAAATTATTTTAATTTCAGTTTGTCAGAAATTAAACTGATAAGCAGTGATGCAAGAAGAGGATGCAGCTCAAAGACACAAACAGAGAGCTAGCGTCCTCTTTCTGGCACTACTGCTCGTAGGAGAAAAAAAATATACTTTGGATTTAATGTTAATACTAGTCCTTTAAATGCATTTTATGGCAAATATTGAATACGAGTTAAGTTAAGAAGCAAGCAAAGAAATTAATGTAACAATAAATTTTATAGATCCAACCAGAAAATACTAACCAAATCCTTATAGTAAAATCTATTAAACGTTCTAGTTATAAAAAAATCGAGTCTTATCATGATAAATAGAAATTCTTGTTTGATTTAAAAATGCCTTCAATCATATACGTCTTGTTGATATAATCAAACGATTTTTCTCACACTGAGAAAGAAATCTGGTTGCATTAATTAGAATTCTGATAGATTCAACCAGTATGTCTGTTGGAAAATGAACGAACCAGAATTCTTGTAGGAATTACCAGATGAATTTGATTAATTTCTTCCTGTTCAATTTATCAAATTTTCTGGTTAATAATACTAAACTCGCCAGCACCAAGTCGCCTAAAATTTTGTCCATCTAATCTCAAAAGTCTGTTTACTATTCTGAACTCCAAAATTATTGGATAAATTCAATCCAGATTATTGAATAAATTATTTTAATTTCAGTTTGTTAGAAATTAAATTGATAAGCAGTGATGCAAGAAGAGGATGCAGCTCAAACACACACAATCAGAGAGCTAGCGTCCTCTTTCTGGCACTACTGCTCGTAAGAGAAAAAAAATATACTTTGGATTTAATGTTAATACTAGTCCTTTAAATGCATTTTATGGCAAATATTGAATACGAGTTAAGTTAAGAAGCAAGCAAAGAAATTAATGTAACAAGAAATTTTATAGATCCAACCAGAAAATACTAACCAAATCCTTATAGTAAAATCTGTTAAACGTTCTAGTTATAAAAAAAATCGAGCCTTATCATGATAACTAGAAATTCTTGTTTGATTTAACCAAAATGCCTTCAATCATATACGTCTTGTCGGTACAATCAAATGATTTTTCTCAGTGCGTAATTCCATACTATCCTAAGTCCCTCTTACGATCTGATACTAAGCAAACATCCGTAGGTTCAAGAAAAATATTTTCGATCGGTTCCTAATTTTTTTCAATCTCGATTTCGTTCTTTTAAGGTGCGGCACGTGCGATCGCGGATAATCCGGCCAATGAAAATGGCACGTCGCGAGAGCATCGTAAAAGCCAACGTGCCGGTAAAAGCACACGCGGACCGGTCGTTAGGAAAGCGACCAAGCCAGCAGGCTGCGGACACCGGCTTCGAAAGTGAGGCCTCGATCACGTCTCGTTCGACGCCGGTTCGCACGTAGACGCGCGAACCAAGCTTTGTTTTCGTCCTCTTTTATTTTCTTTTCTTTTTTCCCCCCTCGCCCTCCCTCGCTCGATCTCTCGCTACGACGGACGACGCGAATCCCGGACACGTTTCCGAGGTGGGCGAATCCCCGAAGTCTCGCGGCCGAGCCCTGGCGAGATTCCCGATGTAATTGAAAGACGTCCCTCCCCCGCGGATTTTCTCCCGCCAAGATTTCCCGCGCGAAACGCGTTAATCGTTCAACGTTTCGACGAATGATACGAGGCTATAGCTTTCCGCAAACTAAGCGTTAGACGAAGAAACATAAATAATTATTTAAGAAAATCCTCCGAAATAAATGCTCGAATATATATAGCGAGTTTTATTTGAGATGCTGTTATAAAATTTATATCTCTAATATAGTGCTTCTAGTCGGCCAAATTTATTACGCGCTTAATTGAACTCGTACTATCTACGGCTTATTTGTTAGCTTCGATTTAAAAATCTCTTTCACCTCTCTCTGTCTCTCTTTTTTTCAGAATTTCACTTAATTGATTTTCGCGTGCTTCGAAGATAAGTTTCGACACGAAGCCATAATATACCGTGCAAAAATAGAGGATGCACGAGATATATTTAATTCTTCGGACGCTGAAGTAGCGGCTCCATCGTTGGAGAGAGAGGCCGCTTCTCCCTATAATTTAATTTCCCCTGTTCCCTCCCTCCCTCCCTTTCTCTTCGTCTCTCTCTCATGGGAACTCATCGATTTTCGCTACCGCGAAACGTAGTTAACGCCGAGCGAATCCCTAATCGCGATCGCGAATAGGAAAAGCCAATTTGAGCCGAGGGCGACGGAAGCCGCAGCTCCCTTGTCGATAAAGCGGCGAGATAAAACGCACCGCGAGAAATCCGCGGGGTGATCTTTCGCGAAATTACTTTACGATCAGCTGATAGGGAGCGAATGCATCTCGCGCCTCGTCCTCGAAAATTACAACCGCGCGATTATCAGTGAAAGAGCGAGGCTCGCAGCCTCGACCGATTCGCGATGCACGATACGCGTGTCCCCCCCGGGGTATTCCCACGTTCCTAGTTCCGACGTGCCTGAATTTCGCAGGTAAACAGACTCTAAACCGTTGGCCGTGTGTTAAAAGGATTTACATTTCTTTTAGAAAGGCGCGACTGCGGGCATCGCTCGATGTGAAACGCGCCCACCAAGGATTTTCGTCCGAAAAGTGCTACTTCTCGTTTCGGCCGGATCTTTCCCTTCAAGTGGAGTCAGCTGCGCGCGGCGGAACTTCCGTAGATATAACCGAAAATATTATCTCGCGCGCCAATTGAGCTTCCGTGCTGTTTCCACGTTTAATTTCCGGTGCGGAGGTGTCCCCGGCGTCGAGCAGAAAGCGCGACGAACCGTTCGCTTCGTTCCAACGAGCACCACGAGCTCTACCCCAGATGGGGTAGTCTCGAACGACGAATAAAAAGAAGGGCGCGTCGAACGAGCAGAAAATTCGCGATTGGTTAACCTACTTCGCCGGAGAACGAATCCTGGAGATCCTCCTTGCGATTTTACGTGGCGAGACCACGATCGAACTTTCGATGGCGATATTGCGCGCTTCCGACTGGATTTCGGGCTTATTGTTAGACAGCTTCGCCAATCGTGCGGTCGTCGCGAAACTTAAGAAATTGCATTCCGATCGAATTTACGGAGACGACGTCGCAAAGAGGACGAAGCAATGCTCTCGAAAATATAAAATTTTAAAGTGTAATATCATTTTAAAATAATTATATAGTTTTATTAATTTATATAATTTTAAAATATAATATATTTTAAAATATAATAGCAACGTATCTCATTAGCTAATTGTTTACGAAGATTGATTACCGATTGTACAGTTCGCGGCGAGAACGTTCTCATCGCGGAATCTAATCGATTTTCCGGCTTATCGGGAAAATTGGAATTTTATCGAGTTTTATTCGTGAATTTTCACTCCGTGGTTGCAGATCTCGATCCAGAGAGGGGGATGATGCACCTGTCGGGGGTTGCGGGTGCCTCGCGTCGTGGGACCGACGAGCAGCGAGTCTACCGCGTCGCTTCGTGACGGAAAAGGAGAGAGCGACCGAGCAAACGTGTGAAAGGAAGAGGAAGAACGAGAGAGAGAGAGAAAGAGGAAGCTAGGAAGAGAGGGAGAGAGAGAGAGAGAGAGAAAGTGCGCGCGAGAGAGATACGTGGGGGCGAGAGAGAGGTCGCGATTGGTTAAGCCGCTCTCGGAAAAGCCCGCCTGGCTGCTCGACCGGCCGGCACTTTGCTCAGTTCTCTACTGCGCTCCGTCTGAAGCGGAGCTTTCGAGATACCTTCTCGCTCTCCCTCTCACTCTCATCGCGATCCGCGTCGCGGGATCGACTCCTCGATCTTGGGATTCCTCGATCTCTACGAGAGCGCTTAGTCGCGTTCAGGGAATCGCGTGAAAAACACAATCCTGATCCAGATTCCTCTTGGGAAGAATCGCGGGAGACGAGAGGGCTAAAAGGGTGAAGGACGACGATGTGCGAGAGGAAGCTGCTGTGAGTGCTCTAGGACAAGAAGATCTGAGCTAAGCCGAGAGCGAGATACCGAGAGCCGAGGGACTACCCTCGAGGAGGTGTCCGGGAACGAGCGTGATTCAGGATAATCGCGGTGAGTACGTTATTGCATTATTACTCGCGATTGTTGAGCAAATGAAAATATTTTCGGAACGAAAATATTTCCTAATTTTTTGTTTCGCGCGATTTTTGAGTCCCGCGAGGACGGTTCAATAATTACTTTTTAGCCTCGCGCAGTTGCATCGATAATTGGATCTGATATTCCCATGTTACAATCAGCACTTGCGTAAACTAATTTTCTGGTCCATGTATCCCGTAACCTTTTTAAATTTAATCTTTTTCATTACCTATTATCGCGAACAAAACAATATTTTTTGGCAAACCTATTGTACAGAACACGATTCATGTAGAAAAAAAAAGTAATATACCAGATTTTTATTCTGAAATTTTGTATTTTCTCAATATTAAGATTTTTCTTTGGCATGAATTTTTGTCGTGAAAGGCGCTTTATCCAACATGCAACTAGATATATTACACGTCCCTTAGATTTTTCTTTGAAATTAAAGAAAAAAGCTGAAATAGATTGCGTCACAAGTATAATACAAGGCGACCAAAGCAAGTAACGAAGCGCAGTCGGGGCTCGTTATAAACTTGCATGATGTTCTCTGTGTGCAGATAAGGGATGATAGGGGAAAATTAAGGAAACCCCTGCGCTTACTATTCTGTAGCTTTGTCGAGACTACGCTTCTAATTTAAGTGCACGAGCGTGTTCTCTCGAGCATGAAGTATGAAGCTTAACGTTAAAGAGAATCCGACGTTTATTCCCGGCGTATCTTTCGGAGAAATTGCAGCTGAAAATATTATCTAGAGGATTACATACACAGATCTTAATTTTAATTTGCCAGGAACCTTTCACTTCCAGTCATTAATTACTCCAAAAGCGAAAATTTTAATCGTATCGATTAAAAAAAAAAAATTATACACCGGAAAGCCACAATTATCGAATATATAGGACATCCCGTATCGAAAAAAAAAATAATGTTAAAATATATATACGAGACGTTACGCCTCTCTTCGCAAAATTAAAGACGCTATTCGTTTTAATAAGGCACAAGGACGCTCGACTAACAGGTTTCACGCGAGCAAGATTCAAAGGAACCCTTACTCCCACTTAGCATATAGGTCACGACCTTTCGTATTCGCAACCTTTCATACGTTTTCTTCGCAGAAGCGCGTCGTCCCGCAAATGACGCTTTATTACGTACTTTGTCGTCCTCCGAGGAGGATGTTCGATCCATTTCTTAATTCGGATTTTGCGCTATTCGTAGACCGCTCGCCGACGAAATCGATTCGTTCGTCGTCGTGAGAGGTGAAACTTTGGCAGTGGGCTCTTCGAGGTGTCCAAGTGTCTTATTAAGCAGAGATTTAAGCAAGTATTGCCACACGCGATGGTCATCAAGGATCCATGTGTGCGTGTGAATGTTTACGCGACGTTGCTCTTAATGAGCTTGAAGATCGTTCAATTCGCTGCACGCGTGGTAGGACGGCTTTTCCGTGACTCAGTCAATTTTCCAGAAAATCTTCCGGATGAAGCGTTATTTCCCTCGTCGCCGGGAAAGCTTCGGGAAAATTGAGATCGCTGCTGAGTCAGTATTATCGCGCGGTTTTATATTAATCCCGTCATTTTGCCCGTCATTTCCCTCGCCGCAGGAAATATTTAACCAACGGCTGCATTATAATATTATTTGGAGCACGGTCCTTTTTATAGAGGGTCGGATATTGTAATATGAATTATGTGGAAAAGAGTCGAGCCTTGAAAGAGAAGTTTTCGTTTAAAGTTGAATTTTAACGAATAATTTTAGCTCCGAGATAGCTTTAAAAACCGATATCCCTGCGCGTTTCTATTAAAAGACGTCATATTTTAAATCAAAATTTCCACGCAAACGATATATATCCCGCATCAACGGATCCCGTAAAGAATCTAATCGATAGGGCGATTTGGGCCATTTTGTTTCATCTCCGGAGGAAAATTTTTCATCGATCGCGACGATTCGGTCGGTATAAGACGACATGGAATTTTGGAATGCAAAACGATATATAACCAACTGCGGAATCCTAGTTATCCTGTATTCAGACCGAAACATTACCCGCGTTGCGTTTCTAGATTTGCGGTGCCATTCTCGCTCGTGCATCCTTAATCGGTTCGGTTTGCGGGTCTATTGATTTCTGGCGTTAACCGGCGATCCCGAATTCAGAACGCGAAATCGCCACTTGATTGGCATTAATCACGGCCGTGAATGCATTCGCGTCGACAACAAGTTTCTCACTACCACTCGTTCGTACATGTATACGGCGTATAATTGTGTTCACGGTGCAATTTGTTCTTGAAACTGCGGTACAACTCTCGTTAGGATAGCGCGAAACTTGACGAAAGTGTAGCGCGTTTCTTAACATTAATTAAAATTTGCGATAGAGAGAAACTTTAACATACTCGGAATTACATATGCAAAACATGAAGAATTAAATTATCAACTGACGTAAAAGGATATTAAATATAAACGTGCGTCTTTTGAGTGTAATGTTCAGTAATTGTAAAGACAAATCGAAATTTAGATTAAATCAAGAGAAAGAAAAGGTTACATGAAAAATATAAAAGAATAGGAAAAAAATTGCGAAATATTTAAGGATGTTTTGTACCTATTTTTAAAATATTGAGAATTTAATGAAAATTGTATAGAATGTCCTATGTTTAGAATCTTCAGTACAATTTTTTAAATCGATTCACTAAAGCGTTCACAAGTTATAAGGATTTTAATTTGCACCGAATTAACATGTGTTCTTATGGGAAACGTATAACCACGTCGACAAAAACACATGGAAATAATATTCAGAATTTGTTTAAAATTTGCAAAAGTTTAGATACAGAGGAAATATTTGGTCAAATAATATTATACACGTATATTAACTGGCTAAAAAGATATTAAATATAATTCAGTGAAGTTAGCCATGTATCTATCACAAGATGAAATTCTCTATCAAAAGTTAATCATTTTGATTAACAAAATTCGAAATATTTCAGTAAAAACGCAATAAATATTAAAAAATATATCTTTGCACTGTAGCTAAGATCAAATTGTAATATTCCACACAATTTCTCTTATTCAAAATACACCAAAAGTGGATATATTCGTCAATATTGATTTTTAGCTATTTTTTGCTGAAATGGTACATACAAAACATCCTTAATTCAATTTCTGAAATAAACAAATAAATATTGAAATATTGGAAAAACGACGTTAAAGTAATATCTTAAATTTTTTTTGAATATATAATAAATTTTTTTAAGGAACTAAACATTGCATATTGTTGCATATTGTCTGTATTCGTCAAATTATTCAAAATACACCAAAAGTAGATATATTCATTAATATTGATTTTCAACTATTTTTTGCTGAAATTGTACATACAAAACATCCTTAATTCAATCTCTGAAATAAACAAATAAATATTGAAATATTGGAAAAACGAGGTTAAAGTAATATCTTAAATTTTTTTTTTGAATATATAATAAATCTTTTCAAGGAGCTAAACATTGCATATTGTTGCATATTGTCTGTACTCGTCGAATTATTCGAAGAATTCTGCCTTAAGGGAATATTCTACCAGTAGTTTACGTTCAAGATCGACTAACCAGAGCTGCGGTAATGTCGGAAACTTTGCGTGGGCCAAGTTTCGGCCATAAGTACCCGCCCAATCTTGTCGACGTATATCTCGGATCCGCTGCAAAGGCGTATTTTGTGCGCGCGGCATCTTTCTCGCGCTTGTTCCTCGGGTTAGATGTATCTCACCACGAAAACGGTCGTGTTACCAAACTCCGCAGTTGGCTAAAATTCGAGGGTGTTGGGACCCTTTCACGGATCGTCGTCGAGCGCGACACGACGACGTAACTAGGTTGCGGGTTACCATTTTTCGACATCTGGAGCCGGAGCTGCAGGCACCCGCCATCCTTGTATCCAATCTGCCTGGCTTCTTGCGCGAATTCGCAATTGCATCTGTTTCATCGGCATTCAGGAGGAGCGAGACCAAACTTCGGTCTCGCCCGAATCTCTTCGGATGGCCTCGCGAAGGCATCGGGACTCGACCCACCGTTCCCCAGGAATCCGTTGGCCGTTATGCGAAGGATATGCAGTCGATCACGCGGAATATCAAAAGAGTTCTCTCCCGGCGAGGATTTTCAAGCTTTTACGATGCGACCGGCTGACGTTTATGCGGATATCCGGATATGCGGCACGTTAACAATCCACGCTTCCTCGTAAAACCGACATTGATGTATTCGGTTAATAAAAGAGCAAAATCAAGAATAGAGAAAGAGATATTACTGATTGAAAAATTAGATTTTCTTAGTAGTGATTTATTAAAGATTAATATTAATAAATGTCTATTGTGGAAAAAATCATTTTCGAATTTACCAAATTTCTTGAAATCTTTTATATCGAAGAGTGAACAGAAAGAATATATTTCGAGGCTTCTCTAGTAAATTTACCAAACAGAAAGATAGAAAGGTTCGAATATCCGGATATCCAGATATGCCGCACGTTAACAATCCACGCTTCCTCGTAAAACCGACATTGATGTATTCGGCTAATAAAAGAGCAAAATCAAGAATAGAGAAAGAGATATTACTGATTGAAAAATTAGATTTTTTTAGTAGTGATTTATTAAAGATTAATATTAATAAATGTCTATTGTGGAAAAAATCATTTTCGAATTTACCAAATTTCTTGAAATCTTTTATATCGAAGAGTGAACAGAAAGAATATATTTCGAGGCTTCTCTAGTAAATTTACCAAACAGAAAGATAGAAAGGTTCGAATATCCGGATATCCGGATATGCAGCACGTTAACAATCCACGCTTCCTCGTAAAACCGACATTGATGTATTCGGTTAATAAAAGAGCAAAATCAAGAATAGAGAAAGAGATATTACTGATTGAAAAATTAGATTTTCTTAGTAGTGATTTATTAAAGATTAATATTAATAAATATCTATTATGGAAAAAATCATTTTCGAATCTACCAAATTTCTTGAAATCT